GTAGCGAGCCGCAACTGGAGAAGAGTAGAAATCTGCCCAGCTCCCAGATATGCTGGTGGCGCGCTGAGAGCGAGGCGGGCTCCTGGGCTGTCAGCCAAGCGGCGTTCCTGTCCAGCCAGAAGTCGAAGAAGGCCTTCCAGGCCAGCTGCTCTTGCTTCAGCAGCCTGCCAAGCACCTTGGCCTGGAGTGCCATGATCTGGGCGCTGACGTCCACCAGCGCAATGTCGCCGTCATTACCCGCGCAGGTCACCTTGCCCGGGAAGAGTGCTGCTGCGATGCCTGTCACTGGCCTGTTCGCTGCGACAAAGGTGTGAATGGCTCTGCAAAGCCTGTCCAGCAGCTCCCGCGGCACTGGCACGAAGGTGGCATGGCAGATGACCATGGACGCCAGCACCTGCTTGGCGACGTCCGCCCGGCCCAGCATGCTGAAGCGAAACCCGGACCAGTGCGCGATGCGGGCCTCCACCTTCGTGACGATGGCTGTGTGGAGGGCTGTGGCCGCCGCTGCTGGCTGGGTGGACAGAGGAACCCCAGGTGCTTGACGCTGCCGCCTAGCGCCGCGAAGGTGACCCCTGTGACCGGATCTGGCCCGGTCAAGTGGCTGAGGCTGCCCAGGCCCAGCGCCTGACTCTTGCTGCGCTGCAACCTCGCCCCCGTGGCTGCGCAGTGTAGGCTCACGCTGGAGTCCAGAACTATCTGGGCGTCGCTGGGGCTCCTCGCGTGCACTGTCGTGTCGTCGGCATGCTGGTCCATGACTGGTGTTGGCTGTCCGGAAGGAGACCTGCTGCTGCGCGAGGAGCCTGGCATGTGCTGCCATCGGCTGCGCCGCGAGCACGAATAGGAGCGGCGACAGCGGGCTGCCCTGGAAGACACCCGAGTCCACTGGGAAGGCGTCGGTGTGCCAGCCGTTGAAGGCGACGCGTGCTGTCGTGCCGGAGTGTAAGAGATGCATCCAGCGCTGCGCTCCGGGCCCAAGGCCGACTGCCGCCACTCGATCCAGGCCCTGTCGAGACGGTCGAAGGCCTTCTCAAAGTCCAGGAATACAGGGACGCCTGGCTGGTGGGTGGCCGCCAAGCAGCCGATCTCCTCAAGCTGGTACGTTGTCCCCAATCCAGCGCTTCGGGAGGAAGCCTGTCTGGGTGGCGTGCACAACCTGGTTGAGCAGCGGGCCGATGCGGCTGGCGATCCCCTGCGCTGCCAGCTTGCATTCAGTGTTCAGCTTTGTGATGGGTCTGTAGCTGGTCGGAGACTCCCTGTCCGCTCCCTCCTCCTTGTACAGGAGAGTGATGCGGCCCTGTAGCAGCGCTGGCGGCAATGCTGGACTGGCGCCGCTGCTGAAGGCCTCCTGGAGCAGGTCTGTGAGCTCCGGCCCCAGCTCGGGCCAGAACCGCAGGTACAACTCGTACGGGATGCCATCCAGCCCAGGCGCTTTGCCGCGCGCAGGATCTTGGCAGCGGCCTCCAGCTCCGCGAGTGATACGCTGCCATCACCGAGATCCTCCTCCCCTGCTGCCGCTGCCTTTGGGGAAAGCCGCCTGTCCAGTGCCTGAACAGCTCATCCTGCACCGCATGCGAGACCAGCTGCGCCGCGAAGATGCCGTCGGCTGACTCTCCACTGAAGTAGGATTGCAGCAAGTCGCCGCCCTGGTCTCGCCCTGCTGGGTGGCCCAGCACCACCCGCGGGCTGTCGGGTACTGATCCTGTCCCCAGCGCCTGCAGCTTCGTGTGACACTGTCGCTCCCTGGCCAGGTGGTGGAACCAGAAGGAGGACTGCTCCCCATAGAACTGCCACACGATCCATGCCTGCAGCGCCGCGCCCTTCGCTGCCTCGGTATGGAGGGCCTGCAGCAGGTGGTGGGCGTCCTGCCCTGCCAGCAGGGTCTCCGCGGCGGGTGTCTGCTCGTAGGCTGCGAGCGCTGCCTGGCTGTCCGACTCCAGAGCCCGCTGAGCTGCCCTGCGCTCGGCTGCTATGGCCCAAGAGCGCTGCAAGGCGATGTCCTTCACCTACTGCTTGAGGTCCACCCAGCGGCTGCCCCGAGTGACCGCATCTCCAAGTGGGCGTGCGGCAAGGTATCTGGGATCTCCGCTGCTCTGCGATCGCAGAACGGCTGATCATCCAAAAGGTGGAGAGGCAGCCTCCAGGTTGCAGAGCCGTAGAGTGTGCTGGCTGGTGAGTTGAGGCTCAGGCTGACTCCCAGGTGGTCTCCTGGGTAGCCCATCACTCTCTTGTACAAGGGGAAGGGGGACCTGAACCTAACACCGATTCCGATTTCACACGATTTCTCCACCGATACACCAGCATCTTCAAGTTTCTCACTTGCATTGTGTAGAGAATGTTCACAGCTTTCGATCGATACCCCACTTGCCTACTTTTGTGCGTATTTACTCATTTCGACCACGACATAGTTGCCATCCCGCGAGCTCACACGTCCGGATAGCCTCCAATGTAGCTTATTTTCAGCCACTATCATCATCGACAATATATATACACATTTTACGCGAATGTTACCCGTCTCCACTGGACCAGATGCGCACAGCCACCTTCCTCACTCTACACTAGCGACTAACACTTTTCCACTATCCCCACGGTTACTCGCTGCGGGACATATATTATGGGATTCGATGTTGTTCTCCTGAATTCTTGAAACAGTTGTGCCTGTACTTTATGCATTTCAGCCACCAAACCATTCCACATACTGACAACCAGTGGTAGCTAAACAGGGTTCAGGGGCAGGAGGGAAGTGTCACAAGGGAGGAAGAGTGCGGGGAGGAAATAGGGGCAGGGGAAGAGGTCACACGAGCCTCTTTTGTAGGCTTCCTGAGGGGTTTTCAAGGCCTTTAGTAGGGAGCTGCCACAGCTCTTGAACAAGGCCCCAAGACCTCCTCGGCGGACGGTGGACGCCCTAAAGAGCTAATCAGCAGGAGCAATCAGCACAGGGGAGCACAAGGTTGTAGAGAGGAGCACAGCAGCAGCAGCAGCAGTTGCCCAGCAACTTGGGTCCCCCACCTGGCCAGCCTGATCAGCACGATGCAGACTGTCAAGTCATGGCAGTTGGAGCCTCAGAGAGCCCTGGATGCCCATGCGTTGAGCACTCCCCGGCCAAGGCTTCTCCGGCCGCGGCCAGACCGGTGGGGGGACAGCGAGCCACTCCTACTGGCTGCCTTGGGCCAGCTTGAGCTGCAGGAGGAGGTTCCTTATGGCAGCCCGGAGCGCATGCAGCTGGAGCTAAAGGTCACCAGAGGAGTAATCGCTCACTTCGCGCCGCATGTCGGGGGAGTCAAGCAGCGAGGATCGCCCGGCGCAGCTGACAGCTGCGTGGAGCTCTGGTTTGACACGGTCCCGGCAGCAGCTGCGGCGCGGCATGCGGCAGCGGAGGACCAGCTTGTCCGGCTGCGTGCAGTGCCGGGCAGCGGAGACGTAGCGGTGCCGGTGCAACTCACTGCTGGGCGGTTCCACTGCCAGCACACCTGCATCATCATCCACGGGCTGCCGTACGAGTACTGCAGAAAGGGTCTCACTCAGACCCTTCTGGACTGTGCTGGCTGCCCCAGGGACACATACGTTGTTCGCGGCGAATTCCTCGGCGACCTGCCAGGACCGTTGGCAGTGGGCACCCATGGCGTCGGCAACGGGAATGCGTGCCTTGCATACATCCAGACGCCGGATGAGGACCGGCACTTGGGCCGCTTACCAAAGCGGTTCTTCATCGACGGTGACACCCGGATCAATATCACGCGGCCGGGGCAGCTGCGGCAGCCCAGCCAGCCATCCTCCTTCCAGTCGCAGCGCTTAGCTCCGGAGCCGTCGCGCCGCTCAGGGCCTCGACCGATCCGTCAGCGGCAGCGCGCTGCGCAGGCCCACACGCGCACCGCAGCCGCGGCGCAGCGGACACAGCCAGCACCCAGTGCCCAGTTGCAGCAGCTGGAGGCCCGCGTACAAGCCAGCCGCGCGCCCGGTGGCGACCGCTCTGGCCTGGGTGCGTCTGGCTCCATCAGTGTAGCGCGATTAGGCCCGGCTTTCCGCCCCGCTGGAGACACGCAGCCGCTTACTCCGATGGACTGCACCCCTCCGCGAAGTGCACAGGTCTTCCCTGCTGCTAGACAGGCACTGACAGACATGGAGGAAGACACGCCGCCGCCGCCACCGCCGCCGGTACCGATGGAGTGGGAGACACAGGCATACACGGTGCCGCAGCGAGAGTTGCGACGCAGGATATCGCGCGTGCGCGATAAAGGTGCAGCCACCCCCATGGATTGGGATCTGCCTCACACCGAGGATCCACCCCAGACGGCTCACCGTCGCCCTCCGCACCTGGACCTCAGCGGCGTCCCGGTTGAGCGTATCGAGGAGTGTCTGGAGTGGCTGGCAGGGCATACACACTTCTCCCCCGCAGACAGCGCGGCAGCGATTCGCCGGCTGCACAGCGATGCACCACTCGCGCTCGTGTCGGGAGGGGATGCACCAGCAGATAGGGAGCTGCGGCACCAGCTCCTCTGCGATGCTCTGCGTCGCATCCATGGAGCAGACAGCTTGCCGGACGACTCGTACGGCTTGCCGGCTCTGACACCGGAGGACCTAGCGCAGCCGGCAGAGGTCCCAGCAGCACCCATTGCACGTCAGCAGGGGAGACCCACCGTCCCGCCGGGCTTTGAGTCGCGAGCAGCCGCAGCGCGCGCAGCGCAGCGTGCGGCGCAGGTCGCACTAGCGGGGCTGCCGGCTCCGTGGCGCTCAGCGCGTACGCGGCATCAGCCTACAGAGTGGTGGCTACAGCAGCAGGGGCAACAGCAGGAGCGGCAGCGGGTAGAGCACAGGATTTCCAGGAGGATTCGCAATGGGGGCCCGCCGGCACGGCGGCCCTCGCAGCCATGACTCGCTCCCGATCGCCCTCCCTGCGCCTTCTCAGCCTCAACGTCAACGGCCTCAGGGACAGAGACAAGAGGCACTGGCCCGTTTGATTTCGTATTTTGGCCTCTGCCTAAATGTATATATCCATCCACTGTTCAGAGGACTCTGCGGTGGCACCAGTGCGCTGTGGACTCTTCTTCCCGGCTGAGTGTGGGGTCGCGTCCCCGGAGCCAGTCGCTGAGCACGCCCGCTGACAGCCGTATGTTGGTGGAGGCAAGTCGCAAAATCGGCCAGGAGAGCCTTCCTGCAGGAAGACAAGATACGGGCTGCGAGCAGCCCGGGCGATGTGTGGGCGTCCTGCTGATGACGGCCGCGCTGGTAGGCGGCCCAGAGCTGGCAGATGGTACCTAAGCGGAGGCGCTGCCAGAGAGGCCTGAGTTGCCGCGGCGGCTCCGACACCCTAGTGTCATCTGCCAGCAGCAGGTCTGGGCTGCGAGGCAGCGCGGGCTCCCCTGTCGCAATGCGGGCAGCTCTGTCCTGCTGGAGCGGCGGATATGCTGTGAGAAGGTGCCGCTAAAGAGCTTGCCACGAAGCAGCCGCCAGGCCGTGATGCGCTGCCGCCTTCGAGATTGGAAGTGTGAATGACCCTCCACACATGCGCCCAAGGTGCGGCCTGTCCTGCGGCGGGCACGGCGGCTTCCAACGTGTCTGAAGGTGGGCCCTGGGACTGTGCTGGCTCGACTCCAGGCTCCAGTGCATGAACCTGGCGATCCCGCCCCGTCCCGCCACGGAGCTGGTCGCTGCCGCAACGGGCGCATCCATGCTGCGTAGGAGGAGGGGTCGGGCTCCCCCCAGGGCCGCTTTTCCAGGACCCCAGTCCCTGTGCCCGTTGCCGCTGCTCTGGACTGCCGGCGTGCCTCAAGACCGTTGCGCTGATCGTCCGTGGTATCGGCCAAGATGGCCGGCCGCAGCGGGTCGAGTACACTTGCTGATCCTGTGGAGCACCTGGCGGCGCGTGGAGGCCTCCCTGACCACGAACGCATGTGCCGGCCGCAGGCCGAGTCCCCATGCTTGGAGATTCACGACTTGGCTGCCCCCAGAGGCAGAAGAGGTACAGCGTGGGTGCTGCGGCCAGGGGCACCAGAGCGTCCTCCTCTTGCTCCTGTGCTCCAGGCTGCTGGCGCTTCCAAGTGCGCGGGTGCCAGAGCCAAGTGATGTGCCAGTGCTGCACCAACGCCGGCTGCGCGGTCGCAGGGGGCAACGAGTGCTGACCAGCCTGTGCTCCGTCGTCTGCTGGCACGAGGGCGCCTGTGCTGCTGACTGTATGGCTGAGCTGGTTATGCCCTGCAGCTGCATACCGGATCAGGATACGCCTGCCACAGGGCCGCTGCTGGATGGGACTGAAAGAGCTGCCTCCAGGACGCTGGCAGAGCGGCGAGAAGAGTCGGCAGGCGATGGCGGATGGCGCTGTGCTGGTGCTCCGGGCCGCTCGACAGGTGGCAAAGATAACTGATCCTGACAAGGTCTAGCCCGGCCCAGTCCTCCCAGGCAAGAGGCTTCCCGCCGGCGTCCGTGAGGTGCCTGAAGAAGAGCGGCTCGCTGAGAACCGCGTCGTGGCTGAACTTGTCTGGCTGGATGCGGCGATGAGGCTGCATCTTCTGGTAAGCATGCAAGTTGTGCCGCACCGCGTCGGGGCCTGCAGCCGCTCTGCTGGGAAACTTTTTTTTTTTTTTTTTTTTTAAAAGGGGAAGCCCCCGCTATTACACAGGTGCCAGTCGCACGCTTCCCAGCACGCATGCAATAGGATATTTGGGGAAACCTGTCAGAGTTGGGGCACGCAGAGCACTCCCGCAGGAGGATAATGCGATACTTAAGAGAAGCGCAAGCATGAAGGCATACCACAGAAAGGCAACATCCGGTTCGGATGGTGCGAGAGCGCGTGCCCATCCTTCTGGCTGCCTTGCCAGCAGCCTGGAGAGCGCTAATCCAGGTGCAGCCACCGGCCGCTATGTGGTGCGCATCTCCGGACCCGTCGGATCGCCGCGTCTGGTCTCGCACAGCCGAAGGTAGCACCTACCTTCTCAGCCACACAGTAAGCAGCACAGGAGCCCTTGTGCCAGTGGACGGAGGCGTTGCAGCCATGCACGCCTTCCTTCCTCCGGCCGCGCAGCCTGCATTGGTTCAGCACTGGGACATCACCAGGCCCTGGCATCCACGCAGCGGCACACGTCAGCAGCGCCAGCACGCGGAGCAGCTGCACCCAGAGCAGCACCTGCAGGTGGAGCAGCAGCCAGGGGAGCAGTTGGAGTGGGAGCAGCAGCTGCCGGAGCCACCGCCACCACCGCCGCCCACACTATACTTCTTTGGCCTCTGGGGATCCCAGGTACAGGACCCTCAGGCTTGGGGGCTCGGCACGCGGCCGGCACATGAGTTTGTGGTGAGGGAGGCCACCGCGCGGCGACAGGTGCTTCACAGGATCAGCAAGGGGGAGGCCAGCCCGGCGGGCCCGCTGCGACCAGCCATCTGGGCTGATACCACAGATGATCAGCGCAGCGGCCTTCGGGCGCTCGAGGCGCGATGGGAGGCCAGGGCTGCAGCTGCTGGTACCGCGTCGCAGGTCTTAGGCAAGAGGCCTCGAGGGCAGCCTGATCCCTCCTCCTGGGCGATCTGGATGGCTGCGCCGCAACCACGTCCGGTTCCGCTGCGGGACCGCGGCGGGCCTGCGGGCGCGCCAGCGGGCCCTTCACCAGTGCCACAGGGAGCAGATGTCACTGTTGATCCTGCTGCTGCTGTCACAGCAGACCCATCAGCACCTTGGGCTCATGTGTGGCAAGTGGTGCACGCTTCCCATCTGGACCGGCGGCAGCGCGTGACAGCGTGGAGGCTGCTGCATGGCCAGCTCTTCGTCGGCGGCTTCGCGCGTCACGTCCACCGCGCCGATCCCGCCGGTCACGTTTGCCCGCATCCGAGCTGTGCAGGTCAGCTGGCCACACTCACCCATGTCTTCATCATCTGCCCTCTCGCCGCCGGGGTGTGGGACTGGTTCGCAGCGACATGGGCCGCGGTGACCGGAGACGACGCGCCACCGCGCAGCGCCGACCTTCTTCTCGCCGATGACACCAGGATCTGGGGACCGCCGCGGCAGCTCAGGCAGCTCTGGGATCGCCTGCGGCTCGCTACAATCTGTCAGCTGTGGGCAGCATATCAGCGCGGCCGCCACCAGCCAGATGCGGCGGCGATCACCCCCGGAGCGGTTGCGGCTCGCATCCTGTCTTCCTGCAAGAAGGCCCTGCTTGCCGATTGGCGGCTCGCGACCGTCAACGTCCGGCAGACAGCAGGTGTGCTCAGCGACTGGCTTCGCGGACGCGACCCGATGATCACCAGGGAGCACTTCGCGGCGCGATGGTGCCACCGCGCGGTCCTCTGCGCGCTGGAGGAGCTGCCGGGCGCGCAACCAGTCATCCACTGGAGTGCCCAGCATCCCGTGCCGCTTCCAGCGTGACGCTTCCGATCCACCATTCACTGTACCCAGCCGGCCACGGCTCTAACTTGGCTATCTGTATGACCATGCTCTCATTTGGCCTTCTGCCATGACACCCGCTCGTGTCGATTCTTGTGTTGAACTCACACCCTCTCTTAGGGGGGCCTTTGCGATAGGTGCTCTGGGCACATGGGCGCTAAGAGCCTTCGTCATACCATAGTCTGGCACGGATGACTAACCTTTCACCAGTCCCGATCCCACCCCGGCAAAGCCCGGCCTGTCGTTCCTTGTCTGAGACCCCTTTTGCCTTAGAGCCCTGGGACCACAGATTGCCTACCAGAAGCTTTGCGCCTCTCCTACCTCTAACCTTTTTTTTTTTTTTTTTTTTTTTTTTTTTTTTTTAAAAGGGGAAGCCCCCGCTATTACTTTGCACCTTTGCATAGTTGCACGACACCTGACACGCGTGTCAGGTGTCGCAGTGTCGCGAACGTTCGCAAACGCGTGTCGAGATTTTGGCTATTTCCGACACCGCTCCGACACCGGGTTATGTAAGGGTTACGTTTGACCGTTTCTGACCGTTTTTGGCCGCTTGGACGCCGGAAAATGACCCAACAACACCCCAAACACATATAACATGCTTGTAAATGTGTTTAGCGACAATTCCGATGTGTTTTGATGCGTTGTCGGGTCCGGAAACAGCTTTTTGAGGTTCCGTCAGCCTTAGTAACCTGTAGTCATCACCCGATTGCATGGTTACTAACGTCCTCAGGTCTGGACACGCGTGTCGCGGTGTCGCGGTGTCGCGAACGTTCGCAAACGCGTGTCCAAATTTTGACCAGCCGTGTCGTGCAACTATGAACCTTTGCCAGCGCGGAATGGGGCTCCGAGTCACGTGCTTCCACTGGTCGAGGGACCTGTCGAGCTCGGCCCAACACGGCCCCGGGGGTGCCTCCTTCGCCCCTGGGGCACTGGCCTCGCCACCCAGTGCCGGTGGCCTCGCCCACCACCGGACGTGTTTGCGCGGCTCACCCCTTGGGTATCCCTCGGCCAGACGGATCCATCGTGCGCCCCGCTACCTGTGGAGTACCGTGCCGGAGAGCCAGAGCGTTGGCGCAAGCTTACAGAAGACCACCCTGCCCAGGGCTTTAGGCTATCAATAGTTTTCCAGTGATCCTCCGATGTTTCTGTCTCACCAGCAGCCCCAACAATCCCCTTGGCCTGTCATCCGTGGCCTTCTGCCTTAGTGTCTGTCCTCCTCACCATTCACAGTAGTTCATTGAAGGCTATCTGAAGGGTTTAGGGTTTCCAACCCCAGTATCCACCCTTGAACCTGAGCGGGTGTCTAGGACCTTGGACATGATGCCTCCTGCCTATCCCCGCCTCCAATGTGGTGGGTGTGTGTATCTGGTCGAGTTCTCGCCAGCCTACCTGTTTTTCGCCTCATTTGCGGCTTCATATCTCCCATATGCCACCGTTTGCTTGTGCCCCACCTTGCTGGCAGATTGAGGCATAGTTTAGGGTCACATTGCCAGCCCCGAGCGGCACCTAGTGGTAATGGGTCCGAACGCGATCCTGTTCCATCCCTGTCGGCCAACCGTATAAACGTGCCTTTCATGTCTGTTCCACCACTGGTTGCCCGCACATCCATAATTGCCTGCCAGTGATTGATGATTGCCTGCTTTGCTGTGACCCCTGCCTCCAGCTGCAAGCCCTAGGCTTGCCCCGTGGGTCCTCCAACGTCACCTCAGCGGTGTTGCGTTGCCGGCGGGCTGGAGTGCGCCTCTGGGGATGAGGTTACCCTCTGGTGCTTGGGACATGTCCATCGCTAGGAGCCTTTCTGTTGCCTTTCTGTGGTATGCCTTCATGCTTGCGCTTCTCTTCAGTATCGCATTATCCTCCTGCGGGAGTGCTCTGCGTGCCCCAACTCTGACAGGTTTCCCCAAATATCCTATTGCATGCGTGCTGGGAAGCGTGCGACTGGCACCTGTGTAATAGCGGGGGCTTCCCCTTTTAAAAAAAAAAAAAAAAAAAAAGACCCAGCAGCCTACATCGCTTAGGACCGCAAGCCGACGCCCGCCTGCATCGCTCGATTGGGGTCCTTTTTGACGGTGGAAGGCATCTTCAAAGTCCAGGACACCAGGACTCCTGGCTGCTGGGTGGCATTCCGGTAGCTGATCTCCTCGAGGTGGGCCAGGACGTTGCCCCAATCTAGCATTTGGGAAGGAAGCCTGTATGGGTGGCATTTACAGATCGTGCTGGCAATCGCCAGCGCCGCCAGCATGCAGCCTGTGTTCAGTAGCGTGATGGGTCTGTAGCTGGCTGGAGATTCCCTGTCGTCACCCTTCCCTCTGCAAGGAGAGAGCCCTGCAGCAACAACGGCTTGCAGCGCTAGACTGGCACTGCTGCTGAAGGCTTTCTGCGGCAAAGTCGACAGCTCCTGCCACACCGAGGGCCAGAAGCGAAGGTCGTCGCAGCGCGCTCCCTACCCTGCTGCTGTTTTTAGTGGAGCTGTCTGTCCAGGACCTTAAGCAAGATGAGGTTACCCCCTGGTGCTTGGGACATGTTCATTGCTAGGTCTTGCCTGTCAGCGGTTTGCCTTCATGATTGCGCTTCTCTTTAGGTATCGCACTATCCTCCTGCGGGAGTGCTTTGCGAACCACCCATCAGACAGGTTTCCTAGCTATCCTTATGCATGTTTTCTGTAAAGCGTGCGATCAGCATGCGTGTGTAAGCGAGGTTCATCCTTAAAATAAAAGAAGAAGAAAAAAAGATCGGCTGCGCCGTGCAAAGGCCCGCGGCTGCCACTCCACTATGTTAGGCCCGTAGATCATTATTACTCTGGTTCTGTCCTACTGGATGATCGAGAACCACTCGTGGGCTGTCAGGTGCTAGTATCGAATGCGCATGGATGACTCAGCTCCGATTCCATGACCATCCTGAATGGCGCTGTTGAGTGAAGGCACGCTTGTTGGAGTGTCAGTCACTTCAGGCATCAGGGATGTGGTGATCTGTGTCGATGCCGCAAACCAGTCCAGCTACCCTGTGCCCGTTGACCGGGCTGTCCGTCAGCGTTAGAAAAGAGGTTCCTGTTCTCTGCGCTTCTCGACAACCCCATTGTGCCTGGCATTGTTTCTCAATCTGGCGCCGCATTCACCGCGCTCGGCAGCGTGCATTTTCATGCACGCGGTGAGATCACTGTAGCTGGTGCCTGTTCTCTGCGCGTTTCCTGCAATTTTTCCCTTGTCTCTCTTATTCGAAAGAATGGAGATCTGTGACGTCAATGTATCTACATCACTGGTGAGCGTTGGCCCCTTGAGTAACGTCCAAGCCATGCCACCCAAGATAAACTGCGCCCAAGAACAGGCCTTCTACGTTGCTGGAATGCAGCAGTGCAATGTGATATGTGGTGCTGATCAGATCACCTAATATTGTTTCAAAACTGGACTGCGAATGAGGACTCTTCCAAATGCTTCAGACATCCAGCCAACTTTTGACAACTTGCAATTGAGTTGTCCTCAATTGCAGCATGCATTAGTTTCCCTAGATCCCAGGAGCAATGTCAGTAGAAATCTGTCCAAACGCAGCACGAACTGGTTTTCATTGAAAACCACAACCTTCAGCGACTAAAAGCTGCAGCAGTACCATCTTGATAACGCGTCATCATTATCACCTGCGGAACATGCATTCTGATCATGATGACAGCTGTGAATGTCAGATTCTCTAGGTCAGATCCTGGTCCATTGACCACAGGAATTGCTGAATCCAGGCTCATGAGTGATCAGTGCGATCGGACATATTTGCCTAAAAAGCACGACCATGTCAACCAGAATACGGTATTACTAAAAAGAGTGTGGGTTTATCAGGGCCAAAACTCACTTGGCATCAATATGCAAAGAGATTTCCAGACCTTGAGTGAGCTGGAAGCAACTTGACTGTTCAAGTGAGATCAGGCTCATCATGGTCATCATGCGACTGCAATCTCTTCTTGCCACGAAGAAGCAGTGTTGTCTTCCAGGCATCCAGCCGTGTCATGCTGTCAAACTCTGCGATTGCATCTGTGTACTTCTCTGCATCACCTGCCTCAAATGCCTCCACCAAATCCTGCAGACAGATCTAGCTCAAAACACATCTTCCATCCTTCTTTGCAATTCGAGCCAACAGGGACGTCACTGTGCTCATTGACCAGAAAGTCACGGGAGTGCGACACCTTCAGCAGCTTGCCCTCCCGAGATCCTGAGAATGTGTAGTCGATGTCCTCGTACCGTTCCAGCGCAGATTGCATCGCCATCTGATCACCCACTGCAGCAGGCACAAGATCTTGTCAAAGCCCTGCAACAGACCGTCAATACACCCTTCCGCATGCTCGTGCATGTCAAACGTTTCCAGGAGAAACGTTGCCAGGAGAGACTTTGCCAGCCTCACCACAAAGGCGGCAGATGCCAGCGTTCAGCAGGTGACCCTTTGCAGCATATTTCAGAAGGTTGTTGTCCATGCTCAACCGAGCAACGTCCTCATATATCTGAATAGCCGAAGGATAGTTCTCCAGTTCTGCAGAGAATAGGGCAACCTGTGGCCGACAGAAAAGCTCATGTAGGACGCATGCGAATACCGTCTGTTTGTTGTACAAGAGAGACTGCGCGTCAGTTTTCATACTGGCGCGCTGCGTACCTTCAAGCGGCATTTGTTTGCTTCCGAAGTCTGCTCTTCCCCAGCAAAAAGGTCAGCAGCCTGGTTGCAGCCATCAATACTTGCGTCAGACACAAGTCTAAATGCGTCAGACATAAGTCAGCAGTACTTGTGGAGGAAGGAAAACCAAAATGCGGAATTGCAGACCTGGGTGTAAAATTCTATGGCCTCCTCCTTCAATCCTCGCTTCTCTAGCGTTTCAGCCACTTCCTGCAGTTACATCTGTGCTGTCAGGCTGGTCAAGTGGGGCGTGATGCTAAGGCATGCTCTGCAGAATCAAACAGCAAGGCATGCTTGAAGCTCAGGAATCAACCCTCAGATTTTTCGCCGCCATGCCCAGCCTGCCGGCCTCTGTATAGTACTCCACGGCATTGTGGAGCGCCCTCAAAACATCTGCGCAGACACAAAGTGAATAATGACTTGGGAACTCCACATGCAAACCATTGAGCCTCGAGGACCGACCACGGCTATTGAGGCAATTATCTCGCCTGTCTTGTCTGTCTTCTGGTAGCATTTCGCTGCCTCCACGTATGATGAGGCAGCTTCGAGCCTGCTGTCTTGTTTAAGATGGACTTGTGCCAACTTCTCGAAAGCCTGTCCAGCTTCATTCCCTTTGAACGGAGAGGACCTATCGTCAGTATCTCGTTTACCAAACAAGACGCAGGGTTACATTCAAGATTTGGCCAGGCACAAAATGCTGGCAAAGTGGTCACATGGAGGTCAAGGCAAATAGCTCTTCAGCGACTTACAGGATTTTGCGAGCTTGAAGTGGTTCGCTGCCTTCTCCAGCAACTCTGCGGCATCCTCGTACTTATTCCCGAAGCTTGAAAAGAGCCCAAAACTGTTCAGTTTCTTGTCAGCCTTCTTCATGAAGTCCGCGCCACGCGCGGCATAATCTGCCATGATGGGCGCTTTAAGATGATCTGAGAAAGACCTGTGTAGTTTCAGGTCGGACAAAGTGTGTTTAGGGCACCAGAGACATCTACTCCTTCATTCCGAGAATGTCTCGGGGTGACGTTATTGTTCCCTTGCCACGGTGGAGCCAGCTAACTCCACCCCTCGTCCCGAAATTTCGGGAGTGGATACGCTTCGGACGAGGCGTCTTTTTTCACCCCTAAAGTCGAAGTTGCAATCATTTGGTGTGTATAGACGACCAGAATGGACGAACCGACCACCGAGTAATGAGTCGTGAAATATTGAAAGAGATGGAGAAGAATCGCCGTTCTAACAATTCATGGGAAGGAAAATGTACGGATGCAAGAAATCTTATCGATTACAGAAATGTCAACCCTCGCCGAGGCAATCGGTTAGTCATCGAACACCAAATGCAAGAATCCGCTTTACGAAAAGCGTATCCAATAAACCCTGCATCAAGCAGACATGTGATCTGACGAAGTCTGAACATGCTCCATCGTGCAATTTCGCGAAAATCTGAGGAAGACCACCCCAAGAGATTGCATCATTCCTTCGTACAACTTCTGCAGATAGCCATGTCTGCCAATTTCCAGCAGTATGCTAAACCAGGAGAGGTCACCCCTGAGATCACTCCCAGCCGATTGTTCGACACACCAATCAAGGTATGCTAATTGAAACCATGCAAAAATCGAATCGAAGTTTTGAGCTGGGGTTTACAGGGGGAGTTAAGAACAGTTGCACAGCGCATCCTGTTGATGGTAAGCTGATTGATGTACACGTTTTCCAGGACAAACCCCTGAATGTCCCGCTTTGCATCGCAGGTCCCAAGCCGCCTTCTGATGGGTCCTGGACCCGTCAACGCGCATCCGAGGGTGCTAGCTGCTCAGACTCTGCCTCTCCTCGGTGCGCCCTGCCAGTGCGTCTTGGTTCGTCTCTTAGCGAGCACGGTGGGTCCTATGCCTGGCTTGGCGTGAAGTTTCGCAACCCACTCACGCTCGAGTACAACAATTTTGCAGGCCATATGCACCCCCCCTTTTTCTCCATCATGGACGAGATCCAGGATGGGCTCAGATACTTGTTCCAGACGAGCTCAAAATACGTCCTCTTGATCAGCGGAACAGGACATGCGGGTGAGCACTCATTCCCTGCAACAATGAAATTAGACCCCACGAAAACAACTTGTCCTTCGGTGGCGCGTGCTGGTACAGGCACTAGACAGTGCTGGCGATCCACTGAAGACATGCATAATATGGCAGGCATGGAGGCGGCAATCGCGAATATGCTGGAGCCTGGCGAGACAATTGTGGTGGGCAACAATGGCATCTGGGGGCAGCGGGTGACTGACCTGTCAGCACGTTTTGGTGGTGCGTTCTGCACCGCTCCTTTTGCTTATTGACCTCATTCCCTTGCATGTAACTGTCTTCGGCACAGAGTCTGCTTTCTACGTCTTGCAGGCAATGTTGTGAGCCTGGAAACAGCGGCTGGTTCCACTCTGTCTCTCGAGGAAATCAAGGCGTCCCTGGACCAGCACAAGCCTGCTGTTCTGTTCTTGTGCCAGGTAACATTTGCTTTGCTTGATTGCTGGACCAGCAATGCTGGTTCTTTTGCCTGCCCTTACTCTCTACATGTCTTGTGTGGATGGTTCTATTACTGCAGTGTGTCCTGGTGTGGTGCATATTCCCTGATGACCGCCGTGTCTTCCAGGGTGAAAGCTCGACAGGGGCGCAGCAAAGCCTCGCTGGCGTCGCAGAAGCTTGCCAAGAACATGGAACGGTAGGAACCTTTTTTAATTTTAGAGGCGTACATGTTACAAGCCTTCAGTCATGCAGAAACACCGGTGCAAACTTATCAGATCATAAAAGAGCGCGTGTGACCTGGTATGTCTTGCATGTTGGGAACCATACAGTGTCTGAAGAGTGTTGGGCACTGTGATGTAGGTGCTGATTGTGGACACAGTGTGTTCCCTGGGAGCTGTGCCTTTCTACGGCGACGCATGGGGCGTCGACTGCATGTACAGCGGATCGCAGAAGGTCATCTCGGCGCCCCCAGGTTGGTGTGCTCTCCATTCTGGAGAATGCGCTGACCAGCACTGAGGTCACACAGCCCAGAAAATTGGAATGTCTGAGCTTTTGCTGCTCTGCTCCAGGAGCCGCTCCCTTCATGCTGAGCGAGCGCGGTCTCAAGAAACTGCTGAATCGGAAGATGAAGGTTGCGTCTTACAACTTTGATCTGAACCTCATCGGCAACTACTGGGGCTGGTTCTCCAAAGCAAGGCAGTATCATGCGACTGCAATGGTTAGCACATGGTGAGCATTCTCCTTCTGATTTGAACTCCACGACCCGGGGATCCCTCTTGAGCATCAGCAGAACACGTGATGCTGACCACCTTGTGGAAATATGTACTCGCACTGCTCCTGGGCATTGTGTTACTTGATGTGGAAATTTGTAGATGCATCAGCACGTTTTGAGGTGCTCTATCCTGATCGGACACCTGAACTGCACTTCCAAGCAATGCACTGCAGCAGGAACCCTGAAACCGTGCTACTTTTGCGTAGCTACTTCTGCAAAGAAAATTACCTTCTCCAATGCTTGATGACTTTTTGTGGTGAGTGGCCAGGTATGGGATGAGGGAAGCACTTGCGATCATCTCAGCCGAAGGACTGCCATGTCTCTGGGAGCGGCACAGCAGGCTTCACCTGGCTCTGCTGCAGGGGCTGGGGGCGCTGGGTCTGAAGCCCTTCGTCGAGTCTGATGCGGACCGGCTCGTCTCCGTGAACACCATCAAGGTGCGACCCCTTGGGTAAAGATCTGTGTCTTGCTGCCATCATGCCCCTTGTACAACATTGCACCGTTTGCTCTTTCATGCAGATGATGTGTGAACAGCAGTGCATGCTCCCCGCTGGAAAAGGGTGGTAGTGTCCCTTGGACACCTGTTGCGTAGATTTTTGTTACTATCATGAGTGGAGCATTGGCAGAGAGGTTTGCTATGGGGTTCTAAATAGAACTGCCCCTGGCTTCAATGAGGTAACAACATTTGGCAGGAATGAACTGGAATGCTCTGTACATTGCAGGTGCCCGAAGGTGTGGACTGGGCGGCTGTGGTCAAGAATGCGATGGAAAAGTATAATGTGGAGATTGCTGGTGGCCTCGGTCCCACTGCAGGGAAGGTCTGGCGTGTTGGAATCATGGTATGTACTCCTCACAGTTCCTTGGTGCAGATAATCCTCTGGAGATTTCAGAACAGTGCCCGCTTGCTTTTTATTATTGTTCAGGAGGCATTATTGGTACGTTGTTTGCAGGGCTACAATGCAAAGCTGGAGAATGTGGAGCTGGTCATCGCTGCTTTCCGGGATGGCCTGCAGCAGCAGGGATACTTGAAGTGAACGATGCTGAGGAAGTCACTTGATGCAGATCCAGCATGGCAAATTTAATTGCTTGTGAAAAGTAAAAGGTTCATTAAGCTGATCTCCGGCACACTCTGTTCTGCTACGCGCAGTCATCGTAAATTATGATAATGATCTCACAGAGGGTCCCTTGTATCCAGGTAAACAGATTTTAGAAAGCCTGCACATCTTTGATGCGAGACTTGTCATGCAACTGTGCAGCTGCCTGTGCACCTGCCCCTTTGTTTCATGCAGCTGTGAAGAAGGGACAGCTATTACATTTAGTACGTTGCCATATGGTGGCCACACTTCAGATATGCATCGGCAAGAAGCCGGGGGCAAAACTTAGGAATTGTCCGTTAGCTCTAGAATTGATGATACAACATTACCGGGAACAGCGTGTCGGTGAGACTGAGTGTCACATCCTGTCTTGTCATCCGGTGAATCATCTATGGAGGTTTGATTGTCTTACTCTGCAGCCAGACGGCTTGTAGCTCTGTTTGAGATCCAGGTCATGTAAGGGCCCCAGGATCTGATAAGCGCGGACACATGATTTAGAAGTGTAGTCCCATCCTTCACGCATGAAGCGCATTTTAAGTATTAAAAACGAGCGAAAGATACAGTGGGAGAGTGGGTTGTCCTGCTTCACCATTTCTTATCATTCTTTGGGGCCTCACTTACACCGCATGCTTTGTATACTCTTAAAGTCTCAGTGACAGGAACACAGCTAGCGGCATGCATGCCATGTGATGATGACACATGACATGTGGCTTCCGCATGACCTCAAAGATTCCCTTGCATGTATCTTTTAAGAGACCACGAAAGCGATCATTGATTGTCGAGATGATTGCAGAGACCAGCGGTAGTTCATATCAGAGTACATTTGTGCCTCGCACAGCGCCCTCCACCAGCTACGTGTGTGTCAGCAGAAGGCGATGGAAGAGGTATTGCAGAGATGTTCGCGTTGCTGATTCTCGAACTCCATCGAATGGGAGAGGAGGGTCAGACTTAGCGCGTTTAGAAACTGCAGTACCTGTAGATCAGCGTCCTGCCACGCAATTGAAGGAACTCCGCGAAGCTCAACTCTATTCTTGGGTAAGCAGACTGTGATCTGGTCTTCCCCATCAGATCTAGTAGTATGATGAGGACGACACAGACACCGTGATGATTCAAATATTTTTCACAGAAATCTTATTGGAGCTGAGCACATTCCTATATTTTGCTTGGCTCAGGCAGTGCTGGAAACTCAGGCGTACCTGAATAGATTAGGTGTCCTGTTCCTGGGCTCCTTTGCGCTCTTGGGGGGGCCTATTGCTTATCAGACCTTCGATCCCTTGAAACAGGTGAGTCCTTCTGTATGTGTTGGAAATGATGACGTCTTCAACAGCCCCTCCCGCCTGGAGTTCCTGAGCTGCAAAGCTAATGATCCCGATCCTGGTGCAGACAGCAGAGTTCTTCTTGAGTGGAGCAGTTGGTGCCGGTTTCGTGGTGTCGCTGGCTGTCCTGCGGATATACCTGGGCTGGAGCTATGTGGGGGATCGTTTGCTCTCCGCTGCTGTCGCATATGAAGAGACCGGATGGTCAGTGAGCGCTGCTAGTTCTTAAATTGCTCATTGCAGGAGTGTGATGCTGGTATCTAACTGTGTTTGCAATGAAGCCCTGTCACTTCTACATTTGAAGCAAAGCTTTACTCATGGCAGGTATGATGGACAGACATTTGTCAAGCCACCCGAGGTCCTGACACGAGATCGGTTGCTGGGCACTTATGAAGTGAAGCCTGCTCTGTCACGCTTGAAGACCACCCTTCTCGGGACCGGGGGCGTTCTCTTGCTCAGCGGATCTCTACTATTTGGCTTGATCGCCAGCAGTGCAGACACTGATGGCGTCTACGGTGAGGCAGCCACAGCGACATGCACTTGATGCCATGCCTCAGAGTACTGGGAGACAGGACACTTATATTGAGCAATGTCATTTGAAGCGTCGAGTTGTTGTACGCAGGGAGGGGTGCTGCTAGGACCCCCCGGATAGTCAGCAATGAGGGCATAATCTACAGCAAAAATGTGAAGAGCTTACAGGATCTCAGAGGGGATGACACAGCTGCAGCAGAGGAGGCTGAAGCGCAGGGGGGTGAGTGCATCTGCTGTTATGAAGAGCCCTGGCATGCTTCACTGTGTCCCTCGGAAGACCCGGGTGTGGAGTGAGACCAATGCTGCCATGCTGCTGAGAGCTCCATGGAAGGTAGCTCTAGCTCTATCTGTTGCTGGAGAGCAGTGCTTACAAGCCAACAGAGAGTGCAGCAAACCTCGTGTGCTGACTTAGGCAAGTGTGGAGTGTAGGTGTGCCTGGCTACTGTGGAGATCGATACTATCGAGCAGCAGCGGGCGGCAGCCTGTGCAGTAAATTTGATGCAAGGCCGGCACGGTAGTGCTGACTAGGCTCGCTAGGAGATTGAATTGATAGCTTAGAAAAACTCGAAGTACTGACAACATAATCATTTGTCTTCAGCGCTTTCCAAGAGCCTGCTTAAACAGCCTGAGGCTGTAAGAACACTGTGCTTGCGTGTATTTCTTTATGAGTGAAATTGGAGAGCAAGAGATCAGAGGTGCTTGAATTTCGGTCTATTGTGCATGGAGTTGAAATGATTATGTTGACCACTGATCCATTTTGCAGTCCTGGGCAGAAGAGTGCTGCAGCAGAGAGGTCTGATGTTGTTGGGAAAGAGAACAGCACCTTAGAAAAGAGGAAGGAACCACTCTGTGTGCCACAATGCTTTCGCGATATGTCTGACTGGCAATGTACTTACCTCTCAATCCCAAGGCTGTAAAAGCAGCCCTGTTGTGGTCACAGCGTGTGATGCAACAATCTGAGCCAATGATGTTGAATATAATTCTGATTGGACTTCTGAAACAGAGTATTATTGCTTGTGCATGCGTTCAAATTTAGACCGTAATGCTCGAGCTTTGTGAACAATCTTATATCCCTTCTAGAGAGAAATCACACATACCTTACTAGACCTACTTAGTAAGTGCCTGGCCAGTGACTGTTTTCTACAGCCAATTCGAGAAGATAGGCACACAATAGCAGAGCACCAGGGTTTGCCAGCCTAAGCACATGGCTGGTACCAAAACTGAGCCGTCTGCCCAGCGGTGGGGCATTTTCACTGCTGGCCCACTACCTGGTGTACAGAACCTGCATACCAACAGATTGGTGTCACATGAAGCGAGTCCAAGTCTGTGTTCATAAACATGGCGTTTCTCAAGATTTACTTCATGGGATATCCATGGGTGCTGACATACCTCATCCCAAGGATGCCTGTACAGTGGCTGTTGGAGGCGCTTCTGGTCCAGGGCGTGGCCAATGAGCCCAATGGAGCGCGCGAGCACGAACAAACCGTTCAAGTAGCCGATCTTGACAATGTCCTGGATCTCAACCTGCACCAGGCCTCACTACAGTCATGCATGCTCTGTCTGATCAAGGAGGGGACACAAAGCTTGGCACCTGTTGCCAGCATACATAATGGACCTGAAAGACACAATACAAAGTTTCTCAGACTTGATGAAACATGCCTGCGAGAACATTGAGGAGGAGTGCAGCAGGTCCAGGAAGAGGGCGCCGATGCAGCCATCCACGTTGAGCACCAGGTTGGCAGCCTTGGTCAGCGTGTAGCGCTCCACAGTCAGCGCATAGTCCAGGTAGCGCGTGCTGGGGAAGAACTTTTGCGCATACTTCTGCAGCAGCTCCACGCGCTTGTCGCGGTTGTCCTACGCGCAGGAATGAGTCCGCTCTGTAGCGCTTACTTCATCAGCAAAGCGACTGCCACATCTAGAAAGTCAAAAGCCTGAATGAAGCGATGTGGGCAGGATTGAAGAGGCAGCGGCCATGGAGAATCCATCAAGCAGACATGGTCAGACCTTTGATTTGATGCGGTGGCCAATGCCAGCCACCCGAATGCCCTTCTTCTTCATGTCCTCGACAAAGTCATCCGCATCCAGGCCCCGGTCGCAGGCGTCCTGTCAGGCAGTGAAGACACATTCTGTCTCCATTGCAAGATTGAAATATAATCAAATGGAAGCAAGATGCATCATCATGCTAGGCTGGTCACCTGGAAGTAGCGAGCTGCGTCATCAATGGCTCCTCCGAAGCGGGGCCCAATCGTGAGCAGGCCTGACACCAGGCAGGACACCAAGTCCTTGCCAGCCCTGGAGGTCACGATGCAGTTGTGGGCACCTGTGCAAAGCCAGGACCTTGTCTATACATGCGGCTTTATCAACATTACAGAGGCTGCTCATTTGACAGTACCCAAAAGCAATTGGTACTGACATCTCTATTTGCTATTCAATCAAGCATGCAAGTGGCAGATTCTTGTCACTACCAAAGGGAGGTACCTGACACGCAGGGGCCATGATCCGCGCAGAGCATGACACACATGTCGATGAAGCGCGTCGCATACTTTGGCAGGGCCCGCTTGAACCATAGCAGGGAAATAACGTCCCCAACGCCGTAGTCACCCTCAATGAGAGTGCTCATGTCCACGCCATTGTAGGTAGGCTCCTCCCCGCGGTCATCGCAGATGGACGAGACAATGTTCGTTGGCACTCGCACCTGCACCACAAGCACCCCATGTAAATAACCAAGCATACGACTGTGCTAATCTCCCCACACGCATGCATGTGAGCTGGGTACAAAGTCCACTTCAAGCAACGGGAAATCATTCAAGGAGAAGGGCGCGCCTTGCCGGCCTTCTTGGCAGCTTCCAAGTCAAGTGGAACACTGGGGGCGGGCACGTCTGGCTGTGGCACCAGGATGCCCTCGGCCACCAGCTTGTCGTAAGTCTGCTTTACAGCGCCCTCCAGCGCCTCAAAAGAGTCTGGCACGATTGCGCCCGCCTCCTTCAGCGCTGCATTCTTTGCCTGCAGGTTCACTCTGATCGATCAGTATAATGGCAACATGCACCCAACAGCTCGCATCCATGTGGCAGTTCTCCCACAATTAATTGGCAATTTCTCTGCACACATGTGGACAAGGTAGCAAGGGTGCAGCATGCCTGTGCAGACTCCATCTGGCCGCCGCTCTTGGCGCCAGCATGGCCGAACTGCACCTCGCTCTTGAACAGCTTTGCGCAGGTCCCGCTGACCCAGGCCACCACCGGCTTCTTTATTCGCCCCTCCTTCAGCGCTGCGACCTGCACCATGCCATACACTTCCCCTGAGCGTGTGTTTCACTCTTGGCACATTCCTCGGCTTTGTTGGAAGAAATGTTGGCAGCATCGGTATACTAGGACGACGTGGGAACTCACCAGAGAGTATTCATCCTGGCCTCCAAGCTCTCCCAGCACCACGATCAACTTGATCTGTGGGATATTTTCATATCGCAGGCAGTGGTCCGACAAAGTGGACCCAGGGAAGACATCACCACCAATAGCGATTCCTGTGTGCCAAAAAATGGCTTTAGACACATGTCCATCTGTGAGGCAGATTTCATTAATGCCCATGTGCATGTAAATATTCTCGAGTAGTAGGCAGGCGCGCACCTTCGTAGAGCCCGTCAGTTGTGCGGGACAGGACGTTGTACATCTCATTGGACATGCCGCCGGACTTGGAGACAAAGCCTACGGATCCAGGCCGGTGCAGCTTGCATGCAACGATGTTGTCCAGCGTGCCTGCGGTGTCTCCAATGCGGAATGCTCCTGCCTGCAGGTGAAACCATGCAGCTATCATTCAGCACCTGCCCCATGCAGTATACATGCTGCAAAAGCCATGCTGTAGGCAATTACCGCGTGCACACACCTGCACTCCACCAACAGTGGCCGGCCCAAGAAGGATCTTGTTGTTGGCCCGTGCGTAGGCAATGAGCTTCTTTGTGTCCGCTTCAGGCACACCTTCGGCAATCACTGCCACCACGCGGATGGTGGGCTGCTTCATCGCCTCCATACTCGACTCGTACGCGCTGCGCATGTGGGTGCAAAACGCTTAGTCTTGGGCCCCAACATAGCAAATCTCTCTGGCCACAACTGCAGGAACATGAGACGCACCTCCGAAACGATGCAAAATTGATGAAGACATCTGCCTTGGGGTGCAGCTTGACAGCCTCTGGCACGCTGCCTGACACGGGGATAGCAACCTCCTCTCGCCCAAAGAATACCTTCTGAAACCCGCCAGGGTTCCCAGGCTGCACAACGCATGCTACGGAAGGAATGGTCCGCCCTACAGCACACCTCGGCAACGATCATGCAGAGCACCAATGACACTTGTACTTCAGCACCCCAGCTGTCACTCAGACCTGCGAGGGGAATCCTCCATCACTTCAGCATTGAAGAAATTACAAGGGTCATATAGTAGCACCAAAAATACACATGATCGAATTGAGAGTAAACTCGTGCCCACAAAGGCCCCCCATCCTGAAACAAGAAACCGATTGATTGGATGGTGAGTTGAAGCGTCACCGCAGAGGAAGTCAAAGTCCAGCATTCGCTGGACGGGATTGGCTTTCCAGTTGTAAAATATAGCTTGGGTATCCTTGCTGAATATCTGACCGAAGCTGCCCATCCTGTTCTTTTGCGAAACGCTTTCCCCTGGCTGATGGTCAAGTTCGTTGGCAGAAAAAGCACAGGCAGAGGGATCCCAAGACGCCCTTACGGTCCCAAAATACACTTTCAACGATTGCGGCTATCTTCGTCGCAAACAAGCCCTTGCTGCTGTGGCCCAGATGTCCCTATGAAAGACGATGGGTCAGAGAAAAGGGTGTCTTCCACGAGATCTCAACAAACCCCTGCAGCATAGATACAGAGACAATCAACAACGATTCACAGAACCCACACCCTATGAAGTGGTCGGGCTCTGAGATGCGGAGGAATCGCTGGTGCGCGGGGCGTCTTGTCAACATTGAAAAAGGGCAGCTCTCGATACGTGTTGACCCTTGTCCACGTGGACAAAGCCCCATCCAACACCCTGCATGCTTCTGCTACCAGACACTGACCTTCACAATTTGCCCTCAGCAAGGATTGCTTGATCGTGATGCATACGAGTGTAGGGGTGATGGAGCTCATCGACCCACCGGTGCATGGTTGAACAACTTATTCAAAAGCCTTGCCTAGACCGCGGTGACGCCAGAGCACTGGTACATGTACAGTCACTGCCACGGTGGCCACCATGCGGCATGCCGGTGCGCACCGGTGACCGCAGTACCGGTGCTCACTTTACTTCCAGGGGAAAGGGAAAGGTATCCATCAATGACATTACACGCACTCATCCATGATTGAGCTGATCATGATTCTAAGCAGGACTTCATCCTTTGAGTGGTTCATACTTTTCCTTGCTAGCACTTGCAACGTACCACTGGTGAGCGTAGTGCGGAATTTTAGAAATTGTACTAACTACAGGAGCCTTCAAGCCAGCTCTAGGAATGACAGGCACGCTGTCAGATGGTAGCATCAGTATTCTGATAACCATCTACATAACCCATCTTGGGTGCCGCAGTACTAATACAGCATGACAATGAACATGCAGACCTTTGACTCAGGTGGGAGCCAACGTGGCGCCTCAATGGAGACCGATACAAGGAAGAATCAGACAGCATGACCAAAGTGCACTGACTGCTTGATTTTTGCAATCGCCTTGCCGGGGTTGAGCCCCTTCGGGCAGACCTGCACAGCAAAGAGCAGCTCAGGACCCCAAAACAGCCACAATAAAAGCTAATCTCCACAATTGCTGCCAGCCAGATCCACAGCCAATGTCGCATGAACCAAAATGGAGTCTCACCTTGGCACAGTTCATGATTGTGTGACAGCGGTACAGTTTGTAGGCATCGTCCAACTGTGCAATGCGCTCCTCTGTAAAGTCATCCCTGCTGTCGATGATCCACCTGCACAACAGCAACACCCAGTCAGATACCCCGCAAGTCAAATGCAGATATGACCTGCACCTCTCTTTGTGAGGCCTCTGCCCTGCAGGATGCCGCATGCAGAGCGGAGAAAGTAGCAGGGTGCACGTGAGAAAGGCCAGTCACCTGTAGGCTTGCAGGAGGACTGCAGGGCCCAAGTACTTGTCTTCGTTCCACCAGTAAGATGGGCAGGATGTGGAGCAGCAGGCGCACAGGATGCATTCGTACAAGCCGTCCAGCTTGTTGCGGTCCTCTCTGCTCTGGTAGTACTCCTTCCCTGAGCTGCAGACATGCAAAGAGCGCATCAACACTTAAGCACTGAACCTCGGATGCTTGCCGGAAACACGAGTAATGGCCTGCCAGTTGTTCGTTACAAAAGAAGCCGACAGGGGAATACCTGGGATCCTTCTTCTGAAGGAATGGGTTGATGGATTTGTACTGCGCATAGAAGTTGCTCATGTCCACGACCAGGTCCTTGATGACAAACATGTGCGGCAAGGGTGCCACCTTGGTCTTCGTATCAGGAGACCGCTCCACCTGAAGACAGGCAATTTGGCTCCAAATTCACGCTAATTGCATAATTTCCTGACAACAGGTGCCAATGCAGAGAATCTGACCTCTCCTGGAAGTTCATCATCATGGAGCGCACCTTTGTGAGGCACGCCAGGCAGTTTGTCCCGTTTATGTTCATTGCACAGGAGCCGCATATACCCTCCCTGTCAAGAACACCCAGAAGATTAATGCAGGAAGCAAAGCTGCTAGCTCGCCAAGCAGTAAGGTGGCCTTGCAGATTGTTTTATAGGTTCCAGGGTCCATTTTGTCACAAACCTGCATGATCGCCTGAAAGCCAGTGTGGGGTCCTGCTCATCCTTTATTTTGAAGAGGACGTCCAGCATCATGGGCCCGCAGCTGCAAAGAGCAAAGGCAGTAGTCAGGCACCATACAGATTCACCAGATACACCTCTATGACCTCAAAAAGGACTCCAGACAGTTAGCAGTACCGGCTGAGTCACCACATGCCCTTTGACCTACCAAGCCGCTCACCTGTTGATGTCAATGTTGTAGCTCTTGTACGTTGGCTTGCCACCATTGTCGGGATCCCACCTGATGCACCACGAGATCATGAGGCTGCCAGGTACGTAAATATAAAGGAAGAACGTAGGCAAGCGCTGAAGACAGGCACTCACCTGTACACCTGGAACTCCTTGTTCAACGCTGCCTTAGTTGTGGCAGCGGCCGGTGCTGCAGCCTCCACTTGTGCCGATGACGTGAAAATGCGTGTTGCGAGACGTGGGAGGGCCTGTGAAGTCCCTCTCCTTAACGCATTCATCCCCGTGACTTCTTGGTCGACAACTGTGTGCTTTAACAATGTACTCCCTGATCCAAAGTCCTCGCCTCGTCCACGTAAATTTTCGACTATTGTTTGATCGGACTGGACGGAATACGCACCCTCACTGGCTTGGCAAGCAGGCGACAACGTGGCACCCTCATAACCCTTACGTTAGTCTTCAACCACTAACTTTGATCTGTACAAATTTACAATCCAGGGGCTCGTCACTTGCAACTGCAATTGCGACCTTCTAATCCGTGGACCCACAAGAATGGAATCTTGGATATATTTTCTGCATTTTCTTTCCTTGCACAATAGTCGGAAAGTGTCCGGTCGCAGCACAAACAAGACTCGAAGACATGAGCCAATGCTTTTCGCGGTCAGCGGTGCACTGAGTCGGTGGTATGTGGAATGTGGAAAATGCAGGGTAAATTAATGTAGGTATATTGATAAGGGATGTCGCCATACTGGCGACACTCCCAACGCGGAGCTGGATTGGTTTTCCATCCGGATGCTTGCCTCAGAGCATCTGTCGATTTCCTGGCCTTACGAATCCTGGTAGCACCATGACCCCCAAGATTGCAATAAACATCTCAAACTAACTATTTCGGATTTCACAGTCACGCTTTAGAGAGGAATGAGGGGCGGAGTCCCAAAGCCATCGCGACGCCCCAGTCGCAGCTGTTTTCTCTGGATCCAGCCACCGTCACAGAAAATTGCACTGGAAAGAATGTTTCAATAGTCTAATATGCGCGTGATTGGGCCCGAGCCGGTGCTTGAACTTTGCGGAATGATGCAGTTGCAAGGAGAGGGCCCTGGAATAGAGATTTGTATTGAAGTTGAAGGCTAACGTAAGGGTCTCATAAGCAGTTACTAATCCCCAAACCTGAATTGCCAGTCGTCAATGCTGTTTGCTAAGCAAACTTTGCTTTCTTCGATCACGATCGACAGATCACAGTGCAAATAGTCTTCAAGAAGAGAAAAAATCAATCTGTGATCTTAGTGTGAATCACCGCTGGTAGGTTGTGCTACATTCTCAGCCAATACCAGCACTCCACTCTCTTTAGAAGCATCAAATGTCATTTGCGTTGTAAGGATCCCCTTAAATTCGTGCAAGTCAAGCTATGTGATCAGACATGGACAACGAAGCCAGCCGTCTTCCCCTCGAGGTGTTTGAGGACCGCACCTCGTCGGGAGCAGCTGCCTATTTACCGCCCGCTCCCGCCTTTGTCAAGCAGCACCCTGCAGCTGCACGCCCTTTATCGCCTCATTCGACGCGCAGAGGCACGCAGCAGGATCATGTCCACAGAGCAGGGCAGGTTCCACAGTATGCAGGCACCCCTGTGCAAGACACCCCGTTGCAGGGTTCCCAGCTGCGATCTGGTCTCGCTGACAGCCAGCATGAAGCACAAGCGCTGCCTGCTGCTCAACCTGGCGTCCACCGAGGCGCAGACCTTCAGACAAATGGCCATGGACCGGTGAGAAGCTGCCACTCCCGTGCCCCCTTCGGGATGCCGTATGGCAGAAATTGGTGGGGTGCGCCTTTTCAGCTCAGCCAGCAGCAGCACCAGCAGCCTCACTGGGTGCCAAAAGATGGGACGCCCCAGCAGAGGCGTCCCACTGCGCAGCCGGCCCTGCATGCCGTGCAGGCACTCCGTGGCGCTCCTGCAGTTGTGATGCCACCCCATTCTGCATCAGCCAGACCCCGGCAGCCACCTGATCAGCCAGTGCTTTCCCCTGGACCGGGGGAACAGAGCGGCATGGAACCTCGGCAGTCACGCAGCCGTGCGCAGCCTGTGCAGAGCCCTGCGAGACAGAAGCAGCCTGCACCAGCGCAGCCTGCACCAGCCAAGCAGCGGGGGGCTGGCATGCAGCTGCCGATGCTATCTCAGCTTCATAGGGAGATCGAGGTTTTTGCGCAAAGAGCCTCACCGACGAAGGTGAGCTGGGCAATGGCAGTTCGAAATAAATTTGTTTGTTCAAACTGGACAGGCTTATAACATGCTCCCCTTACTGCATCGCTGTATATTATGCACGGCACAGATCGAGCATGTGTGGCACAGGAGGAAGCAGGAGCTGTCACAGAGTTGGAGAGGATAGTGAGGGAAGCTGCTCTGGCCATCTGGCCAAACTGCACAGTGGGCATCTTTGGGTCCCAAAGCTGCTCCATGGCCCTCCCAGGATCAGATGTGGACATCACCATCCTGAACGTCGACAGCCTGAAACCCCCAAAGAAGGGCGCGTCCGGCTTTTCCATGTGAGGCAACGCCTGATATGGCCAAAAGTCTGCTACATTGACAATGCCTGACATGCAGTGTGCACGCTGACGCATTTAATTGTGCAGCTTCGCAGCTTCGAGGCTCAGTGTCTGTTGGTGCAGGAAGCAGCGCAAGGGTGTGGTGCAAGAGCTGCGAAGGCTTCTGAAAGCTCTCAGCAAGCTCAAGTTGGTGTGTGGGAAAGCTGAGGTGAGATCAGCACATATACACAAGAACACTGTGCACAAAAATAGCGAGACATCCTGTGGGCGACATGTGAGCATTTTGTGGATGCTTTGAGCAGGTCATCCCAGCACGGATTCCCATTGTCAAGTGCTACCTCAAGGTCCATGGGATGAAGATCGCAGCAGATATCAGCATGGGTGTCGAGAATGGCGTGGAGGCGGTGCCCTTCATAATGCAGCAGGTGCTGATCAGACGTGATGCCCTTACACAGCGTCACTGTGAACAGGTGGGAAAGGGAAGGGAAATGCTCTGACATTCTTCAAGGCTGAGCATCCGATTTTGCCTTGCAGGTCCAGTTCTTTGGGCCGTCGCTACGAGCTCTGACTGTGGTCTTGAAAGCCCTGCTGAAGCAAAGGAACCTCAATGAACGCGTCAGTGGCGGCCTGGGGTCATACTGCGTCTTGAACGTGGTCATGGCTCACCTCATCAAGGAGGGGATCCGAGCCACGTCCACTGCTGACCTGGGCCACCTCTTGCTGTCCCTGCTACGCTTCCTTGGCAGGACAATGGATTGCAGCCGGCAAGCCATCAGCGTGCGCATGGTGAGGTCTCCCTCTACCAAATTAACGCTCTCCTGCTTTCGCAGACATCATCAGGTTTGGCATGCAAGGGGACATTTTACTTCGACTTTGCCTTGATGACTGTGTATTCATATCCCTCTATTTAATTGTCAGGGGGGCATTGTGGAGAAGCAGCAGCAATGGCAGCAGGCGGGCAGGCCTTACCTGTTGGCAGTGGAAGACCCTCAGCAACCCGGCACAGATATTGGCTCCGGGTCTTTCAACATTCAGGAGGTGATCCTGCTACTGTGTCTATACTTGCACCTCCTATTTAAACAGAATTAGCAGGTCCTTGAGTTGTGGGCTCTTGGCTTGAGCACTTTTGAGGAGCGTGGTGTGACGATCCATTTGCAGGTAAGGAGCTGCGTGGCGCGCGCCCATGATGTGCTGCACGCAAGCTGTTGCAGTGCGGCTGTGGGTGGCGCGGGCCCTGAGGCAGCGAGCTGGGCGTCGGTGCAGGCTGAAGGCCAAACTTTCAGTGTCTCACCTCCTCACCGCTCGGAGTACCCTCTTCTGGACACCGTCCTGAACACATCGCTTGCTCTGGATCGCAGCCCGTCCGCATCCCAGGCACGACACTGAGCGCTTGTTCTCCAAGAAGGGTTGCACTGTGGTGCTACTTGAAGGCTGTATTTGCGGAGGACTCCATGCATTTGTGTGTCGCAGGCCAGGATGGACCTGGCTTCAAAGCCAGCTGGAAAGATGAAAGTTAAGGCGAAAAAGAGCGTAAAGGTGAAGCGATTTCGGGGTGCTGCAGCTAAGCGCGCCCGAGGAGCAGAGGTGAGTTGCTTGGACCTGTTGTGGGTTACAATTTGATGTCCATACTTTACAAGAGACTGTTGGATTGACTGCATGGATCTGGTCCAGGTGCAGCCCATGGTGAACCCTCAGAAGCAGGCAAAAAAGAAGGCCCAGAGCAAGAAGATTCCCATGAAGAGGAAAGCCGGGAAAGGTACTGAGCAAGGCGATCAACCAAAAAAGAAACGCAGGAAAGTGCAGAAGCAGAAGGCCGTGCAGTGATACGATGAGGCATCGTGCTGTGTGCATAGCTGATGTGAGGTTGAGGTGGCAGTCTTTTGAATTGAGTTCTTGCTGCTGGGAGTATCTGCAATGCTGACTGAATCGGTACATGTTGGCCAATCGTTCCACATTCAATCGTGCTCCCCTGAGCATGCTGACCACGCATGCTTATGCCGAGCACAAAGGTATTGGATTCTAGAACACATTTGCAATTGCGCAACCACGGCCTAGGCTGCTAGCACTAGCAGACATCTCCGAGAGTCAGTATGTTGCCAAGCACACATGATCATGATGCATCCGGCTCCAAATAGCGCAGCTATGATACCATATTTTTAGTATTGATGTTGGCCACTTTTCCTCTATGCTTGCAGTTGCAGCTTTCTCAGCTGATCATCTCAGAGTTCTCATGATCATGATGATCACCACATGATGTGCCATACCAATGGTGGTCAATGCATTTCTGCATGCCTTGGCCGCGCCGACAATGCCGGCAGGAAAGCTAGTGCTATACGGTAAGCACTGCTCTACATTACACTGTGATACCTGGATACCTGCTCAGTGTGCTAACTTTAAGGCCAGAAATTTCTTTGTTTGTCCCGTGCTCCAATGCTGCGAGCACGTGGCAACACATGGTGCCATGGTGCTGCATTGCTGGTACTGAACGGACACAAGGGCCCACAGGAGAGGAAATTTGTCCCTATACTGAGATAGAGCTTTCGCATGCTCGCCAGTGTGAGTCAGCTGGCGAGACCAGTGCTGTGCTGCCACAGATCGATCTTGACAACAAGAATGGTGTCTCAAAATGCCGAGTCACTGAAGCCTTTCAATGAGAATCTGTCAAATCTTGGAACGAATATTTTCAGTGTTATGACTTCCTTATCGTTGCAAAACAAAAGCATCAACCTGGGTCAGGTGGGCCTGTGCCTCCCTCTTCTTAATGATCAGCTTCAGATCGGTTTTTCCGGTCCGATACGATAATGCCTAACCTCCGCGGGTGTGCTATCAGGGATTTCCTGATGAAGAGGGCCCCGATGAGATGAAGAGACGGGCTGGAGCTGCTGTATTTGAGCACACAAACCAGTACCCACCGATGTTTGGGATTGCTGAGGCGAGACAGGTGATTGCACTCTTTCCTAGGTGTTTTGCATGTATGTGTGGCTTCTGAAAAAAGGAACAAGATCACACATTTCGGGATCCAACCAAAGACGTTCAACAGGCAGTGGCGCGGCATTCAGCAGCACACTCTGGGCTAGCTGTAGACTGGCAAACTGAGACACTCATTACTGTCGGCGCAACAGAAGCTCTGGCAAGCGCTTTCATGGGGATATTGAACAGGGGTGATGAGGTATGGTCAATGGAGCAATCCACCATGGAGTACACGATGTTTGCATAACATGCCCGCAGTTTTCAACAAGTCCAAACCCCGTGTGCACATATATGTTTTATGCACCGCAGGTGATCATCTTTGATCCACAATATGATGCCTACATTCCCCTGTGCATTGCAAATGGGGGAGTGCCTAAGGTGGTAAAGTTAGATCCGTCAGACTGGAGCGTGCCACATGACCAGCTTGCAGCAGCCTTTAATGATAAAACAAAGCTCATCCTGATCAACTCCCCGCACAATCCCACTGGCAAGGTCTTCTCAGTAGAGGACTTGCAATTCATTGCCGACTTGTGCAAACAATGGGGCGCATATGCTGTGCTGGATGAGGTGAGTTGATGAAACATATTTGAGAACTGCTTTGAGGTGCACGTCAATGTCACACAAATGTGCTTGGGATGGATCCCATGGCTTCACTCTTGACGTGAATTCTGTTGGTGTCCAGGTGTATGAGCACCTGGTGTTTGAGGGGAGTCAGCATGTCTCCTTGCGCAGCCTGCCGGGCATGCATGATCGCTGCATCCGGATTGGATCAGCCGGCAAGACCTTCTCCTTGACTGCATGGAAGGTCTGCTGCTGCATCTTACTATATTAAAATTACCTGTCGTATGTACTATTAATGCTTCCCCCTGTAGGGGCATCTCATGTAGCTCAGTGTGTGCAACTTGTCTGTGACAACATGGCATAGCTCGGTCATTGCCTTTGTGTGCCACTCAGGTTGGCTGGGTGACAGGGCCACCAGCTCTGATCTCTGCCGTTGCCAGCGCTCATCAATTTATAACTTTCACGGTGCCATCGGCCATGCAACATGCGGTGGCTTATGGACTAGACAATGAGGCAACCTTTTACAGGTATGCACAGGCCTGATGAGAGTGCTACATTCCTTACCTCATCTCTACCTGCATGAGAGCGCAGGGGTGGTTTTAAGGAACCAGATCTGGGGCTGCCAGGGGGTTGGGCGAATTATTGCACCAGAAGAGGCTTTTCCTGGAGAAACAGCTGACAGACGTGGGATTCAGAGTACTTCCAGCGCAAGGCACATATTTTCTAGTGGCAGATTTCCGGTATCTATCTGATTCTCACCTTCACATACTGCTCGTTGTCAATGTTCTGGTCCTTAAGCACTGTGCCCCTGCAAAACTGCCTTACCTACAAAGTTCTGCTTATGTTCAGGCCACTTGTCCCCGATGATAGCGACGAGAATGATGTGCAATTTTGCCAGCGTTTGACCATTGAAGCTGGCGTCACAGCTATCCCGGTGCGCATCCACTGTTCTTATGCTGTGTGGGCCCTGTGCATCTATGCATCCCTGCTATACCTGCTGTCACGCGCATGAATGAAGGTGGCGGATGTGCAGGTCAGCGCATTTTACGCAAGCAAGGATCCTCCGCGTTCTTTGATTCGCTTCTGCTTCTGCAAAGATGATGAGAAGCTGCGGCAGGCCTGTGCTGCCTTGAAGAAGTATTTCTCCAAGAAGTCCAATCAGACCTAGTTGTCTGTCCTTTTGGACAGCATGCATGTATTTAGTGAGTGCCACTACTCCCCCTGCAGACCATTTTGTCTGTTAACTTTTTTGGATGATGTAGGACTTTGTTGACACTGCAACGTCATTAGAATAGGTTTCCTGTACTGCATTGTACATACGTGCTTCAGGTATGCTGTGTTGTGTTGGTACATTGAAGTCATCAGACAAGGTCCAGTGATGTCAATGCACTGCGCCTGCCAGCTGTTCTTTATTAGTGGGGGGTCTTACACCAACAATGCAGAGCAGATCACCAGTAAAACCTCACTTTAGAAGTAGCCTACCCAGTGTGTGAGTCTTTCACTGGATGATGACACTGCGCACTATTGATTGCAGTGACTACCGTGTTTCAGAACCAGCTTCACTTGGCAAGCTGTCTGGTGTTATCAACAGTAACCCGTAGTAAAGAAGGACTGCGCTGAATTTCAGCCGTGTTACCACAGCGTCTGCTAAGCTGGATTGTAGTTATTGAGTCACAGTTGCTTCGGTGATATGCCACTTCCTCACAGCCAATGCTGTTACTGGCAAGACGTCTCAACGCCCTGCAATCGATTGTTCAGTGACAGACATCAGGAGGGCTGTTTCCCTTGACAAAGTGTAGTCAGGTGATTGACATGTGTGCACAGTCAAGCACTGCCATAGTGTTTGGGAAACACAGGTGGGAGTGTACACATGCTGACAGTCTATCGACTAGCTGGTGTGTTATTTCATATATGGTCTAATTAAATCATGCTAGCATGCTTCGCATGCGCATGCAGTCAGTGATTGGCAGTGGGTGCCACCCACTTACTTGTTTAAGGTGTGAGCATGCTTAATCACTCATGACCGCTCATGCTAGCATCAGCATGATGCAACCTGACCTATGGGCATAGCGGAACGCTCCATATGGTATATCATTGGCTCGCAGACATCCACAAAGTTCAAAGAGTTTGGCATGTGCATGCCAGCCATCAGGGCTGTGCCCGCCATATGATATGCATGCATGCATGCATTCTGTCTTCTTGAAGATACTCCAATGTGACTCAGTCGCTGGCCACAGGATGATCATTTAAATCGAAAGTCGCCAACTTCATCGAGTTCTTCGCTTTGCTTGGCTATTTTTGCTCAAGAAATCTGGTAGGAGGTGTCTGCCCAATGCTGCCCATGCTGGGAAATCGGGCACAGCGGTCAGGGCATGTCCCTGCATGCAAGACAATCCTTGGGCAAATTTACCGTCCCAACCCTCAGGATTACAACTTATGTTGCTGGAATTGTATACGTAGCGCAGAGACAGCGCTACTACTCCCGACGTGACCCATGGTCTCTCGCTGTGCTAACCACCATGGTCTACGGCATTGCTAGAAGTGTGTCGAGCATCAAAGGCAGGAATCCGCTCAAGTATGTGGCGAGATCCGTTAGATTTATCAGCTCCATACATTCACAAGCCTTGTCGAATCCTTCATTCGAGAAGCTAGCAAGCTCGATCACTGCTTCCGATGCCCAGGTAAGCAAACTATTTCATCAGCAAAAAGGTCTTCATCACTGTTCTAATTGACACATTAAGCGAGTTGCAATTTTGCGCAGGCGTTGCTACAACAGGGATACGTTGTCACAGACAATGCCCTCGATGGTGGGACATGTGAAAGGTTTAGACAAGAGATCCATGCTTTGAGGGTATCTCAAAAGCTGCATTTGAACAGCACTCATCTTGTGAAAGCTGGGAAACGCGATCTGCTGCAGAAACAAGGCATCTATGAAGCAGAAATGGCAGACAAGGTAATCCCAGCTACTAGCCTTGACCTATGAATGAAGCAATTGGTTCATGACCAGGATGGTCCATCCACCTGTGCAGGATGCTGAAGTATCAGCTGTCCTTGCAGGCTGTACAGGAAGCAGCACCGACTATTGCAGCACTTCAGAGGGACAGGACGATGCTCACAATGCTGTCGTTGTTCCTTCCGCACTTAAGACTGCACTCACAGCTCATTAAGCTGCAGTACAATGCAGGTACAGGTCCCACTTGTTGCAACTGATCAACAGTCTCACTTGGATTTCCTCTCACATCTCGTTACACTGGGATAACAGCTTCTGCTTTCTATGCCTGCACGTCCTCAATGCATGACTAACCTCATACATCTTCAGGAAGTTCTGGCTGCTTTCCTTTGCACTATGACAGCGACGAGTCAGTCGACGCCAGACGGGTCACAGCCATCCTGTACCTTAATCCTGGCTGGGAACCAGCGCATGGCGGGGAGTTGCAACTATTCCCTTGGCCACGCCCTCCAGTGACAATTCCACCGCTTGATAACCGTCTGGTCATCTTTTCTACATGCAGAATGCTCCACAGGTCAGCTGGAGCTAGACTGCAGATTGCAAAAGAGGAGGATCAGTCCCACGGACAATGCTTCAATTCTGGTAGATACTGGAGCATGTGTGCTGCAGGGTGCTGCCATCCCTTGCTGAGCGATTTTGCCTCACAACTTGGATGTCGATCATGAACCCGGGGCCACCACCGACACCCATCCAGCATCTTGAAGCAGGTGCTTTGAACTACCTTTCATGTCCTCCCTCCCTGTAAGTGCGCCCTACTGTTCAGCTGTAGAGCTCTTGTACGGTAGCATTGAATTTAGGGGTTCCTTGCTGCCGTCTCAGTGTCTGCAAACATGCCGGTGATTTATGTGTGGCAAACAGGCTCTTCTGATAGAAGCCTTGAAAATCTGGCTGCTCAGCCAGAGGTTCGGAGAGCACTGGCAAAAGTACATCTGAAAGATTCATGGGCCCAGTCATTGATAGAAAGCCATGCAGACAGCGAGGCAAGAACTTCGATGCTTGCCACCTTCTGGAGAGAGGTAGAGCTCTTGCAGCAAAAAATCAAAATATTGGGATTGGATGGGATTGAAGTCTCAAAACTGAAGCACGCCCCTGTCCAATGGTTTTGATGCTCGCCAAGACTTTGTGTGGCATTTTGCAAATTCGTTCGAGTAGGTGCAGATGCAGATCTCATAATCTGTTGGCAACTAACTCGAGTATGCAACCCATGTAAACGTTTTCAAGATGTCACTGAAAGTAATCACTCCTTGACCAAGTAAATTGCAGTACCATATTTACAGTTTTTTTACCTTTCATGGTCAACATCTGTTTCAAGCAACTCAGTGGACGCCGACACTCCAACTTTCAAGGCACAAAAACAAGTGCCTGCAATCACTTCTACTTTGTTTTGGACAGTCACTGGCTGTCGCTGTCAGTGCCATACCCCACCAGTCCTCCCAGCCCTCCACCGCTGTCTTCTGCAGGCTCCTCGGCTGCACCTCCATTTTCCTGCCTCTTTGCCTCAGGCTGCACTGCACCATTGTCTGCTCCATTCTCTGCTTTCCTCTTAACTCTGACGATGACCTGCATCGGTCTCGGCCTTGTTGGGGCTGCCGGCTGTCGCCCCTTTGCAGGTGCTTGCTGCTGCGTGGCCAGCCCACTCGCTGCCGCTCCTGCACCAGCAATGCAAAATATTTTCCCAGGGAAGGGTACTCATTGCAGTTTCTTTAAGCTGTCTTACGAGTAAGTAAAACCGCATTCACTGCAATAATCTGAAGTTGCACCTGCATCCTCCCGGTCAGCAAGTGCCGGGGCATTAGCCGCGGCTGGTTGGCTTGAAGACGCCGGCGCGGGCCCCTCGTCCAACCGCCGCACAAAGCGCTGCTGCTGCATCAACATTGCGCGCACCTGCACAGCAACATTTGCGGTGCTCAGCTCACGCCGTCCTCCCACCCTCTAGGCGCCAGTAAACACAACCAATGCCAGGAAACGATCATTTGTTCTTGGCTCCAGCCTACCCCGTCCAGGCTGTGCTGCACCCATGGACTGCTCCTTGTGCACAAAGGACAAGACCCCACAAGGAGTGCAGGTTAAAAAGAAAACGATTTCAACAACTGGACGCACCGCCGCCTCGTCTGCTTCTTCGAGGATGACTTCCTCCTCGTCACCGCTGCGCTTGAGGGCGGAAAGCAGCGCTTCGCTGTTGACGCGCTCCTGCCGCGCCTTGAGCGATTTCATCTCGTCCAGCGCATTCATGATGTCCATCTCGCGCTTGCTGTCCAGCGTCCTGTTCTCCAGCGCCTGCACCACTCGCAGCAGCCAGCCACCATTCAATGTTCTGTGCCATCCCCGTCTTTCACGCGATCCTTGCAGGTGGCAGCATGTAGACCTGTGGCGAGACCTAATGCTGCCGAGCTGCCTGATGCCCTTGTGCAAAGAAACACTCTGCCCCTGAGCAGCTCTTGGAACTGGCTGATGCCCTTGTGCCAAGAGACACTGCGCCCCTGAGCAGCTCTCGGAACTGCCTGATGCCCTTGTGCAAAGTGACACTGTGCCCCTGAGCAGCTCTTTGAGAGATACTCTAAGGCATTTACAGTCAAAACCCTGGTGCACATATACCACATAGTCCTTTCACATGTCAAGAGTCACATAGCCAGCCAGAAAAGAAGGCAGGGTGCCGTGAGGCACACCTTCATGGCATTCCCTCTCTCCTCCTCCTCGCGTGCAGCAACAGCCTCCGCAACATCTCGATCCTTCTCTCGCCAGGGCTCGTAGTTGCGTGATGCGCCCTGCTCCATGGAATAGTCTGCATGCTCTGGGTCGGTCTTCATGGTGATCTCCGCTGCGCAGGCTGAGCACCGAAAGTAGAACCTGCAGCATGTCATCCCATCCCTTCAGCATGCAAGGTTGTGCTTCAAGACTTCTTTGGCTCCACTCTTATACAGTTTACAGATGTATCTAATCCTTAAAGACAGCTCCTATTGACTTCAGGTGAAGGCAGCTCACCTGAAGACCTGAATGCCCAGGTAGTTCTCGCCCTCCACGTCCTCTTTGCGCGTGTTGAACTTGGTGCCTTTGTACATGTAGGTGCCGCATGTTCCGCATCGTATGCTCATGGGAAGCATCATGCGCACTTTCATGACATTGTGATCCGGCCGTTTGCCTCTAGGCAACCTGCACAAAGCAGCGCCATGGATTGTGAGATTTGCAATCCTCTGCTCAGAATGGCAAGGCATAGCAGCAGGAAGTATTTTCTCCTGGAGCAGGGCAGCAGAAGGAGAGGTATTCGATCACTCACTTGGCCGGATCAAAGTCCGGAGGGAAGTACTTGTTGAGGACCTTTCGTTCTCCCTGTGGCACACACAAGACTCGGCAGGTGAGAGCCCAACCACGATGTAGAGCAATATCTTACACGTTAAAATGAAATTGACTTATTTAACCTACAGGTTACATCACAATATCTTACATGTATGGCATATAAACATCTAGGAAGGCCCTTTGTGCTCACCATGTTGTCAAGTGCTCAAAGATCTCCTATTCACTGAGCAGAAAGCACTCGGTCCTTCTTCTGAATTCCTGTACTTACTGGACGGGACTACAGAGATGTTTTCTTTCTACGTTCACCCCACACGAAGACGAGGAAAGTGTGTGTGAAGTCCTTACGATCACTCAGCTGAGATTCTTCAGTTTGCTCTCAAAATGTTATGCTCTGATGCTCTGTAGAAATAGCGAAACAAAATTACTTGTTATGCCTAAATGCTGCTGGTCTCCTTCAGTGGTGGGTGAGCTTTCATGTGCCTTTGCAGACCGGCGTCCCTTGAAGCAGCTTCCAACTGTTGCCCGCTAGGGCAGCGAGGTGGGCACCTGGGCAGCTTCCGGCAGCGTCCGCGGCTGTCCAGCATCGGATTTTACGAGTACTCTCGTTGTCATCACAGCGCCAAGAATCTCCTCGAACTCGACATCAAAGAACGCACAGTATCAAAGTAGAAGGTTAGAAGTGGCGGAAGAAATTTGTTGTACAGGTTCAGCACTGCAGTCCCAAGAAAGGTGACCCGCCTGGAGCCTGCAAAACGTTCAGACTGTCATTACTGAACACAAAATACATTCGTCATGCGACCTCATTTCCTAATTATATGGGGTTGTTGCACCCACAAGGACCGACGAATTTTGGGCTTGCGCAGACTCTGGTCGCAGGACGGAAGTTCCAAGGCACGTCGAACAAATCCTATCCGGTGAAATAGGACAAATGACTCTTTCTAGATACAATTTGTCGCGCTTTCATATCAAATGAGCCATTGCGGTTCTTCTTCTCGGTGGAGGCATATGAGCATCTCGAGGCCGGCTACGACGCGCAAACACAATCCAAGGAATGCAGTGAGCAATCAGAAGTTATCAATTATATTACTTATCTTCTTACTTATCTTCTATCGCAGGCAGTATGGACTCCAAGATTATCCTTATAGCGGCATGTCTTGCACTGGAGAGCACAGCACTGCTGTTCATGCTGGCAGGGGTTGGAGCTCTGCAGAATATATGTGATAATGCAGATCAGGAGGCAGACATGTCGTGTGACTCGGCTTACCGCTACCAGTGGTGGCTGGTAGTCTTCAATGCTGCTGCACAGATTGGTGAGTGTCTGAGGCGCTCACTGCGCAATACTCACCACTGTGACAAACGTCACAGAAGAAAAAGTAGACGCTTTTCCAACAACACAGCGCCTTTCTGAGGCTTGCTGATGATGCGCAGGTGTGGTCCTGTCAATTATCACCGATACTTTGGAGAAACACAGAATTGGTATCTGCTCGGTCCTGGCAGTGCTGACCGTGATGCTAATGGTAAGTGGACTTGATCAACGTGAACATCCTTTTACACAGGAAAGTGCCTGTTGTGGCGTAGCTCAAGAAGATCACCGCTTGCTGAATGGTGTTGCAATGGCTGTTTCTTCTTATGCAGGACAATGCCAACGAGTTCGTGACGGTGCATGACAAGGCATCAGGAGCGCTGGCTGATCGTGCAACAGTCTTCATTGCCGGTTGTGTGTTGGCAGCCATGATGCACATCATCCTCATCTTTGCCTTTGGACGCACCAATGCACCGGCAGCAACGCAAGGGCCCCCTACTAATGGCACCTACAAGACTTATGAGAATCAGATGGCGGAGCGCCCTGTGCAGGAGCAGCATTTGGCCTCCCCTCCACCATCGAGCTATCCGCCAGTGTAGATACAATTAATCCTATACGTGGATCGATAACTGCACTGACATGACTGCAAATATTTAACATATTATATGTTTTGAGTACCTGGAAAATTTACTTCAGAAAGCGTGGTTGGAAATTTGTTGTATCTGTATCCAACTTAAGTCTCTCAATCAGTGTTCCAAGAGCCTAGAACCCAGAGTCTACAGTCTTGCTTGGAAAGTTTTGGGAAGCCTTCAAGATGGTTTTTAATAGCTAGGATGCTTCAGAATAGGCATCCGAGACAGCAAACTCCCGGAGTCCTCTGCATGCTTCAGTTGCATGCTTCACTTGCATGGCTGAAATGAATACCCTTGGCAGGAACGCTTGCTTCCAACAAAGAGTGCGGTTCATGGTATTCTGCACGTGTTGCATATCAACGTCTGTGCTAATTTTAAGGGGTACTACGCAACAGAACCTGACACATTCTAAATCTGGTCAAACGCCAGCAACACACTTGACCTGAACATGAGTGATAGACTGGAATCTGAAACCATTAACTGAACTCTATGCTTGTGCAACATTGCAACGATAATTGAGCCTAGTTACTCCTGACAACACCATGACAGACACCTGAGCACCCATCCATTCACAAGCAGTAAGCGCAAGACGACAATGCAGCTCAAAGTTGAAGCCGTTCATGGTTAATCAAGTGAAGAAGTGACAGCTGCGCCTTTTCACGCAAGAGGACCCGACAATGCAGTGAGCTGCTTGTACACCGGATCCAAGCTGGCAGGCGGATCAACCCTGCCGCTCAGGATGTCGTCGGGGGATACAAGGCCACCATAAGCCTTTGCATTTGCGGCTTTTGCATGAGTTATCGTGCCACCTGAATGAAACGAAGCCATCAGTCCCCAGCATCTCAATGTTTCCAGTAGCATCTCTGCTTGGCATCCTGGAACTGCCAATCTTGCAGCCAAATTCTATGTGAAGCATCAGGTGATTACCATTGATGGAGTAGTCTAGCAGCTTCCCACTCTTTGCCACGTAGACAGCAGGTTGCATGTCTGCACATCCCATGGCGCTGAGGGTGCACACTGGGCTGCCACTGCGGTAGGAGGTGATTCTGAAGTCCCCCTTCTTGTACTTGTCTACATCCTCGTCTCTGTACAGGATAGCGATAGTGTCCACCATCTCACCTGGGCAACACCCAATACACTTTCATTGAGACAAGTTGGTTAGGGCATATCTCCGTGCTTGAAATGCCTCTGGCAAAGACAAGCCATCAGTACTCATGCGCCATCAAAGCCATGAGGCATGAGGCCAGAGGGATCACCGCCAAGGCTGAGGCCCACGCCAAGTGATGAAAGACTGAGGAATGAAGGGGCGCTCCACTGCCGATTCACAGCTGCAACTATGAAGCCCTGGCCGCGGAAGGCAGTCACGCCTGCAGCTGCATATGCTGCTTGCAGGAAAACAACTCCCTTGGCCCCTTGGAAGGCATCCCTCGGTACCACATTCTCCGACAGCACATGCCTGTTGACCAGATCACAGCATTAAGATCTCTACTCAAACCCACAAGAACGAGGTTGACAAGCAAGGGAAAGATCCGCACTTTAGGATAGTTGCACCGATGAGGGTTGTGTCATCGACGACATCCTTCTGTAACCTCGATATAGCTTCACGCTGTTCTTTGATATCCTGTTTCGTCAACTCCTCCTGGATGTGCAGATGCTGATTGACCAGGGCTTCCTGTTCGTCTGCACTTCGATTGAGCTCATCGTTGATCCTGGACTCCTGGGCCCTCAATTTCACCTTGGTACTTGCCATTTAAAATTGAAATGTTGGACAGACCGACAATGCAAGCCAGGTTGCCATCCGATCGCGCAGCTGCCAGGAAGGCGGAAGCTTGCTTTGGGGTTCCTCCCTGTACTTGAGGGTCGATGACCGTTGGTGCCAGCAGCTTCCAGAAGTCGAGAGCTCCGGAGCAGTGTCGAGAGCGATTTGAAGCATTGGAACAGGCATTCGCAATATTTCCTGTGCGTTGTGTTGGTAGGATTGTGATAAAGGTCATCGTGAAGATTGAACTTTGGGGTTGTCGCGCTCCCATTCGAGGACGTGATCTGCGTCATCCTCCTGGGAGAGGACCAGGTACAAATGAGTGCAAGTGGGGATCTGAGCTTCACAATTATCATTAATTAAATCATGATCAAGTTCTGTAAATAAGGATGCAAATTTGCTCTTCCAATGATTTGATTTCTTGCTTTGTCACGCTGAGAGTGCCTTTCCTTGTGGCTTCAAGACCCATAGGCCGCTCAATGCTAGGCACTCCGACGAAAAATAAACTGCTTGCCGCTTGATGCCCAAAAGGAAACGTGAGTTCATCCCCAATCCCAGTCCCTGCAAGTGAAAAGCTGTCCATGCTGATTCATGCGTGAAACTCTCTTGTCTGCTACAGGTGAAAGCGAACAGATGGGGAAGGATTATTATGCAATTCTTGGAGTACCACGAGAAGCAGATGAGGATACCCTTAAAAAGGTGCGTTGGCTCTCTTGAATCATCTGTAGGGCATCAGCTTCACAGAACACTTACTGAAACTATGCTCACCTTGCTCATGCAGGCATACCGGAAGCTAGCCGTGAAATGGCATCCCGACAAGAACAGAGGTAGGAGAAGGATGCAGCGCTGAAAGCATTGGTAAACAGCAATGCTGATTTCGCACCAATTAGCGCCTGTCTGGACTATTTCATGATGGCGGTGCTTATACTGTGTTGCAGACAATATTGAGGAGGCCACTGCCAAGTTCAAGGTCTGTCACTCAGTGATGTTGATTGCACCCAACACGTTGGTGTTTTGGACGCTTCAGGACCTAGCAAGCGAGGCTTTGTCTACAACACAATGGCGTTGTGCAGGAAGTGGGGGAGGCTTATGATGTCTTGTCAGACAAGCAGAAGAGGGAGATATATGACAGATATGGTGAGGAGGGTCTGAAGATGGGGGGCCCCCCTCCAAGCGCAGATGGAGCCGGAGCAGGAGGTTTCCCAGGTTTGTTTATTTTGACCCTATGGATGTTGAATGTACTGTTGTACTTGCCGGACAAACATCACGATTCTGATCGATGATGCAGACATTTCCAGGGGTTGTTGCAGACTACATCTCCAGGGGATTGTCTTAAGTACCCATTGACAACCTCCTGTGATGGGTGGCTGAATCGATAGGTGTGCACAGGTTTCGGGGCTGGAGGCGGCGGCGGCGGCGGCGGCCGCGGCGGCGGGTACTCATTCAACGAGGATCAGGCGCAGAAGATCTTTGAGAACCTGTTTGGAGGGGGCTTGGGGGGCTTTGGGTCATCGGGCATGGGCGGCGGTGGCATGGGTGGTGGCCCAAGGGTCCGTGTCTTCTCCTCTGGCGCCGGTGGCCCAGGAGGCGGCGGCGGCGGAGGCGGCGGCGGCGGCGGCGGCTTTGGTAAGAGGCATTATCCTTGCAGGCGCTTATTGGCAAGCACCTGGTTTCGAACCATCCCTATTGGGGGTGGCTGCTTGATTCCGTCTGAGAGAACCTCTGAACTAAACCTACATTGTGTGCAAAGTCTTTGTGAGCAGCGGCCTGGAAGTGGCCGAGGCTTCAAACCTCTGCATCCAACCTGTTTTGGCTGATCTGCTTGCTTGTGAGGAGTTGCTTTTCCCCGTGTTGCATTGGCCACCAGAGGCCCATGCAATGCTATTGCCCAGTTCTTTTTTGTCCCCAGGGGTGTTCCTGAAGGCCCAGGATTCCGGTGTCAAACTGATCTGTGCACGATGTGAAGATGCGAGGTAGAATTTATGCACTCAGATGTTTTCTTTCTGCGTTCTTGGATGCCATCATGCATTGTCAAGTGCTTTGTGCAGGCAATCTCTTTGGTGGTGGCTTTGGCGACGCTGATGAGGAGGAGAGCCCTTTCTTTGGAGGCGGAGGCGGCAGGTTTGGCGGGTGCGTTGCTGCAGTCTTATACCCTAACATCTGTGATATCTGCCCCATTTCAGCTCCGATGTGTCTCAATGCTCCGTTAAGAGCATTTGAATGCGTGAGGAGGCAGTAAGATTGCATTGTGTGTACGTGCAGGTATGGGGGACAGCAGCAGCAGCGGCCTCGCACGATTGAGGTGCCACTGAAGCTGACCCTAAAGGAGCTTCACACCGGCACCACAAAGAAACTCAAGATTACTCGCAGAGTCTTCAACAAGGAGACCAACAAGCTTGAGACCAAGGAGGTGCGCACAGCTTGCATGCCATGGTTGGGAGAGAAGTGTCAATCGAACTTCCAAATGCGAAGAAGAACACATCCATGCTTGGCCGTCCACAACATTTTTGGGATGCCAGGGAAGCGCAAAGGAATGCCTGGTGGGTACCATGTTGTTCTTTTGATCGCAGGAAATCATCACCATCAATGTGCAGCCAGGCTGGAAAGATGGCACGCGCATCACATTTGCTGGGAAGGGCGATGAGCTCCCCGGCCAACCACCGCAGGTGAGTCATGACCAGGCAGCTTTAGAAAGCTCCCTGCAACTGACCTTGAGCGTGCACCCATTGCCACTAGCAAAAATGCTAATTTAGAATTCCCTGCATCTGCTCAGGAGAGCGTGAAAGCGGCTTTGTGCTGGTCGTGCAGGATCTGGTCTTTGTGGTGCGGCAAGTACCGGATGACCGCTTCAAGCGCGAGGGAGATGACCTCATCACGCAGGTGCGCATCAGGCTGCCAGATGCGCTGTCGGAGGGCAAGATCGACATCCCTCACCTCGATGACCGCATCCTGCGCGTGCCGCTCAAAGAGGTGTGTTGGGGGGGTTTTCCCTGCTGGTGGCTATTTGTAAATTTCCGGCTGCATGCAACGAGGCAAGAATGCTTTAGGAAATGCCGCAAACAATAGCTGCAGGTTGTCGCTCGGGTAACACAGTCAGAGGCTACGTTTCTGTCAAAAAACTTGACCCTGCTGGCTTTGCCTGGGTGCAGGTTGTGGCGCCTGGGTATGTGAGGGTCGTGAAGAACGAGGGCATGCCCAAGTCAAAGGCGCCAGGCCAGAAGGGTGACCTCAAGATCGTCTTTGATGTGGCGGTGAGGATTCTGAACCTGCAAAGTCATGCTGTCCCAAACTGCTGCTGACCCTCATGGTGCGCGTCTGCATGTATCTCTGCATTGATTTGAGCTGACACCCACCTCTGCGTGTCTGCAGTTCCCAAAGAAGCAGCTGAATGCCACAGAGAAGGACGTCCTTGAGGACCTGCTGAGGGATAAGTGGTGATTCAGAGGAGAGGGTTTTCAATGGATGCAACCGAGCTGAGGAATGTTTGGTGGGCGCCTGCATTTGCCGGCATTTGAGGCTCATGCACATTTTAAATATTGTCAGATAGGGCATGAACTTGTAGCTGTAGACTTGTTGTTATGGTTACATATATCTGCCAAGGAGGGTTGTTGTGCTTGTAGTATGCAGATGCAAAGTCAGTCCTGTATTGTGAGGAACTTCTGACACTGTTGTTGTTATTGTAAAAAGGTTAGTGTGAACTGTCGTGTGTTTCTGTCTTGTTGCTGTGCAGCTTGCTCGAATCCAGGGTCTGTGCATGTGTTTTGGTTGAGGAGACTAAGGTCAGCTTGGTAGCATGTACCAGTGCATGGACACTGGTACACCACTATCTCATATGATGATCAGGTTCTATATTTGCAGCAGCAGCAACAAAGTCTCAAGGTCCACTCAGCTGGCAAGTCAGCGTATGGCACATAGCTGCCAACAGTTGACATGCGCATCAGCCGTGTAAATGGCACACTGGCCAGCTCTGCTGAGCTCTTACGTGCATGCATAGAATCATCATCACGATTATCATGATGATGTTGGCGGCCATATGATGCGTATCCTGCATGCACAGCTTGACTTGCATGTGCCAACACACAAGCAAGCAGTTCCTTCCCCAATTTGGTATGCATGTCAGGAGTACCTCAGAAGAATTTCTTCTTTTCTACTAAAAATCGAGTATCAATTCGAGGGATCCAGGAAGCTTGCAGCGCATTGTGCAGCCAGCTTCCCTCACCTTCCCTTCTGGATTGCATCCCGCACGTGACCCGGGCATCTCTTTCCGAAAACAATGAAACGTTTCCGCTTGATTTACACAATTCAGCAGCCATGGCTCATGTATTAAGGTTCAGTACGTCTGGTCGCTGTCATTCCACCGATGAAATATTAGATCAGAAATTTTTGCTGCCATTACGAACATCGAGCGGCTGCTCGAGGCCCGTACACCAGCAGAGGGCATCACGGCTTCAAAAAGGAGTCCGATCGAGCCCTTATCTTTGTAGAAGACTTTCTGTGCCGAGATCTGCAGTCGCTTCAGGTGATTTGGAGCAAGCCATGTGCAAAGCTCCCCAGCTGTCGCTGTTTTTTCTGCGATGAACCTGCATATTTGTTGTGGCTCAATCTCAGTACAAGATTTTATGGTTGCGTGCAGAAATAGAGACAATGGAGCAGCTGGTCTTGCAGCCAATTACAAAGATAGAAGGCCACGTGAAACTTCCTGGGTCGAAGTCCCTCTCGAACCGCATCCTGCTTTTAGCTGCCCTGTCCAAAGGCACCACGGTCGTCAAGAACCTCTTGGTAAGTACGTCCACATTCAGATCTTGACAGAATGCCTCATTTCCGACCAAACAGATCTCTCTAGGGGTGAAGTGGCCGCTCTCATCCCTCGCACTCACTTGCTCTCACAGGACAGTGAGGACATCCGATACATGGTCAGTGCTCTCAAGACTCTGGGCATCCAGCTGGAAGAGAGATGGGAGCAATCAGAGATGGTGGTGCATGGGTGCAACGGGCGGTTCCCAGTGGAGGGGGCTGAGCTCTTCCTAGGCAACGCTGGCACTGCCATGCGGTGAGGACTGGGCACACTTCTTCTTGCCAATAGGCCTTGCGCTACGACCTGTGCAGAGAAGCTGCCATTTTAACTGCACAGAATATCTGCTGGCGTTAAGCAAATCGATGGCAACCCTCCACCCGTACCTATGCTCCTGCACAGGCCCTTGACGGCTGCAGTGGCGGCAGCGGGCCAAGGGACTTTTGTGCTGGATGGCGTTGCGCGCATGCGCGAGCGGCCCATCCAGGATCTGGTGGACGGCCTGAGCCAGCTGGGTGTGCAGGCAGAGTGCAGCTTGGGCACCGGCTGCCCACCCGTCACTGTGCAGGCTGATGGACTTCCCTCTGGCACGGTGCGCGATCATCGTCATGGTCATTACTTCTGCTCCTGAAGTTCTGTTTTGTAGTATGTCATGGATATCACTCCTTTGCAGGCTTACACATTGCAGATCTGTGGATGAGCTGCAGGAACAACTCTTGCAGATCTTCGGAGATTAGATTCAAGACAGAGGGGCAGGGGTATGATAGATGGCGCTGTGGTGGGCAGGTTGAGCTGAGTGGAGCTGTGAGCAGCCAGTACCTGACGGCACTGCTGATGGCGGCTCCGCTGGCGAAAGGCAGCGAGGGCATCACCATCAAGATCCGGGACGAGCTGGTGTCGCAGCCCTACGTGGACATGACTGTCCGCCTCATGGAGCGCTTCGGTGTCAAGGTCTGCCATGCGCCCTCACCAAGACTTAATAACTGCCGTTGTAAACTTGGACCAGGGCATGCTGAGAGGCAATGCATGGTCAGAATGTAATAGAAAATAGTAATGAAGGCCATTCCTCTGGTATATAAACAGGTGGAGCGTCTGGACGGTTTGCAGCACATGCACATCCCTCCTGGCCAGACCTATGTGTCGCCAGGCGAGTCATTTGTTGAGGGCGACGCCTCATCAGCTTCCTACTTCCTTGCAGGTATAACCTTGCACGATCAGGATCCCTGCTTAGATATCTCCGGTTTTATCTCTCACTGCGCATCCATCAGTGTGCAGCCTGCCTGAAGATGAGAGGTGGGTTGCTGGGGCGCAGGAGCCACCATCACGGGCGGCACAATGACAGTGGAGGGCTGCGGCTCTGACAGCCTGCAGGGCGACGTGCGTTTTGCTGAGGTAATGGGCCTCATGGGCGCTGATGTCAGATGGAGCCCCTACTCCATCACCATCACAGGTGACAGACCAGGCAACAAATACACTCGTCCATTACCTCGCTGCCAATATCACAGTCCCCACCTCGCATGGTGCATCTATACATCTTGAATTACAAAAGAATACTGCGCCTGTGGTGCATTAGACTTCTCAAGCCTTTTTAAGTCTTATTTTGCGGTGGTTGACATTACAGTAGTTCACAGTCATTGAGGTGTTGTTTGCTGGTATGCAGGTCCTGCGCGCGGCAGCCTGAAGGGCATTGACCACGACTGCAATGACATCCCAGACGCCGCCATGACCCTGGCAGTGGCTGCCATCTTCGCAGAGGGTCAGACGCGCATCAGAAATGTCTACAACTGGCGCGTTAAGGTATCCTACAGATTCTGGCAGACACTGCGTTGTATGTTTCAGACATCACATGCAGCCTGTGTTTCAATTGCCCCGCCACCACGATCATATGGTGATGGAGCAGTCTTTGCACACCTGGCCTGTCCTGCCTTTGCTGTTCTCATGTTTGCGTGCTGCAAGTGGTGCTGCAAAGGGTAGGACAGCTGGTCACCGACACCTGCAGCTGGCCTGCAGATGCACCTGCCTCCTGGCAGGAACATCGCGCTGTAATTGTTGTAATAGTAAGTGGGGCTGCAGCATCCTCATCTGTGCTGACATGAGCCGTGGCACGAGCGCAGGAGACCGAGCGGATGAAGGCAATTGTGGCGGAGCTGGGGAAGCTGGGTGCTGATGTGGAAGAGGGGCGCGATTATTGTGTGATCACCCCTCCAGCGCAGCTTAAGCCGGCGGCTATCGACACCTATGATGACCACCGGATGGCCATGGCCTTCTCGCTGGCTGCATGCGGGGATGTGCCAGTCACCATCAATGACCCTGGCTGCACGCGCAAGACCTTCCCCACCTACTTCTCAGTCCTGGAGAGTGTTGTCAGCCGGGCATGAAGATGGTGGCAGCCTGCAGGATAGGACTCTGATGGTTGTTTGAACGTTCAATGTTTCATAGTACAAACCTTTGAGCATGCTGAGGACCTGTTGCTTGGTGTTTCTGTAAGAATGCATCCCTAGAAAACGATAAAGACTGAGATCTGAGCAAGGCTGAGATCTGCAATCGGGCATGCCGACTGGGCATTTGCGCAAACTAGCGACAGCAAAGTCATTGTAATCATGCTTTCTAGAGTGAAGTTCATAAATAGAGTCTATGGAATGTAGCTACAGATTGCCACAGCTCTTCGTCCAGCTTGTGGCAACCACGATTTTTTTGATTTCAAATAGCAAAATAAGTCTGATTAGGGCTCTGCCACATGCACTCCGTTCTATACAAGGGTCTTTCACCCTTCTGCTGATCAAGTCAAGTCTCATGGAATTGCAATTGCTGAAGCTTCAATGTACCATGTCAGTGCTGACTCAAGCTATGCTATCAATACTTCTACACCCAATAGAACGACCAAAACTCATTTTGTACACTTGCAAATTGACATTGATAGTATTTCAACCGTACAGTACACTGTTGCCATTGTGTACAACCAAACAGGAAGATTCATCAGAATCCTCATTCCAGCAAACCTCTGAGGAACAAAGCTCACAAACCGTCTGCCCCAAAGTTTCAAATTCGAATGGACATCCCAACGTCTACAACAGACAGAATAAAATGGACATGTGATGACATTCATCCTCTGTGGAGCTTCCCGGCAACCTCCAAGACATGTGAGCTAGACCTGCTGAGCAGATATACATATGGCGGCACCTCTAATTTGATCCTAGAGCCTCCGGCTGGTGTTATTGGGCCGTCGCCTCTGCCTGTTGACTTCCGGAAAAATCGCACTCAGAAATGACACAAGAAGTGCCGCAGCTGCCAGCACTACCATGGACCAGGTGTAGCCGCCGCCCCTGTCCTTAATTGCTCCTGCATTGCATCAGATCAATATTCAGCGCTACTGAACGATATGAGCGGGGAGACAACGATGTGGCATTGTTTTTAGCAGGAGCTCTTCATCCAGTAGATGAGGGCTGAATTGACACACCAATAATATATGGTCCCATGAACCCTCCCACACTCCCCACCGAATTGATGAAAGCCACACCAGTTGCTGCCCCAGCATCTTTCAGAAAAGTGGCAGGCCAAGACGCCATGACCTGCAGACTCCACACAACCAAAATAGTTAGAAAAGTGCACATAGCATCAACACTGCTGCGCCGACCAAAATCAACATGGGCATACTTCACCGAGCCAGCCCTGACAAGGGAGTCACCGCATCTGGTGCCCAAACAACCGCTGCCACAAGCAGGGCTCCAAAAGCTGGCTTCGGGTGATGCTGAATGAGTGCGGCCAGCACGCCAAGCGCCACAGCTGCCACCAACAGAGGGACTGCCACATGCCATCGCCTCTCTCCTGTTGAGCAGTAGCAATGGATTTAAATACCTACTGCAAACTCTGCCCAGTGCTATTATCAGCATGCGGTAATGCATCCTGCAACTGTGCCATCTGTGCCGCGCATTCTTTGGCCTTAAGAATCTGCAAAAGGGGGACAGGCATAGAATTACCTGTCAGCTTGGAATGATGCGCATTCGCCAAGATTGCAATGGCGGAAATCACGAACGGTAAGGCTGAAAAGAGGGCTACAATAGATTTCTTCGCCTTCCCTCCTGAAAATGGCAGGCAAAGAATTGAAGCAGAGCGCACTCTGTTGCTTGGGATCTGACAGGTAACAGAACAGTATCTCAAAATTCATCAGTTGTCACTTTGCTCCTGGAAATGTTTTGAAAGCCCTTACCAAGGATAGAATCGATGATCAGGGGACACCAGAAGATTATTCCATCTGCATAAAGCACAAAGAACAACTATCAGCACACACACTATCAGCACAATAGGCTCAGGGGCAACAAAGGGCGGAAGATTAGCCATACAAACACACATATTTAAAGACAACCTCAAGAAAACCATGATCCTCTCACATTTTGGGATGTTTGCAACCATTGAAATTGCTGCCAGGTGCCATGTGCGGTAGTTCTTCAAGGAGTCCCAGCCATGCGTGGCTGCTCCACTCCCCACAGCCTTTGCCTTTAGATCTGCATTCCGCTGGTGAAGCCAGACACGCTCCTCCTCCTTCAAGAAATTTGCCTGAAGTTGCGGCACAATACATGTCACATGCATGATCTGACACGGCAAAAACTGGGTCAGTTTCAGATTGTCAGTGAATTGCTGCGGGATATATAATCAGGCAGGTGATGAGGAGTACGTCAATTGCTCACGTTGATCGGGAGGTCTGCCAGGGTGAAGGCCACGTAAATCCCCATGACCACAGTCAGCGCTCCTTCTATCAGGAAAAGCCACTGCCAGCCCTTCAAGTTCCCAAGTCCGTCCATAGCAAGAAAACCTGCACCGCCCCACCACAATTATGAGCCGCCTACAAGCTCCCTTTTGATGCATGCGTGCACGACAATCTTGTGATCTGTAACTGCTCACGACAGGAAGAGCAGATAACATACAGTCACCTGCGGCAATGGGGCCGCCAATGACCTGCGAAAGGGCAATGCCCACTAACACCCAGGACCAAGAAGCGGTCAGTTCATTCTCTGCACAGCACAAATTGAATCAATGCCCAGTCTCCTTTTGCATATACAATCTTAAAATCCATGTAAAAGAGCTTGCTATGAGGTGTGGTCCTCTGTGTAAGTGACCTTACCTGAGTAGAAGAGGGACAAATGATACCACATTCCTGGCAAAGTGCCAGACTCTGCTGCTCCAAGAAAGAACCGAAGGACGTAGAATTGGGGCACAGACTGCAAGAGAGCCAAAGTCACCATCAGAGGGCCATACCATCTGATACCTTGCTTTCCGGGAAGGGGCATGCCTGGTGAATTTTTCACCTTCAGGGTCGCAAACAGAGCGGCCACAATCCCCCAGATTATCACGAGGAATGCGAGCCATTTGCGTGCGCCAAATCGCATCAAGGCCAAGTTACTGGGTATCTGCATGAGCATTCAAACGAGTCAGTTTCATGATCCAGCCATATATTACAAAGAATCTTCGGCTTTTCCTGAGAACTCCCGGGGTCACCAAAAAGTGCACGTCATAGCCACACATCATAGCCAAAGTGGACAATCAAACGAAAGACAATCAAAGTTTGCATGCCTGGAACAACGTGTAGCCCAAGAAAAAAATACCACTTCCAATGCCATACTCTGTTCCAGTCAAGTTGAGACTGGCATTCAGCTGAAGGGCTGCAAAAGCCAAGTTTGTCCTGGCACAGAGAATGGCACAAGATGTGAGATATTTAATTATGTACATCATTGAATCTCTCTGCACAGTTTTTCACCCCTAAAGGATACCAGGGCAATACAGCTCGGAAAAACAGAGAGTGAAGACATACCGATCCAGATAGCAAAGAACCGTGAGTAGGAAGAACTTCCAGAGAAGAAAGGTGTCCAATTTTCTCATCACATCCTGGGCTTTGATGGGTGTTTTAGCGTCTGCTAATAGATCATCCTCACTGTCTGTTGCTCGATCGGAGTGTTTCATATCTGCTGTTGTTGTCTCAATACAATTTGCCTCAGGGGCGGGATCCCCAACCCCACTTGAGCTTTGTATCATGAACGCGACAACTCGGCATCTAAATTGCAAGTATCTGGGTTACATTGCAAAAAACAGTACGTGATGCATGAATATTTCTTCCCTATTTTCACGCTTTTTCCAATGGTTCAAGTGATGGAAAACGCAGCTTCTTCCAAACTGACACCAGATCTGTCAATGCACTACGTAGAATTTGGAATATTCTTCAATTGCCATTGCAACGAAGCCTCCGAAAGGTTTCGGAGACAGATTTGCTTTCGTGACCCCTCTAGAGATGAGATAAGGGTCAAGCCCTAGGGCTTGCTTGTACAAATTGTCGATCAAAGATGTGAAGCAAACTATTCGTTGCATCCGCGATTTGTTAGTTATAAATCGTTGCGAAAATCCAGCTGGTGGCGAATTGTATCAGTGCATGATGCGTTTACTCGCAACCAGTGGAGAGACCTTCACGTTGCAGTCTAGCTCACAGTGTTGTTTGTCTTGCCCTATACAAAATCCTAGGCGACAAAGATTAACGGTAATGATTCCATGTCTATGTTACGGCGAGGAACGCTATGATTTTGTTTTTCGCTTGGATAAGTTTGGTTCTTGCAGCCTTCTGAACTCTCTTTTCCCTCTCGCCCAGGCCTCTCTATCTCTGCAGAAGACATTTAACGCACAGCAGAGGCTTCATGCACTTGTGAACACCAGATTCGGCTGCTATCATGTCTGTGGATGCAGAAGGTGCGTGCTTTGCCTGTCACCTGTCAAGTGCCCAACAAGGTGTCACATGCAAGTTCCGGATGATTAGGACTGACTCTATGCGCATAATTATAGTTACGCACTGCTCTGCAGACGGGCATGTAATTTGAGGAGGCATGGGCGGGTGTCTGCGCTGACAACAAGAGCTATGGTGAACGTGGACTTCAGCCCGGCATTACTTCTGGGCATGAGCCTCATTGCTGGCGGTCTTGCATTGTATCAGCTGCGGCGAGTGCAGCCTGACATCTCCCGGGACTTTGATGTCATCGTGTCTGCAGTGGCCACGTTCTCCGGTGGCATCCTCATTTTCCAGGTACTGACTGCACGGCAGTGGCCAATCCTATCTAGCAATCAGACATGAGCTACTCTGTATGCAGCTGAGCTGAGGATGCTGCGCTATCAGATCAAATCTAAAAGAGAAATTGAAGGCCTTTGGGTCTGCTCTGCGCAGGGCTGGCGACTTGACCCTTTATTGCTCTTCTGTCAGCTTCTCACTGCGGGAACCGCTTTGGGATTTGCAGTCGAATCCCTGCGCCTGCGACAAGAGGTCAGGGACATTCAGGTGTGCCTTGGGGTGCCCCACAGAATGTAGTGCATGCATCCCTCTTGTCTGATACAGGGATACGTCTTCATCACCTCTCATTGAGGACGTAATCGACAATTATTTCATGTGCCTTGTATTTGACTGCACCGATCTTCTTCTGGCTCGTGCATGATAGCCATATAGTGTGCTGTGTGGTGGGCAGAGGAGTGAGGAGGATGCTGCGGGGTTTGGTGCGCGCATGGAAAGGACTCCTGGTGGCCGCAGTCAGCCGGGCATCAGCCTGCCGCCTCCACAGCAGGAGCCCTTCAGGCAGTGGAGCGGAGCAGACTGGCGCACGGATGCATCATCACGCCAGGTCAGCGGCGATTATCCCGCAAATGCTCATGTGATATAGCAAAACGGACGCCGAGACGCTCTTAAGCTGTGAGATGCTCAGCATCTGATGCTGCATCTTTGGCGTGCTGTGCAGCTCATACTATTGATGCCATGCAGGATTAAAGCTGATGTGCAAAAGAACTTGAATCTGGCATTCTATTATACATTGCAGGACCCCTATGCTTCGGGCCTGAATTACCCCGAGGAGGCTCCAGAGGCAGGGTACAGTGGGAGGGATGGCTTGCTGGATGTTGAAGTTGAAAGCGAAGATGGATACTACACCGAAACAGGTGAGGCAGGGACGTGGCAGCAGTCAGGGAGAGCCCAGGAATACACGAACGGAGAAGCAGATAAATCTCGGAGAGCACAGTCACAGCGCTGGTCGCCCTCAGTGGACACAAGCGCCCAAGATGACTGGGATTGAAGCATATTTTTTGTTGGGAATAACTGTGTTCTTTGCATCTTGTGATCCTCAGTCTACTCAATTTTCATAATGCGCAAGCAACCTCTGATAGCATCACGTCCAGACCAACTGGAATACGAAAACGTGATTGTAAAGCACCACGAACGATGTGCGCTGGTTTACTTATTGTATTATTATTGTCATCATTATTACAAGCTTTTCCTGTCAAAAGGCAAGGTACGTCCTGCAGACAAGCTGCGATTAAAGGCTGCACGATCCTACCCCTTGTTGGACTCGCCAGATCCAAGCAAAACCCAATCAACCGTGGGCACGGTCCTCAGTATTTATACCTATACTTATTGTATAGCATGCATATTTGGTGCCGCTGCTCAAAATACGCTCTAAACATGCTCAGTGCTCAGCTCCTGGGCGGCTCACAACACATAAGACGTATCCCTCCATATGGAGCCAACTTGCTGCTGCAGGATGCTTCATACTTGCAGCAGTGCTGCCCAGTGCACAGTTCTCAACACAGCAATGCAGCAACACTCACACAATTGCGAAAATAGAATAGTGGCTGACAGCTCAACATCGGGCATCAGTAGATTCGTAATTCTCCCACGTGAGCAGAGACTGATCCAGGCTGCTCTTTTTAAACTATCTGGGACGTGGCCTTGCAAGAACATTCCCAGCATTATATTCCAAGTCTTCACAATTCCTTCAGGTGCAACAGTAGAGGTTTCAGGTCACAGGCTGGTGCAGGGCCAAGCGCCAGAACTGTTTTCAATGACCTCTCATCAACCACCGTCCTTGTTGGTATGCCTGCACAAATTGAAGATATCTTTGCTTGGTCCTGTTAACAGATTGTGCAATCAAATCATCAGGGCAGCCCGTCCGAAGTGAACAACCAGTGGAGCTGTAAGACCAGCTCGAGCAGAATACCCAGTCACCTCTTTTACGTGCTGCTGCCTGAATGTCCAACATGGCTCCCTCGCTGCTCACTCCAAGCGTCCACTTCCTGCTATTTGTCAATTCCTGCAGAGAGGCCCATGCTTGTGGTTCTCAGAAATTTGCGTTTGTCAGCACACCATGCAATGTCACTCCACGCGTTGGGACAAAGGCCTGGTCTTATGCTGAGTCACTGATCTCATCACAGGAGAAGACATACCCATTGTCGCAGCTCCACGCTCTTTATCTTGTACAATTTCTTAAACTGGCCCAAGCAAGCTGTGCTGCAGTGCTTTGCTGTGGCGCCTGCACTCTATAAGAGACACAAGCACCAAATCTCATCTGCTGCTGTGAAGTGAGGTGCTAGCAATATATTGACGATGAAGCGGCTGCAAGACTGGAATACACACCAGCTGGAGGTCCATCCGGACCAAGAGCGCCAATACAAGGAAGTCTTCGCCCAATTCCATGTCAGACCCATTCCGTGAAGCCCCTTCCTGATAATCTTGCTGAATTGACTGGATCCTAAGTCTCTGCAGATCTGCCTCGCTTGAGCCGTTGGTGCGTGGCGTATCAAGAACTGATGAGGCATCATCGCTGTGGCTGCAGTCCTTGCTGGCCCTGCCGCTTGCAGAGAGGACTCTGGACAAGCAATAACCCATTGCAAACCCTGCTGTTGCTGCCAGACCAAGGGAAACCCCCACATGGCGACTCAGGTCCACCTTTATGTTGGCAGACATGCTGGCTAGAACCTCTGATGCCCACCAACTTTCTGTTACTCTCCCTAATGCTGCTGCTGTCAGCAATATTCAACCATGCGCAGATGTCTCCCTTGAAATAAAATTGCTTGCAGCTTCGATCTAAGCCGAAAGGAGAAAGGGAGGGTTGACCTCTCAAACCCTAAATGCAGGTGTCTCTGCCTGGCGAAGATCTTTATTCATCGCTCTTTGTCGCCAATCATCGATCGGGGAAGTCGCTATCTCAACAGATGAAAAGATGGACTCCGCGTCTTGACTTGGAGACCGGCGGGAGTGGAACACGGCGGACCTTGGTGTGCAGCGCCAAGCAGATTGACGACCTGTAGAGGCGTCAAAATGCTTAACTTGCACGTCGCTTCCCCTCATGGATTGCGAGACATCAGACTGGTATCGTGCAAAGGCCGGAGAGGTGAGAAATTCCCAAGCCAGCGCTTTTCACAGACTGATCGGTGCAACTGCAAGCCTTGTCATATCACCAGATCAAACTAAAGCTTAACCAATTCCTGATGTGTTACAGAGAAATTAATCCGTGCAATTGCCCATCGTTCCCCACTCGGGCGAAGAAGTAAGATATGCCTTAAGGCAAGTGCACCTGGTGGATCATCTGGAGTGCAACCGGTGAGTCCTGGAGTGTCTAAATCTTATCTACAGAAAGCTGTCAGTCCTGTTTCTTATAGATGTCTACTATGACGGCAGCATTGCACACCACAGTTCTATACAGCTTTGTGCCTTCAGATCACATGGGCATCACCTTTTGTTCATTGCTTTTGTAGGAGGACGATGAGCTGGCAAAGCTCCGATATGAAAATGAGGAACTGCGCGCGGTAAAGCTCGATACCCCCTGCCCTTTGGAAGCATCGAAAGCGCGTGTGTACAGTGTGAAGGCGCTCAGATCCTCAGTCATGAAATTTAACTTTGTCTTCAGGCTGTGGCAAGAGTGCTGAGCCAGCTGAGCCCAGAAGTACAGGACAAATTCAATGAACAGCACAGCAGTCTGCGTGTCAGTGCTGCGGCAATCGGAGAAGAGCTTCCAGCAATCTCTTCGGTCGGGGTATTGGAGGAGGCCCCACTTGCTACAGAAGCTCAGGAAGGGGTGGCTGGACCAGCCAGTGAGAACATTGGCGAGGTACTTATTTCAAACCCACCTGGAGTGATTTGGTGTAGAAAGTGGTGAACATCCAGAGGGGGACATTCATAAACTTTTCAGAGGAATGGCAGAAACGTTTGCACCAATGTGGCAAGGCGGCCTTGAGCACCAATTGCCTGTGCCTTCGTCTGCTGCAGGAGTCACCTGCTGAGGAGGCAAGCCCGCTGGATGTGCTGGAAAGTGCTGCTGAGGAACCCACTGGTGCAAAAGAAGCAGATGAGCCTGTTGCACCGGTTGAGGAAGCCTCTGAGGCTGGAGAGGTGGCTGCTCCAGAAAAGGGCTGGAAGCTGACTCCTGAGGGCGATGCAGCCATCCTGCAAGGTGATATCCCTTGCCTTGCCTTGGCGTGTGTTGCCATTATGAAAGGATACCAGTATAATCCACCCCAATCCGTTTCTGCTGACAGATTGAACGCTTGCTGTGTGATAAATTGTCCGATCTGCAAGCAACGCGCTGCAGGTGAAGATGAGACGATTACCTTCTCCTTCGGGTCGCTGGTGGACAAGCTGAAGAGGAAACTCACGGCGTCAGCGTCCCCATTCAGTGGCAGGAAGACCAGCAATGCTGGGCTGGCTGCGGCCCCACCGCCAGCACCAATGCCCAAGACCGGCCTGTCCGCGCCCTCAAAGGGCCCCTCCGTGCAGCGCATGCAGGCCATGAGCGATGGTGAGCGCCCTGCCTGCACCTTCTCAACCCGGCCAACAATGTTCACGACCAGGCTAGATTGTCAGGGACTCCCCAGCAGCCAAAGATCAGTTACACTGGCTGCGCATGCTGTGTGACACGCTCTGCCGGAATCACAGCAGATGCCTGCCAGCTTTGTTGCCAGTGTATCTTACCGTATGCTTCTTTCTGGTGGTCAAAGTAAGACAGGATGAGTTAACAGGGATAAGTCGAGGCTCTGAGGATCCGCTTAGTGCCTCAAGTAGGTGTCTTGGCTTGCATGCTGAGATGGATTTTGCAGAGCGTGCAGAGTCAGAGGGGGCAAGGGGCGGGAGCGCCAAGGCAGCCACTGTCGTGGTGGAGCACCCAAAGAGCTCCCAGGAGGACATAATTGCGCGCGACACTGGGGCGGGCGCAGAGACAGAGCCTCTGCAGACCAGCCACCAGACTACAGCAGGTGCTGAGCACAACTTTCTTTGTTCCACAATCCGGCTGATGACTCACTGCAGAAACTTGCTTCAGCAGGCTGCATGCCTTGCTCTTGACCACTAGGCACTGAGTTTGTTATTATTACTAGAACCTGCTTTTCCTGCCAAGAGGCAAGGTGCGTCCTGCAGACAACCTGCAGTTAGTGGCTGCCACAGTCCTACCCCTTGTTGGAGTCGCCAGATCCAAGCAAGACCCAGTGAACCGTGGGCACGGATGCTCAGTATTTATGCCGCCCCTGCCAGCAGTGACAGTGAGTTTACAGTGGAAAATATTGAAAGAGGTGCAACGAGCGTAGGAGGGAATATCGAAATGGATGAGGACATGGCAAAGGAGGCGAGGCAGTATGGAGGCGGCCAGGACAATGACCCCTTGCAGCCCCCACGCTCTGCTGAAAATGCTGCAGGTGCACACCCGATTGAAGCTTTCATGGCAGAATTGTCTGCCCTCGTGCCATTTGCGGACAATGGACTTGGGGATAGCTGTTGTGCGAAGCAACTTATGATGTGAATGTGTGTGTTTTGCAGGGCTATTAGAGGCAGCTGCAGCCAGCGGCCGGAAGGAGCTTGCGCAGGAGAAGGAACAGGCAGAGGTAAAATTTGTGCATCGCACAATTTGTTTCTTTTGCGTTTCACCTCAACTCTTCCTTCCTATGCATGTCCCGTTGCTAGGTGAATTGTCTGGAAGTCTGAGCATTGTGATTCTGACAGGCCGGGACCAGCAGCCGCCCTGCGGATGTCCATGCTTCAGCGGCCAAGCTGGTGAAGGGCAAGGAGCACTGGCTGTATTTCGTCTACCCTGAGAGGCCAGTCGCTGGGGCTGACGTGGCGGTGTACTTCAACAACAATGTATCCGACATTCTCAGGTGCGTCTTAATCGCTGCTGTTTGCAGAAACAAAACTTCACGAATCTTTCCAAGACGAAGGAGCATTCACAGCTTACTTTTGTGCTTCCTTGTGCTGCTGGTGTGTGAAGGTTGAAGTGCTCAAGATGCAATACAGGGAGAGGCCGAGGCGGCAAATACACGTGAAGTTCAACAACTGGGAGTTGGAGGGCAAGAATGGGTGCTGGTTTGATTTGGAGCAGACAGATGCACCGCATGACTTTGGTGCCGACTGGTGGTAAGTACCCTCAGACATCTATATAGTGTCACTGCTTGACAGCTCTCCCTGGATAACGTGCGCGTTGGTAATTGCCACTCTTCCGGGCGGCTAGAATAAGTCTCATGCACCCTTCTTTGGCTGTGCAGGAGGGTGATTGTGAAGGTGCCGGAGGATGCCTTTGAGATGAACTATATTTTCACCGACGGAGAGGGCGCGACTGACAACAACATGGGCCAGAACTACCTGACCATGCTTGACAGCGTTATGACACCGGAGCTCTGGGCAGAGCGTGCCATGGATCGCCTGGTGAGCCTGCTCTCCTTCTTTGCTTCCCACTGTCGCCTCACAAATCTTGTGACAAGCACACTGTCCCCTCTCATCATCCAAGGTAGGCCTGTGTTGATGGCAGGTTTGACTGAGACGTGCACAGCTGTTTTTGGGCCTTCTTCCACTGCTTGGTGCTCACAGGTAAATATGACATCTCCAGGAGTTCACCCATCATGTATATATAAATGGGTTGGTATGGTAGGTGGCGGCAGAGAAGAAGAGGAAGGAGGAGGAGGCGGCTTCCAGGGAAGCTGCCGAGAAGGAGCGGAGGGAACGCGAGGAGGCCGACGACCGCACAGCTGCCAAACAGCGCGCCGCCGACCTGTGCGACAGCGTTGCCTACCACCGCCAAGGTCCGCCCAAGACACCATCTGACATGTTCGTGACATGCCGTCTCACCTATTGCTGACATGCCATTTTGGAATTTTATATATGTGCATGACTGCGCTCAAGAGCAATGTAAGATACTGTTATTGGAGACCATCCTGGAGAGTGACACATCTTATCTCTTGGGGGAAGGGTAGCTGCTTTGCGAGTACTACTGTTAGTCACCCTGCTGGATGGGTTGTTCATGTTCTGCAGCACGGATGATTGCCAGTCGAGAAAGGAACTTTGAATGGCAGGTGCAAGATACTGGCAGAGACTGATCATGTGTTCATGCATGCGTGCTCAGGTGCTGTGACACAGCTGGAGCGGTCTCCAGGGCAGGTGACGTGGTGCACGGTTCCGGAGGGGCTGGTGCCGGGGAAGAGGGCAAAGCTGCTCTACAACGCCAGCGCCGGACCCCTGGCCTTCATGACTCCCCTCCCCTCCGCGCCCTGTGTCGTGCTTGGCCACAATGGGTGGCTCGACACCCAGGCATGTACTTCATGCCCTTCCACACCCGTTGTACCAAGAGTTTCCAAACAGTCATCTTCATCGATGGTTGTGAATACCCTGGCGCTCTCCAGCATCTGTTACTACAGCACAAAGAAGGACGCCAGATTGTTCGAGAGAGTGCCCAATGGACATCATGAGTGATACTTTCACCGCCTTTTTTGCACTGTGTCCTCACTGGCCCACCCGTCTTTGTAAAGGATGGCTTCTCAATTTTGCTAAGTCATGGTGGAAAGTTTTTGCTGGCTTCTCTTGAACAGGAGATCATCATGGAGAAGGCAACAGGCGTGAGCGAGGAGGGCGACTGGTGGGCGGCGGAGTTTGATGTCTTTCCTGACGCGGCCGTGATCAACTTTGTTGTCAAGTACTACGAGCACTTCGACAACAATGAGGGACAGGACTTCAAGGCTCTAGTGGAGCTGGATGCTGGCGGAGGGTGAGAAAGCAAAAAACCCACCTCTACATGTGGGTTTATACTGTATTTGCTTTTTAATTATTATTCTTATCAGTACAGTTGCTAATTGGACAATCAGGCAAGAGTATCATATACGTAATGATGGGGTGATTGCTGCTTGAACAGGTCGCTGAATGACTTCCAAGAGAGGAAGTTTGACGAGATCTACCACAACCTTAGGCAGCAGCGAAAGGAGCTGGAGGACGAGTGGGTGCGCAGAGAAACCAAGCGCACAGAAATACGCTCAATCGCTAAGGTCTGCAGACGCCCCTTCAATACCTTCTGAACGGCTGCTATGATTCCTTATGGAGGTCACGTAATGTACGAAAGATCACCAGACAGCAGACATGTGCTTTGCATTGCTACGACTGCATAGGTGCATTTGCACAGGCGAAAGCGATGGCGGTACTGCGGCGGCAGATGAAGCACGTGCTGTTCACAGAGCCTGCTGAGATCCAGGCCGGCCAGGATGTCACTATCTACTACAACCCCCAGGACACACCCCTCTCCGGCTGTGCAGAGGTCTACCTCTCGGTGAGCGCTCCTTCTCGCGCCCTGTCTTCCTTACAATTCTTAAAATCTAGGGTCTTTCAGCTCCTATGTCTTGCTGAAGGGCAGTTTCTCTGGAAATTATCACTCCTGCAGGCTAAAGACCCATTGAGAATTGTCCTGCTGCATGTCTTCAGCAGTGGGTTGAAAGGGGGAGCGGCACGAGTTAAACAGTGCCATAATGGTATGTGTGCTACAGGGCGGCTGGAACAGGTGGTCGCACCTGAAGAAGTTTGGGCCCCTGAAGATGACGGTGCCAGACGGCGAGGGGCAGCACTTCAGCGCGACGGTGGCCGTGCCCAAAAACGCGCACTCCATCGACTTTGTGCTCAGCAACGTGCCCGAGGGAGAGGGCATCTATGACAACCGCGGCGGCCTTGACTACCACCTCCCTGTGGAGGGCTCAGAGGTGCTCATCTCATCACCCTCTTCTCTTCTTTTGTGTCCAACAGCTTGTCGTCCTCAGCATATCCTTCACTGCATTGCAATGGCCGGCTGGCTGGCTGTGACCAGCCGCCTGCTGCATTTTTTAGCGCTATAATGTCTCTCAAGGCAAGCAGAACATCAGCTCTCGCGAAGACTTTTGGAATCACGCAGCAAGACGGGCCCATCAAATAGAGCTTGGTTAGCATCAGGGATTGCACCGGAGAGGTCATCAGGGTTCACATCTCTCTTGTCTACAGGGAACCCTGGATGACTGCTTGAAGGTCACACAGAATGCTGGATGATTGCTGGGAGAAGTGCAGAGGTTTGACAGGGCTGTGGGGCTGTGCGTGCAGCTGACGCCGCCGGGGTTGCATGTGGTGCACGTGGCGGTGGAGATGGCGCCCATCTGCAAGGTGGGGGGCCTGGGCGACGTGGTCACAGCGCTCGGCCGCGCGGTGCAGGAACTCGGTCACCAGGTCGAGGTCATCCTGCCCCGGTGGGGCTCCCTCTCACTTCTGCTGCACACTGACATTGAGAGGAAAGGGCCATGATGCCTACTGCCAACCCCTCTGGACGTGCATTGTTATGGTCTCTGCTGCATGTGAACGGCAAGTGCTTACTAGGCTGCTCTATTGCATTACTAGAAAACAGCCTGAGACAAAGCCATGCATGCCACTGTCCTCGATTGTAGTGAAGACTGCTTTGCCGCATAAGTGCAACTGCCTCCGGTGTCAACAGATTGACTGTATCTGCTTGTGCTGACCACCAGTCTGCCGCTCTGATATACTTGTTTTCTGGTCAGAAACAAGGACATCGGATGTTGCATGCGTGCATGAAGCTGACGGGGTTGGCCTGTTCTGGGCGCAGGTACGACTTCTTCCTGCAGTCACCGCTGCTGGGCGCGACGCAGTTCGAGACGGAATTTGACTGGGGCGGCACGCACATCTGGGTCAGCACGTGCGTGGTGCAGGGCCTGCGCTGCTTCTTCATCGAGCCCGCCAACGGCTTCTTCGCCGTCAACTCCGTTTATGGCCGCTCCGATGACGCAATGCGCTTCGAGTTCTTCAACAAGGCGCGCCGCCCTCTTCCTTTGCCCAAAATATTTCCAAATAGGATAAGTATTTGGACTGCAACATCAAAAGCCAGATGCAATATTGGATGTCCTTTCTTGGGGTGAATATTACACTGTTCCCAATGCACTTCTTGGGATCGGGGAGCAGCTCATGATGTACAGAATTTCAAATAGGCACACACCATGCCTCTGAATTGTCTCTATCCCATGGCAAGGCACCTAGTGGAGCACATATAAGAATCCACAGGGGGTTGTGGCAATGTGGTGCTCGAGATCCATCCAGCAGTCTGAGTCTTGGACTTCTGTAGATGGTGACTGTGCGTGGCAGGCGGCGCTGGAGTTCCTGCTGCAGACGGGCAGGCAGCCGGACATTCTGCACTGCCACGATTGGAGCACGGCCGGGACAGCGCAGGCATACTGGGACAGCTACAACCAATTCGGCCTGTGGCGCCCCAAGGTTGTCTTCACCATCCACAACGCTGAGTACGGCCTCGACCGCATCGGCTCCGCCGCGTACTACTCCCAGCGCTTCACCACCGTCTCCCCCACCTACGCCTTTGAGGTTCGCCTTGCCCTGAGCGCTTCACCCAACCACCACCAATGCCAATTTCATATCTTGTGCAGCTGCCATCACGGGTTCTGCCGTGTTTCAGTTGACAGCGCCTACTAGTACCTCCACAATGGGCGGAACACAGCAAAGCAGATGAGCAACGGCAATCCCATGAGTTCATGCCAGATGAGCCTTTGTTTCGGCGCTATCTCCCTTTCTGTTTTCAGAGATGGGTCAGAGAGTGATGTGATCTTTGTGTATGGCAGATTGGCGGCATTCCGGCGATAGCGGCGCACGCAGCCAAGTTCATGGGCATCCGTAACGGCATTGACGTGGACATCTGGGACCCGGAGAACGATGAGCTGCTGCCGCGGGCGTACAACGCGGAGAGCGTGGTGGAAGGCAAGGCCGCCGCGCGCGAGACGCTGCGATACCGCCTCGGCCTCACCGGCTGGGGCGACAAGCCCATGGTCGGCGTCGTCACCCGCCTCACCGAGCAGAAGGGTGCGGCCCCGCACCCACGCTTCCGGTAAACTTTACTGTGGGTCATGCCCATGCACGATGTAGTGGGTATTTGGACAGCATCCACCCGTAGTCTCAGGTCGAGGGAGTCCTGCTTGGGCTTTTTGGCTGGCGGTTTTTCATGCCTGCACACACTGTTTAAGGAGAAATAAAGAGGTTATATTTCTTAATCATTAATAAAGAGATGAGCGTCTGTTTCCTTGAGAAGCAGCTGGCATGGACCCGAATTTGTCTGATTTTCTGATTAGGATGTGTGGGCTGATGGGGTGTGCATGCATGCGCGCAGGCCTGCACCTGATCAAGCACTGCGCCTGGCGGACACTGGAGCGGGGCGGCCAGTTTGTCCTGCTGGGCTCCGCGCCAGACCCCAAAATCCAGGTGAACCTCCAGCATGGCAGCCCGCTCACTGGCATGTTCTCTTCCACAGATAGCCATGCAGAGATGGTGCTCATGTCTATTGCTGATTTACACGAAATTTTTAGATATTCTTTGGGAAATGGGACCCAACAGATCCCTGCAAGCGGGTCTTGTCTGCATTTTGTGCTTGCTGTGCTTGAATGATGGTGCATGTGCAGGCCCAGTTCAATGCCCTGGCAGCAAGCCTGGGGGGCGAGAATGCACACTTTGCCTTCTCCTACGATGAGTCGCTGTCTCACCTCATCTACGCCGCCTGTGACATCATCGCTGTCCCCTCCATGTTCGAGCCCTGCGGCCTCACCCAGGTCCCCTTCCTCACCTCTGCCTGCCAATTTGACCGCTGTTCAGCATTTGGTGCAAGTGCGCGGCCAGGAAGGACCTGCATTTACTTCCAAGGGACAGGAGATGGTGCCAGGTCTCTGTGTATGTCCATCAGAATTATCGTTCTTTTGCGGGTTTAATCAACAATTCAATGGCTTATGGGCAATGCTGCTGACTAGTCATGCGCTCTTGCCAAATCACTGTTACCAAGTCGTACAGATCACATGGGTATTACATGGCTCCGTTCTCTCTGGCACTGGCTCACCGGTGCTCTGCTGCTGGCTGCTGACGCGCTGCCGGTGCCGTGCGCAGCTGATCGCGATGCGATACGGAAGCGTGCCAGTGGTGCGGTCGACGGGCGGCCTGCGCGACACGGTGTTTGACGTGGACGTGGACAAGGCTCGTGCCGCATGGGAACTGGAAGGCTCCTCCGACTGGGAACGCGACGCCCTCGACTCCACCAACGGCTTCGCCTTTGAGGTGGGCATCCCTCCTGACGCCCCATTTCTGAGACTTTTACTGGGACCTTACTTGTTCCAGCGTGCAGCGCTTCTTGGCTGTCCCAATTGGACAAGCCTTGGAACAGTGAAAAAGGTGTGCAGGGGCATTCCTTGACTCATGGCGCAATTACGGACAAGATCCTGTGGAGATTTAAGTAAGTCACCCCAGTGCAGGCTCCTCTACAAGTCACTGACTCATTGCTTAGAATCCTTGCCCAGAAAGGACCTCTCTCGTAGGGGACTGCATGGCGTTTTCTGGAGAAAAGCTCGGTATTTGAGCAAAAGATCATGCCCCTCATCCGCCCGGGCATACAACTTATAATTATGCTGCAAGGTGGTGGACATGCAGATGCAGCAACGGAGTTGCACAGTGTGCACGCAATGAGAGCATATTGAAATGCGCGACTGCAGGGCACGGATGGGGGCGCGTTGGACTATGCGCTGAACCGGGCGCTGGACGCGTACTACAAAGATCGCGCCTGGTTCTACGGCCTGGCCGCTCGCATCATGCGCCAGGACTGGTCCTGGAACCGCCCCGCCCTCGACTATATCGAGCTCTACTACCAGGCCATGAAGTGACACGACCTGAGGCTTTGCGACAGAATGTCTTGGGTGGAGAATTTCTTGCAGTGACGACCAACTCAGCCCAGGTCTTGACTATACTCTTGCAGACCCAGTGCAGGAGATGCAATATAATGTGCTGGTTTGTGTTTGCGGCAGCAGCAGGGTTGAGCTTTCAGGCTGTGCCTGAGACTTGCAGTCGCCTTTGCAGCATCATCGATATACTTGAGAAGAGAGTGCGTTATGAGAGATCGGCCTGAGACACTGAGTGAAAGAGGTGTAGGATTTCTGTGGTCGAGTGTGGATTGCCGTGCGGCAACCAGCAAAGGACCACAGGCTATTTGCAGCAAATAAATGTTATTGAGAGGGTTTGAGAACCAGTCAAAAACGCAGTCGGATGATCATTGTACGCAAAGCAGAGGTGCTGCAACTTTACACACATCCTGAAGTGTTGAGACTGTGCGCACTGTTGGAAGGAAGAAACTTCTGATGTAATATGGGCAGTGAAGAGTTGGGCCTCTTCGGCATGTAATATTGCTGGTTAGAAGATTGACAATGTCTTTCCTTGCTAGGCATCGCCACGAGTCCCACTGATTCTAACCTACCACACCTCTGCAATAAACCTTCAAGACGTATCTGCCGTTCTGACTTGCCCAGACGTGTGCTGCATCCTGCACGTCGCGCGACACCGCCTCTGTGCTCAATTGCGCCGTGCCGCCTGCACCTAGCAGCTATTAGGGCTTGCATGAAAATCCAGATACATCTTGTCAGCTTATATTTGCAATTCCTGGGCCACTAATGACACGCCCGCTCATTTGTGAGTCTCACTAATCTATTTTAGAATGCGAGTGCCAGGATCGTCCTAGGCTAGTCACAGATGTGCAGCATTGCGCACTTTGAAGAGAAGTAGAAACGTGGCATGCATGCCAAACAGCAATGATTCGTTGCACAATAGCACACCTGTGGACACGACTGAAGCACTTGCTGATGCGATGGCGCTGGCCACAGCCTTCTCTATGTCCTCAGATCTTGCAGCGGCCACGGCCTTGGCATTGTTATTGGTCGCCTGTTTTGGCAGTAGGCAGTTATTGCTCACATTCAAGCTCTTTCACCGCTTGCACAGTATCAACCATTTTAATAAATAAAACCGTGATATCAATGATGGCAGCACGCCTGGCCAAGCCTACAATTGGGTTACCTGCGCAAGTGCAGTGGAGATGGCATGTGCGATGCTGTGCTCGTGGCAACTGCAGAGGCGCTGGCATCTGCTGCTCCTAGGCCCTTCCCTGCAAATTGCATGGGCCCTTGGTGACTACTATATTATTTGTCCCTGACAGCAGCACAGTCTGCATCGCTACTTGCCAAGTAGTTGCAGACAACCACAACAGCCACAACATGCAATGATGGAATGTCAGACGAGTGCCTTGGACCGTCGTCTTGGCTGCAGCCGAGGCGTATGCTTCTGCTGTAGCTCTGCCACTGGCTGTGGCGGCTGCATTTGCCGCTGCTGTTGCATCGCCTCCATTCTTGACCTGTTGATGCATGCTCATTTGGTCAAGCATAGCAGTCCTGCTTCACATGTTGCTGTCGGGGTTGGAGCTGCAATTGAGACTGCTGCCAGCATATTGGTAGGAGATTTTACCTGAGCAAGTGCTGAGCTGACTGCCTAAGAAATAGCATTCTCTGCCTGTGCAAAGGCCTGTTGCGTCACAAAATTTACAAATGTGAGCAAGACATCCCAGAAACAGATTGCAAATGGCCCAGCAGTGACAGAGCTATTGTCACCATCGTGCAAATCAAGTTGATACTGCCATGCCTGTTTGTTTTCTCTTGGTCAAGGGCTGGAGCCGCTGTCACCTGAGCATTGGCACTGGCAACACTCTCCACTTTACCTGCAAATTGCAGCAGATGCATTCCTGAGTCAGCATGGCGACCAAAAAAGAGTGTCAATCCTTAGGGAAATGCTGAGAAAACGGGCAGTGTCTACCGCCAGTGGAAACAGCCAGTGCATTGGCTATGGCGTGCGTATCGCCTAGCTGCAGCATCTTGCAACTGCTCCCATGATACCCACCCTGTCAGTGATCTATATAATCCACCAGGCTGGCCTTGGGCATGCGCGACATTGTCAGTATGCCTTACTGTCAAACTAGCACAGAATTGGTAGATATCAGATGAGTTGTGGATGTCTGAACTCACTCCCGGTGGGGCAGGGGGCACTGACTGGGCCGGTGCTCCCACAGGTGCATTGGAGGTGGCCTGCAGCAACAATTCATGCTCAAGCACAAATTGTACAGCAAGCCTCAGCATGTTAGTTGGAATTTATCAAGAGACGATACACTGAGTGTATTACTCATGCTCCTTGAGGCGGAGCATCGGCAGCCCTGCATGTGGCTACCCTTGGCTGCTTATGACAATCTCATCTGCCCTTAGCAACAATGCATGTGCGTTTACTCTGCTCTCAGACCAACGCAGATACATGCCACTGAATTTCTGGCCTGTAAATTGAGTAAAAAGAGGGCAATTTGAAGAGCGGCACACCGCAGCGACGGCCTTGGCCACAGCATTTGCTGGAGCGCCATTTGTCACCGCTTGTGAGACAGCCTTCGCCACAGCATTCCAATTGCCCTGCACCCCACGCTCTAAGTTCCGCAATGTGCGTTGATACGCACTGCCCACCCGCCACGCTCTGCTGGCAACTTCAGGACACTATATTTTCCCAAAACCCAGAGGCATTTTGTGCATGCATGCATGCTGAGCTTTAGCATGCAGGTGGCAACTGCGGCGATGGAAAAGGTTTTTTCAGGATAAAAATTGTTACAGCAGGTTGCACAGTGGCAGAAGCAGTGGCGAGTGCGGTGGCAATGGCGCTGGTGTTTCCCTGCTGCGCTTCCTGTTTGATGATCTGGCCAGCGCGCGGAACGTTGTTGAGCAGCAATCACAGAAGCTCCTCCACAGCGCTGCCCTTCTGTGCATTGGTAAGTGTAGCCTGCTTTAGTGGGATACTAGGGTACGTGGCAGGTGGTTTCGATCTGGACACCTTGGTCTGATTCTTCACGTTCTGCAAGCATTGCAAATTTTCACCTGGAACTCCTCCTTGTTGCAATTACCCCCAACTGGTGCCGAATAACCAACACTGCCCTTTCTGACTGAGTGCGCGCCTGTATCCAATTATTTGCTGTTCCTTCTGACATTCGAACACATTGTAAAACCTTCTCTAGAGGAGCTAACAATTGGACGTTTGAATGGTACAGCTGTCTTCGAGTTTTGTGACTCGCTATGACCATGACTAAGGGGAGGGGTGGCGCTGTGCACATGCCAATGCATATGTGGGGCATGCCTTATTTCACAAATCTAAAGTAAATACTTTGGTGCATTGTCTGAGAGATCAGGCACCGCCCCAGCTTTGCAGGATGTTCACAACAGTATTGGTTCCCCAGCCAAAAATATGACAGGTCCCATAATCGCAAGTCAGTCAATGGCACGAGTCAGGGAAATAGGTTCAGTGGGAAACTGCGATCCAGCCACAAATGGCCACTGTCTGCCGATTATATTAGAAAGGAGTATCAAAGGCATTACTTTCCTCGAATTCATTGCACCTCGCCACTTGTCTTCACTCGTTCGTCGCCCCTCCGCCGCACCTTTGCACCGGATCGTTGCACGGCCTGACCACCCCACGCCCTTCTTGTCCAGGTATTGTGCAGGCCTCTTGAATGCTCCTTGAAGGTTGTAGTCGGTTGTGCAGACCCTTTACCAATATGCAGCTGACGCAGATGTTTGCAAAATGTTTCGATCCTTGGTAATCCTCGCACTGGGTTGAGGCATATGGCGAAATTATGGTCGAGGCAATAGAGTGATAAAAGATTTATTTCAGCTATGCTGATTGATTTTTTAACACATTGTGCGATGTGGCGCAGGGTTCATTCCAGAAGTCTCCAGAAGTCGTCCAATCGAGAAGCACAAGATGACCGCCACACAGCCACCCATATGGTACCTCGTCCAGCCGGAGGCAGACACGGAGTTTGTTGCGCACTTTGTGCATTCGCAAGCGTTCGGATACCCGGTCTGCTCCCGGTTCCGGAGGCAGCACGACGATATCATCACAGAGCATTGTCTCGCAGTTTTGGAAAACGTGAGTAGCTCCCCTGTCACTGCAATGCTGAATATACACATTCAATGATATTGTTGCTTTGTGTGTGGGTTCTAAAGCTCCATTTATTACTTGCGCATGCCCCAAGGTGCTGCAACAGGAGCTGTCTCAGGCCAAAGTCCCGACATCTCTGGGTGCATCTGCAGGTCATCGCTGTGTACAGGAAGAACGCAGTACAACAAGTACGTGATGGCTTCTATGCTCTGGCCGTCGGCAGCCTCACCAGTGCACTGGCTCTGCTGCCAAACAGCGTGGAATTGCTGACAGAGCGGGCGGTCCTGCACATCTGCATTGGTGACCCAGCCGCAGCGGTGAGCTCCTCTGTCCAATTGCAATTGCCTGCATAGAAATCCCCTGCAGTGCACCCAGCCCTCTTTGGCGCCTCAACAACGTCTCTTGCCTCTGGATCTGCTCTGGGAGATCAGTGATGCTTGTCTTTCTTGGTGCCTGACGTTTCATGTTGTACCCCTTCAGGAGCTGGACACTTCCATGGCTCTGGCACTCGACGACAGCAGCGCGGATGCAACTTACTTCAGAGCGCAAGCGCGCAGCCGGACCGGCAACATATGGAGCGCGGAGGCCGATTGGCACCGTTGCCTCCTGCTCGCGCGGCTCCAGGAGAATGAGGCGCTGACGGTCATGACTGAGCAGGTGACTCATCGCCCCGTCAGCACCTACTTGCTGTGCCTGATGGGATCTTGTCCGATGTGCTCACCTGCAGTGGAGATGTGTCGGTGCCACTGCCGCCTGCTGCTACAGCTGTAGCAGTCCTTGCAGCAGATTAGACTGGAGTGATGATGACGGAAACGCCCCTCTGATGCGCAGGATCTGGTCGAGGCGGAGGAGTATGTGGCCGACATCGAGCGGTGGCGCGCGATGACCGGTGAGGCAGGCTACAGGAAGATGCGCGCCGAGATCAAGGAGGCCTCCGCTGCGCGCGAGGCGCAAGCCGCTGAGCTGGCGAAGGAGGCCCTTGCGCAGGGGGCGTTCTTGTCCTGGCAGCGCTTCTCGGCCTTCGTGCGGCGCCAGCAGGAGGCCGTGTCCTTTACTGCCGCCGAGGACGTCAGCACCGCTGCCCCCCTCAGGTACCCCATCTGTCACCAGCCGCCCCCTTTAGAGCCCCTGCTGCGCTTGCATCTCCTTGAACCAGCATGAAACAATCCCATGAAGGCTGCAGCACCTGGAGCTGACGCTGCTGTGCTGCTGTGGTGCAGGATCGAGGCGACCTGCGCGAAGGGCGACTCACCCCCTGACAGCCCTCGCAGTGTCGCCAGCGGTCTGCTGAGCGAAGCAAGCTCCCGGCCGGACAGCCCCAGGCACGCCGTCGATGACAGCACTGCTGATGTCATCCACGCTGAGGTGGCGGCCAGCTGGCCGTCAACCGAGCGGTGTCACAGGGGACTGTCAGACGCGCAGCTGCTGGCCATTGAAGCGGCGCTCAGCGATCAGCCAAATGACCCGGTCATGCGCCTCGCCAGAGCCGCCCACCGCTTGTGCACCCGCGACATGCATGCTGCGGTGCGCATTCCCTCCTGTGCTCCATCTTGTTATGACTGCATTGGTCATTGTCATAGTCATTGTCGTTGTTACCTGTCAGGAACCTGCAATCTGCCTGGTGCCGGAGGCAGTGCAAGCCAAGGTAGCTTTTACAAACTGCTGTGCTGACAACTGACCGACCTGCAGGAGCTGGACATCGCCACAGCGCTCGGCTTCCAACCAGATCTACCGCAGACACACTGCTGGCGCCGAAGAGATGCACACTGCTGGCGCCGGAGAGATGATATGCTGCAAGACTCGCACATGGCATCTGCAGTCCAGGAGGTGAAAGCCGCGGCCCTTCCCTTCTTTCTTTATTACACTCTGCAACCAAGCATGATTGACTCCGGCTTGTAGCATGCATGGGTGCCGCCAGACTTTGCTAAGATTCAGGTTGCCTGCTGAGGTGAAGCATCAGCTGGTTGTGCAGATGCACTTAATAGTGCCTGCTGTGCTGCACAGGTGATGGGCCACCTCCAGAGCTTCCTGGCGGGCCCGAGGGACAACGACAGCCTGGAAGGGACGGCCGCAGCATGCAAAGCGTGCACAGCGCGACACGCAGAGCTGGCAGCACAGGCTCATGCCGCCGCTGAGCTGGCGGCATGCAGCAGCACCGCAGCTGCCGCGAAGCTGGCCCTGGCAGCCTTGCAGCCGGAAGCTGATGTCAAGGGTAGCAGCAGCGCGCCAATCTCAGCGCCTGCAGCCGCCACCGCCCAGCCGGCCAAGATCAATGAGAAGAGGAGGGGAAAGAAGAAGGGCCCTGGCCGGCGGCGCGAGAACAGAGTCATGGTCCATTACTGAGACTGCACAGACTGCAATTGAAGGGGATGGGTGATTGTTGGGATGTCAACAGTCGGCAACGGGACCCATTGAGAGGGTTGGAAACAAACAAACATACCGAAAACGGGTATTCCAATGGGTATCCCAAAGGGTATTCCAATGCAGCTGTTGATTGTCGATCCCATGAGTTTCCAAGTAATGAGGTTGACAGGCTTCCATGGTCGAGGAGCGGTCTGGCCTGATCCTGCCTAAGAACGATGCAGACCTAAATGGTGCACATAAAGGATGAAAGAGAGTTGAGTTGGCGTCAAGACACAGCAGAGCTGCTGTATTGAAGTGGACGCTTGAGAAGAGTTGCCAGTGTCCTGCCAGGCTGTGGGGACCCCGTTGTGATAGTGGGGCTGTGTTGAGATTTGGCCGAGACTTTGGTTGCCCTCAAAAAAGCATGCGAGTTGATTTGCAGCAAGATTGGAGTTGGCCCATTGGAGCAACCATGCATATGGGTACTTCTCATGTGCTTGGATAAGAATGCGGCAGTTAGAACTGATCCCGCAGAGATGCTGTAATCGCCGCAGACAGAACCGATCCGATCGGACGAACCCCAGACTGGGCATGGCTGCCAGTTCAGTACAACATGTTTAAGCAGAATGCTATATTTATGGCCTCGGTGCAATCTAGATCTCCATCTGTACAAGCACGGCCTTACAGTCTGATCACTGCAGTCGAAGCGCCAACGATGACATCGTCTCCAGATCAAGCTTTGCGAGTGCCATGGTGCATGATGAGTCCCTATTGCTACTGTCCTAGCTAGCTAGGGTGCCGACAGACTTGCTTTGATATCCTGATTTGCTCCTGTCAAGCCCAGCACAAATTCTTGAGTGGGTATCAGTACTTGAAGTATGGGTGCCAGATATGTGTCCCGCAGGCTTGAATTGATTATGATCATATGACTGGTCTGTAGTAACTGTTCTGTGACAGTGCGTGTAAGTAAGCACGTCATTGGAGGCAACAGCTGCAGCTTGTCCCAACTACCTGTTGTGCAATCAAGCAGGCATCGAAGGTAGAATGGCAAGTTATATTTGTGTTATTGTTATCATGATAACAGTTTCGGCAAACCCAAAGCCCGAAGGCCATAGGGCTTACACACAGAGTGTCTGCAGCCACATCTGTGGGGCCTCAAGGTCTGGTCTGCAGCCCATATGGTATCATATTAAAAGTCTAAGTCCACGTGAGGCGTGCGTATTAAGGAATATACCACCATCCCCACCACCAAACAATGCTACACAACACAGCGAGCATATGCACATCATAGCATAGCACGTACATCACGCAATGCCTGTCTCAGACCAGTATCCCTCCTGCAACTCGCATAATTGTAACTCGCAAGTGTGGCAAGAGCTGCAGTCAATCAGTGACCACTGCTTTACAGTTCTAGGAGCCTCTGACGCTGAAGTCAGCAGCTAAAATGTCACTGTCTGCAAATCATCACGCAGCATGCCTTTCTTTCAGATATGCCCACGTTGCTGCACACCCTTTTGCAGCATCCTCAAAGAGCGCCTGTTCTTCAGCACTGTGCACGTCCCTAAAAGTGTCTGGCTGTTGCAGAATCTTGGTGCTGATTGCATCGTGCAGCTTGACCCGCCAGGCCTCAGCAGGAAGGGGCACTGGGGAGCAGGATCTCCGCAGCATGTCATTGTACTCCCATTGTGACACTGGCATGGCGTCATTCTGCACACGCACATGCCGCAACATGGGGCCACCCTTTCTGCCCATAGAAACTGGACAATGCATGCTTTGCCTGGGGAAAGTCTTGCTATGACATCACGAGTGTGCCTGTAGAAGATGGGACAGTGATGTTTGATGTGGGTACGCACCTGGCAGTGTGTATACCGCACAGGGATAGAATTCTTCTCTAGGAGTCTGTAGAAAGCTTCCATGTCAGCTTCCATCTCCTCACGAGAGGGCAGTGCCACCCTTCCTGACAGTACTTGCGCCACCCATTTGGCCTGCAGAGGGAATCGCACAGCAACTCAACAGAGCTCAGAGCTGAGTGAGAGCCCTATTCTGAGCCCACAACAAGGTGGCGGTGTGCAGGAGGTGGCCGCCTTACCTGCAGCTCGAATTGGGAATTCCGCAAAGACTTCCAGAGGAGACCAATGAAGGCAAGCGTTGGGGCCACTGCGTGGACAAGCATTTAATATTGAGTATAAATAATCTAACAGAGCGCTTGCAGGCATCAGAAATTGTTGAAGCCTTGAACTGCTGATGGAGATGCTCACCAGACGGCACAAATATGTGTCTGTAGAGGGGGGTCACTCGGTTGTCATCTGCACCAGCATAACAAGCATTGGTCCTCTGATTGACAAGAGTAAAATAGAAAGTCTCAAAAGGTCTCAAGTGACACTCATCCAGGATGAGCAACATGCAGGAGAAAAGTCCTCTCGCAAAGTTAATATGTGTCCAAGTAAGTGCTGCTCGCCTGTGGAAATCAAGCCCGTGCGCTCCAAGAAGGGATATGAGTATCGGTACCCGGTGCAGTACACAACAGCATCCACGCCCTCTGCAGTAATGCCGCCTGAGAACTCTGCGCTGCCATTGCCGCCAAGCCTGGCCAGCATGGGGACGCGCTGCAGATTTGGGCGCGTCTGGGAATCATTGAGCTGCTTTCCCCATGTGCGCGCACTGTGATAGACGTGCAGAGCCACATCTGCAATCTGTCGAGCTATCTCCTCACCTGCACCATTGCCAATGCAAACCTGTTGACGATGGAATTGAAAGGCGATGTATTGCCAGAGAACAAACTCATAAAAACCTTTTCTGTAGCATGCTGGGAGAGAATGGTAAGGCTGCTTACCAGAAAAGGAGGCGCCCACGACGACCACAGTCTGATCTCTGAACCGCTCAGCATGCCTGAAATTGTGGCAGTGCATTTGTAGGCCAGGGAAGTCGTCCAAACCCTCCACATCAGGCTGCCACATGCACACATTGATGTGAGCTCTCGCCTCAAGAGTGCCACTACAGTGCTTTGATAAGCAACTGTCACCAGCTCTCGAAAACGATTCTCTCAATAGAGTGGCTTCTCAGGTAGCATGGGTCGTCACCAGATTGGGTTCATGGTAGTTTCCCACAGCAACAACTACTGCATCAAAGACATCTGTATGCCTTTCTGGCACCTGCATGGATCACATTACATTAAGATCACATGTACCAATGAATTCCTGCATGTTCATGGCAGCATCTGTCTTGCACTGAACACCTGCAGCACCTGGAGGTCTGATCCCGGCAGCAATTCTGTTGTGATTACCCATTGAGGGCTAATTGAGAGCGGCTCTTCCCCATTGCTGCAAAGACCGTTTGAGCACGCCTGCTGGCCTACTGTGTAATCAAGTGGGGAGACTTCCACAACCCGGGTGCTGAACTGGATCAGGTCCCGCAGGCCAAATTCTTCAACAAAGGCTTCAAGAAAGTGTTGCACCTGCGCCAGTGTAATTTGTTAGAACAAGGCAGCTTGCAATGCATGGGACTCTGTTCTTCACAGTATGGCAACTACAAAAGATAAAGGCCGTAGTGTGGTCTGCAACCACCTCTGTGTGATGCGGATATCGCCTGCTGTCCTGCGATTTGCCACGCATGGCGTCTGGAGTGAAAGGGAAATCCGAATAGGACATAATTTCCCTTGGCAGATTGACACGCAAGCTGCTGTACCTGTGGATGCAATGGGAAACTTTTTAAAGCCCTGGTACACCCCCCAAACACACCCCAGGTATAGTACATCACCTACAAATTTAGGTGGTGTGAGCTCAAGCTTGAGTTCCAGTACGAGATATATGTACTCACAGACTGCTGTGAACCTTCCTTCGCTCCGGACATCTGCCCAACAAATCGTCCTCAACCTGGACACCGCATCAATTACAGTATTAGCGAGGCTCTTTGCAGCAAGCTTAGCACTATAGTCAGTTGTCAAATTAAATGCATCAGATGTTTTCAAGGCCTGTTCTGTGGGTTTTCCAGATACCCAGATGTTTCACCTCGTCCTGATAGTTCCAGATGCCACCAAAGGTTTGCCCTTGCTCAAATACCTGCGTGACCAAAGATGTCAGCCAGAGACCCCACAATATTTTGTGCACTATGTTCAAGATTAAAACTTTTCACAGACCTGTACGTGGTGCCCCTCTCTGCTTAATTCCCTAGCAGCTACCAGGCCTGCAGAACCAGCTCCTATAACAGCCTGCAGCGCCCCAAAACAAGCGACAATCTCTTTTATCGCAATCTTTTATCGCATCAAACATATATTGCATGCTAATTATCTAAACAGCAAAGTATATTGAGATCAATCGGATGGTAGCAGGACGGCTCAATGCCGTCCGCATCTCGTCGCACCACTTTAGAGGCTGACAGCGACTGACACCGATCTGAGCCTCCTGACTTGAGATCAAGTGTCTCCATCACTAATGTACTACCTGATTCCACAGATGTCTTCTGAAATTGAGGTTTCATTTTAACAGCAATGAGCACGTGCCGACATGCCCCCGGCGGTCTGCAAGCAGCAGACTCTCGTAATGCTCTTTGGGTTCTGCTATTGCATTGGCAGATACCGCTACCATCAGAGCACAAGCCATCATAGCGGGCGCACTAATCCTGAATCCCTGATGTGTTAAATGTATTGCAAGTTGACCCTACGTGCATGCTCAAGTAGTAGCGCAGCGCATGCGTGGTGGAAATTGCAACAATCAGCAATCTCATCATGATGTTGATCTGATCAGCCTGAAAAATTGCAAAAACATCTGATCAGATTTGGCCCAGAATGAATGCGTTGTGATGTATATTACAGTACGTGCAAAACCCAGCTGACGAGCATGATCACAGACGAGGTCCACATGCATTCAACTGCTCAGAACTGAAAGAATTTCAGGAAGCATTTCCTGTGATGAAAAAGAGTCCATTTGCTGAGTAGGCTGGAACACAGGTGATAAGGGCGCTGCATTGTAAGACTTCGCTTGCTGCTCTGCGGGTGGTGTCCCATACAGAGTTGTTCGTTGGCGCGGTGTGCGCCCTGCCGCCAGGATGAGCTCCTCCATCCGCTCTGGAGGCAGCTCCTGGCCATGCTTCGCACCTGTGCACAGAAGTTGGGCAACCCCTTCAGCGTTGCAGCTTACTACTCTAGCGTTTGTTGCCCTGATCGAGCCTAGAAGGCAGAAGAGTTCTCTGGAAGGCTTTGCATAAAGCCCTTGCATGACAAGTGACTTCAGGGTGGAACTAGCTTATCTGAGCAGCTGCTACCAGGTCATCACAAATCCACCAGGCGGTCAACAAAGAGGAGGGAGTTGGAGGCAGTTTTAATTATTTCAAAGGTATATCTCAGTTGCTTTGATTAAAAAGCAATTAAGGGCTGCCCACCGGCAGCTCGGGTGATGGATTCGTTCATGATGCTGCCGCCCATATCATTGCAACCGCTGCTGAGCAGGGCGGCTGCGCGCTCGGGGCCCATCTTCACCCAGGAAGCCTGAATGTTGGGCAGCGCAGCGCCCAGCGCCAGGCGCGCCACGGCATGCATCAAGAAACACTCATGGAGCGTTGGCCCCCGCCGTGCGCGACCTGATCAGGACACACTTTAGCCCCTCAACCTTCTCCCGGCGTAAAGCAATCAATGTCGAAAGGCCTTGAGCTGATCAGGACACACACAGACCCTCGCTGTCTTGCTGCGCAGAGGGTATGTAGGTAAAAAGGGTATGTGCTGATCCTCCAAAATCTCAGGGGCAATTAGCTTGATCGCATAAAAAGAGCAGAAATAGAGTCATGAGACTTTTTTGCAACACTGCAGCAGCACAAGAAGAACTGGCCCTGCAAAAGAAGCAGCTGCACAGTGCTGAGTCGCTAGAGCAAGCGCAGAGAAAGCAGGGCCCACCTTTCAGGTAGATGGGGGCCTCCATGTGCACAAAGGGCAGCGGCACGAACTCGGTGACGCCTCCTGTGCGCTGCTGCAGGGCGCGCAGAGCGGTGAGGTGGCGCGCCCAATTGCGGGGCCCGTCCACGTGGCCAAACATGATTGTCGAGGTCGTCGGCAGGCCCACCTCATGCGCTGTCTCTATTACCTGCAAAGCAGGCCATGTGTCACAGATCAACCATCTGGGCCAAAACCAGTGTCACAGATCGGTTCAGATGGCTGCTTTTGTACACAAAATGATCATCTATTACCAAACTGCGCCTAGTCTGGTCTGTATAATCACTGATCCGTGACACCATGTCTTCTTGATGTGCTGGTCTCAGCCCATGATGTGCCTTGGCAAACCACACCATAAAAATACATCCGTGCTCAAAGGCAGGGGGCGGCACAGAATGGGGGGTAGCGACTGTCTACTAAAGATTAAGGACTCAGCAAAAGGGCAACATCAAGTAATGGGTCTACCGCCTGAACGTGCCTAAAAGTCCCACCGCCCATCATCAAGCCCAGAAAACAAAGCTCTTGCCAGTAATACCTCCCATTAGCAAGCCTCCACTGGCAGCACGATGCAAAGGTTTGCAATCATGCAGGGCGCTTGCATGCCCTTCACATGCAACACAAATGCAGGGGGTGAGAAAGTTCGCACCTCCAGCCAGATCGAGGTGGAGAGCTTGTCCGGGCAGATGATGGCGCGGATCTCATCGTCCAAGACTTCTGCGGCCGTGCCTGGCAGGCTTCCCAGGCCGGCATCCCTCAGGGCTGTCAGATACCTCCGCAGGGACCACCCCAGCGTGGCAGCTCCCTGGGTCACCTCCAGGGGAGAGAATGCGTGCACATGCACGTCCGGCGCGCCTGCTTTGGCCGCGTCCAGCAGCCGGAGGTAGGTGTCACCTGCAAGATGAAATTTAAAACATTGAGGCACCTGCTGTCCATATCTTCCGAAGCCCTTTCAGGGTCTTGATATAATACAATTGCATCACTGTCCTTCGTACTTTAAATCAATTACCCCTAACAGCTTTGATTGAGAGTATGCACATGATGTTGTTGCTGTCACAGCGGCCGAGTGCTAAAGGAAAGCTTGCAGAGAGGAGACACTCACCCGTGAAGTCGGGGTGGATGCCGCCCTGCATGCAAACTTCAGATGCGCCGCGATCCCAAGCCTCGGCCGTTCTTCTGGTGACCTCAGAGTAGGGCAGCAGGTAAGGCGCCCCTCGCAGCTCCTCCGCCACGCGCCCCTTGCTGAATGCGCAGAAGCCGCACTTGTATGTGCACCTGTTGGTGTAGTTGATGTTCCTGCAAGGCCAGTCAAACAGCGCGCTGGTGAGAATGCCTGACATATCTGCGAGTTGAAAAGCTGTCTGCTTTGAAAAGTTCTCCGCACTTCACAATTAGTGGGTAGCGCACAAGCAGGGACAGATGCTGACAAGAGTGCACATGGTGAGCGCCAAAAGCACCTGTTAACTGCATACGCCACTGTGTCTCCACAGAGCCTCTGCCGGCTAGTGTCTGCAAGCCACAAGAGATCTCTTTAATTATAAGGGAAATTAAATGTTGACAGTGTGTGCATAAGGATATTGAAAACTCCGTCAAAGCCAATGTCATGCAGCACCCACCTGCAGCACGGCATACAGCGTCAAAATCAGCGCCTCTTGCAGAAAAGAGAGCTGTTATCTCATCTTCATCAAGCTCATGTCCATGATTGAGAACTTGCTCTAGCAGCTCTTCCACCTGCGCGGTCCAGAGTCCCAGTACTCAGGGTACCTTGCGTGGACAGTGACAAGAGACATTCCTTGATGTGCACAATGGCAACTAAACATTCAGCGATCAATGGAGCTTGCCTCTCTCGATGTTGAGGGTCCATCGCAGCCCTTGAGCAAACCGTCAGCACCCAGCTCAACTTGCCACCTCCTTTCACCCTGCTTCATCCTTGGCAGTGGAATGCTGCTGTGTTGGCTTCCTGCACAGCAGTCCTTTCCTCACATTTCTGTCACCTGCTGAATCACTGGTAAAAGCTGCCCTACACTTTGCTGCGAAGCTGCCTGATCAAGGTGACATACCTGAGTGGCTTGGGCTTGCACGCACATCGCCATTTCTTGGCAGTACCAACTCTGATGATTCAGGCTGTCCTTCATCTGTGTCAAGGCCAGGACACCAGTTGGACCCTCTGGCTAGGCCACTGCCGTCAGCCTGTCGAAGCACAGCAGCTGACACGCTGTTTGGGCCGCCTGTGCCGTCCAGCCATCTGTTCGCTTGCTTTACAGTTTCTGGGTACACTGTCAGCCTGAACACAGCAGAACATATTGAGTGTGAATGAGAGCCCCCTCAGGGCATGAAGATTCCTGTTAAAGGGAGAAAATGAAGTCGGCACTGGAAAGAGTGAATATAGGCTTGCTGCACACCTTGGCACAAGGGCTTTGCCACATGCAGCGACTGCTGCTGCCAGGTCAGCCACATGCGGCCACGGCTTCTCAGGATTGACATAGTCCTTTGTCAGAGGGGAAATGCCCCCAAAGTCATTTGCGCCAGCATTTATCAGTGCCCTCCATCCCAAATCTGCTCCAGCAACGCCTGGCCATACACGCTTAACACTCTCAATACTTCCGATCCAAGATGCTGAACTTGCCAACATTACCTTGCCATGCATCTGCAGTAAACTCTCTTTATTTCTTTATACAGCAGGAATTGACAAGTTTTTCTCTACTCCTCTGTGTGCTTCTTCACCTGGCGTCAAGTTGGGAGGTGCTTGGACATTCATTGATGGCCCAAAAAGGAGCCTGGCCACAGCAACAGTCCAGAGAAGCTCTGTAAAGGGAAGCTCTGCCGTATCAGCCATTGCTGTGTTCTTCTTTGGTACAAAATTCTGAATGATAAGCTCCTGCATGACGCCATGGGAGTGAGATGACACAAGTCACACTTCACTTGGAGATATTTCCCGTTCTCGCACTTGACAAGCCTGCATGTATGCTTGCAAATGAGTTACAGCTCTAGGATATGAGAGGCACACCTGGATGTGGCCATACTTCTGGTGTAGGTCTCTAATTGCGAGCAAGGACTCAATCCTCTCCAACCGCGTCTCTCCAATACCTGTCAATATGCCGCTGGTGTAAGGGACTGCTCCCTGTCCAGCTGCCTCAATCGTCGCCAGTCTCAATGCAGGTTCCTGCATAGCACACCATGATACAGGTGCATTTCTCTGCAACGTCCTTGTAAATGTTATGGAAAGCCCAGATTGGTCATGGCGGACATATGGCCAACCTACCTTGTCAGGACAGGAATGGTGTGGCATGCCAGGCTCCATCAGTCGCCTGGAGGCAGTTTCCAACATGAGCCCTTGACCTGCTGACACGCTCCGCAGAGCTTGTACCTGAGAAACAATAGTGGAATTCTGGTGTATGTCCCGCCTACATTTACTGAAAGCAGAGAAGTACCAAATGCGGCAACAAGTGCTGCACAGCTGTCTGACAGCCTGCTGGACCAAGGCGGGCTGCTGACCTCTGCAAGGTTCATGGTGCCCGCATTGATGTGAGGGAGCAACCCAGTCTCTCTGATGACCGCAGCTGCAGCAGCTGCCACGTACTCTAAAGTTGTCTCGTAGCCCATTTGCCTTAGCTCGCTCCTCGCCTCGGGATAGAGCAATTCTGGCTTGTCGCCTGCACCCACAGCACCAGTCAGGTCAACAGAATATTCGAGCAGAGTCATGATCATGGACATCACCAACGCCTCTCCTTTGCAGGTGGTGGCATATTTCTGATGTAGCATCGATAATTCATGGCATTGTAGAGATGAGAGATGATGGCGTGCATGCTGCGCTCACCAAGGGTGAAAAGGACTTCAATGGCACCCTGCTGTGCACCAAGGTGAACAACTTGCAGCACCTCATCCAGAGTCATGAATGAGCGCCGGCCAGGCACTGGTGGCTGCGCAAAGGTGCAGTACCCGCACTGGTCTCGGCACAGCCTTGTCAAAGGAATAAAGACCTGTGAAGCAGTTCCAGGATGTTTGAGTAAGTAACTTGGCCATCATTACATTTTTTAAAGGTCCAGCATCAGAAGTGCCGGGTCTGACAGTCTGGCAGATCAGTGCAGCATGGAGGAGTCAAACCTTCGGGGAGAAAGTTACAAAGTGGTGATAGGCATCTCGAACGATTGCTGCTGCATTATACAAGAGCAAAAGATCCTGTTCTTCATGAATGTCTACAAGAGGTACAAGTTCCTGCATGCACACAATCAATAATGCCATGCTCGGTGAGTCTGGAAAGATCTATACGATCCGTGATCATACTTATTGCCACGAAATAATGAGGATGTATCAGATATCGCATGGGGATATGCGCTACAAAATTTGCACCTCGCGAGTCGCCACTAGCGGAGCGCATGTCAGTCTTTCAACAAGGTCTCGGGGAAAGCTGTGCACGCGATGTGACGCTAGATCTCGACGCGGCAATTGCAGGTCAGAACAGTGAAGGTGGAGATTTGATCGTCTATTGCATAAATGAAATGGAGACGTATAACATTGGAAACTGCTCAAGATCATCGCAAGGAAATTTAGAGTATTGGTATTGCAAAAGTGTCCTGTGAACTGCGTGCTGTCTGCAGACCTAGACTTTAATAATTTACAAGGCCAAACTAGCTGTTGTGGTTCTTCCACATGTACCTGTGCATGCCCTCTTACGAAAGCCCTCTTACAACCCTTCCTTTAGATTTGTGATCTCAAGATATTACCCTAGCATGCAACTTGTGCGCACTACGTGCTTGATGATCTCTTTTTTTGAGAACCATTAGAAGTCAGCTCATTGGTGTAGTCGAAAGAGGAGATTTTTTTAGTAAGCTACCTGGTAAGTGAATGCATACGTAGTACAAAGCGAGTTATAAGAAGCCGCAGTCTTGAGGGAGTTTGGAATTTCCTAACCTCTGACATCTTCACAAAACGACATTTGTTGTCGAATGAGCACTTGAAGTTCCTAGTAACAGATCTTAGCTGATTTGTCCAGCTGAGGAAGAAGCCTGAGAAGGCTAGATCTGCAAATAGATTTGCCACTGTTTGGCTGCAACCTTTTGTGTTCTTTCGACGATTGCTTCCATCTGGACTACAAAATTACCAATTAAAACAATCTGATATTGAGACATTGCAGTCATGGATAACATGACCAGATTGTACCGTATAAGGAAAACATGCCTCGAAATGCTTCACGATCGAGGATACCTCATAGCCCAGGTAAGTGGACTGCACAGCACTGTGAATTTATTTTATGCATGTAGACAGTTACAATGGACCTCGTCTGTTGCTCAAGCAGAAGAGAAATTGGTCCAGTGAAGTGTCTCTCAGAGGCATTTATGGTGCAGGACGACCGGCAAATGACAAAGGAGGGCTTTAAGGACCGTTTCGGGGACGATCCACGGAAGGATGACTTGACTGTCCTTGCACCAAAGCAGGATGATCCCACAGAGCAGGTGTAGTACTGCCAGCATTGCATCAACAGGCAGAAGTTGCCGTGGCCTCATAGTCTTCAGAGCCCCTTGTTCTGTCATGTCGATCAACCCTGGATCGTCACTGACGGGCATGGCGACTGCTATGCAGATCTTTGTGTTCTACCCCGAAGAGGACAAGGTGGGCGTGAAGACAATCAAGACGTTTGCAGAGAGGATGCGCAATGAAGGCGTGTCCAGAGCCATCATGGTCACCATGGCCAGCATGACACCCTTTGCGAAGCAGTGCTTGGCAGAAATGGCTCCCAAGTACTACATCGAAGTGGTGCGTTGTCCACATCCCAGTGATTTTGCAGCTCTCCTTCTTCAACAAGGAGAGCGCTTGCATGGCGCTCCTACATCTTGGTGAAAATGACCTACACTGACAAGATGCCCCACGTGCAGTTCAATGCCGCAGAGCTGCTAATAAATATCACGCAGCACGTGCTGGTGCCTGAGCACCATCTGTTGACACCTGAGGAGAAGCGCACGCTGCTGGACAGGTGCGGCCTCTGCTTCAGACCGCCTGACTCCCACGTGTTGCCTTGTTTCACATGCGGCTTCAGCGGCTCTGTTACTCTTTCTTTCTGTACGAGTGGCTGGCGGGGGTTGGTATAAGTACTGAGCACCGTGCCCACGATTGATTGGGTCTTGCTTGGGAGCCTTCACATGCAGCTTGTCTGCAGACACACCTTGGCTGTGGCAGGAAAAGTGTGTATTAATAATAATAATAATACACACACAATTAAGTCTCACTTTCTCTGGCGCTGTGATGCGCAGATACAAGGTGAAGGACACGCAGCTGCCCAGGATACAATTCCACGACCCTGTTGCGAGGTATTATGGCATGCAGCGCGGCCACGTTGTGCGGATTGTGAGGCCTTCAGAGACTGCTGGCCGTTATGTGACCTACAGGCTATGTGTCTGAGCCTGCGACTCTGTGTGGAATTGCTTGTTAGTGCACCTTTGGTCTTGCTGTATTTCAGTCTGTATAGCAGTCGGGTGCAAGTGGGTCTGCAAGTGGGTCATGCAGGTGCTGTGTGAGGGAGGGACAGCGTTGTGAAATGGATAAACAGCTGCACAGCTGTAGTCAAACTGTCATGCTGCCCATGCAGCATATTGTGCAACCATCCACTGCCAGTGGAAATTGCTTGGCAATGAAATGATGTTTTATTGGATTTAGGAAATTAGAGATCATCAAGCCTTCACTGTGATCTGAGACAGTCATATCACCATCCTTCTCAAGGCTTCTGGCCTGGCCCTAAGCCTTCTTGGCATTGTGACACATGGTGGACACAGACAGTTGGTGTCCAAATCTGGAAGCGATTGCCTCCTGAGATGCCAGAGTTTCTTGTCGATCTTCATTTCGAGCACCTGATCGTGGGAAGTAAGGTCGTTCACTTCGCCATCGATGTAAATGCGTCCTGCTGATGGCGCACTATTTTGTTGAAAATCCGTGAAAAACTGTGACGCTATTATGCTTGTGCAAGACGTCGCAATGATTAAACACAAGTTTCTTGTGCCGGCAGCATTCGGGCTGTTGGTCTTATTGACGCTAGGCTCTGCAACACCGCTGCTGGTTTCAGAAGGCGCGTCAAGAGGGCTTCTCGCCTGCGCACAAAATGTACAGCTGTTTGCCTGAAGTTGATCGAGAAGCTTTGGTGCCTCGGAATCGTCTAATGTCTGACGACTTGCATGCAAAAAACAAGTGTACGTGCTGTGGCAGCAGTCACAGCAGTAGGTCACGTACCTAATTCTTCCTGGATACAGAAGGAGAGAGCCTCAGCCATGCAGGGCGAGCCCTGTCACAGAGCTCCTTTGTCCAGGGCCAGGGCCTGGGGTCGAGTACAGGATCCGCAAACAGCTTGATCACTCTGGCCCTCCTGAGCGGCGACACAGCGACGGCACAACGACTCATCAGGGACCAACTCACACAAGGACAAGTGGCTGATGTCTCTAGTGCCTTGGCAGCTGCTGCAGCAAATGTAACCTCCCATCCACAGCATGCATTGTGTCCCTCTGTGACGATGGTGATACAGTCACAGTGAGGGTCTTTCATCAATGTGCATCAATTTGGCATCTGTTACTCGCAAATCTACATTATTGGCACCTAGTGATGAGCCCTTCTCTTGTGCAGGGCAACTCAGATGCAGCAGCGAAGGCCCTGACAGAAGCTGTCACATCCGGGGCGCCAGCGAGCACAGCTGCCCAGGCTCTTTCCCAGGTAGAGCATTATTAAAAAGCACCGCCATTAGTCACTAGGATATGCAGACCGAATTTTGCATCCTGCCAGACAATTGATGTCAGCCTGATGTCAGCCCAAAACCACCAGCTTCAGCCATTTGCTGCTGCACAATCCTATTTTTAGCAACTTTTGTGGCTTTATAAATAATATTTGTAGACATCTTCAAAGCCACATTGGCTTTCAGCCAAAATCCTGAGAAGAAACACTGATGTCGGGCTACAACCCTGGTGCAGTGAGTGTGCTGCTGAAGGTGACTCCATTGATTTGTTTGTTTGCTTGCAAAGTTGTGCATCTCACATGATCACCCAAATGTCTGCAGGCGACAGCAGGGACGTCTATGGGAGCCGGCGACTCTCCGCCTCCAGTTATCAACACATTTGGCAGCCCCCCACCCTTTACTTCATTTGCATCGGGACCACCGCCCTTCACTCAAGGATCTCCACCGCCCCTACCCCCCGGCTCTCCCCCACCTGTGATGCCATGCCACCCAGATTAAAAGTGTACCAGCTGTCGAGAGTCAGCCAATACCGCATCTCAGCACATGTATTCTAAGGAGCACAATGGAGAATAAAGAGACAGGGATGTGTCACTACTTACAAGCCCTCAAGGGAAGGTTAGGCGTCATTGCAGGATTGTCAATAGACTGAGATTTTCAGTGTGCCTGCAGGTGGCCACCTCAGCAGTTCCTCCAGCCCCCTCACAGGTTGCTAACCCTCCTGGCAAATCAGATTACAGGCACCATGCAGAATTTAGCATTCTGCTTTCTGCCTTTCAGCCAGCTTTCGTTAATCAAGCACGTTGAGTGTTTGCTGGTGCAGTTCCAGGATGCCACCCAAAAGGGTGACACGCAGTCCATTTCAAACTCGCTGGCAAGCTCCACAGGAGGTGTGCTAGCTTGAGTCATTGCCAACTGTCTGCATATACTTTAAGTCTGACTGCTATGCAGATCATTTGGGGTGGGTCATTGCATGTAAATAGTGCTCTGCAATGCTGCACTGCAGGCAGAGTGGAGTCAATTTCCAGCTCAAACTCAGCAGCCTACACACAGGCAGACAATGCCATCTCATCGGCCATCAGCGATGCTGTAGCAAAGGTATTGTCCGGCTTTTGCATGACGGCTGTCTTGCAGCTTCCAACGGAACGATCTGAGAGAAAACATGCCATGGAAGAACGTCCTGCTGGCATGCAGGTCAAGGGTGGCGGGGATGCGAATGCTGCTGCAAACGCTGCCAGTCAGGCGATTGCACAAGCCATAGCAACCGCCTATGCTTCAGCTTCCAGCAAGACCACAGTGCAGGGTGTGCTGTGCTCAGCCATCTGCTTTCTATTATCATAGAATCCCCAAACATAGCAGGTCTGCCCCTTCAGCATGCAAAAAGCACATGAGTGGCTAATGCTGTGCCAGGATCTGGTTTTGGAGCGGCAGATGCAAGTGCTCAAGCAACAGCAACCGCTAAGGCCACGGCACAATCCATCGCAAATGCCATCGCCAAAGCCACCAACAACAATGCACAGGCAAGCACTGCATACTGACTCTGGAGCCATTGTTGCACCGCGTAACTGACAGATCCTCCATCAATTTTTGGTCCACAGTAAGTCGGGCCACTTGAATGCAACAGTGCAACGTTGCTTGTATTCCTGTTTATGCAGGCAGCGGCGGCTGCCAGCGCCTCAGACCTGCAGACAGCAATTGCAAAGGCATTTGCCAGTGCTGCCACGTCCGTGCAGTCTACAGGTTGGTCCTCTCATGCAGAGCCATGGACCCTCTCAGAAAGCATCGCCACAGTATCACCCCTGGCTTGTGTGCTTGTGCAAAGCGTCTCTTCCATTGACCTTGCAAGAAGATTGTCTAGCACAGAAAACATGCTGAGTTGGCTCGCTCTTTGCACAGCGTGCTACTTCTCAAGTCAAGAAAGCCAAACAGTACCTGCTGCATCGCATCAACATCTCTATTGACATGCAGCTTTTTGTTCTGGTGTGCAGGCGGCACAGCTCAAGCAGATGCCACAGCAGTGTCAAAGAATGTGCAGACGGCGATCAGTCAGGCAATTGCAAAGGCGCTGGCCGCAGTCTCCGGCAATCAGGCCAACACCAACTCAAGCTCATCTGGGGGCTCGCCAGGGAGTTCGGGGAAGTAGCCAACGAATGCGCCAGAGTGATTCCAGTGACTGTTGGGGGCGAGCAGGAAGCTTGAGCAGCTGCCAGGGTAGGATATGAATGTTTAGTCTTTGTGACGAACAGAGTGCTCTGAGAAGCTTGGCAAGAGACAAAGACGATGAAAGTTTTTGTGTGATTGTGAATCTGCCATGGCAGTGCGACAAAATCTGGAAGCAGCAGCTGCAGTGACCAGAGAAGATCCGGATGCTGGATAAATTTTGAAACATTTATTTTCATGAGACTGCACCTCCTGTATATTTAATGCTACAGGTGATGTAATACGTGTGCTTAAAAGGATTTTCATGCCAGCATGCTTGTCTTATCGAGGACTCCTTGCATTGTTGCTGTCCCAGGACAGGTGGCATACATGCACTCAATGCAGACTGGGAGGATCTGCCGAGATCAATTTGGGATCAGCCTTGCGGGCGTGATCGCTTCAAACGCTCGTCAAAAGTGCGGTCATATTGCACTTTCTTGAGTCGCTGAGGAGTCTCCCTGTTGATACACTCTGTGCTGTCTCAACAATGGGGATCGGCCGGCTTGGTGTGCTTTTGATCGTCTTGGCGACGACTCTCGCTGCATGCACTGTGACAGCGCGTCCCGTGCAAGGCAAGGCTATCTCGACTACTGGAGCCCAACTACTGATCAGCTTTTGATTGGGCTTGAGAAGAGACGGGGCAATATAAAATTTCTGTTCTTGACCACGTGCACGCTGGAAGAGTCGACTGCGTAATTGATGATCAGACACCATCGTACCCAGCTGATATGGATCGTCAGCTGCAGCTTCTGTTTGACTCTCGATGTGCACAGCAGGAGATCATGTCGACGGTTTCACTGGCCGGAAGCTCTTCCAGTTTGGTGGTTTCAGTGGTTTCTTCCAGAGCAGCTCCTCGTTGTATGATCAACTGACACGGGCACTCCTCAACGGCGACATCAACACAGCACAGCGCTTGATCAATCAAGGATCCAGGCAGGGGCAGACAGGCGCAATCGCAACAGCTCTCTCCACTGCATCTGCAAACGTACGTGCCACTTGGAGGCTGCAGCATCAAGACTACATATTGATCCCTCCTGCTTGGCATGCTGTAGCCATGAGATGCCCTGGAAGTGGTGTACAGGCAGCATATGACTTTGCGGCACCTTCAGGTTGGCAGTGCAACATGTAGAAAGTGAGTAACCGCAATTCCATGCAGGGTCAAAGCCAAGCAGCAGCACAGGCGGTGACACAGGCAGTCAGCCAGGGTGCTCCAGCTGCCGCAGTCTCCAAGGCAGTTGCGCAGGCAAGCGCGCAACCCATGCTACTCCTCACTCTATCAGATCTCCTTCTCAGTACTGCTACACATTCTCTTCCACACTAAGCGATGCTCTCTTGTGCCCTGCGCAGGCAACAAGCAATGCGCCAGTGACAGCTGGCCCTTCAGCTGCACCGGCCCCTCCACAGGTGTGAGCTTTCAGACAATCCCTGATGCATGCATTAGGCCATTAAAAGTCTTGCGTCACGCTATCCTCATCTGTCGCAAACGTCATCCAATGGGAGCATTCAAGAGCATGACATTACCATCATGCATGCAGCTGCAAGACGCAACTCAGAACCAGGACACCAGTGCAATTGCCAATGCCCTTGCAGTCTCCACTGGCGGTGAGCTATTCCACTGGTGATCATGGCTTTGCTGTGTAGTGGAATGCAGTGCATTTTGAGTCTTCATGTCTATGGGCAGCTGTGTGGCCGCAGCAACTCATTTGTTATCTGCATGTGGGATGACAGGCAAGGTTGAAAGCACAGCGAGTGCCAACAGCGCAGCTTTTGCCACAGCAAATGATGCAATCTCTACTGCAGTGAGCGACGCAGTGGCGAAGGCAAGGCCACGCTCTTCAACATGTGCTAGTATCTTGTACATGACACTGCTGGGCTGCAGTGCTCTCCTTGGCTCCATATCAATTTTTTTATAATTACTATTATGATTTCTACACGCTTCTCCTTCCGGAGGCAAGGTGCGTCTGCAGACAAGCTGCATGCTGCCACATATCCAACCCCTTGATGGACTCGCCAGGTCCAAGCAAAACCCAATCAACCGCGGGCACGGTGCTAAGTATTTATATCGTCCCCGGCCAGCCAGGGCCAACTCTATATGTTTCTGCTTTGAAACAGGTGAAGGGCGGTGGAGACGCCACAGCAGCAGCACAGGCACTGGCCACCGCTGTGGGCACGGCGATAGCAACCGCTTATGCCTCAGCCAGTGCCAAGACCACTGTACAAGGTGACAGCCTTCTGTCGCACACTCACATTTGCTTTAAACCACTTGAGAACAAAACACTGGGCAAATCAGTTCCAGCAATATCTGGGGCACACCACCTTGAGTGACACCCTGCATGCAAGCAGTACATGGGAAATCTTCCAGTCCAGTTGTCACTAGCAGGATATCATGTGTGGAGTGCTTCTATTGGTCGGCAGTATCCTGGGCCCCGTCCTAAGCGCGATCCGCTGCATGACTCTGCAGCTCTCCCATCTTCAATTACAAAAGCCATGACCGCTCAGGTACGAACAAAGAACCAAGGGTCAAAATTTCAGAGGCTGAATTTGGGACGTATGCTGCTTTGCAGGCAGTGGCGTGGGCTCTGCTGATGCCAGCGCCACGGCAGCAGCCACGGCAACTGCCACAGCTAAAGCTTATGCTGATGCAGTGGCTAAGGCCACCAACAACAATGCTGCAGCAGTCGCGGCTGCCAAGGCGTCAGACATCCAGACGGCTGTGGCTTCTGCTCTTGCAACTGCCAGCGCCAGTGTCCTCTCCACAGGTGCCCCATCAACAGCTTGTTCAGATGGCATCTCAATTAATTATTATTGTACCGCTCAAGGTGGCGCGTTACTTAAAACTTGCATGTGATATGCTGCTATTAGTACACGCTTGTTCCAGCCCTCAGGGCTAGGTGCATGGCAGCAGCCTTTCAGTGGTTCCACTGCAGCCTTCCCTGTCTTGGCATTTACTCCACCACTGTTTTCTCCACCACTGGCATGTCATTCCCATGGTGCAGACGATACAGCAACTTGCAGAATGCGTCAGTCCCTGCGTGCTCTCAGATGTTTTATGAATTGAAGGTGGCTTAGTTTTAGTGTGTCCATGTGCGTGCAGGCGGCACTGCACAGGCAAACACCCAAGCCATCTCCACCCAGGTCAGCCAGGCGGTTGCGCAGGCCTCTGCCAAGGTCCTAGCAGCCGTGTCCGGCAGCAATGCACAGAGCGGGTCCGCAGCGAACAGTGGCGTTGGGAGCTCTGGCAAATAGACATGCCTGGTTGATGGTGTGGAGGATTCAAAAGTCTGCACCGGAGCGAAGGGCTGGTGTTTCTGCAAGTGTCTTTCCTACGAGAAATTTTCAATCGAGATGATGATGAGTCTACGGCAGTGGCAGAGTCAGACAGCCTCAACTTTGCCAAGGCCACGGCATCCGCAGAGCAGCTCAGAAGCCTTGATCTATTGTGTAGAGTCTGGCAGCGGCAGGGCCTAGGAGGAGCCTTGATTGTAGAGTCTGGCACTTCTCCCCAGTCCACACCAATCGCCACATGATACTCGCTGGTACATTGTGGCGTATCGGTGCGAGATGGATTTTCAATTCTTCCCGTATTTAGGAGTGAATAGGAGTGAATACCAATAAATATGTCAGGAGGTAACTATTGGATTGCTTGTGGTCCTTCATGACCACTGCGACTCCAAGCAACCAGCCGAGGCCGAGCTTGTGCAGGAGAACAGGGCAGTGGCACAGACAGACAGGCGGCAGAGCGTGACTGTCATTGTGTATTGAGATCATCAATGGCATGAGCAGGGAGGAATTCTAGAACAGAAAAAAGGGATTCTAAGTTCACACAGTGCTAGCAAGCTGTACTGTAATGTCACGGACAAGCTGCTGCTAGAGATGAGTAGATGGAGAGTGTGTTGTCATGAATGGTGGAACGTGATCAGTGAGCTCAGCTGTGGTGTTCCAGGGTTGTTAATATCAGCACTTCTCGATCAAGGAAGCTCCCAAGTTAGAGGCCTCAGCCTCACCTCAACACCTTGAGGCAGTTCACGGCCCAGAGAAATTAAAGCAGGACCTAGAAGGGAGGTTGGCGTCCGTCTGGTCACAAATTTTCCTTTCTTAAAAAATACAAAGTGCCGTTGGCAGAGAGAGAGAGAGAGATTACACTTTTTCCAGCCACACAGGGCTGATTAAGCGTCCCACATATCTCAAACCATCAGTAGCACACACATCATGAATACCCGAAAATATGCATCCCAGCACGCAGACAAGTATCAACTGCCAAAAAGGACTGCAAGGCTGCTTGTGGATGTATGTCGGTCCAAACCAGCGACAAGTCAAGGGCAGGACATGGACGCAAATCACAGGCCAAACAGATTGTGCGTGCTGCGGGTGGGTCCAGCCATTTGCTGTCATTGTAAAGACTGCCCAAATCCTTGCAATAACAGCGCTTCTCGGTGAAACAAGCAAGGGGGGTACCCAATGCCCCACAATGCTTGCCGCCACCTGTATTGCTAAGCTACTACACAGCAGCATGTAGACCCGTACCGAACCAGCAATGCAAGGTCACCAAACAGATCCTCAGACCTGCACTTGTACTGTGGATCAAGTACCCCCACAAGGAGCACAGCTGAGTGGTTTGCAAAGGCACACCTGGACTGGCAGGTGTTCAAGGAGCTGCAATCAGGTGAAAACTGCAGGAGGTTAGACTGAAATCTCCTCAAAGCCCCAATACAGCTTGTACGCGCTTTGTCCTAGGTTTGGACCAGGACCCAGAACATCCTGCCTGGGTTTTGCAGGGCACACACAAGAACGCAACACTGCAAAATCTGCTTGTTCTGTAAAAGGTCTCATGGCCATTTCTATTACTGCGGTCGATTCTTCGCGTCAGACAATGATGCAAACAGCCGTCGCATCCTTCTTTTACTGGTAATGGCGGCTGGCGGCTGTTGCCTCTTCCGCCCCAACCAAAGCTTGGCCGTCCTAGATATTTTTACTACTGCGTCATTAACATCAATTTATTATTATGCTTCCCAGCCGCTATCGCCTGGCCTCTGTCTGCTCCACTTTTGTATACCCACATTGTTGCTGTCAGGGCCGCCTCTGTTGAAGCGTCGCTTTGTGCCCGGCGATTATTTCGTCTGATTACGTCCTTTCATTGAATTCTCTGTGATGTTGCCTGGCTGCTGAAGCCCGACCCAGTTGATCAGTGGTTTATGGTGATGCCGTTAACTGTAAAAGGGCCGCCTCTATCGAAGCACCTTGCCCAGCCATTATGTATGTTGCCATGATTGTCGAGGAGCCGGATCCCGAAGGACCCAGGCCCCACCAGGAGAAAGCCATGGGAATTACGTTCTGCAGATTGCACGGACAATGGATGTTGATGTAACATGACGTCAGGACCCCTGACAACGCCGCCAGAGCACAAGCCTACTAATCATTGAATGTTGGGATTTCGGAAACATTATTTGGATCCCAAAAAGAAACCAAGGTTGCCTCGACAACGCAGTTCACGCATGTCGTAAATTACATTTTCCCACCGACACATTGTAACCTTTTGAGATTGCCTCATCGGACAGTTATTGTCCGTAACGCCGAAGATCTGGTCATCTAAGTAGAACCAACGTTTCGACCGGGTTGCTGAGGCTTTCACTGTAGCACTGACGTTTTATAGATGTGAAAAGGTATAGCTTTTTGAAAATGTCACTTGTCTAAACTCTTTCTCGCGATGTTATCATCTTTGTACAAAATACGGACGTGCACTTCCAGAAGCTAAAACTTCGCTGTCTGGGTGCGGGAGCAACCATTCGGTGATTGGCGGTAAAAGCAATCTTTCAGGTGTGTCCTTACGATAGCTGGTCAAGCCTGAATGTCTGCAGCGCACAGACCGGCACATTACCAAGCTTGCAAGCCAGATCTGTGCTGATGACAAGCTGCTTATCAGAAAGCAATCTTGGGATGCAATGCCTTAAATGCAAAGGCACTGTGGTATTCACATCATGAGAGCTTGTAGGTGTCATCTTTGAGGAGGCACTAAATGGAAGTGCCTCCTCACAACAATGGAAGTTGCACTGCACAACAGGAAACCCTTTCTGAAGGGTAGGCTCCAAAGGCCACAGCTACACTCGATCCCCGCCAGCATCCTAACAAGGGGAAGACGGTCCAACCATGCTGCCACCGCCCCTGACGGCCCGGCAATGTCAGATAATTATCAGCGCCACATAGCAGTTATGGTATGCTTCGTCCCAATTTACAGTTATTTCCTGATCATATGTGGCCAGAGTTGAGTCACTTCAGTAGCTTATTTCACTGATGCTATGTCCAAGTGGACTGTCTTGAGTGCTGACAAACCAGAAGCAAAATTGACATGCACACAACGTCACTGCAGCAGAAGCTCGGAACATTGTCTCAGCAAAACCTGGAAATTTTCAGCACAGAGTCTTGCGCACAGCTCCAGCTTGAGTGCAGCCCAAGATATTCTCTCGATTCCAGTCAAGTTCTTGTTGCCACACACAGATGGGGCCAATTAGGCCAGATGTCTGACAAGTCGCAGAAAAGTTTGGCTCTATGCCTTGCCCATGTGTGCTAGCACCAGAGGAGCATTTAAGCTGCCTTGGCCCTGATAGCTGATCTGCACTTTGCAGCTGGAATCTCCTTGCAGCTGGAGGCGGTTGTTGGGGCTGCTGATGCTCCCGCAACCAGCATGCTGAGCTGGCGTGCTCTTGAAGGCAATTCTGATCACAGCCCATTTTCAGACCCATGTTCAAATGGGCTGTGATCAGTAATTGCCTTCAAGAGCACGCCAGCTCAGCATGCTGGTTGCGGGAGCATCAGCAGCCCCAACAGAACACGGTGGAGGGGGCCGCAGAGAAGCTGGGCAGGAAGCACCTCAACAAGCTTCACCAGGTGCATCATTACTACCAACCCTGGAAGCTAATGGAAGCTTTGTAGTACCAGTTTGATAAAAAGGTGAACTTTGTTTAATGCAGAGTTTTTGGTGCAGGCTGGCATGTTGATGGAGACCGATCACGAAGACGAGGACCGGGGAGACCCCTCCCCGCTGCTGAAGGCTGCAAAGCGGATATGGATGCGCAAGCGCAGCAAATGGAAGAAGTCTGGCACCCAGTTGAAAGTTGCTGCACTGCTGGTGGAGATGGATTTCCCTAACGAGCTGGAGTACCCCACCACGGATTAATTTGTTTCCTACTCTGACGCTACAGGCCTGACACTGCTTGGAGGCCCATGCGGTACCCCAGCCACCTCCGAGGCTTCTGTTCCATTGGCAATGTAGGCAGGGTTTTTAGACCGGACGATTGCACACACCTTTTTGACTGAATGCCTGGTGTGCTGCTGTGCAGCGCTCAACCTTCTGGTAGAAGTCGACGGGCCCCACCATATTTTTGCGAACCTTCAAGGCAGCGTCTTTCCAGTGGCCTCCTGAAGGTTCGCAAAAATATGGTGGGGCCCGTCGACTACAGTTTGTCATGGCTTTGTGTGCTCACGTGGTTGCTGTTGACATCAACCTAAGTACATCCAATCAGCCCTGAACGGTATTTGAGACAATGTGTAATTTCCACCCTTCCTTCCTTCGTACGCGCCAATATTAATAGCTATACTGTTTAGGCCCAGGTGATGCCTTCACGCATGATGTTGACATCAAGAGCTTGAATCCCTTCCCGTGGGTCATCAGCCAAGTGACAGTGTGGTGCAGAGCCACCGGCAGCCTGGTACTGGTCTTCAAAGCCGCCGGCGGCCACGTGGCACTATAGTTACTATAGCAACCACAGATAGTCAGGGTGCTAGTGTATCTCGAGTTAATCCGGAAAGTGTACCTGAGAGCCCTTATATAGAGCAGTGGGGGCAGGCCCCCCCTCCAGACCACTCGACACTGACTGGCCTGCCTAGTCAGATATCCTGAGCAGGCAATCTAGACTAGTCAATGGATATTTGTAATGTGGAGGGCATATAGTCCTCCCATGCGCTACACCAGTCTCCCCCAACTGAATGCTGGTCCCCAGCATTTAACTGAAGCTTTTAAAGCATTCCCTAGACTGATGCACGGAACTTGTACTAATTTGGAGGCCAACCCAAATTAGATAAGCTCAAAGATATATCTGTGATATCACACTGTGGGTCTTCGCTGCGTATCGCCAGCCGTCTTCCATTTCATCTCAGACACAGTGCCAGACCCTCCTGTGCACAGGAACACACTCTACATCAAAGCTCTGGCAGTAATATATACTGTCAGATGTGTCTGTTCTTAGGACGTCCTGCTCCAGTATTCCTGGAGCCGTTCAGGGCAGTTGACAAGATGAGCTTCTGGTTCCCAAGTGTCATGGCTGCGGTCAAAACCACGCCACTGGACATAGTACTCTTTCTTCAGAGCACCCCTGCCCCTGCGTATCTCCCTATGAGAAAGGATCCTTTGGACCTCAAACTCAATCTGCCCGTCGACAGTGAGTTGTGGTGGTGGCGGTTGCACCGCGCCATCCGACCTATAGTGTTTGAGCTGACTGGTATGAAATACATCATGAATGCGCATATTTGGTGCCAGCTCCAGCTCATAGGAGGTCTCAGAGACCTGCTTTGTGATCTTGTAAGGACCAATCCATTTGGGCATCAGCTTTGGGGTGCCAGGTCCTTTCAGGCTGATGTCAGCTGTGCTGAGGAGGACATCTTGTCCTACCTGAAAATCATCCTGGCGACGCCCCTGATCTGCATAAGCTTTCTGCCGCTGCTGCGCAGCCTCCATGCAGCGTTTGGCCCGAACCAGCCGCTCCTGGAATCCCTCACAGATATCTAGCGCTGTAGGATTCTGCACAGCATTGGGAATCCTTAGACTTGGGGGAGTCAGAGGATTCTGTCCAAAGTTGATCATGAATGGGCTACTCTGGACACTCTCTTGATGAGCATTGTTGATGGCAAACTCTGCAGCTGTCAAATGCTCATCCCAGTCATTCTGCGCAGGATCAACATAATGGCGCAGCATTTCAATGAGTATCCTATTCACCCTCTCAGTCTGCCCATCTGTCTCTGGATGGAAAGCAGTAGACATCTTTCTATCTATCCCCATCTGTTCACAGAAAGCTTCCCAAAACTTCCCTGTGAATCGGGCATCCCTATCAGACACAAAGTCCTCTGGGACGCCATGCAGCTTGACCACATTATCAATAAAGAGCTTGGCTGTCTCTGCTGCAGTCACTTTGTCACTGGTGGGCACTAGATGGACCATTTTGGAGCACCTATCCACACAGACAAAGATTGCCGTGTGACCAAATTTGGTCACAGGAAGGTGTGTGATAAAATCAATGCCCACACTAGCCCAAGGCCTGCCAGGAATAGGCATGGGCTGCAAAAGACCTGCAGGCTTCACATTTGTGGGTTTGTTGCGCTGGCATGACTCGCAGACTTGAACATATCTGTTCACATCAGCCTGGCAGGAAGGCCACCAGTACAGTCTGCGCAATAGCTCTTCTGTGCGCTTCATACCCACATGACCAGAGAAAGGATGATCATGAATATTCCTGATGCACTCATGCCTGAGACTACCCCCCTCTGGAATATATAAAGCGTCTCCCCGCCACCAGAAGTCATGGTCTTGGCGGAGAACCTTTCTGTGATGCTTATCTTTCAACCAGGCATCTCCCTGGTAGGCTTCCCTAAGCTCTGCAAGGAATTGGTCCTGATTGATCTGAGCCTGATCATCTTGTTCTGATGCAGCTGCGGCAGGAACGTCAGTGGGCCTTACCTCTGTAGCTGCCTCTGTACTGGGAGCTTCCGCCGCACCCTTAGCCTTGCGGCACGTCGGTGTGCTGACAGGAGAGGGAGCCCGTGGAGTCCCATTAGCCCGGGGGCACATCTGTGAACCCTCCGTAGCCAGTGCGGGTGCAGTTGGCTCGGCGACTCCCTTCTCCCTGTGGGCCCGTGACCTGGTAGTCACATACAGAGTCAGACAGGGCATTCTGCTCAAGGCGTCCGCCACATTCTTGAGCCCAGGAGTATGGACCCACTCAAGATGAAATCTGGCCAGATACTCAGACCATCTCACTTGTCGTGAGCCCAGGGTGCCTTTGGTAGGCAGATAAGTCAAGGGCTGATGATCTGTGATGATCTTCACAGGATGGGGGCTGCCTTCCAAGTAGGCACGCCACTTGCGCAAGGCAAAGACCACAGCCAGCAACTCTTGCTCTCCAATTGTATAATTGCGCTCAGCTGGGGCAAAAGCTGCGCTTTCATAAGCCACAGGCCGGCCATTTTGCATCAAAACAGCGCCGACCCCGGAGCCACTGGCATCTGATCTGACCTCAAAAGGTTGTTCAAAATCTGGCAGCGCTAGCACAGGCGCTGACTGCAGAGCCTTCTTGATCCACTGGAAGGCTTCCTCACAATCAGGAGTCCAATTGAAAAGAACATTCTTCTTGGTCAGCCGAGTCAGAGAGGCTACCTGTTGGGAATATCCCTGCAGGTAATGCCGGAACCAATTGGCAAAGCCAAGGTAGCCCTGGACTTCCTTCACTGAGCCCGGGGTCGTCCAGCTCTGAATCGCTGCCGTCTTAGCAGGATCTGCCCTGATGCCTTCAGAGCCGATCAAGTGGCCCAGAAAAGGGACCTCCTGTCGTCCAAACAGACACTTGCTCAGCTTCCCATAGAGCCTGTGTTTCCGCAGCAGATCAAGGACAATGCGGAGATGCTCCTGATGTTCTTCCTCAGTCTTAGAGAAGACGAGGATATCATCCAAATAAATCAGGACAAATTTCCCCAAGTGCTCTTTGAAGATCTCATTCATCACCCTTTGAAAAGTTGAGGGAGCATTAGTGAGCCCGAAACTGAGCACCTTGAACTCATAGGACCCAAAGGGTGTCCTGAAGGCTGTCTTATTGACGTCCTCCGGGGAGATCCTTATCTGGTGGTAGCCAGATCGTAGATCTAGGCTGCTGAACACCTTGGCACCCTGCAAGTGATCCAGCAGCTCATCGATACGAGGCAAAGGATATTTATCCTTGCGTGTCTTGTTATTGAGATTTCTATAATCAATACACATTCGTTTGGTCCCATCTTTCTTGGACACAAACAGTACAGGAGCCCCAAAAGCAGACGTACTGGGTTGGATAAACTCCTTCTTCCGTAGATCCTCAATCTGTTCTTTCATTTCACGCATCTCTGCTAGGCCATATCGAGGCCGATATCCTTTAGCAGGTGCGGCATGGGCATCGTATGGGATTACGTGGTCTACACCAGTCCTTTCGGGAGGCAGCCCTGCAGGCAAATCGGATGGGAAAACATCATGATATTCACGAATGAGAGGTCGAAAGGTATCAGGGACTTTTTCCCAATCTTGTGGATCCAAATCTGTTGGATCTGCATCCTCGTCCACGCGTTCAAGGTACATTAGCCTATTCTGGCTCGGGATGGATTCCTCATCCTAATGTAACTTGTACTCACGCTTGCCAAGGTGGACAACACACGTGCCGTGTCTCGGCTTTGGCTCAGCATCCGTTTGGATGAGCCAGTCGTCACCCAAGATCACCCCAAATTCTTTGGGAAGTCGCACAACATGACAACAGACAGTGATTGTGGGCCCTTGCAACTTGATCGTTACGTTGCAGAGCCTCCGCGAAGAGACTTCGTCCCCATTCGCCATCCTTACTATACTCGGGATCGGAGTCACGATGGATCTCAGGTCCGCCTCTTGGCAGAGCATGTCATTGACAAAGCAACTCGAAGATCCTGTATCGAGCAGAATTTTTGTTTTCCGGCCAGCAACCTCTGCTGGGAAAGACATACTGTGCCCTTGGCCCAGAGCCTTCACCTGAAGTGGTTGGCCTGGTGGATCATAGAACACAGCAGATTTCCAGGGCGTCAGTATCTTTTCTCTTACACCATCCTTATTGATCTGTGTAAACAGGGGAGTCCCCTTTGGATAAGTGCGAATGCACTTCATTCCCATCAAGAGCGGCCAGAAGTTTGCCTGCCGCCAAAAAGGGACTAGTATACACATACTTGTGCTCGTGGGAGCTCTGGCTTTACAAGCCAAATGATGCTGGAGAGCCAGCCTGAGGCAAGAAATCGGCGGATTTAACCAGGTATGGTGGCCTCGCTGGTCAGTGCATTCATAAGGTCGGTCCGGTAAGAAGCAAGCATCATCCAAACAAACTGGATTACAGGCACCAGCATTTTCAGCAAACCCATCTCGGGTGAAAGGTCTGGTCTCTCGAGCAATCGCATGCAATTCATCCTCATCAAAGTGATGTTGGCCACAATTTGTCTTAGCAGCGACAGACATAGTAAACAAAGATGCATCTGTCATTTGTTCATCTTGTCTCAGCAAGCTCTCTTGCTGATGATCTTGAACGCTGCTTGAGTCTGGTATACACGCTGCGCTAGTCTCTTCTTGACTGTCTTGTGCCACAGTGTGGCTGAGGGGTTGTCCAGCGCCAGCATTTGCCGTCCCTGCAGATGGCAGAGGAATCACTTGGCTTAAAGACTCTTCTTGGGCACCCTTGGACTGCATTGTGGCCCTTGCACTGAAGTTAGGTGATCCCATGAGCACAGTTTCTGACTGCGCAGATCTTTGAGGAGAGGGCACGCACCATGGAGCACTGGTGTGCGGCGGTGCATATGCTTCAACGCCGTCCTCTACCTCTTTGGCGACCTCGCCCTCTGCCACGGCCGCCGCCGCCCCTAGGGGTATCAAATCTGATCCAGTCAGCGGGGACTTCTTTGGCTGAAGGTGTGTGACCTTATGCACTGTCCCATTATCTTCTGCAATATATGCCAGATCTTTCTTGATAGACAAGATCAAGGGAGGTTGATACCTATTGCGCAGGTGCGCCTTGTCTGGGTTATTGTTGATCTCAGGGCAGCTCCCAATTTGATGATCTCCCCAACAGAAGAAGCAGCGCTTAGCGTTGCGCAGCAGCGCCTGCAGAGTTGGGTTGAAGGGACGAATTTCCTTATGGTCCCTATAGGCCGTCACGCTGAAGCTAGAGGCCGGGCTGCTTGGGATTTCTGTAAAAACTTCTTCAGAGTAGCCTTGGCCTGTCTGTTTGGGCTGCTGGTTGCCCACAGCATATGGCTGTCCTCCTGTCTGAGGGCGATCTCTCTTGCGCTTCTTGAAGGCGGATTCTGCTATCGTCGCTGGCTGCCCTCTCATCCGCTGAATGATTGAGATGTGCGACTGCAGGTTGGGCAAAGCTTTCTGCAGCCGCTGGTCAAAGTTGAGGGCATCATAAGTCTCTTTCTGCCCTGTATAGTGGGTGACCATTGCGACATGGAGTGCTTCTGGGAGAGCTGCCAGCCAGCGGTTCCACAGCTCTTGATCGGTGAGCCCACACTGGTCTGACATCTGATGCACCAGCGACTGGTAGTCTCTGCTAAATTTTGTTATGCTGTCCACCTCAATCAGCGTAGGACAGGAGAGCTTCTCAAACTTTGCTTTGGCCTTCCCCTTCTTGTCTCCAGTGATGAAGAACATGCTGAGATATTTACAGAAGTCTGCCCAGCTGATGTTTCTGCCATCATTTGGGGCCTGTTTGCGTGCATGTCCCCAATAATCCCTGGCCTGTCCTTCCAGATGGGTGGCTGCCAGAGATGCCCAACTTGCTCTGGGGGCTTGGTGAGCAGTTAGGATGCTCTCAGCATGTTCTTGCCAGTCTTCAAAATCTTGTCCGGGCGCACCGCTGAACGCTGGGATATTAGAGATCAAGCGGTGGAATTGCTGTGGCGGTGAGGATAGATTGCTCTGCTCTGCTGGGGTGTCATAACTGCTGGCAATTCCTTGGGCCATAGCCTGGATCATTTGCGGTGGCCTGTGGATCCCTCCAGCTGCATCTGTAGCTGTCATGTGCTCAGCAGTGATTGCCTGCAGGGGTGGCGCATGTGTTTGGAACTCTGTGGAGACTTGAGGCCAATCTGCTGTGGAGACTGCGGGTGCTGTGTGCATCGGCTCATCGCCCGCAATCTCACCATCTTCAGTCACTGAGGTAGGCTCAGCCTCCATAGGATCATATTGATCCATCTGCTGTTCCACAGAGCTCAAACGTCTGTCAATGCCAGTCCACGCTGTCTGTGCCTCTCGGCGGCTGTAAATAGTGCTGCGCATCTGTCTCATGCTGCGCTCGAGAGCATTGAGACGGGCTGCGCTTGCTCTGGCTTGGCGTAAATAATGGGACGCCAACAGACGGGGACCGATTTGCCCGCTGCAGAGATCATCTGTGCCATCTTCTGCATATGATCTCAGCAGCGTCTCATCTGAGACATAATCTGGGGCCCAAAGATTAGCAGATGCTAACAACCGGGACCGCCGAGCATCATATCTGGTTGCATCTATTGCTGCTGCAGGTTTCCTTCCCAGATCAGGGAACTGAGGCTGCGTAGTTGACGGCTGTGCTAGCGCATCGTTCACAATGCCCATATAGCGAGGCATTTCTGCTCTGGGAACGGTTCCTGCTAGCAGACTTTGCGCCGCCAAGGAGGGAGTGGGCTCCAGCTGGGGCCCTACCCTGGTGACAGCCGGCATGGACAGCTCTGGCGCTGATGCCCTCGCAGCTCCTGGGAGCTGATCTGCCTGAGGTCCAATACTGGTGACTCCCTGATCCATGCGCTCTGTGGGAAGCATGTGCGCAGGTCTCAATTCTGGTGGGCCTTGATCAGTTCCAGTTGAGACACTGGCCAATTGTCTTGTCAGAAACTCTTCGATTTCTTGATTTGAGGAAATCAACTGGCCCCGAGAAGTACCTGTGACCCCTGTATTAGGATCAGTGCGGTTTCTTGCAGGTACTTCGTCACTGCCCGGGGACGTCGAATAGGCCAATGCAACACCTTCCGCCTCTGCGTCATCGTCTGAGTGCAGCACGTTCTGCTGATCGAGGTGACCTGATGACAGAGAGCTCGGCGAGAATCCCACGTCGCCTGGATCCTCCAGATAGTCCGAACCATCAGGATCGGGTGCAGGCGAAGCCCTACCGTGCATCAGATGCTCAGTCAAAGCCTGGCCATGGCGCCTCAGTGTTTCCTCTAGGAATTCAGCAGCATATTTGCTACTCCAATCCGGCTGCTTGGTGACTCGATAACTGCGGACGTGAGCTGCTTGAGCGTCTTTGGCTTGTCGCTCAAGATCTTTATGCATCTGGTCAGAGTCGAAATGCGGTGGGAGATCTCCCCGCTCAATCATCTGATTGAGCTTCATACTCTCCTCCTCATATCCTGGAGGAAACTCTTGAGATAATAGGTCTTCCATGAGTGTCACAGATCGAGGGCTGCTGGCAGCTGCCATGCCAAGCCGTCCGGTAGCGTGCAATTGCAGCTTCGTGCGAGGAGCCATATTTTACATTGTCAGAGGGTTGTCTTCAACTCTCCGAAACCATATAGCAACCACAGATAGTCAGGGTGCTAGTGTATCTCGAGTTAATCCGGAAAGTGTACCTGAGAGCCCTTATATAGAGCAGTGGGGGCAGGCCCCCCCTCCAGACCACTCGACACTGACTGGCCTGCCTAGTCAGATATCCTGAGCAGGCAATCTAGACTAGTCAATGGATATTTGTAATGTGGAGGGCATATAGTCCTCCCATGCGCTACAGTTACTATAGCCACTAGCTAGTGTATACACTGGTCACACGGTGTGTATAATGTGGGATGTGGCACATGCACAATGCACACAATGGATGGTAATAGTAATCTTTATGATGGCGAACCCAGAGGATCTGAGCCCAGAGAGCTCTGCCATGCATGTGACATGCATGCGCAGAGCGCAAGTTGCATATGCATGGCAGCTGCCTGCGCAGGCCTGGTGGGTGAAATCAGGGCGATTTCGGCGGTATACACATGGTGGGGTACATGGTAAGGGATATTTGTTGGTAGAATGTTGACAACTTGAGGCACCAAAAGCTTTAGCATGGTCAAGTCTCTTGAATTGCATGCTGTATGATCCATGTCCTCTTTTGGCATGTCTGGGTCGATACGCTATAAAAGCCATGCTGTGCTCTGCCTTGTGACTTCTCCCTTTCCTGCAAACAACCCATCTTGCTCCACTTGCTCGACGAAGGCATTCAATTCTGAAGGGCAGGAATCACGATGGCTGGAAAACGACGCCAAAGTGCACGCACAGCAACAAAGGCGAATTACATCGGCGAGAGGTTTGCTATTGGTGTTTAATTTCCTGTTTCAGGAAAATTTTCCGTTGTAGCATATTGATGTGCCACATTCTTGCATGTTATGGGAATTACTCTCATTTGCCGGTGATCACGCCCTTTTCTATTTTGCAAAAGACAATCTTGTAAGTTTTAATGGGATGTCTTGTGAGCAGCGATGCCGATGACCACAATGCGGAGAGCGAGAATGATTTCGTGGACAAAAATGAAGCTATCAGGACAATCAGCAAGCGCCACAAGGTATGTCGTTTTGAACCAGGAATCACAACCCAAAATTGAATCCAGGAGCAGGATATTCACTTCGTAGACAAAAACAGTGCTTATCTTCAGCTATGGCCTTGCAAAGTTCTGATATCTAATGATGTCGATTTTGCTTGCTTGATATCTTTTGTGCCTACTTGGTGAGAAATGATTGTGCCTTGACAGAAAACACCTGTCAAGCCAAGGGCGCGCAGGGGCAAGAAGGCTGATGAAGAAGCTGTCGCGCACAGTGCAGATGACATCTCACTGCTGGGTAAGCCCTAAGCTGAGAAGCGTGGTGAAAAATCCTGACAGTATCCTGTTACAAGGAGAGAGACAGGCATGTCAACCCCACTTTGGCTTTTGCGCTGCAGGTATCGTGCTCAATCACTCTGGGGCATCATCATCTGCAGCCAAGGTGAGAAATCAGGCATGCTTAAGGCAAGGCCTGACAGTTTGAATCTTGACGGGCAAGATCTCTGTATGACTGTCATTTGTTCTTCCACAGGAGTGGGTGGGCCGCTATCAGGCAGACAGGGCACAAGCTGCTGCAGAGCTCTTGACGCTGCTTGTACAGGTGAAAAACAGAATACATGCTCGTGTAGGTGCAGCTTGTACACACCAGGCACTAAGCAGCTCCAAGCAGTGTGTTGACATGCTCTCTGAAATATACGATGCACCAGGCATGCGGGTCCTCTCAGGCAATCACCATGTCTGATGTGGACGATGGAGATGTGGATGCTTTGGTGAAATCTCTGATAAAGGATGTCAGCAGCAATGGCATCACTGACCACTTCCGTGGCAAGGGAACAAAGAACTTCCGCGCCCACTACATGGAGATGTGGGACCAGGTGCGCATAGATCTACACTTGAGAGTACCTGATTCTCCATGTATTGCTCTTCAACCAAGACTGGAGGCTACACATTACTTATGGGACTTCTGTGCAGATCATGCGGGAGTGTCAAAATGCGGATGTGCTGTGCGATGGCTACCTGCTCGACAAGGTTGTCCACCTCATCATCGGCCTCAACTGGTGAGCATGATCATTATTCATTTGGCTTCATAGAAGAACTTAGCACATCTTTCCGTTCTACCACAAGCTTCGAGCAAGTTTGTACAATCCAGCTAGAATCTAGTGTTGCTGACGTGTTGTGGGGGCATCGTCCAGTTCTGTCGTGCGCAGCTTCCGCTTCACGGCTACGCTGACAGCTCAGCAGGTGGTGACATCCCTCATCCGGGCGATGCTGTCACTGGGCGAGGCCCGCGAGACAGCCCAGCGGCAGATGGCTGCAGAAGAGAAGAAAAAGGGCTCCAAGGTCTGTCCGCAGTGCTGCAGACAAAAGTTAGCTGCTGCTTACCAGCCAGAAACCATGCAAAGAAGCGAAGGGAGAGCATGGTCCCATGAGTACTAGAAAGTACTCCTTCTCTTCAAGCGAAAGGCTGCCGCTCAAGGGCATGACAACGTATAGCAGTGCCTGAGACATTCACTGGCAGGCAATCCCACTGCTGTCCGGGCAGAGTTGTGCTGATGCCAGTACTGACTAGAAAACCTCCTTGATACCAAGGCATCATCCAGCAAACGTACACACCTCCTAAACGACTGCCAGAGCAAGATCCATGGATTCTATGTGGTGTGCAGGCGGGCGCGGATCGGGTGGCGGCCTTTCAGCGCACGCTGAGCGCATGCCACCGGCAGGTGCAGGAGCTGAAGGGCGTGGTGGGAAGCCTCTTCCAGGCCGTCTCCGCGCACCGATTCCGGGACGTTGCACCGGATATCCGCGCCGTCGTCATCGCCGGCATCGGGTCGTGGATCTGCCTCGACCCCACCGACTTCCTGCAGGACAACTACCTGAAATACGTCGCCTGGGCCCTCTCCGACAGGGTGCGCAGTCATGCCCTGGCCTTCAGTCCAACATCGATGATCTCTAGGTCGGGCACCCTGTGACAATATGCACAGCAGGTATGTGCAAAAGTCTACAACCCTACTTGTGGCAGGGATTGTAAAATTGAAAGGAAGCAGAGGACAAGTGGCAGCCATGACAGTCATGGCTGCCAAGTAGTGCATGTGGCAGCATGCAGACTATCCCAGCCGCGCATTATGTATCTTATGGCCAATTCTCACAGCTATGACCTGCTCTCTGCACTATATTGATATTGATGCATGGGTAAAATTTGCCGGAGAGCGAGATCTACAATCTCATGTGGATGCATGTGTTGACAGGATGCGGGGGTGAGGGAGATGGCGCTGGACGCGCTGCTGGAAATCTACAGCAACGAGGAGAATGTGTCGCCGCTACACGGCTTTACTGGGCGCTTCCAGCACCGCTTTGCCGAGCTGGTGTACGACGTGGACGAGGCCGTGGCCGTCAAGGGTGTGCGCCTGGTCACGCAGCTGGTCCAAGCCGAGGAGATGCCACAGGACGAGGTTCACACTTCACTCATCCCAAGAACAAATATACCACTCATACAGATGCAGCTGGTTTAAGTCGAGGAGATGCCCCAGGACGAGGTGCACACACCATTTATCCCTTAAATCACCACAGACGTTACGCGTTCACAGATGCAGCTCTCTCTGACAGCCATGAGGCTTGCAGTGCATCTTACTGCCCCTTGCTGTATGCTGGCTTCACACATATTTCACAGCTTCCGTTTTGCTGCCATACACCACTTTCACAGAAGGGACTTTCCAAAGGCATTTGTCATTCGTATAGACTTGTACTTGAATGATGTCCTTCTCAATAGGATGCTTGGCGCAGGTGAGGGAAATCTACCGGCTGCTGGTGGACAGCAGCGCGCCCATCAGGCATGCAGCCGCCGAGCTGGTGGCCGGCATGCTGGAGGAGCAGGGCCAGCGCTTCATTGCACAGGCATGCGTCCAATCTATTTGAGATCACCATGCACATGCAAAGCATTGCACAACACAAGAAAGCCACATGCAACATCAGAGAACATCTGAGTTGAATGGTCTGGTTTCCAAGCTGCGCATGGTCCCAAAAATTGAGAATTCCAGTGCATACCAAGTTTTGGAGATTAGAATGAAATTTTATTGGAATTTCAGTAAATCTACATCAAGTCAATGTAGACTCGAGCATGTTGTTGGTGTGTGGTGCAGAGCCCTGTGAAGGGGAAGCGGGGCAAGGGGGCCAAGAAGACGGGGTCTGCAGACCTCCAGCTGGCGGGCGTGCTGCACATCATGAAGCTGCTGGGGACTCCATCCAGCGCGATAGGGGACGCATCTCCCCTCGCATCCCCAGGCGGCCGCCGCAAGTCTGCCGGCGGCGCCGAACGGCCCCTGCAGCCGGAGCTCGTCAGCCATGTTGTGGACGGCCTCTTTGACAGGTGCTGTGCGAGCAATTTATAGCTAGCAATGTTTCTCACTGCCTCCCATCACTCTTCGCCGTGACTTTCATTGACTGAACCTGATTCGGACCTTGTGAACAATCGAGGGTGCTGCCAACTCATGCTTTCCAGTGCTTGGGACGTCATTGCATTGATATCAAGTGAAAGCTAGACAGCCAAACGTGTGGTGCAGCGTGGAGGTGCTGCAAGACTGGCATGCCATTGTGGAGGCGCTGATGGATGACCAGGCAAACGAGGCCCGGGGCGACACGGCCACCACAAACCTGATCACGCTGCTGGCTGCCACCGTGCGGACTGCAACCGGCGGTGCACATGCAGGCACCCGCACCGACTCCAGGTGCACCCCTGTCCTGGGTTGCGTTGCTGTGCAATTGTTGTGTGCCATGTTTGAAATTCTGTGCTGTATACAGTACCTGAGTTTCCTCTTTGAAAAGATGTTGCAGCTATGTTGTTTGGGGACTTATGTATGCTCATGTGGTGTTTTATTTAGGAGGGTGGCAGGCAAGGCTAAGGCGGCTGCCGCAGCGGCCAACGCGCGTCAGGACGTCACCCTGGCCCTCAGCCAGGCCCTGCCATCCCTGCTGCGCAAGTTCCAGACCGACCCAACCAAGGTCTCCCCCGTTTGTTCTGTGTCACACCCCCTGTGCCCCCACATGCCTGATGTGCTTCATGAGTTGCACTACAGCCTCCCAGAGGACAAGAGGCAGGAAAAGACCTGTCCACCTGCGGATAAGAGCCCCACTTACCCAAAATTTACCCGCTTAGAGGTCATCTGGGGCCTTAGGTCCCAGGGAATTGTAGACAAGAGGGAAATTGCAGCAACCTTTCACAGTGAAGACTTTTCCAGGCCAGAATTGATCGAAGAGATATGTAATTTTCTGTCATTACCACTCCTTTGATCTCTATGAGAAGAGCGCTGCCTATATTTTAGGGCTGGGGTTTAGGATTAAAACTTAATCATAATAAAAAAAGTAAAGATATTTAATTTCGAGAACATATAGTTATTCTTGGGATGGGCAGGTTGCGGCGCTGGCGGGCCTGGTGCGGGACATGAAGCTGGACATCTGGAGCCTGAAGAGGCAGGAGGACAGCCTGGAGTCCCTGCTGCAGCTCATTGCGGACCTGCTGCTCAAGCACTCCCAGCCGGACGCCCTGGATGCCTGCCTGCGCACGCTCGCACACTGCACCACGCAGGGCAACGACACCATCCAGGTGTTTTTCCCTGCACCGACAGCCTTCATGGCAGCCTTTCTGTTGCCTCCAAGACGTGCAGCTCCATTGTGAAGGCCTGTGGCACCTCCTCTCCTCTGAAGTGGCTTCATACATGCAAGAAGCGGCCTGTGATAAAAGGTATTTGCCTAAACATCAGGTGGCTGCTTAAATGCACCTTCTCAATGCCGTTCGTCAACCAATCACAAAGTGGCAAGTGGGCGAGCTCTTCTTGCCTGGTTCCTGTGCTAGCACACTGCCTGGTGTGGTCACTTCAGGGCTGATCAGTTTCACAGTTCAAGTGTCTAACGTGGTGTGCGTGTGTGCCAGGACAAGGCGCAGCTCATCCTGAGCTCTAGTGTGAAGGCGCTGACTCAGCGGCTGACGGCCGCCACAGACGCAGCGCTGGCGCTGTCAGACGCTGACCTGGAGGCCGAGCGCGCAGCCGGGGGGCCCGTGGACGGCAGCGGCGGCGACACAGAAGAAGGCGAGGAGGCCTTCGCACTGCGCGTGGCGCTGCTTCGGCTGCACCGCCTGCAGCTGGTCTCCGCTGCCGCGTCCGGCGAAGCCGCCCTGCAGAAGAGCCTCACCAAGCTGCTCTCGGTGCGGACACGCATCCATGCTAATGCATTTGTACAATGCCCGCTGTTTTCTTCACACAGCGCGTCTCTAATTGCTGCTTGGAGAGCTTGCTGACATCACCATCACCATGGCTTGCGCATCCAAGGGCCCATGTTGGATTACCCCAAATTGGGCTGTCCGGATGATGTGACTATCCTTCCTCGAGGGCATGCCCCCTGGAGGCCGCATCACACTTACCATCCCATAAATACCTCTTTCTTTCATGCGAACTCTTGTGGTGCGTTTCCACAGGCGGCTGTGAAGGGGCGGCCGCTGCCTGGGCCGATACTGGTGATTGCGGCAGAGAACATGCTGATGGCGCTGATGTGGCGCCTTAGCGCGCTCGAGGCGGATGGGGCAGGTCCGCCCTCTGCATCCGCCGTGGCCTCCCTGGGCAAGGTAGTCGATGCGCTGGCCGGCCACCTGGACGACATTGCTCTGGCGGAGGATAGCGAGCCTGTCAAAGACGCCCTCACCCGCGTGCAGGCCGACCTCTTCTTCATCTTCAGCGCCGAAAAGATCAAGGTGTTGGTTGTGCACCTTTCTTTATGAAATAAGTGCAATTATTCTTGGTGATGGAGTGTTTAGGGTGTTGCATCTTTGACTTGTGGGACGCAAGAGGACCAAGAAGAGCTAAATGGAGAAAGGCTCGCGATCTGCCCTTCATGCTGAAAAGCACAGGTTTGGAAACTGTCTTCATTGAGCTCTTCTTGATGTGTCCTTTGAGAGTCTTAATTGCAGTGCTAGACTTACCATCTTTGTCACCTGCAGGACACAGCTGCGGCTGCAGCGGGCTACACGCCAGACTCCAACAGCCTGGATTTGTTCTGGGAGCGCACCGAGGCGCTGCTGGCGCGCGCGGCCCCGGACGATGACATGGCGGCAGATGACGAGGACGAGCAAGCAGAGGGCGCAGGCGCGGAGCGGTCCTCAGAGGCGCAGGCCCTGACCGCGGCCAAGATGCAGGCCATCGCAGCCGCCGGCCGACTGGTCGCATTCCAGGTCTGCACAGAGCAGCATGCTGCCGCCCGATCAAGCTTCAAGCCTTTCAACTCCAATTGCCTTCATGCAGTTGAGTGCTTCTTGCTTGACGTAGCTGCAGAATCATGAGGGTTGTACCAGAGCAGAAAACTCTCGACATGCCACCTCTTGATTCTCTATTTTGTCTTGCAGCAGTAGCATTCATGCTTGACTTACATTTGAACGATATGACGGTGAGAAGGTGTAGGATAGAGAGGGTCTGCTTTGCTGCAAGGCTCACTGGCCAATGTGGCTCCCGCAGGCGCTGAGTGGCACGAATGCTGAAGTGCTGGCGGGGCGCGTGGTCATGCACCTGGGCTCCCCCAACAAGGCGGTCGCAGATGCTGTCAGAGAAGTCACGCGCGTCCTCAAAAAGGCCCACCCCGAGTCGCTGCCAGAGGTGGGCCTTTGCTGGCGCTTTTGTCCTGCTGTTCACCTTATCTGGGTCTGCAGCTGCACCAGGATATCCTATATCCATCCGGTCCATTGAGGAGGATGTCCATCGTCTGGCACCTCTGTTATATTCAACGGACACAGGATTGGGAGAACAAGAACAATTCCAACCCCGCAGAGGAAATATGAGGTGGCCGTCGACAGCGCAGGAGAGGCCGTTATGGTAGAGATGACATCTATGGTAGAGATGCAGCATAAGGTCTGACCCCCGGTTAAATACAGATTTCCTCTGGCGCAGGCGTACCTGGGTGCACTGGAGGAGGCGTACCAGCGAGCGGTGGCAGCGGAGGGCGCGGATCAGGCGGCTGCGCTGCAGCTGTTTGGCGAGCTGGCGCTGCGCGTGGGGCAGGCCCACGCCGGCTTCGTGGCCGGCGCAGCCGCCTCGCTGGCCCACATCGTCAAGGGAGGCATCGACTACGCGCTGCAGGTCCGCACACTACATCGATGATAACCGTGGTATTCAACCCTGCAATGCAAAGTTTTGATGTCTTGTTCCCAGGGTGCATGCGGTAATAAATAGATGTGTGAAATATCTGCAGTGCTGCTCTGTGCTGCTCAAGGATATCTGCCAGCCTGTTTATTTGGCATGCTGTGAGATTGATGGTGTGGCAAACCCTGCAGAGCGGCCAGGACTGGCTACCATTTCTGGAGGGCCTGTCAGCCCTGACTTCCAGGCTGCCAGCCAAGGAGGCGGCCACAGTGGCACAGCACCTGCAGAACACCGCAAGGGCCCTCAAGCCCACCAAGAATTCACGTGAGACACCCCCTTTCATGCCATCTTGATATCTTCGTATCCTGCAGCCTGTCGTGCAGGCAATATTCCAATTTGTCCCTGATTGCATGCGCAAGCAAATAACACTGCAACAGCAACTCACTCTCTGCTCCCGTCGGTGCCAGTGTGATTCTGAGCGATAATTTGCAGACATGTAGCAAGACTACTTTAGGAAGTTGTGTGCTACTTACATTGGTTGCCAGAAAAAGAGTAATTGCTGCATGTGCAGGGGAGTGGGACCCGTACTGGCACATGCTGGAGGAGCTCCAGGAGCGAGCAGACAAGGGCACCAAGGCCGCCGTTAGATCCGCCGCCAAGAAATCAGCAACCGCCAACAAGACCGCCCGCAGGTATTTGATGCCACCTCCCACTCCCACTGTCCATTTCCACTCCTCATGTCCAATCCTGTCCTCTTTTGTATTATACATCGGCTGCAATTCACATCAGGGCATGAGGCCATGGTCTTGCTTTCATCACCCTCACTGGCGCCTTCATCTACCTTGACGCACGCATTTGCTTTGCCATTCTGATTCTTGGAACAAGTTCCCCGAGAGAGCAGTGGTGTGCTGTGTGCAGGATGTCATTCTTGGAGCGCAGCAGGAGGGCCCACAACGGCGAGAGCATCGACGACGAAGATGACGAGGATGCGCACAGAGGGGCAGAAGAGGAGGAGAGAGAGCCAATAGAAGATCCCGGCGACAGCCCCTCGGCTGCCGGCCCCAGCAGCGGCGGCGGCCGCGGCCTCTCGCTGCACCTGGGCATCTCGGAAGGCCCCTCCGAATCCGCCGGCCTCAGCGGCAGCGGCTGGCGCAGAAAGTGAGCGCCTGTTGCTTTTTGCCTGCTGTTTTTGTCACTTTTTGCACATCCCTTGATTGCCGTGGAGCAGGAGCCGTCGGAGGACATAGTGGCAATCACTGTTGATGGCCAATCTGTACTTTGCGCAGCATAGATTGGCCATCAACAGGGCCCTAATACACATAGACGGGATCTGTGAAGCCCTGCATTTGAGGGATTGGCAGGACAAAGAGCCAGAAATCGCCGCTGGGGCCATGCATGCATGCTGCAGGCACCATGCAAGTGATTCTCACTTCACGGTGTTATTGTGTGCAGGGCTGGCGGGCGCGCGCGGATGCCGCCGCCTCCCGAGGAGGAGATGGAGGAGATGGACGTCGATGCTGAGAGCGAGGGAGGGAGCGGGCAAGAGAATGAGGCCGAGGCGCTCAACATCATGCCCACCGAGGAGCAGGCCGACTTCCACCGACCCGCCAGGTGAGCAGCTTGTCTCTCCTGCTCTGCTCTAATGACATTGCCCCTACAGGTTGCTGCTGTGGGGATTCTTTTGCTGTACAAAATGATGATAAACTACAGTATGTTCGACATTCTGTCGTGGTTATACCAGAGAGAATGCACAGAGATTCAAGGTAGTGCGATCGCCAAGACAGGAGGAAGGACGGCCTCACGGTGTTGATTGAAAAGACGACGATGATGACGGCGATGTAAGATGATCCCTGACTCCTGGTGTCATTTGATGAGTCCAATGTAGTTGACTATATGAGGGGTGCGTGCAGGCGCGAGCCCAAGCGGCAGCTAAAGCGACTGTACGACACCCAAGACTCGGAGGACGCGGCCGTGAGGGCAGATGCGCGCGATGACGAAGATGAGCAGGAAGAGGAGCTGTTGGATCCAGTGTTTGGCAAGGGCACAGAGCGGTCGTTCCCTCCCGTTGGCCGCATGTCCGGCCTGGGGCCCTCCGACCAAGCCATGCAGGGTAAGGTTTCACCATACTTCTGCTATGCATTGCCATAATCTTGGATGGATCTGGTGTTTAGCATGCACTTCTGAGTGTTCAAGGCCAGTTGCAATTGCAGGTCAAGAGGCTCACTAGAGTTTCCAAAATTTGGCTAAATGATGGACTGCATTGATCTGGATGCAGGATGTGTGATCCCAATTTTGTGAATGCGTAGATGGTGACGACGAAGACATGGAGGATATCCAACCAACTCTTGATGACGAACCCAGGCGGCCAAAGCTGCGTCTGCGATGACAGATGTGCCCAGCGACAGATGATATATGCCTGATCTGACCAGACCGCAAAACTTGAAAGCCCCAAGCTGAACTGCAACATGAGAACAGAACTTCAATGGAAGTAATTAAGATCATGGTCCGTGATCAAGACGAACTGTGACACATCAGTGGAACATAGTTCAAGTGCCCAGCTTCGGGGCTCTGCTGGAAATGTACACCAGGGGGCCAGCCACATTGAGGCCTCCCTCAAGACCGGAGAACTTTCTGGGGATCTGATCATGACCAGCTTTGCGATGTCTGTACTTTGAGTAATCTTAAGTCGTTTACGCCAGGAGCACTTTTTTCTCAGGGACTTGCGTGCGTGCATGAGGTCAACTGCAATGCATATGCCACCAAGATTCCGTATCGCAATGGTTATGTCTGGGATCCAGGACAATTACTTTACAATCAGCTGCAGCCAGAATTTAGTATATACGATTGGCTGCTGGTGCTTGAACAAACCGGTAGTGCTCAGCATATTCAAAAGCAAGACAGCCGCAATGCTCATGAGCACAAGGACAGCTGCCACACCCAGCTAAATAGCTTCAAACTGCATCCACTACAAAAATTTCTCCACAAGCAACACACAGCTTGCAGATGTTCTCAATGACCACAGAACTAGGCCCGAAGTCCTATCATCATTCACAAAATAAGCAAGGGGATAAAATGTTCCACATTAAAAATAGTAGAGCTCCACGTGCCTACAAAGGCACAAACAGCAGATCTTGCACACATCACAGAGGGCACTGCCAAGGCCGTCTCAGGCCCTTCCTGTGCAGAAGCGTTTGCAAAGAGTGCTCTCAGGACATCAGCAGAGACATGAGGCTGTCAAAGTCCTCCGTGGGGGCTTCCTCCACCACCGGTGCTGACTTGACGGGCGCCGGGACAGGGGCCGGCACATTTGTCTTGGCCTTGCTGGTGCCATTGGTCAGCCAGGGCAGCAGCTGCTGCGCACTGGGGGAGGGGCCGTCGCAGGGAGAAATCACAGACGGCGGCGACAGGTCAAAGTTGATGCTCGGCTGCGGGGTGACCTCGCCGCTCGCCAGGTCCCCGTTGCAGCCGTCGGCCGCGCCGGCTGTATGCAGCGGCGCGATGTGCAGGTTGGACAGGGCGTCGGACATGGCGGGGACGGCGGTGGCGGCCGGCTGGAAAGCGGCGGTGTCCGGCACAGGCGGGAACCAGTTGCGGGACGCCGGTGCGGCCGCGTGCGGCGCCACAGTGGCCGGGGCAACCAGCTGAGGCATGGAGGGCGCCTGCAGACAAAATGTGACATGTCACAAAGTTGAGATCCACCATGCACCCAGAGAGGCGTGCTACATCTTGTCATGCATTGTCTATGGAGGGATTGATGAATCATGCACCCAGAGAGGCATATAAGAGATTTTGTCACGCGTTGTCTTTAGAGGAATGATTCACCATGCATCCAGAGAGGCCGGAGACTTTTTGTCGTGCGTTTTCTTTGGAGGTAATAATAAAACATGCACCCTGAGACATATTGCCATGCATGATGTCTGGAGGAATGGGCATTGCGCACCGCAGTGAGGATGGCATAGGCTCCTGGCTGCGGCTGTGTCTGCAGGTCGAGGATTGATGCAAGGGGCCTCGGCCGCGTCTGCGGGTGCTGGCAGGCAGACTGGGCATGGTTGATCTGCTGCTCGTGCACTGCATTCTTAGAGCCTGCACAGCAAAGCCAATGGGTTGATTTAGACGCACAAGGCGGAGTTGCTGACCAATACATGCACATTTGTGGCGAATTGTTGGGGCTGGAAAAACAGAGTCTGTGGCATACCGGTAGCGGGGCCCAGAGGCGGCGCGTCTGCCATGCTGGCGAGGAGAGCTGCGTGCAGGTCTGCATCAGATCCAGAGCCTGTGGCAGGAGTGGCTGGGTCAGGGTCGAAGTCCTCCGGCCTGTACTGCTGCCATTCGTCTGTCGGAGCGGGTGCGCTGATGTTTTTTACCGGGGCCTGCAAATTGGCACCAAAACAGTCAGAGACAGCTGCCAGCATGACCCACACTTTTGCAGGGCAAATAGTGAAGATCACCTGCAGGGGCACATGCATCCCAGTCGTTGTGCAGGGTGCCTGAATTTAAGCACAACATAACATGAATTTGCACTAGACTGCATTGCTTCCACGAGCCCCGAGGAACGTCCTAGCAGTGTGACAGTGGAAAGGAGGAGGTGTATACCTTGAAAGAAGTGTAGGGAGTCCCAATGGAGGCAGGAGCGTTGTGGGGCAGCAGCGCCGGGGTGTGCAGGTAGGTGGAGGCGGCCGGTGCAGAGCTGCCCGTGGGGCCCCACGTGGGCGCCGCCATGCTCTTCCAGCCCTTGTTGAGGTACTCGTGGTTGCTCTCTGCACACAACACAAAGCCACATGTCAAAGCAACCTAAAAAACACATCCGTCTGATTGCTGGAAATGCGAGCGCACCCAGATGAAATGTTTTAACTTTAGTGCGTGTGCATGCCCAGCCGGCAGCTGGGTATCTCACCTTCTTCTGGGATGGTAGGTGGGCGCCTGTGAATGGGCACCGGAGGGCGCACAACACTCCTGCCACCGTTCAACTTGACCTGCTGCAACTCCTGCAGCGGCACATGCAACAGGGGTCAAATAACATGGTGAGAGTTTTTCTCTTCAATGAATAAGCTCCCCTCCCTCCATTCCTTATTCTAACAACAGTCCAGAAACTCAAACAGCGCATGAGGCAGCTGTGAGCACCTGGATGGCCTTGAGGTGGTCGCCGTGGCAGCGGATGACCTCTGCCTCGACATCAGAGGTGGCCAGGTCCAGGGAGTCCGCCATAGCACACAGCGCATCCGCCTCGCCCTTCACACTCGTCTCAGTCACCCCACCCTCATGGAAGCCACCTACAGACACATTATTGTACATTGATGATTCCTGCACTATCCTTGGAACGGTAGACTGTCAATTAGAAGACACATTTAAATGACTGCGGATGGTGTGAGCGTGAGCTGAAGCACACCTCCATCCAACAGCAGCTGGGCAGCCAGCTCTGCATTGGCGCCAGTGGTGCGAGCAGCGTCCTCAGCTGCCTTGAAGCTGAAGCCCATGCCCATCAGCATGTGCACTGCGGCTTGCAGCTTGTGCCTGATCATCAACACACTCATTTCAGTCGTGCACGCACACCTATCGTCAGCTCTATTGACATTCTTTCCCGAACAGGATGCAGGCAAAATGTGGTGACACTCTTCTTGAAGGACTGGGCTGAAGCAACAGAGATCAGAAGCATAGGTGACTCACGATCTCATGGCATCGAGGACGGCGAGCGACAGCTTGCGAGGGGCAGGCGCCAGCGCAGCGTTGAAAGTCTTGCCTCCTGCGGCACCGCCTTCCTCGCCACCCCTGCGACCAATACAATGACCCTCAATCTCCACGAGATGCTTTTTCTCTCCGCACCCCCAGACCCCCTGAGGTATCAAGCAAGGATACAGGCGGATGATAGTAGGCAAAAAAGCAATTTGATGGGGCTTTCACCTGGCCTTGAGCTGGCGCAGCTTGAGCTCCTCGGCGCCGTGGGCAAAGCGGCACTTGGGGTCGGGGCACTGGCCGGTGCGCTCAAAGTGGGCGCAGAGCTGCAGTGCAACTCCCTTGGCAGCCTTGCGCCGTCCCTGCTTGGCCGCCTGAGGAACCCCCACCGGCATCTTCCCATTCTGCACTGAGTATGGCACTATGCCCACCTCCCTGCCACACACAAACTCCCATTCACTGATCCGGCCGATTAATTGCCGATACTGATGATTCGATTAGCAGTCCAAGTACTACTTGTAATCAGCGTGTATGCCCTATGCCCTTTGGCTTTGTGTTTGCCGACCTGTCATAATGGTAATAATATAATAATAAAATAAACGCCACGACGGCTATGAGTGGCGTCCCTTGGTTGCGTGAGATTGCGTGAGAAGTCCCTTCAATCCACTTTGCCTGTTGCAACTGTGGACTGACGCTCATCAATGGACGCCTACAAAACAACTGTATAATTGAGTGGAGCACCAAAATTTGGACAGCTGCGCACTTCTTGCCAGGCGCAAAGTCCACAGAGCCGTCAATGGAGAACTGGCTCGCAGAGTCGTCCCCCTCAACAGACTTCTCCACAAACTTTGATGCCACGGTGCGGATGACCAGCTCCTTGGCAGCATGGGCAAAGTGGCATTCTTTACCATAGCTGCAATTACCCGTCTCCTGCAGAGTAATAAGGCTGGGATAAGAGGATGGCTCTGACGCATTGTGACAAGGCGCATGCAGGTTGAACACCAGACTGCCACTTCATCTACACCATGTCATCTCAGGTGCATGTTCTGCCCTCACAGCAAACATGCAGGTTGCATTCATGTCAGGGAATTCTCACCTTCCATGTCTTGCAGAACTGGGACTTGTAGCCAACAGGCTTGAGCTGGTCTTGGTCACTGTGGAAGAACCAGCAGGTGGCTGTCCCCAATGGTCCCTTGCAATGCACTTTGGAACATCTCTGGGTCTTGTAAACGTCCTTGAGTATCTGCTGATTGATTGCTGCTTGCATCCTGGGCACACCAGCATGCAGAGGTGAGCCCAAAATATAAGGCGACGGATAAACATGCCGGTGCCCCCCATGCCAAAAGATTGCCAACGGAGGCATTGCATGCAGATGGCATCCCACCTGAGCTCTTGCAGGCCGTGAGCTTTTGCGCAGTGGTCACCATTTGGGCAGGGTTCACCTGCCCACCACAGGGGGCACAGGTGGCACTTGAAATCTTTAGGCAGCTTCCCTGCCTGAATGGCAGCTTCCACCCGCAGCTGCTTGCTTCCATGAGCAAATGCACACATTTCTCCTGCACCAGAATGTTATGTCTGATGCAAGCATGGAAACAAGCAATGTCTTGCTTTCTTGGCACACCGCTGCAGCACCTCTTCAGAGTATGCATGGCTGGCATTCGACGGGACTTAGTTGGTGAACATGCACTGCGCCTTTTGCATTGCACAATGAAAATTGCGCTTCACACCTCGAGGACATGTCTGGCTAGTGTCATAGGCGGAGCAGCGGTCTGTCTTGAAGTTGGCGGGGAGTAAGTTCTGCTGAATGGCTGCCAGCACTCTTAGCTCTTCCAAGCTGTGGGCTCTGGGGCATGCAATGCCCTCAGAACAGTGACCTGTCCCACATCAGAGCACATGAGATACCTTGCACAGACTGTGGGATGAACAAAGGTGCTTGGGGCGATCATTTCAACAAACTCACCGGTGGTTAGCAAGTCGTCACACAGAGATGCCTTGAAGTCTGGAGGAATTTTCTCTAAGGCAATGGCTGCATCGAGTCTCAGTTCACACAGGGCATGGGCATGCTGGCACCGATTGGCAAGATGGCATGGCGTTGACTCAGCAACTGTCTGACACAGGTTGGTCCTGTAATCTTCCCTCAAGAAGCCCTACCAGGACACCAGCAGCTTTTAGACTGTGAGAAGCACACCCCATGTAGACATGAAGACATGATGGAATGGTTGTGCTGCATTGTGGCAATATGAGGCTCGCCTGGACAATGGCAGCTTCTATCTCCTCTTCAGAACACCATGCCACATTGTCAGCAAATACATATTCTGAAGCCTTAGAATTGCCACTCTGCACGCTTTCCCCATCACCTGCGCTTACCACATGCATCGTCACCTTGAGCCCTTTCACCGTCACATGCGCTTACCACCTGAGCCCATGAGAACCAGCCTGCAACCAGTGCACAGGTACCACAAGCATGGCCGGTGTGCGCGTGCATCGCACCGTCTCGATCATGCCGCTTCCTGGGGCGATTGTACGGGTGATGATAATCAAAGTTGTTGTGCAGGGGTTCATGCTTATCAAGGGCCTGCGTCCATCACAATAAATAAGGTACACCCCTCAAATGGCCCATCATCTTCGGGTGATGAACACCAGGGTACTATGTCTGTGCATGCTGACATGCATGCATATCAGTACAAGCCGGCATGCATGTGGTCCTGCATGCTCACCTTCTGTTCAGGCTTTTTGGGAGCTTGAGGCAAGGAAGGCCCTTTTGGACCTTTCACAAATGGTGCCTTTGGTGGCATCTGCTCAGCATTCTTGTTTTTCTGCTTCTTCTTTTTGTTGATCACAAAGCACTCAGCACTGTCAACCTGCTCAGGGTCACAGACATACTCATACGCAAGAGAGGGAAAGAAAGGGCAGCATGTGAACGAATTGGGTAAACTGATGAGGGTTAAATTGATGAGGCTCCAGCGACACGACTTCTCACCCTGCCAGGACACTGCTCAGCCTCTTGCGCCTCTGCAAATTTACCTCTGCCAACAGGGCAGTTGCGACCCTTCAAGTGTTCCCACGGCCTTTTCTGGATATCGACCTGCGCAAAACAGCAGAGCTGACGCGGGGTGTTTGTGGAGAAGTGTTTCACTCTGATCTTCCTTACAACACAGTTAAAGTCTTCCAAACAGGATGTTTGGGTCTCTCCCCGTTGTAAGGAAATAAGAATTTACACCTTCATCACCAATAACTTCTTACTGTTGCAGCAACCCTTCTTATCGGCCTGTCCGCTCTCCAGATATTCTTTGATACACCTACACAGCAGTCGTTCTGCGTCGGACAAAATATAACCGGAGGTACTGTGAACAAGATGACATGCAGATACCTGATACCGCGAACGTCGACGCAACGCAATTGAGACCAGCAAAAGAGTGACATTGCAAGCAATGTCTGGTCCAGTCAGAAGAGGTGCTCAAGACCCTAACCAACATTGGGAGAGCAATGGCACTTACTCCCAATGCCATATAGAGCTGCCGCATTCTTCCGAGGTACATGTGCTCCGGATATGGGAATCCTTCCCTGGATTAACGTCTTGGCCACAAAGCCCGCAGGGGCAGGACTCTGTTTCAACCATGACCCCTCAAGCTTTGCACGCTCAATTGTCAAACATCCTCCAGTGCTTGCGCTGATTGAGTAAATTGGGGATGCAGGAAGGTTTGACACTATGCAAAGTGGTCTGCGATTTGAAAGCTTCTGAAATGGGTTCTGAATTCATGAAATCCTGCCCAGGATCTTCATTCTGGGCAGATCGTGCGGGCAGCATTTTCGACCCAGCTTGTGCACGGTGAGCATTGTATATTGATGCAGTTCAACATCTTTCTCCCGCAGATTACGCTGGTAACCGATCTCACCTTTTCAGCAGGGCTGGAGGCATGGGGGACTCGATTGAGCCCAATATAGGAGAGAATGCAGAGCGTATTCTAGTTTTCGTGTTGCTATGTGCGTGCGTGATATACATCTCGAAAGTTGTATTCAACTTCCGTGATCTTGGTCTCACCTTGAGAAGAAACGACGATCCAGCCGACGTACTGAGCGATACAGAAGAGGAAAGGGATCACGATGCCTAGTACTTTGATGAAAGAGAGCGAACATTTTTGCACGACAAGCCAATACTTGTGGAGCGAATTGGAGCGCAAACATGAAGCGCATCTCTCAGTTTAATATCTCTGGACCCTGAGACGTCTAGATTAAGGAACTTCAGGTGCATCCGCACACTGCAGCTGTACAGAGTTGCAAGCAGGAAGGTGTTGATGTGACCATCAATGGCTTACCACTTCATATCGGGGCGCTTCTTTGCATTGAGCCACTTCTCTGAATTCTGGAAGTCAAGATCTGGCAGCATAAGAACGGCATGCCACTGCTGCGGCAGAGACTCTTGTACCTTCCTTGTACCAAGCACCAGTACTGTTGGTAAAAATGACGAGAAATACATTCGCATCAACCAAATGACTGTTGCACCTTGCAGGCCAATTCCCGGGCGTGCAGATGCTACTGTCATCATGACAGGCCAATTCCAGGGCGTGCAGGATGCTACTGCCATCGTGACAGTGTGACAACTCTAGAGTCAGATCTGCAAGCTTTGCAGCTAAGCTTATGGATCCATGGATGGATCTACTGGCAGTACTGCTGGTGTCTGCGCCGCCACCTGCAGGACGGCTGAGACACAATGTCTGCATATTGCTCACAGGGATGGCCGTCATTTTATAGAAAGGCTCAAGGACAAGCCCAATGCATATGCTAGGATCCCCTAGGCCTTCTCTTTCGTTTGGAGACTCTAACAAGACAGGAGTCCTGAATGAGTTGACATCAAAGTGCATGCCAGTGCACATTTTGGTATGGTATTTGGAATGGGAACAGTGGATTCGCCTGCACCAATCAACGTTCAGCTGCTTTGCAAAAGACCTGCCAGGGACTCAGATTGTATGTCTAGGGAGTAACTGATGAGGAGTGTATCTACGAAACTGTTGATAGTGAAACATTATTCAGCTACCTGCAGGTGGATATTGAGAGAGTGTACAACAGCTGCAATTTGGTGACTGTCACACCATTACGTTCTCTTCAATCGCGATACACAAATTTCACGCATGTGCTTTATTATGTATGTCGGACTCCTCTAATGCGGCATTTTTGGCACTTGTGATCTGCACGTTGCAATGGTCTGCTCCACGTGATGGACAGCAAAATGCCACAAGCATCCGCAGTACTGGGGAGCATCCTAATATATGGACTAATCTGCTAGCCTACCCACGGACTCAGGGCAGGGATCAGCAGGACTGACTGATCCCTTCCCCAGACAACACCGCTTGGATGTCCATGTTCACATAGCCACCACCAATGTATGCACTCAATTTGTCTCTCACTGCCAGCTAGTGCTGCACACCAGAGAAAAGAGATCTGCTCCTTGAGACTGTACTCCCGCTACTCATCATCACCGAGAAGTCTCACGTGTTCCGAGTACCTGCAACATGCAAAGCCATCTTCATCACTTTCACAGGTCTTGTACCACCAAGGATCTTGCATCGGTGCAGACCTGATACTCTCCCAAAGGTGCTAAGCACGTCCCCTCCATACCAGGCGAGAAAGGCGGGTGATACACAACCTTTACTACTCACCTAGGTCTCAGTTACAGGCCTCGCATTAAACACATGAGAGATAAAGAAGTCTAGGGTTGCTTTCACCTTCACTTCAGCACTGAAAATAATCGAGGCGCAGTGCAATGGTCGACGCAATGCCAGTAGTCGAAGTATTGTCCTGTGCAATGGGCTTCAGGCTTGCCCTCTATCCTCTTCACACATTGCTGATATTTTAACAACTGCTTGATGCACTCTGGCTTGCAGGCCTCCTCTATTGCTGGTTTCGGGCACACGGGGTCATCATCCGACATCTTTGTATCTAGCTCCAACGGATGTGCCCGTGCGCAAGTTGTCAATGATCAGGCTTTAGTCTTTCGAAAAGGCAAACGCAGTCTCATGTCTGGATGGTGGGGGTGGGCCGATTGACCAGGGTGGATTACTACATTTCCAGGTCACGCCTGAAACCCTAGCAGTACTTTTGAGCTGTGATCTTTGCTGTCTGTTTTGTGGAAGATAACGAGCATATGCTTGCTGTTTTCTGACCTGCAAATGCGTGCCAATCAAGAGACTAGAGGTCATGATTAGCGCAGAGTTGCCAGTACTTAAATGTATAAGAATTAAATCGAGCTGCACTGCGGCGGCTGCCAGTGGCAGCCGCCGCGGCTGCGCATGCGCGCGGTCATGAGCTCACCTTTGTGGCTTGCCAAATTCAGAGGTAGCCAAAGCCTTTACTGAGTCAGCTGAGCTAGGCTAGTGATTTTGATGTGGGTGCACCGTGCGTGTGTGACACCGCTCGAGAAATTTTACTCTCTCTCTCTCTCTCTCTCTCTCACATCGGATGTCTATGTGGTCCGGCCATAAGTCATCAAGTGGTAATAATGACTAAATATTTATGGCATGAACAGGCGCGTTGCAGGTTTTGTGCAGCTGGAGCCTGGCCCAGTGGAGTCTTACGGCAGATTTGCTGGGCTTCAGCTTCCGCCACACAATCCATTCCAGAACACTGGTGGCACTGGGCACTCGAGTAGCAAAGCATGCTGGCAGCTCCATGTCACGCCGCGAGACTCAAATAGCTGCAGTATACGTATCTTGATGGCTTCATCGACATCTAGATGATTTTGCCCGCAGGTGGACCGTACTAATTAATTGGATAAAAGAGATCACAGACCCTCGCTTTGCTTTTTGGAACGTGCGAACCTGACTCACTGAATTGCTGTGGCAGACCATAAATGGTGCGGCTCAGTTGGACCTGTCAATTCCTCTACTTCCTGCCCTCCACCAAAATCAAATGGTAGCCAAACTTTGTTTTTATTGGTTGCTGCGTCATCTCTCCAACCTGTGAACCCCCATCATTGACGTGATTACCAAAGATGCATGCAGTTCACAGTACGGTAAGTTAAATGCAGCCCACACAAGTACCGTGACTCGACCATTTGCCAACAAGGAATCTCATGACTAATAAATGCATGTCAGCGGCTTTCGTACATTGAGCTTGAAGGCCGCCTCAGCAAAGTCCCCTACCACATCTTGCCTGTGCATGCCAGAGCACATCTCAACAAAATTTTCGTTATTCTGAGATGCAAATAATTGAAATGCGAAGAGTTTCTGAGGAAAACTTTCACTTCAATGCAGTCGTCATGTACAGATCACCTGCTCTTCCAGCCAAGGTCTCCTCCCTGCCGCGCTTTGTCCTCTGAAAACTCAGCAGCTACCTGCATGAGGACAGGCCGTCAGCACCACTGCCACATTCGTCATGCTATGAGTATGTTAGCTGCTCATGGGCCAACTTGCCCGCAACTCTATAATTTGCTGATTGCTCTGCTTGGCGATTTCAGCAGTACTGAGGGGGCTCACCGTCGCAAACTGCTCGCCAGCCTTTATCTTGTCCAACGCCTGGAGAGCCTGCAGGAGCATCCCATACACAACCTTAACAAGAGGCTTCCAATGTCAAATGGGCAATTGTCAAGAGGACTAAGAAGAAGTTGCCATATGGGGTCCCCTTACCTTGCCTTGCTTCTCACACAGAATGTGCCTGACTTTGACGTGTGTGGCCGGTTTCAACTTCTTGTCACCTCCAGGTGCACTGCAGCCGCACAGAGAGTCAACATTGTTAGTGGTAGGGATAGTCTTGCCCAAACAGGTTACAAGCCGTTCTCGTAATCGTTGTCAGTACCGTGATCTCACTCTGATTTCCCTGCTTCTGGTTTTGAAGGCTTTGATTTTGCCTTATCTTTCCCCATGATCCTCTAATTGTCCCTGGACGTCTTGAGATAGGAGCCGTTGGCGTGGTCATGCTGCATCGAATGCCAATGCCATTCGGCGAAATACGCTTTTGCTCGCTACCATTTAGGGAGGCGTGCAATGTTTTACAAACAATCCCTAGGACTGTGTTATCTGCAAGTATGGTTGGGGTTTTGTAGGAACTTCTGCAGCAAATGCAGGGGTTACTAATTCTTGCGCATTGCCAGCCCTGCAATGGCGATCAACATGAAAGTTTGCACACTGGGGCCTAATCCAAGCCATATATTCCTGAATGTCAATCTCAAGGACTAACGAGTGCCCTCAGCAACGAGCAGCATAGCTGCAGACACTATGCAGCCTACTTGGCTCCTTGGAGAGTGAGGCCCAAGCTGAATTCGGGACACGATATAGAGCGGCAGATTATTATTGCAGACATATGTGCAGGTGATTGTGATATTACTGGTGTACGGATCCCATACAGCAGTCAGTTCCACTGTGGACTTGACTGTGGCATCACCATCGTAGACACGAAAGAACTACGAGCACCTCGATAAGGTCTTGGATTTGTATCTTTTGAGTAGAAAGGAGTAGAACAGCAAGCTATCTGACGATCGAGGCGATATTCTGCCGAAGTTCATTCACTCAGCCAGCTCCTTTCCAAAAAGATGGGCGTCTTGGAAAAGATACAAACGCTTCCAGCATTTTTCTTGGGCGTATTCTTTCTTTACTGGTCCCTTCCACTCGCCGCCTTGATGAACAAGGTCAAATTTCTGAAGCTGGCGGGCAAGAGGAATGATGCCTATGGCTGGTGAGAGCCCTATCTCTCCTGCATGTCAGATGCGTCAAATGCCGCGTTATAATTTACTGATCCCAAAGCTCTGTTCTTCATGATTAAGACAAGTATGATGTGCACGGCTCTAACGCACAGGCTGGGTTCTGAGGTGCACTTCCTCTGCAGGGGTGTGGCTCTTCAGCAGCTCTTTGGAGTCACCATGCTGAGATTGCCAGGCCCTCAGCTGGCTAACCCATGTGGCCCTATCATCTTCCTGGTACGCCTCTCCTGCCCTGTACAATGACCTGCACTCAGCTCCAACATGTTCCAGCATGGCTACTCACATGCCCGCTCACAGTTTAACCGGCTCATCTTTGCTCGGCAAACCTCGGAAGCGTGAATTTATGGTGTGCGGCGCAGAGCAACCACCGGTCGTGGGCGGACTTCTATTTGGATGTGGTGGCCACGGAGGGCAATGCGCAGATGCTGAGCCGCATGGCAGTAGCGCTCGTGTTCCCCATGTTCATGGGCGCCGTCTGCGTCATCCGCTCTGTCATCCTCTTCCAGCGCGGCCGCAATCATGAGAAGGAGGTGCCAACTCCCGCCTGGCCTCTGCTCTGGCGCCCTATTTATATCATTCTCAACCTCCAGTCAAACCTCCCAATTCCATTGGCATGGAAGTGTCACCAGTTGCCGCTGTGCCCTGTGCTGCAATGGGTGAAAGAAAGGCGGTGAAAGGGAGGCATAACAATGTGACTGTGCTCCGTAAGGATAGATGGGAATACAACTCCCCATCCCTGGGTTGGTATTGTGATCATCTTTGTCAGTTCTGATACATGTGGGAGGGAGGTGGTGTCCCTTCATGACAAGCTTGGCGTGTGCTGTGTTCCAGGCTTTCAACAACATGATTGACAGGAAGATGGCTGCAAGCCCAGTGGATGGACTCATTGTGTATCCAGAGGGTGATGGCCTCTGCACTTCTCCAAATTGAAAAGCAAGCCACATTCATCCTCTTTAGACTTCAGTCATGGTTGGGATGCTTGGTGCCCTATATCCGACTGAACTCTGCTGCGTTCTGCTGCAGGGCACCGCAGCACTCTCAGGCATTCCCTGCCCCTCAAACGGGGCATGCTGAACTATGCATACATCAGAAAGATACCTGTGCAGGTAATTTTCTGTAATGCTGTGCTGTGCTTGCTATAGCCGCATTAGATCATCATCTATCATGCCCCCCGACATTGTTGCAACTTAAGTAAAGATCTTGAAGCCCGTTGGCACGGCGATGATCATTATAGCCGCCATGCATCACATGTTCTGACCTACTTTCTAACCCTGTCCCAGGATTGCTCTCACATCCTTGCTACACTCCGCAGAAGACAACTTCACAGGTGTGCTGAGCTGTGCTCTGGTTGTGCAGATCGTGATGAGTGCGAACAAGGAGGCGGTGATTTCAGAGAAGGAGCTGTCGTGCAAGTTTGGGCAGGAGGTGCTGGTGGGCTACTCGGAGGCCATGCACCCCAGCAGCTTCCCCACCTTTGACGGCTTCGTGGCAGCTGTCCAGAAGGAGTGGGATGCCCAGTGGAGCCGCGTCTACTCAGCCGACTGGTCCAGTGAGCCCCAGCTCGCATCTCCCCTGCATAATCATAACTGTTTTCACAGTATTGGGAGGGGTCCATAAAAGACTGAAGCATGATAACTTGAGCCTGGTTCAGAATGAAAGCTGGCGGGAGGCTTTGACACATGCGAGCAATTCAAGGCTCATCCTATTCCTACAGCCCCGTGGCAGCCTTGTTACGGGGTGCACTTCTGTCCGTAACCCTGGCTGCTATTTTATAGAGCATGCATGCAGCTCACCCCAGGACAGCTCAACAGCAAGTGGCGTGTCCAGTAGGGAGCATTGTCATTATCATTTTGCACGTGTGGTGACCCACAACGGCCTGTCGAGGCATGGAACGACATACAAAGATTGATGGGTTCTGATTCGATTTGTGCGCGCAGCGGCGGCCCCCATAACGGTGGATGAGATAAACAACCGCGAGTACCCCTGGTCCATCAAACTGGCGCAGGTGTTTGTGACGGGGGGCATCGTCCTCTTCTTCTTCGCCGTTCTGTATTGGTCCAGCCTCTCTTGGGCTGCCTTCCTCTCCCTCTTTGGCCGCTACCAGGTGGGGCCAAACTTGTGTGTCAGTCCTGTCCTAAGGCCTCAGGCGACCTCTTATACAAGACACTCCACTACATGACGTGCAAGGCTCGCATGCTAGAAGACGGTTGTGATTTGGTCTGCTGGGCACTCAGTCACTTTGAGCTCCCGCATGTTGTCATGGTGACATCTTTTGACAGGCTGCTCAGAGGGGCAACTGCCCTGCACATACCATTGCCACATGGTATCAGAGTATCAGAGAAAAACAGGTGATGACATATTGATAGGTCGCTTAGAGAGGCAATGCCAGGCACGTACTGCTGCCACCTGGTGTCACACTTTACAGAGGCATAGCTGCAGACATAGTTTTCAATATTGGGGTCAGGCTGCTCAAGAGAGGCGACTGCCAGGCGTTTACCACTATATCACATGCCTCTCTGCCCTTGTGAGGTCTTCCATCGTCGCCTTTTGTGGCCATTCAGCTGTCATCTGGATGCATTTTTAAATTTAACGACTAGTATATGGGTGCATAATCGCAGCTTGTCTGCAGGACGCACCTTGCCTCTGGGCAGCGTGTAATAATAACAATAATTTCATGGGTGCATGAGCGTGGATTTGGCATGCATGCATGCGCGTGCCTGATGTGAGGTGCTGCGCGCAGGCTGTGGTGTCGGCAGTGCTGTCAGTGTGGGCGTCGGTATCTCTCTTGCTGGCTTTCAGGAGAGTGCGCCTGCCGCTCACGACAGCCACCACCAGCAGCGGCCCCAGCAAGAGCATTGCCAATGGCGTCCAGTGACCACTTATTTCCAGTGAGAATTGACCTTGAGCAGAACCAGAGCAGGGCCTGTTTCCCAGTAGTGGGCATGCACCATGGCATGACCTTCCTGCTCGCTGGTAAGACGAGAGAGGACAGTGTCAAAGACAGTGAACACAGGTATTCATTGGGGGGGTGCCAATTAGGGGCCAGCTGAGACTGCTAGTCTTTCTAGCTGCCATTACATGACAGAGTATCTGATCTCAGAGTTGGGTTGCCTCTGGGACATTGATGTGCTGATGGACAAGGCATGGTTGGCAGGATACAGAATTCCTTTTCCCATGAAGCACAGCGTGTCGCTCTGAGGGTGTCGTTGGATGTAAATCCTTGCTCGTCCTACCATGGGAAGGAGCCCTGGAAGCGGAATGAGATGTATGGAGCTGGGCAGAGAGCTTTTGGGCCAAAGACGCATGGGCAAAGAGGACTAAGGGAGCCTCCGTCATCTGATTCTTTCATAACATGATTTACGTTGATTGCTTCTCTTTTGCAGTACCATGGGATCTTTCCACGTACGATGCAGTTGTCAAATGAGATTCTTGCCCTCGTATCGTTACACAATAATGGTGCATTGTAAGCATCCGTTAATTGAAGGACACTGCAGAGCGCATGCATTCATGAAGCCTTGCTTCAACAGTTCTAGTCAGCAACAGCTGCTGCTCAACCAAAAAAGAACCTTAACCTGCTGCGTTAGCGAGATATTGTACACGGTGTGTTGATCATGACAACACAATGTTCTAAATGCACTTCATGCACATCTCTCCCGTTCAATTGCTCTAGCATCAGTACTCGGACTCACTAATTTTCCACACAGACAGCAACACCTTCGTCATGAGTGGGCTTTCAGGACTGTGTAGGCGTTCTTCAAGCAGCTGGTCATGCCGAAAAGTTAGGGCTGGCTGCCGTTGCTTGAGGAGGCGGACTTTGAAGGCAGCTGGCAGTCATTGCACATCTCCAGGTCGGCCAGGCAGCCTTGCCCTGGGCCGCAGATGTACTTGCGCATGGCTGGCCGCAGTGTGATGTTCATGAGTGCGTGGATTGCGTTGTCGATGGGGTGCACGATAAATGGGATCGCTGCAACGCCACACATGGACACATCCTTTAGCATCCTGACACAACCATCTGCTTCACGGATTCAGAGTGCAAGAGGTGACCTGAGGCAAGCCGCCGCATACGTTGATACGTGCAACAACACAGCTGCAGCACATTGCTGCAACGCAACTCAAAGCGCACAAAATTTGTGAGTGGCAAGTGATGAAAGAGCTGCTTCAGCAAGAGGTCCAGCAGCATTGACCCACCGGCAAGGCCCGTCGCGGTGGGGAGTGACTTGTCTATGAGGGACATCAGCACGTCGCCCTGCAGGCTCAGGGTGATGGCCAGGGCGTTCACTGCCTCCTTCACTGGCTCCAATTGCTGCATGGCAGATGAAAACATGATAAGAGTGTAGGCAATTGAAAATGCGATGTTGCTCTTGGAGACAATGCCAGCAAATAGTGTGCACCATGGCAGCCTTGCTAGCCCTTTGCCAAACACAAGTAGATGTACAGGAACAAGACAGTCAACAAAAGATGTCATGCAAGCAGCGGCTTGCTGCGTAGTGCAGCTCACCTCAAGAGGTATCAGGCCGGCATGCGCAAGAGCGACAACGGTGTGAATGGTGTAGCCGGGGCAGATGACAGAAGCCAGCAGCTGCCATACCACAGTGTCCATTGACCGCTCCAAGGCCAGCAGCTTCTCTAGCCTGCACGCAGACAGCACACGCTCGATCCCATGCGGACGATCTTGAGCCTTGTATATGAACATGCAGACAGCTGCAGACAAGTGCCTGCTCAGAGATGCATTTGACGCAGGACACATGCAATGCTGGCTTTGCAACATTGCTGTCTCTAGGCTACAAAGGGTAGATTTCGCTTCCATTAAATGGGAATGCTTGCTCGCTCCGAACAGCAGCTCTGCCTCTTTCAGCTGTGCGCATCAAGTGCTGTCTCTTGAGGCATCAACTTCAGATGTGATCGTTCTGAAGGTGTCCGTCTGGTAATGTACAGCTTGATTGCAGCACGGACCCTCACCTGGGTGTGTCCACCTCAGTGTGCAGCGCAGCATTGGCATCCAGCTCTGTGCGCGCCTCCTTGTAGGCCTTCAGGCCCTTGTCGGCAGTGTCCACCAGCACATAGCTGATGGCAATCCCATACGAGAAGGGCACACCCCAGAACGGTAGCCATGCGGCAAACGCCTCCCTGCAAGTTTAGCTAGTTTGTCACATGCCGCATGCCTTCACCTCCAAATGTGAGGGGCATGGTGCAATGGATGATTGATCTCTATGCCGATTCACGCATTTTGCAGCTAGGCAAGGCATAATGGTTAGAGCAGGGCTGATGTCCCACCCGCACTCATTGCTGTACCCAAGGTAGCGAAGGGGCCCGTCCCGCAGGGGGTCAAATTCCTTAATGCCACCCGTTTTCACAGCAAACTTCTCATCAGCTCCCTCGAAGTGGTCTGCATTAATTTTCTGGAGAATGCTGGTGAACCTGATTAAGAAAGACACACTCCATAAGTGCCACTTGAGCCTTCCTTGTGAGCTAGATTTTTATCACTTAACAGATTAATCGAGGATCCATAATGGAAAGTTTCCTGCTAATTCGAGCAAGATATGTCTTCTGTAATGCCTCCTGTAATGAGGGCCATCACCAAAAGCAAAGTGATGCACGCTCACCTGGGACGAACGGCAATACTGGGGAATTCTCCAGGCTGGCGAACAGGTAAGAACTCTCCATCGTCTTTACTGTCGCTCTCAAACGAAGGGAAGTCGCTGCCTTTCTCAGACGTTGAGTCTCTGCTCCTCTGCTCTCCTTTTTGAGTTGAAGCAGCCTGACAGACTACAGCATATCGATGCTGTCTCTTACTCAAAATCCTCAATGATTTGGTCGGAGGACTACGAAAGCTGTGCGCATGTGGTGTGCTCGACAAGACGTGTGTGCTGTACAACTGACTACCCATCTTGCTTCCTGAACTTTGTCCTGATCACTGTAAGCTATGTATAGGCAATTCAAGGGAAGAAAAATGTCAAATCGGCCGCCCTAGAGCAGTGATGTGGACGTTTCAACCATCAAAGGTGCGAATTTAGCAGACGGAACCCCTGATGGAAGGTGGCCCTCCCGTATTACATGGCATGACGCCCTAGGGGAGGCATAAATACATAAGCATGACGTGTAGTTGGACTGACAGAATGCTGCTGCATGAGGATGCCTACGGTGATATTGTGCTCTGCCTGAGTGATGCATCACGTGTACAGGGGGAGTACACCCGAGCTCATGACAAATGGCAGAACTTGGGGGCCAGTGCCAATGGATCAGCCATCAAGTGGACCCTGGCCAGGGTCACCCATGATACGGTATCATGCATGGGTTCATATTGATATTCTCATGGGGACCACACGGGTTCTCAGTACAAGCTTGCAGAAAGCTGAAAGTTAATTTAGAAGCAGCATGATGCTTGCGCTAAAGCAGATCTGAAATGCGCATGCGCATGCGCATTCACATGCGACATCATGATGATTGTAGCATGCTTGTTTACTGTCAGCAAATCACAAAGTGACATTAGATTCACTTGAATTCAAATGCCTGCTGTAGCGCAAAAGCATGTGCAGACTCGGAGTTGCACAGGCCATCCCCAGATTTGAGCAATGTCTACTTAGTACAACACCGCGTAGTACGGCCCCGCTTGATCGTCTGAAAAAATGAATGCACTGATAGACATACACAAAAGCCAAAGGTGTAAAGTACACGTTAGACTGGACAAGTCAAGCCAAGATTTGCCACAGCTGGCTCTCACGAGCGCCCTCAGTAGCAGCCGCTCAATACCCCGCCATTTTTCAAGACACTAAGGGTCTTGCCCAAGTGCACTGGTAGCTTATGGCTATCTCTCCTCTTCCTACACCCTCTTCATTGCATGCCTGCTGCTGAAGCCCTCCGGAGTACGCTAGAGTCTAGCGGCTAGACTGAGAAGGCTCCACCGTCCCATGAATACTTGACCCTGATGCTCAAGCGGCACACATCGCTCGGCGTACATCTAGAAACGATACACTTCTCCCTTATCTCTACACAGCAGGCATCGCTCGGCGAAAGGAAGACGCGGTCCCTATCTCCAAACGGCACGCGTTGCTCGGCAGAAGCCTGGAGAAATACACGGTAAGATGAGAATCCGCCGGTGCGCATTGCCATCGAGTTCGGCGATTGACTAGAAAAACAGACCCTTATACCTCATGTCCGGCGGGAATCTAGAGGAAGACGCGGTCAGATGAGAAGTGGTCGCCAAAGTGGCGCTCTGCTACGGCGGCTGCGCGGGGGCCGCGCATGGCCTGCCCGGCCGGCGCGCGCTGCACTAGATCATGCTGCATCAGCGACGCGCGCAACAGCAGCGCTCGGGTGTCCCTCAGATAGTCCTCGCCTGCGCGCATGCAGCATGTGCTGTATTAAATAACTTTTGTGTGTTGAAGAACAAGGCTCATTGCCTTTGGCGCATCAGTGGAAACCATTGAACTAATCAATTCGTGTGACGAAGGAGGTTCATTGGCATTTGGAGGTTATTCATGCTCATGCAGGCCTCGGAGAAGATCCTACTGCTTGACATTGGCTTCAGAAACTAGAACAGAAAGGATCATTCACTGCCCAATGTCCTTGTGCCACTGCTAGAGAAGAGCATCTGCCATGGGGCTGAGCATGGCAATGTGCCTGTCCAGACTGCTGATAAGATTATCGGAGGCTGCAAAGGGAAAGTTGAATCTTTTTTAATTCACTGGCAGTGGGAGGGCAGCGCACTTGACAAAGTATCCTATCCGGTTGGCGCAGGTTGGCGCAGCATGATCCACACTTGTGAAGCGCTGAGGGGAATAATCGCATGAGAGACACTGCGGCGGAGGGCGCGCACCGGTCTTGAGGGCGCGCTCGAAGGTGGCGGCACGGGTGTCTGTGAGCCGCGCGTACAGCACCTTGGAGTGGCTGTCAATGCGCGCCTGCACCTGCCCAGCCGCCACCAGATCCGCAAGCTCCTTCTCCAGCACCCTGCACCAGGCCGCCATGATCCATTGAATGTGCCACAGCCCCAAAACTTACAACCGCAGTGTTCTTATTGCCTGCAGTTTGTGACCTGAAGGCAAAATGGCTGCCCTGACATCATTGCCGTGCAGGGCAGTAAGATGAGTGTTTAAGCAAGGATGCGCTTGACTAATTGCGACTGCAGGATCCAAGGGCTCACCCGACTTCGGTGCCGAAAGCCTGTGCCATGGTCTGCAGGTTGACTGAGATGAAGGGGGCGGTGTACTGTATCAGCGCTTTGCTTCTCACCTGAAGAGCAGCACACCAGCCCCTCAGCACACTGCCATCAAGCATGCGCAAAAAATTCGAAGTAGGAATATGCTTTTAAAAACACTGTAGAGAAGGAAAAGCAACCCACACCCTCAGGAAGCATACAACACTCCCCTGGTGCAGACCACACCAGAAGAAAGCACACAGCATTCCCTTGGCTCATTCATGTGTGCAGTGTGCTTGTGGTGCATTTCGTTGTCAAGCGCATGCCACAGCAGGAAGCAGAGAAGCCTATCAAGAGGACTAGTTTAGGCGCACCGCAGCATAGAGGGCATCTACGTGGGGGCTCAGGTACATGTCCAGGCGCAGCGTGGGCAGCAGCCGCTGCAGCCGCGCCAGGCATGCCGCGTAACGGGAGCCGTAGAAGTCATACACCAGCTCTCGTATCTGCATGCGCACCACGTGCCGTTCTCAAACATTACCATGATAGGTACACTGACAAAACCATCGACACAACCTGTGATAATTGGCCTGAAAAGCAGATGACTGGACACAAGACAATTTTGCATGTGCACCCCAGAAATGCTCGCTGTGGTCAGAGAGATGATATTTTCCCAATGTTTTCCAGGGAGGATATCTGCTGGATGTCTGCTTGCCAAGCGCGCAAAGCCCACCTCTGGGTTGAGCTCAAGGAGCTCGCGGAAGGAGATGTTGTCGATGATATTGCGGCGCAGGTCGGGGCGGTCAAAGGAGGCGAGCGCGCAGAGGCCGCCGTATAGCGCCACGTCCTGCGCCGCTATTACGTTGTTGAAGCTGCTGCCCAGCTCCGATGACACCTGCCGCGCATCAGACTCCACTAGTAAAAACACAGTAATTTTTAATCAGGCAGAATCAATGGGATGCTCCCCAAGATGACCTTGGATAATTTGGCACATGCAGCTGAATGTGATATGCCACGTTTAAATATGAATTTGGTCGTGATCCGGTGAGGTTGATCAACGCTGTGCACCTGCACTGCAAACCCTGCTGAGTGCATGCTCATTGTGATGGTACAAACCACAGAGGGACACAGGACAGGAGAGGAGCGGGAAATGAACCTCGCTGAACTTCCTGGCAGCGATTTTGTACTTCTTGGCGTCGAGGGAGGCAAGGCCGCCGGCCGCCTTGAGCTTGGAGGCGATGATGGTCTCCTTGGCTGCCTCTGGCGACTGCTCCCCCTTGGCCACGTACGTGTTGACATGCACAAAGTTGCCGAGCTCCACAGCGCAGCGGATGACTGACAGGCACATGTTGATCACATGCTTGGCCGTGGTGCAGTAGTCGCGCGAGCGCACATAACTCTTGAAGGCCGACTGCAGAAGACATGCAAGGAATGTCAGACAGGAATGCTCTTGCATGCTGGTAGTGGATATTCTGGACGTGCTGTCATCAAATTTGCACAGGGCTTGAAGAGGATTACAGCTCCGACTTGAAAATGCAGAGCTGCACGTAGGCGGCCTCAGGGGCAACGGTTATATGTACAGAGCAGTGATCTGAACAGCAGAGAAAATGCAGGGTATACCTGCAGGTCTCCGCGTGAGAAGAAGAAGTCTGCAATGTCATGGTGCCCCATGCGTATGCTCTCCTTGATCAGGTTTGTTTTGTACCCGCTCAGCTCGCTCTCCAGCTTATACTGTGTTGCGGATGCTCGGGCCTCCACAGCATCTGCCCAATCTCTGCAATCAATGCGACAATCGATAGATTCCAATGTCAGAAGCGGGATCGCTGACCGTGGCTGATCTGCGGCTCCAAAGCGGAGTACAAGACTTGTCTTGTGTGTCTTAGGCAAGCCAATGCACGGCTCACTTACCTGTCATAGTGATAGTCGGGACCCAGGCGGTTATTGATCTTTGAGATGACCTCGTTGTACTTGCCAACGTTTTGTCCCTGGGACAGATGACAAAGCATCAGCAGAGACAGATCGGCTTTGGCTTGAAGTCTGCAAGGTACTTTAGGGTCTGAAAGTTAAGAAATCATGTACAGCGTACCCTCTTTAGATCATCTGCTGCAAGCCTCAGGGCAGAAAGTGCCAGAGCACTGTCACTTGTCTTCTCAGCGATGAAGATGAGCCTATTGATTTTTGCGTTGCCTGTGTAATTGCTCGCATAAGCCTGCACGCATGACAAGCAACATCTTCAGAACGCGATGATTCTTCACATATACTCGTAGAGTTGAAAGCCTCATCATAACGCAGATCTACAAGTGCATAATCTCGATCAAACGCCTTTCATCGGCTCTCACACACTGCGCTTCTGAATCCTTCTGAAACTATCGAGCATGAGAGGGTAACAAAATTTTTGAACCAGGAAATTGTGCTTGCTCGGCAGGTGATAGCAACTTTGTTCATCCCACCTCGATGTCAATGGCTGAGTCTTCCGGCTCTTCAGGCTCCATAGTGGATCCAGAAATCAGCAGAGACGCATCAAAATATGAGTGCTGACTTGTAAGGATTGTTCAGATTTTCAGAAGATGACCAATCTTAAATTCTTCTGTTGGCGCTGTGGTGCCTGCATCACCTGCCAGGCTGTGCCCTTTGGACTGCCAATTCTGGCAGAACATGACCAAAGAGCCCCCATCCCAGGGCCCTGCATCTGGGACACATACTTGTTGAAGATGATGCAAATAGGAGATGCCTCACTGTAATTGGCACATGTGCACGCGCTACCACCGTTACTGGTGGCAGCCATAGTACATATACGCCAAAAGCCGAGTGCCCATAATGCATTATGCCATGATGGCCTGGGGCCGCACCTGCAATTCACACACACATGCATTGTAGGCAATGGTGCTGCATTACTGGCAGCAGCCACCATGGCAGTGCATTCAGCCTGACATATGGCAATGAATTCATTAATGATTGCAGATCTCATCAGGGTGATCGGGTTAATGTGTCGGTTTCACATTAATTGCAAGGCCATCCTCTTCATCTATTTACACTACATAGATCTTGAAGATACCTCAGTATGAGCTATCATCTACAATGAATTCAGCTTAGAGACTCCCAAAACATCCATGGCATTGTCTTGTGACCAGAGACAACCAGTGGTTCAGCATGCCTGAACAATATTGCACATGTGCACATGCTTCAACACTACAGAGAGCAAAGTGTACAGGGCATATGACAAGTCAATTGGCCAATCAAAAACCTATATGGGTCACAGCATACTATCTTGGCTCATCAGGCTGTACAAGGGTATATCTAGATACTTCAGGAGAAGACCAACACATAACTGGACAGGCGCAATACAACCGGTCTTGAGTCCCAGAAATGGCCCTTGTTAACAAGTTGCATCCTCCGTTCAAGTCCAGCAAACTCATGCACGCGTTTCAAAGCAACGCTAAACGGCCTGGGCACGGGACATATACAGTTCCCCGCAAATGCTGCAGGCTCAGAATATTCTATTAGGAGAAACAAGCAATAAAATACAGCTCGTCCAATTTCCAGGAGAAGCCCTGTCCAGAAGGATGTCAAAGCCTCGTCAGAGCTTGTGTGCCTCAATGCGTCACCCTCTCCTACTCATGCCTCTGGCTTTCATCTGAAGGCTCGCGTGCTGGCAGCCCAGCCGCTGCATTGAGCATCCCATGAGAACCTCGCTCCTGGGCCTCAGTCAAGGCGTTCATGTACGATGAGATAAAGGAGGACATTGCAGGGCTGTGCACATTCTCCTTGTTGAGGCGGCGCTTTCTTGCTCTGTCACGCCGGCCATCGCTGTCGCTCTCATTTCCTGCTGTCATGCCTGCAGCCCCACCGCACATGTTATTGGCAAGTGTCCCTTTCAAGAACTCCGAGAATGACACCCCTGTTGCATCTCCAATTAGTCGGAGAACTCGCTAAACTTCCTTGCCCACTTGTGATTTTGTGAGGTGCTTCAACACAACAGTACCCACCTGCAGGCATGCTGTTCCAATCCGCCACGCCATCCCCACTCCCAGCAAGGCCATGCGCAGGCGCCCTGCTGATTCCAGGCGCAGAGCTGGATGACACATCCCCATTCGCCCCTGCTGAGGCAGCACCCTGGCTGCCAGATGATCGCATGCTGCCCTCTGCCCTCGCTTGCCTGACGGCCTCAGTGTCGGTCAGGCCAGCCGCGCCAGAGGCTTCCCAGGCCTCATCCGCAAGCAACGGCAAAGCAGAGGCTGCGCCGGGAACCAGGATCTCGCTGCTCTGCAGCCGCAAGCCGACCGGTGCGTCCCGCGGCTGCAAGTGCGCGGACGCGCGCTGCCGCAGCAGCCAGGCGCCTCTCAACCGCATGCCGGAGGCGGCCGCCGTTGCCGGCTCCGGCGCCAATGCGGGCGGCGTCGGCTGCGGCTGCGGGCCGGCCCGCGCGCCTGCGCTGGCCTCCGGGAGTTCAGCCGTTGGCGAACGCTGCTCTGCTGGCGCCGAGGTTTGTGGCAGCAGGACAGGCATCGGCAGAGCTGTCGCTGCAGGCGCTGGAGAGGAGATGCCCCTGCAGACAGACCCGCATGACTCAAGCGATGCAACACAGAGGCTTCAAGACACCAGTAAAACAGAATGTGGTGTCAACACCAGGCATGAGAGACAATAGCCATCTGTGGGTTGTTGTACAAAAGATGTCACTCAGTGATGCTTATCTATTTGACTGCAACAGGAGCCATGCACACCTAGAGGCGCACTGGGCAGTCAGCCAAATCTCGATGACCCCACGCAGAGCCAGATTTGGGGAGAGATGGCGCCTTCGCAGCGGCGCCTTTGTGCAGGGGTCATGCTTGTTGACATCCACCCACTTCATGATGGACGCCCTCTCATAAGTCATGCCTGCACAAAAGCAGCAACTTCAAAACTAGTCATAATCCAGCATGAAGCGCAAAATGAGATGCACACACTTGTTGCACCCGGCTCCATTGCAGTGGTGATGCCACTTGCTCAAGCATGCGAAAGATTGTCTCACCTTGGGGTGTCTGAGCAGGCTCTGTCATGATGCCGAGGGTGATGGGGCACTTGAAGACATCAGGGACCTCCACCTCCATATCCTCCAGTTCCTCGGGGATCACCAGTGGGGGCGGCCAGTGCACTGTGGCAGGATTGTCCCTCCTGCAAGCAATACACGCCCCATCCCTTTACATACACTTCAAAGGCCCAAGATGCAACCTTCACAATAACCATACAGAAAAGAAGGTGTATGCCAAGCAGTGCTGCAGCATGCATGCTCTCCTCAACCCAAGCAGCTAACACAGACACTGCACGTGATAAAGGAAGGAGGCCAGTGGCTTGCTTGCCAAATTGCAAGCTGCTTAGGACAAGGAACGAGAGCTTGCTTGCCACAGCACAAGCGGCACAATGCAAGGGAGATATCTCATCGCTCACCTGACACGGACAATGTTGCGGTTGAGATGCCGTCGGGTGCGCGACTCGCCGTTGAGGGGCTCCGCGCCGTCATCTGCACTGGAGGGCACCCAAGCGGCAAAGTCGGCCCACAGGGTCAGCAGCGGCAGCGGCACGCAGCGGATCCAGAAGAGCAGCCAGGCCACCCTGCCCGGCAGCACCGGCGCCAGTGCGACCTGTGCAGTGCATCAACCTGTCAGTGGACCCGCATGTCTTCACTGCCTACATTTGCATCGCAAGATACTATCTGGCAGTCCATGGCAAGCATAATTTGTAGATTTGCTGCAATAGACAGCAATTGATATGGCTTTTGTTCGCTTCGTCCCCTCACAACTAAGCAAAAGAAGCCCCTTCCTGAATCTTGTTCCCACCTTACTCAACTATTCTCAAGCGAACAACTGAGGCCTCGCTGCCAGAAATTCTTCCCAGCATACTAGCACTCCAAGCAGTGCTGCTCTGTTGATTTCGAAGTCTAAAGAGCTATTGCTGGCCCAAGAATGACTGCTCAATAAAAAGGAAGGAAAGCAGAAGAGAATGATTACCTGGAGGATGGCCAGTGCGGCGTTCATGGCGGGGGTCATGAGGTGGGAGCAGATGAAGCTGGAGAAGGCTTCGCCGGCAGTCATGTCCGGGTGTGTGAACAGCATAAGCAGTGCGTGCCCCTCTGCTGCTGTCCGGCACAGCCCCACCACTCCCACGTACAGCAGCGCCACCGGGTGCCTCTTGTAGAACAGGGACATGTAGAAGGCCACCTGTCACACGACACCAACGATGGAGTACTGTAGTGGTCATGGTACACACCGCACAAACAAATTGTTTTGAATCGTGCGGGAATAAAAGATAATGTCTAGTCTGGGTATCGGGAGTGCCCGAGAGACCCAGCCCAGATTGCAGAGGCCTTGGATTGCCTCAAGGGAAACACCTCCAAGGTTGCACAAAAGCTTCTGGAGGTTGATAAGTGATCTGGTGCGGTAAGCTGGAGATGTGTGTCATCAGGAATGGGAGGTACTAAGGTTGCACCTGGAGGCCTGGGGCAAACAGAGTATCAAGCCAGAAGAGCACAGAGTTGCTGAAAGCACTGACGATCCAGGAAGTCCTTGGCTGGTCGCTGGCAGCCCTCCCGCTCGCATCTGACATCTGTCGGAACTCCCCCTTGGCGCTGTACTCATCATCAGGCTCATCGTCATCGCCATCCACCGCCACAGAAATTTCCTCGCCCTGTGGAAGTAATATATGTAATAGTTGACACTTCTCCGCAGGGTGATTACTATTATCATTACAACTTCTCCTGCCAAAAGGCAAGGTACATCCTGCAGACAAGCTGCAGATAAAGGCTGCCACAATCCTACCCCTTGCCAATTCTTAAGGGTAAGCAAGAGCCTTAACTGGAGCACATACGAGGCACAGGCTCCCGAAGTGAAAACGCACGATCAATCCTCCATGTAGAGAGCCCACGCTTTATTGAGAGGCAGGTGTAACAATGGAGCTCTGCTGAGTGCTGGGAGCTGAGTGTCTGATGAGCAGCACCTGGGACGGTTTCTGTGGTCGGCCATGGATGAAGGTGTCAACATGCCATCGCAGGCGCGTCACAGCGGCCTCATGCACTCGCTGCAGAGTGCTGGACTCCATCACCGCGAGCCACAGCATGGTCAGCCGCGGTGCAGACAGGAGCCCGCTGTAGTACACTGATGAGCGTATGGGGTGCTCCTTTCGATACTCCCACAGATTTCGAGGAAAATGGACCCCCTTTGGCTGCGCAGCCTGCGTCAGACAGTGAGTGGCACGTGTCGAGCACATCACAGAGGTGCAGTTCATGGCTGGGATGCAAGGACTGGAGGACGGATGGTGCAGTGATTTGAGCGAGGGGCGCCCAACCTGTAGCTTTGAAATGGCATCAAGAAAGACTTTTCGATGGAGACGGTACTGCATCCTGAAATCGTGCTCCAAAACATCCTCTGCGACATGCAAATCGTACTTTGTGAAACTTTGAACTTCTGGTAAAAACCCCTACACCTTTGTCATATCAGAGATCCACTGCCTCCTGATAAAGGCCCTTTGGACTGGGTCAGGCAGCTTGGAAATCCAGCAGCTTCCACTCACCTTCCAGGTCGTAAAGAGTGCGCCCGGTGACACCAATTTTGCAGGCGCGAGCCTTATACTGGTCCAGTTCCCGCCACACCCATCCCTGACTGCTCATCCAGGCTGCCACATCGTCACAGGACCAGTCTTTCACATCCAAAGGACGCTGCACGTGTGCAGGACTGCTTGCCTTGGCCTGCATCATAAGCAAAATAATGATTGAAGTGGTTGCCAAGTGGTCAATGAATGGCAAGCAAACTCTGTGCGGCATGACGTTGATAAAGAGGCAGGGCTCTGTGAGCAGTGCTGTCCAAAGGCGTAGGAACAGGCCACAGATGGAAAATTGCCAGCATACCTGATCTGCGCCCATTGACTTGGATGGGTGGAAGAGTTGCCTTGTAAAGCGGGCCAATAGCAAGGAGTGCGGATCCATCCATGTTGCGGCACACAGGAGCAGCAGGGCAACAAAGCCCAGAGTTCTAAAGGAGCAGCAATTGCTGCTGGGCCACAGGCGCATTGGCCACACTCTTGAGAGAAATGAATGCAATCACGCAGAATTTGGACGCATATCGGGCAAGCTATCAGTTGAAAGCGTGAATTTTCTACAGGGGAGACACAATGCGAGGGTTTCACAACGCTCTTGGAAAGTATCTTAGCCAGCTGCGATGACAACTTATTTTATCAGGAATCAGTCACCTAGTGAAGAAACACCTCAGCTACCTCACGGGAACAGTTAAATGAGAATGACTGCTGATGATCGACTTGACACTTTGAACACATTTCTACCGCTGCGCCATGACACCTGCCTGCCTGAGCACTCATGCATAAGAAATCAATCTTGTCGTGATTTTATAATCCAGAATCTGTGCAGTCCTGCATGCATCGAGGTAGAAGGTATCACATGTGAGAATCTCCAGCGAGGCAGGAGCTGCGGTCAGCGGCGGGCCAGGCCTGTTCAGTTTCTCCTCTCAAAGTGAAGAGGAGCATGTATGGATCAATGTGACTTTTTCATATCTTAACCTCTGGGTTTTAGCCCCCGCAGATCGTGCAAGAGCAAACGGTAGAAAAGTGTCTGAGCCCGTCAGGGCGTTTCATTCGTCTCGTTTGCCAAAAGGAGTGAGTCACCGGGCTTGCCTTCTACAAAAGCCAATTCTGTGTGACACACACACACAATGGCTCCATCAGACGGAAATGCGGATTTCGAGAAGGCCGAGAAGCTCTGCAAGCCTTCTGTCCTATCGCTGAGATTGAAGGTGTACCCACACTGCATGATGGCTTGCCAGTCTTTTTAATGACTTTTTGTAGTTGTAGCAATGTAATGCAGAAGATAGCAGGGACAGCATCTTGCAACAAAGTCATAAATAGGTCGGCATGACCCCAGCGTGCTTCTGTTCCAGGCTGACTGGGAATCAGCTACTCCCCTCTACGAGAGAGCTGCAGCATCGTATCGGGTGAGTACCAAGAGATGGACTCAGCCTTCCCCCAATAGTCGTTTTAATCAGCCACCGGTCCAGCACTCAGCTTTTGACTGGTCTCCAGCCACACTAACAGACTGTTTGTGTCTATCGTTTGTAGCAAAGCAAATCCTTCGATAGAGCCAGAGATGCCTTTGAGAAGGCAGCAACAGGACACCAACGGCAGGGCTCTCCATGGCACTCAGCCAAGAGCTTGGAAAAAGCAGCAGACATGGCCAAAATGGGCGGTGGACTGGATGTGGAGGTCCTCTACCGTGATGCAGCCAGGGCTTACATGGAGGCCGGCCGGACTCAGGCAGCCGCTGAGGCTCTAGCCAGGGCAGCCCTGCACTTGGAGGGCTTGGACCCCAAGGCAAGCATCTGTTTCCTTGAAGCAGCAGTGTGGCGAGCTCAGAAATTGCCATGAATCTGTACAAAGGGTGCGTACTGTGCGCAGGCTTCTAGCCAGCTGTACTTGGATGCAGTGGAAATGTTGGAAGATGATGGGAAGCAGGGCCTGGCGGGCGACCTCTTCAGGCAAGCTATTGGTACGCGCCATTCACCCCCCAGTGACCTATGCAGAATTGAGAGTTGTCAGAGGATTGAAGGACACATGGATGAAACCATCTGCTGAGAGACTGGTCATGGCAGGGGGCCAGATCCGGATGGCAAAATACCCAGAAGCAGTGAGCCTGCTGCTCAAGTTTGCGCTCGCGTGCCACTCCCTGCAGCTGACATCGAGCCAGTGCAAAGCCTACCTCGGCGCGGTGGTGGTCTGGCTATTTGCCCAGGATGCTGGCGAAGCGTGGGCTGTCTACCAGGTATGCAGCCATTTCTACTCAGCCCCAGCTCTGTAAGACTGCACAGAGATGCATAAGCTGTGGCTGAGTTCACCTCGCAATAGAGCATATTTGAGGGGAGTGGTGTGATTGGCGCACAGGATGCAATGGGCGTTGACTCCTTCGCGTCGAGCGACGGGGCCTTTGCTGCAGAGGCACTGTTTGAAGCATACAGGAGCGGGGATGCCGCGGAGATCCAGAAGTCGGTCAAGGAGCACAACGCCTTCCTTGAGTTGGATAACCAGGTCAGAGCCTGATCGGACCCCTTTTCCAGAACCACTCGAGGCAGAAGGCTGTTTCCTTGCATGCATGATATCTGTTGAGCGGTAGCAATCAGGCTGGTCTCATGACGGCGTCTTCCAGCACTCATACACATGTACCAGAACTGTTGCTGATTGACCCCTCAGGTGCATTCTGATTTATATTTTGTGCAGGTCGTACGGCTTGCAAAGAAGCTGCCACAGGGCGACGTCCGACAGATGGCAGCCTCCCTTGGTTTCCGGGTATCGGCGGCAGGCAATGCCCATGATGAGGAGGAAGATCTGACGTAACCCAGAGAGGCGCATGATGCCCCATGCATGCGCCTTGCGTCGCTCTTCAAGGACCGCATATCACTAGGACAAATCAGGGAGGTCTCTTGAGAAATTTAGTGCCTCCCAAAAGCCAGCTTGGGGCTGTGCACTGTCAGTCTAGACAGCAAGGTAGCTGTGATTGCTGTCATTTATTGCATGGTGCCAATGGCATCAAACTCTCTCCCTACAGATCTGACCAGAGTGCTCCTGAGAGTGCAGCACAGATATAGACACCGCTGGTGATGTGGGGGGCCTTGAGTCATGGGTCAGGGTCATAGATCTCTCTGGTGCTCAGTGTGCCGGTGCTCAGTGTGCTCACTTGCACCTTACTTCGATGTATAGTATGAATGGCGTGTGCTTCCAGCTTCTACACCAGTGGCACCACCTGCGGCAGGACCAAAATAACCTTGGGTCAGCGAATAATTGTCTATGCCACAAGAAGTTGTACAACACATGTGGCAGCCATCCGGCAGAGTCAATGCAGTTGGACTCTGAAGATAGGTCTGTAAACTAGATTTGCAAATGCAGTCCACAATGGTGCTCGGGCAGATTCGGTCCGCCACGGATGTCCGAAAAGAGAGTCTCTTTTCATTATTTTTTGTAATCATCCAGAGGTCATCATCAGGGGCCTGATCCGCTTCCATCTAGCAGCAACCTCCCTAGTGCCTCCGGCATGCGTTTCCACTTTTTGGTGGAAAGCTCCATCCTCTTTCTCCTTCTCCTTCCCCCTGCTGGGGGAATCCCCTCTCAACATGATTCGGAATCAGATACGCAATAAAGTTCACGACCCTCCTTACCCTTCAGACGAGCTAGGTTTTGCCTCCTTGCTGCGTCGACCACGTCGCACGCGCTCCAAAAAAGAACGCGTTCCGAGGGGATGGCATCTAGCAAAGTGCGCTTTGCGCATTCAATGTCAACCCTCCCCACATCCTTCTTTCTCTTCAGACAGCCGTCTCGGGTGGTGGTACCCGAACTTCGCACCTGCAGGGTAGAGTGTGGGACCGGGTTCGGGGCCTGCCGTCATTTCATCGGCTTACGACCACACCGCGGCCGGTGCCCTCGTGCCCATTAGAGCCTGTGGTTGGGGCTACCAACCTCAGATCCGTAGTCATGGTACGCAGCAACGTTCTCTGCGTCACTGGGCTTGCTTCAAGGCCTTCACTGCGCCTATAATCCGTTCACACGTCTGCTGGCATCTTCCTGCTTCAGCAGATGGAGCTGCTCTTTTCCCTTTGCATCTGTGTTCAGTGAGGTGTTATGGTGCTTGCGAATGCCTCATAACGTACATGAAGCATGCGTGCCGTTGTGGTGCTTGCAAGTGCCTCGCGCAAGACTGTACTGCCTGGGCGGATAGAATTCAAGTGTTGCAGAAAGTGTCTTGAGCAGGTGTGCTAACGATGGTACGTTCCTGTAACAGGATACTGCTCAATACCTGCAGCCCTCAGCCTGTCCGCCCCTTGCCCAGATCAGCAAGGACCACTTGCTGCTTCAAGAGACCCAGGAGTCAGCAAAGCTCGTGGTGGGTGCTTCTGTACAATTGCTGCCTGGCCCTGACCTTTTTGAACACCTTCAACATGTCAACTCGGCTTCCAGGGATAGCCCATTAAGACCACGTCCGTGTTGCAGGACAACATCACGGCGTTGCGTACATCCTCCGTCGATGCACTGCTGCCATTCCCGCGGCCGCAGCAGGCGCACAGTGAGGGGGACCCGTCATCCAAGCCCTGCTCCCCGCCAGACTCCCCAGCGCACTTGACAATCCCCTTCCACCGCAGCGCCAAGACAGGCAAGGGCCGCTGCTTCGGGGTGTCCGAGGCCGAGCCCTCGCCCTCCGCCTCCTCCGACGTGGAGGAAGACACCGGCGCGCAATACCGGCAGCTGCGCGGCAAGTGCGCCAGCAGCTGCATCCTGCTGCTGCCCGGCACCTCTGTCACCTCCTCGCAGCCCTTGGGGCCGCTCCCATACACCGCCGCGCGCATGCAGGCCTGCCTGCAGCTTCTAGAACATGCGGCCTCAGCCAACGCAGAGCTGAGCAAGCCCGCAGAGCCGGCAACCGACAACACCAGCAGCCCACAGCCGCAGTCTGACAGCGCATGCAGGTCGGATTCGCAGCCGGTCGGCGCCAGTGCTGCGCTGGAAACGGCGATTGTACCGGCGCAGCACAAGGGAGGAGTTCTCTGTTGCGACGCCAGCAGCAAAGAGGAGGAAGAAAGAACGGCGTCGCCGTGGGCAGAGGTGCCAGACGACATTCTGCGCAGCGTGTGCGGGCACATGCCGCCGTCGTACGTGCGTGTGGTGCGGCTGGTCTGCCGTGGCTGGGCGGCGGCTGCCGGGCGGCTGATGCAGCGGCTCAAGCCGGAGGCCCTGGAGGGGCCGCGACTGGCGCAGCGCTTCCCGCACCTTTGCGCGCTCGACCTCTCCCACTGCCTCCACACCGTCACCTTCCACACCCAGTGCGCCCCCTGCCCTCCCCCACTAAAATCACTGTGTAGCATGCTGTTGATGCTAGGGTGCAAGATATGTCTGCAGACAACCAGCTCCCTAAGCCTTGATGGAGTCTACCATTCCTGTTCTCCTGCCTTGAAGACCATGAACTACTGGGTTCTGAGGGCGTTATTCATGCCAGAAATTTGCATTTTGGGATTCAGCACTTTGATGCGGGACACCAAAAGTGCTGAAGATCTTGATGAGTTGTATCGAAAGAGTCTTGTGCTGACAAGTTGCTGTGTGCGTGAGCGCAGGACGGCGCTGCAGCTGCGCTCCAACGTCACGGATGAGCTGGTGGGACAGCTGGCGCCGCTGACTAACCTGCGCGAGCTGAGCCTGCGCGGCTGCACCGGTCTCACCGGCGCGCCCGACTCCGGCTTTGCGCGCATCGCCGCGTTTGCCCGCCTGGAATGCCTCGACATCTCCAACTGCAAGCTGCTGCAGGTCCGCTTCTTGCTACATCATTGCCACATGCCTTGATATGGGAACCGTAATGCAGATTCCCTACACGCGTTTGTATGGAAGTACCCCCTCGCAGCCTGTGCTGAGCTTCACCCAAGCATTTCATCTTCATGCCTGCACAATGTTCCACGACTGGCAGAGGGATGTCCGCAATCTGTAGTGTACTCTGCTTCGAGATGCGTCTGCCACATGTGTGGTACAGAGGAAGTGCTTGTCTGATTTTTCCAATTGGTGTTGATGTTATGACACTGTTGGTGCAGGATGACGCCCTGAAGGTGGTGGGGCAGCTTCCGGGGCTGAGGCAGCTGCGCGCTGTGGGATGCACTGCGCTGACAGACGCTGCACTGCACAAACTGGCGGCTCTGCAGGACCTGGTTCAGCTGGATCTGGGCTGCAACGCTCTCATCACGGATGCTGGTATTGCTGCACTGGCGAACATGCAAGGTGTGCTCTCTGTCAGAATTGTTTCCTAATGCGCCCCTGCCATGCATGCGGCGCGAGATTGCCCCGCTACGAGGACATCTGGTTACTCATGACCAGAGGAATTCTAGGAGTGCGCATGTCTAAACCTTGCCTTGACCAGATCAAGATGGTCATGCGAGTTGGCAATGCTTGATCAACACATGAGCCCATTGAAGGCAAGCGGATGAGGAGAGGAGTGTGCGGATCAGCTTAGAGCAGCTTAGAGCTTGGTTTCCCTAGTCACGTGCTCAGCCCAAGCAGGTTGTGAAAGGAGTGTGTTGGTGGCGCTGCAGGGCTGGAGCAGGTGAATCTGGTGTCCCTGGCGCAAGTGACCAACGCAGGAGTCGCGGCCCTGGATGCGCTGCCCAACCTCAAGCGCATCACAGTCTCTAGATGCGCGCGCATCTGCGAGAGCGGCATGCAGGTGCGAACTCCGGCTCTTATCTTAGGGAAATTTGCTGCCTTCAAGCATCGCTCTGGATGAGAAGGTTCCTTGTTGGTCACATGACTGCTGGTCAATATACCCCAACTCGCTAGAACAGTGAGGGTATGCTAATTTAGGGATTGGTGATGCAGTGTCTGGGATGCACCTGACCAAGTGGGGTTCACCCTTACAGGGTCAATTTACCTCTCGGCTGCTGCTTGTTGCAGAAATTCATGGTACGGTAGGAATATGTGTCATTTGCAAGCGCGCTCAAACGTGTGCGGCATGGCTTTGTGCAGGAGCATTTTGCGGGGAAGCACCTGCGCGTGTCGATGTGTGGGACGCCGCTGCGCCGCAGCATGTGTGCCTGGATGTCATCTGTGCTGGCAGACCTGGACAACCTGCTCTTCGAGCGCTGAAATTCCTTCGTCAAGAGGGGTTTAAGGAGGGTCTGGGGTTTAAAGAGGGTCTGGTTTTAGGGCGAGAGTGCTAGGCGCGCGCTGATCCCCTTTTCAAGTGTTTTAGCCCTCTCCCTCTCAATATGAAGAGGGAGAGGGCTAAGGAAGCGCTGAATTCCCCCTCAAGAAATTGAGAGAGTCTGTACAGAGAGCAGGACTAGATGTGTGAGAATTCAAAATAAGTGATGGAAAAAAGCATGAGTCTGACCTCTCTTGGAGTGGTTGCGTGGCAATGGCAACTGCGACATCGGTGTGGCAAGATCTTCTCTTTTTCTGGTCTTTGAGTGAGCCCCTGCGGGCGTTGTGAGGTGGTACTTATGGCCCGAGTGATGCCAACATACCTTTTCAAGTGATGGCTGAGGATATAGACTGGAATGAACGAAGGGCGTTGTGCAGGGCCTGCCAAGAACTCACTAATCAAATGGGTTCCTTGAAAGCTTGTCTCTGCAGTTTTGGAAAGTGTTGCCTGGATGTAAGCAATCTTCACTTGTCCACGATGGGGATAACATGGTCTCAGATGGGGTTGGGTGTTTTCTGTGTGGCATGCTGCATGCTTAACATCTGCTCTGGTAGTTTTCGCTGGTGTCAACACCTTAGGTGAGCGAGTGCCAGCTTTCTTCTTCATTGTGCTGTATGGGAAGTAGTCGTGGACAGTGTTCCAATGTGAGGGGGGCAGGTTTCGGTGCAGTGCTGCCTCACCAACAATTGCCCTTATGAGCATATACTGCATATCTTTCCTTTGCCTACTTGACTGCTGTGGAGAAAATCTGCAATGGTGAGGTCCTTAGTCTGGGTGTTGCTATTTAGGAGCGCTGTTGGGAGGGTAGTGCACTTTCTGTCGGTGGGTTGCTGAACATCTGGCTGGTGTGCCCGTGCACATGCATGGGCTTTCGATGCGTGTCGTGCTGAGCTTGTGCTCTTGTGTGTGACTCAGTGCATGCTGCAATAATGAGCAGATTTTGCATTGATGCTGTAAGCGGATTTGGACAAGCACGCACGATGTCCATATAGACTCGAAGCACACCTTGACGAATGCATTTGGTGCCAGCATGGCTAGTTCAAGATTAGTGAGTTATTCAAGCATGCACGGGTGTGGCAAGATGCATTTGGCAGAGAGCTTCCCATTTCAAAAGGGTGGACCACTCTCAGTCACCACGCCTATATTTGGAGCCAAGTAAATTACATAATGCCTACAGCGCGTGCAAAAGAGCATTAGCGTAGGATACGATGGCTTTTAGGCTGCTTACACATCTCAAGGATCTACCTCTATACCCAAGCATTGAAAAAATTCCTCACAGCTCACCATATGCATATCTTGAGAGAGGTGATTGAGCTCAAACAATTGTTGTTACATCATTGTTTGCAACCTGCAGAAAAAAAATTGTACATCTTATGTTTGTCGATCCACGGTTCCCCTCCCGAGTTCATTTCAGGTTTCAAGTGCTGTCTGTGATTTTGGTGGTGACAGGCATTACTATTATTCCTGCATCAAGGCCTATACAATCTCAATATTGCATCAATGCAGGCCGGAGACGGACAGAAGAGAGCGCGATTATCCCTTGAGGTCCTTAACACTATCGCAAGCAGTACTGCTGTTTTTTTTTCATGCGAACACAAACTCGATGGGACCACGGCACACATTCTAAGGAGACCATCACTATTCTTTCTGCCTTGACAGCTTGGACACAAGAAAATTTACTGCTGCTAGGAGCTCACAAAGACTGCCCTGACTGGTGGACTAATGCAATGGCAGAATCATCCAAAAGCCTGCTGAAAACCCCTCTGCAGCCCAGGAAACCTCCCAGGGCCATGCCAAAGTAGTGCTTGTCAAATACGATGGATCAACTAGTAATTGTCTGGACCAGGGTCGGCAAGTAAAGGAACTCCATCGCGGAGAAAGAATCCCTTTTTTGCCTAGCAACGCACTTGTATGGGGAGATTAAAATTTCTGGTTGATTGAAGCTGTGGGCTGGTGCTGGCCTCAGGTGTGGCTTGACAGGAAGGTGGGGGCGCTGTAGGTGAGCTCGGTGTTCTTCTTGGCGTTGACAATGTTGGGGTGGTTGAGCGTCAGCTCCTGCAGGAATACCAGACCAGCATGCTGTTCACCATCTTGTATATGGGACAAGTTTTACCACAATAACAGCTAGAATGAAACACGGGTATTCCTGATCGCAAGTCTCACAAACATGTGCAACGAGGACCTCAACCTCCTAAATAGTACACTCAAGTCACACAAAATGTATCTTCAAGTGGATCTGAGGTACAAGTTGCACACAAACAACAAGATATGATCTTGCGTAAGGGTAAGAGAACTTCAGGAGAATCTTAGGAAACACTGGTGGGTGATTGCTTGCAGATGACTTCAATGCAACTGCAAGCATTCCTAACAAGATTGTGAATTTTTTCATTTGTCTGCAGCACTCATCAAACACTGCGCCAGGGGCGTATGATGAGAACTTTGGCAAGGGAGGTGCGGGTACCTTGGCGCCGAAGAGGACGTTGTCTGCGGCCTCCACGCCGAGCATGAGGGAGTGGTCCTGATTGCCCACCTCGTACTTGTAGCTGCCAAATCGGCCGCGGCTCCAGATTCCGCTGTCCCGCAGCCACGGCAGCGCCTGAGCCACCGCTCCGTCCCGCTCCAGGCTAGGCGTCGGATACCCGTGCTCCAGCCGCCTGTCACCGCGCAATCCCAACATCTCTCGATTGCTTGCTGAAACGATGCAAGCCCCGACATCTCTGGATCACTTGCCAACACCATGCAACCCCAACAGCTCTCAATTACTTGCTGAAACAATGCACCCCCCAACATCTCTCAATTCCCGCCTGAGACCATGCAATGCGAAATTGACTTTATCCCCTGCTGCACAACTGCGTGGCGAATCACAATCTTCATAGTCGCCCACATCCTATCCTAACCAGGAGTGGTCTGATACTCAAGTCCACATTCATAATTAGGTCACTATACGCAGAGAGTTACTATTCAAATATTCTAGGTAAGCCAGCAACTCCTGGTGTCCGCTGTATTTATCGTAGTCTATGAGGAGGCAGACAGAGCTGGCACCGCAAATCACAAGGGAAGAGGTGCTGTGGCGCGCCTGTGATAGAGGGACACGATCTGGTCCTCCGCGCTGATGAGCTTGGTGGCCAGGGCGCCGGCCACGCACTCGCGCACCACTCCTGCCCACGAGCCGCCGGCAAAGCTCTCAGTGGCGTTGTTGACCGGCTTGAGCTCGCTCTCGCTCACCTCGAACATCAGCGACCAGTAGGGACCCTCCTGCGCCTCCTCGCCCTGTGTCTCCGTCCCATCCCCCTGCCCAATTGAAAATACTTGTTAAGGACCTTGACCTCAAACCAGGTCAACACGTCTCAATGACCTTGACCTCACTACAGGTCAAGGAAGGCTATGCCTGTTGACTTGCTGGTTGTCACATAGAGACTCAAGAGAAAGGCGATAACCTTCTGGACAATGCAGGAACATACTGTACACTGTGCTTAGAGGGCTCTTGTCAAGGGAATTGGCTGTCAGAATGCAGTCCAACATGCGGCAAAACTCAAGACAGGGCACAGTGCAATATGAGGACAAGGCTGGAGTTCCTCGTGGAAAGCCACACTAGGCAAGGCAAGACAAGCTCTGGCAAGACATACTGGCATGTGTGGATTATGTGGGGACAGAACCTTTCTCTGAGAAGGCTCGCAGGGGGCAGAGGAGGCGCGCACCAGGCAGAGGGTGGGGAGGCGGGTGTCGGGGGCGGGGCAATTCTTAGGGGCGTAGTGGGAGAAGACGGTGGTGCGGTAGAAGGGGCAGTTGTCCTCGGGGAAGTACAGCCAGCACTTGAGGCCGTGCGGGCAGCTGCCGCGGATCCCAAGCCCGATGATGTGCGACGAGCTGTACGCAAGGAACACCCCCCAATAATTCACAAGTCGTATCAAGCACCCAGAAGCTTTACTGTCCCCTAGATCCTCCATTAAATGTTGGGCAATGAGAGCCTCCATCACGACACCTAGCAAACCCAATGTCATGCTGATGCTGAACTCACCCACTGTGCACATGTTGCATCTGAGCCTCAACGAAGATGCCCTGCAGTAGAGCACCTTTGCCACCAGCAGCACCAGATCTCCATGGACACTCGCGTAAATGTCGCAGCACCTTGTAAAATAATTTGCTTCAAGGCGTGTTAACAACAGAAATGGTGGCCGGACCTGTGCGAGAGGGTGTCGGCCCACTTGGGCTGCCCCAGCCAGCGAAGGGTGATGTCCAGGGGGATGGTCGAGATGAGCGCGTCATACTGGATGCTCTGCCCATTGGCCAGCTTCGCCACCTTGGCCTCCTTGTCCAGGCTCACAACCGCGTAGCCTTCGCCGTACCTCTGCGCTCACAACCATGCATGAACTCAGATCTAATTGATGCCAGACAGCCTGATACCTACATATGTAGGCCATGTGTCTCTGGACGAGAGTGTGCTGTGCCTAGCATGTCTTCTCTTCATTCCATACGCACATTTGACAGTGACAGCCAACGATACATTGAGTGCGATACACTAATTGCACACGTTAGTGACAGGGTGCTGGCGGCACATGCCGGCACCACGCGCGCACCTGCTTGTCCTTGGGCAGCAGGCGAGCGACGGCCTTCCAGATGGCGCCAGTGCCGCCCTCGAGGGGGAACCTGAAGACGGCGTTGGGCCCCCAGCCGGCGTCCTCCTTGCCCTGGATGACTGATGTGATTGCACGCGTCGCGTCGACCGTCGCCACCCGCTCGCCCAGCCACTCGCACTGCATCGCCGTCGTCGGGTACGCCCACACCTGGCAGCCATGGAACGCCTCAATCAGTGCCAGCAAATGCCAAAATTTCACGGCATGCCGGTGTCAACCGGGTGTTATCGCAGGACTCCAATTGGCGAGCACAAAGAAGCTGAGATCTGGATGAATCTAGCAGCTAATCTAAGCAGTACCCTGGCGAGAGGCCATGCATTTGTGTTGCCGAAGCAACAGCAATCAAAATGCAGCTGCAGCATTTCATCAAGTTGTATCTCTGGGACAAAGTAGCCAGCCAGCAGATCACACACTTCTCAAGGCATGCGTTAGGCGAGGAATGGCCGTGATGCAAGTGGTCAACTCATTTCATGCATGCGGTTGCAAGAGCACACCTTGAAGTTGTAGGGGCGCATGAAGAGGTCGGCGATGCCGGTGCCCATGACGCGCAGGATCCACTCGTCAAAGTCCTTGGGCTTGCCCTGCGCCACCGCGTTGGCCACCTTCGCCTCCGCCACACCCACTAAACACCGTATCTGCACCCACCAATTAAACTCCATTCGTCACTTTGCACGAACAGAGAGGATTTATTTGCAAGATTGTCTCGTTGACTGCCGTTGCAAATGTGAAAGACAAGGTCGAGCAATTTTTATATCCTCCTGGAACTCCTCACATCTCTGCCACCCCTGAACTCCTCGTCTAAAACAGGGCAAAGACATAGGCAGCACAGAAACATCATTGCAGCACTAGAGCGTGCTGCAAGGACAGGACATGTGTCCATTTGATGAACGCAGATCACTGAGACGAACAGACTGGCTGGTAGGTCAGGATGGGCAGGTTGAGAAAGGGAAACCTACCTGGTCTTCCTGGGGGAGGGCGCTGATATTGTTCTGGAAGGGGTAGGCGACCCAGCGGTCCTTGATCCACACATAGCTGACGCGTTGCAGCGTGTTCCAGAATTCTTCCCCAGAGCCCACAGCTGTGTCCAGCAGCTCGTCAAAGTACTGGTAGTGGCTGAAGATCACGTGGCCGCCCATGTCGAACAGGAAGCCCTCTGGGGTCTCGTCGGTGCATGCTAGCCCTCCAGCCTCATCTGCCTGTGACACAGACACAACCTAAATAAACAGTGTGACTCACCATCTGACTGCTCTACAGAATGCGCAGCTGCATGCACTGACAAAGAAGGCTAATTGATGCATGAAGATGCACCAGAAAACACTTTCACCATCCTGCCTGCTGCAGATTTGAGGCGTCTCAATACATGCAATTTTAGGACCAATGGCTTGGTACACATCAAGATGGGTCCCACAAATAACCTTACATACTGAATTCCCAAATCCCAACCTCCTCTATGAGGCATTAAAGAAATGAACATCAATATCTGCAAGTTCAAGCAACCCAAAAAGTATTCGCTGCACAGATCCTGACGGTCTCGCCCAGGTTGGATTATTCCAGGCCATCCTGTCGACCGACATGATTCGATGATGGTATCTTGATGGTACAGGAAGATGGAAGACCTACAATAGGAGTGAAATTTACCTGGTCGATCAGCAGCCAGTCCCGCAGGCCATGCTGATGAAGGCGAGTTGCTGCTCCAAGACCAGTTGGCCCAGCCCCCACCACCAACACACCCACCTGCAAGGCTTTCAACACTTTACAAACAATTTTGCAGTCTCAAAGATATCAGTAGGTGCGAACTGGAATCTATCAGAGATGCACCAGGCAAGCACTCTACAGAGGGATTGGTGGACAGTACCTTCTCTGATGTTCGAGCTGCAGGACACATGATCCTGTCTCTCGTCAAACAATTGAGAATCAACCGCGCGACTTACGCGCCTGAACAGCGAAGATGCCGATGCTCGAAGAATGTGAGGGGTGATGCCCCAGTTCGTTTCATGCATGGGCTGATCACCTGCCAGCTACCTCACCCACTGCATGCCATGTGGAAGTGGACGATCCCAGAATGGAGTCCAAGGTAAGGTGGACCACCCTGGTGGAGCCAGACTGCTGAAGCTGCAGGAATGCCTTGTGATGATGGCATGTGGCTGGACAGCTCATGCTGATCAGAATTGCTGAGTGTGGGGCTAAAGAAACAGCTGCGCAGCTGCTGTACATTGTATTGCTTTCTTGCAGCCGCTGCAGAAATAGGCGGCCTGATTCTTACAACTGCAGATGCAGGTCAAGCATTGCCATCACTTCAGGATCCGTCAGCAGTCACCGTTCGCTTGGTCATTCACAAAACCATTTAAAATTCTCAAGCTCGCCGAAAGCGGCCAATCATCATGATGACCATAATCAAAATGCTGCGAGTGCTACCGGCGGTCCTTGTACATGGCCGTTGAGGGCAGGAAGGAGAGAGCCTCGCGCATGACGCGCAGCTCCTTGGGGTTGCCCTGAGTGAGCATGAAGCTCTTGATGAGCTCCACATGATCCTGAGCACAGAGGCCCTGCAGGACACCCTTAATGCCCTTCAGTACTGGAACTTCAGCAGGAGACACCAAAAAGTAATGCCGAGCAAAACACGCTGTAATTGATCAAGCAGGCAGTAGAGCAGGATTAGTGTGATGACTAACAGTGAAGAGGCTCTACTGCGCACCACAGCATCGTAGTACGCCAGCAGGTTTGCCCACTCCTCAGGAGAAAACCGGTAGACTTCTGTGGGTGAGACCCAGGGCTGCAGGGGAACCTGCACACCACACAGCATGTGCCTCAGCTCACCGCTCACTTGAGCACATTAGTTCTGACTTCCAGCGCATGAAGATCGCTTGGTAATATGGAGAAACAAAGCTCTCAGCCAGTTGATGGCAGGCAACACAGCAGCTGCTAAAGCAGCAGTTGTGTCTGCTCCCACATGCAGGTCGATACTGGCGCATTCACAGGGCAGAAGAATGCACGCATGCAACCAGCAGTTTGCTCTCCCTTCAATAAGACCCACAGTTTCGACATGTTGCTGCAGCCGATCACTCTGTCCCTTCCAGTCATTCTAAGATGTGAATTCCTTGAGGGCAATAGTCTGTCTGAGGGTGCTACACAAAAGATACAGTGTGCAGCAAAACAGTGTCTGAAGCAAGGAAGAGGAAGGGGGCTCACAGGCGTACGGCGGCTGATACGGTCGTGGCGCGCGAGGGCGCCGATGCAGACGCCCTTGAGCGGCGCGGTGTGCTCCAGCACGCGCAGACCGGCTGCCAGCCGCAGCTCGCCCGCGCCCAGCATGCGCCGCTTGTGCTCGCCCACCGATTGGCCGTAGTCGCTCGGCGCGTACAGCGCGTTGTAACGGTCCACCGCAAGCATCACGGGCACCTGTGTGACACCAGAAGTAAGGAAAGCTTCACCTTTTTCTTCCCCAATAGCAAGTACTGCTCCACCTCTTATGATAAAATACATACATTCAGGATGGCCAGCATCACAGGCACTCGCGCCACGGCAGCTCTGTGGCAGCAGGACATGTCAGCAAGGCATTCATTCAATAGAAATGGCACACGCTGTTGAGCACGTGAGTCCACATCAATCTATGCCTGTGTCCTGTAGATGCTTCCACCAACATGCAGCATCCCTGCACCTGGGTTCCAGACAAAATGTCTATGCTGATCAGTACCTTGCGTGTTGAAAGCTCCAGGGGAAGAGGCAATGGCGGCTTAGGATCTGCTACAGTATAAGGGACTTGCAGGTGATGACAGTGCGGCTCACCCCCGACTGCGCTTTGAGGGCATCAATGACGTCCAGCACGGCCGTAACGGGCGCGGCAGCGCCAGTGGCTTCCAGGCCAGCTTCCGCCAGCTCCGCGATCGAGCAGCTGCCATCCACGCTGCGCAGGCCCTGCAGCACAAGGTTCTTCTCCTCAAGATTTGATAAGAAGCCATCATGGCTGCAAAAAGATATGCTGACATTATTCGGCTTTGGCCCAAAATAGGAATTTAAAGAGGGTGTTGGAGTTCAAATACAGCGAATTGTAGGATGTCCCTTATAATGGGTAGTTCTCTCGGGAGCCAGATGTTGGACAAAAATGGGACAGCACCGAGTGGCCAAAATGCCACAAAATTTTACGATTTATGTGTACACAGCCACACTGGCTTCAAGAAGACAGCGAGAAGACCATGCCTGCAGCGTGTCCCGGTGCGCGGCCAGCAGGTTATGCAGGATGTACTTGGCGCTCTCGGGTGTGTCCCAGGCGTCCGCGTCCTTGTTATACGCGTAGGTACCTCCTGCCGTCAGCACCTCTGCATTCGGCACGTACAGCGCCTGCGCATGGCAAACACCCTGTTAAAATCCCCATTTTATTAGCCTAAAATCGCGCTTCCCTGAGACTGTGTCACCCCCTAGACCCTCTTTGGTGCCTGAAGTTGACCTGAGCCGCAGCATGCAAACACATGATGTTCATAGCAGGTGTGCGTGAAGACAGTACTGGCACAAGTATGGCACACTCGATGACCTGCTGAGATCTTGTGCATGTAACTCGCTGAAATTATGTGCACATTGCAGGGCTAGGGCATTTGATGCAGGGATTCAGGGGTGGGTCCCGATAGGGAGAGGACGCACCACCCAGCCGGAGAGGCGAGCCCAGTGCACAAGCGCTGCCACAGCAATGCTCTTCCCAGAGCTGGGCATGCCGTCCAGCATCCAGTGGCTAACCTTCTGCTCCTCTATAAGCCACTGCTTGATGAAGTGGATAATGGGGCGGTACATGATGAACTGCTGCCCGCTTGCTGCATACTCATCCTGCCAAGATGGAAGAAAACCGCTCTTAGCATCTGTGGCCATTCCATCTCATTAGGATGCCACATGAGACGAGCAAATGAGCATAAGTATTATTGTGGGCAAATGTTTTGATTCTTATTATGATCATAAAGAAGAGGCTAATCCTTACTATGAGCCCGCTGCAGCCGCTCTTGGGCAGCATGCTCAAGTTGGGCGCTTTGCTGTGCTCAGGGAATGCTTCTGGGAGGCTCTCTGGTGGGAGTGGAAAGTAGGTGAATAGATCTTCCACGCTCATGCTCGCAATATCTTTTTCAGCCTGTATCAATGGTCCCCTGCGGTGCACAACACATGCACTTCTTCAGCCAAGCCAAACAGCGCCTTTTCATGCTGCATGCATGTGCTTGACATAGCATACACTTCCCCTTGCGAATCTATGGCATTCAAAGCTTGGATTGCCACATGGTGGATGAAGCTTACAGAAACCATTACCTTTCCGCCTCTGCGAGCTCTTCAGCTAGCACGTCCAATTCAGTTTCTTTCTCTTCACTCGATGCATACCCGGCCTCTGCTCCAAGCAGAGACTCACTTCCATCTGTAGACGGCTGCGATGCCATCTTCTCTGACCATCTCTCCCGCCTCTCTCTATTCTTAGATCTATTTTCGTCTCGGTGCCGCTTCTTGGCCAAGAGCGTAGCGCTCTTCTCAGCAGCACTGCAGCAGCCAAGCTCAGACAACCTGGCCTCCGTGAAGATGACGTGCATCACGAAAGGACGAAATCGCAGTGTCACTTCGTGCTCTATGGACATTGACATAAGTGCATCCTCACCTGGGCTCAGGGCCTGAATTGGACTGCCCGTCTGTCTTCTGCCCCCCCTCGGGAGAACTGATAATGGAAGAAGATGTAAAGGAGCGGTGCCCGGCATGGATTGCGCTGGGTGTGTGGAGATCACGGACTGTGTCGCCAAGAGTGCAAGCTCCTGATGTTGAGGGCTCACCAGATGTCCTTGTGCTTGCCCTGCTGCTCTGTGACAATGATGGGCACTCAAGAGCAAACCAACGAATCCTGAACAAATCCACATATTTATGTCATCGAGAGGGAAATGTATCTCTATTGGACGGGAGACTTGCATTTTATTGTCTCCAGATCGTTCAGTAGCAGCCAGTACAATACGAATCCATCACAATACGTTCATCGTGAAGCAGATGCACAAAAAAATATTGTAATATGTATAGAATTGATAAGTTTCGTGCCTGGAAAGGACAGTTCTTTGCAACGCAGTCCTGCCGGCCATTGAGAAAACCCACTTTCGATCCTGGCACCAATCAAGGACACTTCTGGCGCTTTATCTGCTTTTGCATGCTCAATATATCAGTATATGGTGTTTACGACTGCCAAAACAATTTGTTCAGACTATTTTCTCAAAGTTGGCTTGGGACAGCAGTTCCCCTCGTCTAGAAAGTGCAGAAAGCTACGCTCAACATGCACGACCGTTTCACGAAAGCTGGATCAATTTCGAAAGTGTGTCACTCCATGTGCTACGAACAATACCTTCAGTGTTATATTTTGTGCTGTGCTGACAGTGACGATATGACACGGGCCGGTGAAAACGTAAATTGGCACCACGGCAGGGTTGCGTCACATTGGACTTACTAGGCAGGTCGAGTGCAGAAGATCAACAAACTAAAAATCAGCATGACACCAAATAATTTTATTTTTAGACATTAAAACTAAATTCGCTCTTCTTGAACGGAAGATCGGATCGAAGAGGGCTCCCAAAACGGACATATCGAGAGGATGAGTGAAATGCTTGTTCACGTTTCTTGGCGAGATCAGGTGACTCAGATCTCACTGTATGCAGCTATATTTACCCTACAATCTGGTCCTGTTCCTATATCCTTGCAAATCAACTCAAGGACTACTCAAATTTACATAGAGGAGACTGATCGCCCATCCTGCAGGAGGTCACTGCTGATGCAAGGCAGGGACGAGATTTGATGACAGTACAAGTCCACCGCAAAAATAGGTCTGCTGGGAGGTGATTTTGTAATGCATCAGAATCTTGAGGATGTGGGCTATAACAGAGCCCTCCTCAAACATTGTGTCCCACAGGAATGCCGCATCGGCCCTTGCTGACAAGGGTGCGGATGATCTCTGGTCAGCTACTATGGAAGCTTTGCCTGCAGAGGTTGAGCAGAAGTTTGTAAATCTAGAACGACGAGGCAGGAGCTGCCAGGTGAGATAACTGGCCCACCACCCTTTAAGTGGGCAGATTCAATCTATTGCATAGTTTCATTGGACCGATCTGCCCAGCAGGTTGGTGCGTATATGCGCAATGCAGCTGTGCAGAGCGGGGGTGGGCCCCCGATTGAAAGCAGTACCCAGTATACACTGCCAAACAGTCTCAGCAAGGAGGAGAAGGCAAGAATGTTCAGCTCGGTTGACATGACCTCCTTTTTATTAAGGGCGGTGCCCAGGTCAGCCTCTTCTGCCAGCCTGCCCTCATCCACAACATTTCAGCAGCTCAATATCTCCTTTAATGAATGCATGTGTCTGGTAGCTAGCATGACATGGCTTAAGGTAATCCACCTAGATATGCCTGTTGTTGTTGTTGTTGTTGTTGTTGTTGTTGTTGTTGTTGTTGTTGTTGTTGTTGTTGTTGTTGTTGTTGTTGTTGTTGTTGTTGTTGTTGTTGTTGTTGTTGTTGTTGTTGTTGTTGTTGTTGCTGTTGTTGCACGCTTTTCCTGCCAAAAGGCAAGGTACATCCTGCAGACAAGCTGCACTTTGAAGGCTGCACAATCCTACCCCTTGTTGGGCTCGCCAGATCCAAGCAAGACCCAATCAACCGTGGGCACCCCTCGGTATTTATCCGCCCTCCGCCAGCCGAGGCTATGCCTATTGCCATGGTCTGATGGACAGCCTGCACCTGTGCAGGGCAGAGCTGGTGCTGCTCCAAAATACCTTGATAGACATCAGCGAGGATGAGCTGGCAGCCCTGGGCGATGAGGACAGTGCTCCCACAGCGCCAGGCACCAGGAAAGACACATCACTGACTGAGCTGCAGTCGTTTGTGGATCTGGTGTACACCCATGGCCGCTCTGTGACAAGCCTGCAGTGGCTGCCGCACCGCAAGGTGCCCACATTTGCTTCTCCCTATGCTGGCCTAGATCCACTTCATATGCTCACATGTCAGGCATTACATTTGTAGGTCTTCGTATCCTATTTACATTTCTGACAAGATCTTCTGAGAAGGAATGTGGGCCTGCAGGGAGCCATAGCAATGGCATGCACTGACCCCCAAGGGGAGGGCATGGGAGCCCATCACGGAGTTCTGATCTGGACATTTGCTGATTTAATACAGCCGGAGTGCATCCTGGATGCTCCTGTTGAAGTGGGCACCTTTGAAATCAACCCGGGCATGCCCCACATTGTGGCTGGCGGCTGCTCCACTGGGCAGATCATCCTTTGGGACACCTCAGCCCACGATGTATGGCTCTTCACTGATATTAGACACTTAACCCACAGAGATTGCATCATGTGCATCAGATTTGGGGAGCGAAGGTCACGATCATGCATGTCTGACAATGTGAGACTGTGTTGCATGGCAGGAGCACATAGCAGCGACACGGGGAGAGAAGCCTTCGGCGACAGAGGGCAAGAAATCTCCACCTCAAATTGCTCATCAGCACCTGTCCTGCGTGGACCACTCTCACAGGGGCCCGGTACAGGCGCTGCAATGGCTTCCGGGGACCAACATCACAAAGGACGGGGCATGCCTACCAACAGTAAGAGATGATCGCACCCTTAACCCCCCTGTGTTTCATTCGTTCAGGGGCACTCAGTTATGAAACATACATTCTGTGCAGAGCAGTGCATCACCACTTCATGTAACGGTAAAGCAGGCTGCTAACGTATTTAGGTGTGTTGGTGACAGGGGGAGGAAAGGAGCCGGCCTGGGAATGACTCTGCCTTCTTTGCATCCACAGCCGCTGACGGCCGGGTGCTGTTCTGGGATATGCGCGTGTGGCGATTCAGAAAGGCCAAGAAGTGCGCGCCGGCACCCGCAAGCATGAACACTATCAACATGACTCAATCCACCTGTTTAACTGTCAGCACTGTAGGAAACGAGGCTTGCGCAAAGTTCTCATTCTGCGGGCATGATGTTTTCAGGGAGCAGGATGCATCAGAGGTGGTGTGGAAGCCAGTTTATGCGGTTCCACTGAAGGCTTTCGGCGGCAACGATGTGCCCTGCTGCTGCCTCAGCTTTGCTGGTACACCCCACAGCGGCCGGCCCATGCTCATAGGCTTGCAGGATGGAGACATTGTATCCGAGAGCTTCTCCCGCAACGATACTTCCCAGGTAATTCCTCAAGCCCAACTCTGCCTGTCTTATTCACCAGGCTGTGGATTTTTCCCCACAAGAGCATGGGAGTGGGGTCATGCCTTGGCAAGAGAATTCGGTTCACAATTAGCTTGATGCAGAGTCCTGTCTAGCACTTCAAGAGGTGTCGGCAAAAGTGGCAGCCTTGTTAGGTCCTGGATGATGATGTCAGACAAGACTTGGAGTCTCTTGGTTTCTCTCTGCCTTGGTGGAAAGCCCAGGATAGAGAAGGATGGAAGGCTGTCATTTTAAACGCTGCTGCCACTCAGTTGATCCTCGTGGATTGGTAAGAATAACAATAACAAACCAGATGCATCTCCTTGCAGGCAGCAGATGGGGGTGAGGCAGAAAAGGCGGCGGCTGGAAGAAATCCAGCGCACAGCAGCGGAGTGACGGCACTGGCGGTGTCGCCGTTCATCGACAACCTGATCCTGAGCGTGGGCGGCTGGGATTGGGCCTTGTGGCAGGCTGACAGGCTGGAGGCGCCGCTCATGCGCTGCGCAAGCGCGCCCTGTGCCTACACCTGCATTGCCTGGAGCCCCACCCGGCCAGGTGTGACTTTTCGTATTTATTCACAATCAAATCTTTCTTTTTATTGTAAAATATTTATTCAACATTTCAAGACTTTAAACTTCAAAAGGTCCTTCACCTTGACTTGCCTTGCAGACTGGTGCTGGTGCTTTCTGCCCTGACAAGAACGAAAAAGCACGTGCATGCTGTCAGTTTGCCCGCTGTAAAGTTTTGCTAAGTTGTGCAGAAAGCCCTGAGGATGGACATCACCTGAATGGGCACTAGTAGACTCCTCAAGCGAACTACTCGTGGGTAGATAATGGGCCATACTTAGTACGGAGCAGTAGTTTGAGGGGATTACGGGGAGATGGTGCACTTTAAGGGAGTCTGGTGTCAAGTCAGAGCTTGTCGATATGATTTGGTATCATACATGATGTGCTGCAGGTGTGCTGTTTGCCGGCCGCGCGGATGGTCTAGTGGAGGCGTGGGATCTGCTGGAATGCAGCCACAAGCCGGTGCTGGTTTCCGCGGCGTCCACCGCAGCCGTCACCAGCCTCTGCTTCAGCCCAGATGCCCCCGTCGCTGCCACCGCCAAGCGGACCTCCACCCAACAGTTGCTGGCTATCGGTCAGCGGCCTGACTTACTTACTCGTGAATGACTCACTTCTGCTGCATTGGAACCTGACAGCTGCTTGCTGCAGTTTCTAGTAGCCAGCATGTGCCACTTAATTGCCAGTTCCTCCCGGGATGAAGCTTGGCGGCGTAAGAAATGAGTGCAAACAGAGCATCATGCTGCATTATTTCTTCGCTTGAAGTGTTATTCTGTCCAAAGCTTGATGTAGCATCATGCTACATCATGCTGGCCATGACCATGATGGCATGCCCATTATAACAGGTCATCGCCACCTGGAAGCTTGCTGGCATTCCACCAGTCCACCGGGGTTCCCTCCCCGGTGATAAAGGACATATTTTCAGGCAGACTTTCATAAGTACAGATCTGTATCTAATCGACGGCGCATACGGGGCCATAGCTCTCAGACTGTGTCCGTTCTAATTTACCGCCCTCTGACAGAGTGTCTGAAAGTGGCAACTGCTGACATGTGGCATTGTACAGCCTGACTGTGCATGGCTTGCCACTGCAACGAGTCTGGCATCACCGGCTCTCGGGGTGGTGGGCCACATCCAACGCGCTGCAACTTTACTACCACCTGTGAAAGGAATTGCCTAAAAAATGATTTTCGGACAGTCCATTCCAAGTCACCATGCGCAGGCGATGCAGCGGGCCTGCTGCATGTGATGGAGGTACCGCGCAGCCTCCGCAGGCGCATGCACAGCGAGGCCAAGGCGCTGACTGGACTCCTGCAGCGCGAACTGCAGCGCCTGATCTGGCTGGCTGCCTCAGCCGCCCCCGGCGCTCCCATGAAGGTCCGCTCTTTCTCCGCACATTTTCTGGTGCTTTTCTTTACTGTTGTTTTACTTGTTGCAGCATCCGCATGTGTCGTGTGCTCTGTTACCAATAGACCAATGAGATGGTTCTGAGCACCGTGCCCATGGCTGATTGGGTCTTGCTTGGATCTGGCGAGTCCATCAAGGGGTAGCCTTTAACTGCAACTTGTCTGCAGGACGCACCTTGCCTCTTGGCAGTAAAAGCGTGTAATAATGATATTATTATTAATGAGATGGGCAGGGGATCTATGGGGGGTGCTGCTTGTGCAGGGACCATCGCAGGTGGAATCAGACAGCCATGGACAGCAGGGAGCAACAGCAACGCCGACACTTGCAGAGGTGTGTCTCCGGGGTGTTGCACAATTCTTTGCGGCCATGCCCTCTTTTACTCCAAGAGTGGCAGGCAATGAGGTTACAGAAAGCCACCGCAGAAGCAAAATCAAAGACACGAGACGTCTGCACAGGAGGATGAGCGGATCCAGGAGCTGGAGTATCGGAAGATGGAGGCCGTTTACCGGATTGAGTGGGGTCTGCAGGCTGCCTCATGATGCTGTTACACAGATGGCATGTGGGACATTGTATTTATGGGCGCTTCAGTATCTGGAATCAGTTCCTGTGTTCAATAGTTCAAGTTGGGAAGGAACGCCAGAATCATGATTTTTTGTTGATTGCCAATGGCTGGAATCGACTGTAAAGATCAAACTTTCAGGTCAACAAGAGACCTTTGGAGACTTTCATAATATGCATTGATGGTTCCTGGTTGGCATGCTCCTCACGTGTCCTGGGTCAGCGTCGTTGGATGTACCCTTGGACTCAACCTTGGACAGATCCACATCGACAACACATCCGCCCTGCTCCAGACAGACTCCCTGCGAGAAGGATATCCGCATAGCTTGATTTGCTTTGTACATCGTAAAATTGTTGGGTATTTGTCAGAGCAATTGTGTACGACGAGTCGTCTGCGCCACACTTACGCATTCCAGAGCAAAGAAGAGCTAGCTTCATTGTGATTAGTTGAACAATAGTGATTAGAGTAGTGGCGAGAAAATGATGCAGTCAAGATCGAGCAAGGGTCCACTCTGAGTCCGAAAATCACTGCGTGACGTGCATATGCGGCCAAACACAAGCTTGCGCTCCGACAAGGCAGCAGATCATGGCACTCTTCACAACCTTCAAAGCCAAGGCATATCGACTTTGGAGAAATCTGCCACTGTTGCCACTGTAAGTCGCTTTTTAGACGTTCACATCCCATCTGCAGCGAACCTTGCCAAGCAAGTCTGGAGTCTTCTCAAAGACTTGTTTTCTGAGATCATGCCATATACTATCTGTGCAGGACAGCGTTGGGTCTGCTGCTAGGCTTCTCGATCTATGCAAGCCTGCAGGGAGCCAGCAGCGGCACTTCCACTGAATATGCTGCACCTGAAATCGCCCGCTCACACACCAGTGCCAACGGGCAAGCCAGGTGAACCCCGCGCCTCTCAGAATCCTCATTTGATGTCTTCTACGCTGTGCATCTTTCCGCAGCAGCTCAATGAATATCACACAGGAATTCGACTTGGTGATACCTGCCATGGTTGCCCTCAAAGAGAAGCTGAGAGTATCTCGCATCATAGAGAAACTAGTTAGTGCGGTGGAACAATGGACCTGTTGTGGGTACACTACTGGTGTTCCTTTAGTCCCGACATCCACTCAAGCATTGCTGGGAAGGAGGTGATCAGCAATGATGTAGGCGAGAAGCTGAAGGGGTTGTCCGACTGCTTGTCAACAGCATCAGGGGTTGGCTTACAGACCCACCTTGTCTCAGTACGGGAATCAACACTGGGAAATTCCTAGCTACTCGCTGTGGGTGCCGGCGACAGAAGGGTCAGGGAGAAGGGGCAGGCCTGTAAAATCCTGGAATGATTGTGGTAGGGGTGTCCTGGGTTCCATTGGATCCACATACCATTGGTGGAGAAAGTGCCGAACCAGAGAAGGCTGGAGAGGAGTTGTTGAGAGGTTGCTGCAACGCACCTAGCCCTGAAGGCTGGAACAAGCGTGTAATACTAGTAAAGCGGCTGTGATCCTTGATGGGGTATTTGCAGGTCCCCAAGGGCAGCCATTGCACAGGCAGCCGTGGCCAATGCAAGCTGCTCGCTGCAGAATGCCACCTACGCAGGCCGCGTGCTGAAAGTTGGCGGTGCCAACATCAAGCCGTCCTCGGAAGCCTGCTGGAAAGCTTGCAAGTGCGCCCAATCCTTCATCTTGCCTGACATCCTCGGCCCTTGATATGTTCCCTTCATCATTGTCCCACTGTGCTGCGGTGTTTCCAGCACGATCATCTTGTTGGTGATGCAATATATGTCTACTTCCATGTCATGCTGGGCGCTGCCACTGAGAGTTAGAGGCAGCAATCGTATCAGTCCCGGCCTGGCTGATTTATTGACTGTTATCTTTCAAAGATGATGGTATGCCTTCCTTCAGCAATAATACATGTGAGCCTAAGTTATGAGTGTGTTTGGATTGACATGCACACAGGGGTGCGATAGATTACTGCAGTCTGAGCTTGCAAGTGTGTGCCTGTGTTGTCAGGCACACGGAGAGGTGCAATGCGTGGACGTGGTGTGCGGACGAGTCAGGCTGCATGGATGAAAATGGGCGCCTGATCCCCTTCAAGGGGTGTCAACTCAAGGACGAGCCCATGCAAGCTTGGGGCCTGCCCAGTCAGCGACAAGTGGCCTCCCACAAAATTGCCAACTACTTCTCCGGCTACATGCGGCGTGCGTGCCTCCATCAAACCAATCAGAGTTCCACCTGAGCTGTCATCTGGAAGCATGCATGACGCACCAATGCTGTGCCCAACTCGGCTTTTGTCGCGGGAGTGGATCTGATGAAGTATCATGCTAAAGTCAGCAGGACCTGTAGGGATGTTGATGCAGGAGCTCAAGTAATTTGTGGTCGCAGGGACAGACACTGCCAGCCATTGAATTGTCTCACTGATACTGACCCCTGGACGAGGGGTTTTACATGTTGGTGATGCATGCCTGTTGTCACAGCAGAGCAGCCCTTATACCTCGCTTGGCGCACGCACAGCTTTGACAGCCTTGCACCCATCCCGGATCCAATCAGGAATTCGCCTTCAGGAAGTGTGTTTGCTGCCTTGAAAGTCTTGCATCCTCCCTGCTTGAATCAGAGACTAACCTGAGGCAGTGATAGACTCATACGTGTTGTCTGTGCAGATCGCAAGCCGGACCAGCGCACCTTCATCCGTCTGCACTCTGCGCCGCTGACAACACTCATGGTGGCCACCTACGTGCCGCCCAGCTCGTGCACGGCTGACAAGGGGGACTTCTTCACGCTGCTGGGAATCATGAACAAGCAGGTATGCACACATTTGCAGCTCAATCTTTTCCATGGAAGCACCCAGGCTGATGGAACCTCAAAAGAGTCGTCCTTACGTGGCACCTGTGATCTTGATTAGCATGCTATTGGCTGTGTTGCTGCAACACGGCAGAGACAGCAGCACTTTGACCTGCCCCTAAGTCTTTCCGAGCAATTGAACCCCTTCCGGAAACTTCCTGAATCGCTCATTTGTCACGGGACTGATCGGAAAGAATGCAAGTTGTCAATTTTCCATGCAGGACTATGCGCGCTGGCATTCCTGCGAGTTTGTGCTGGGCGCCAAAACGTTCGACCCCTCCCTTCGTCCCCCCGGCGACCCCCAGGCATGCTTCAAACCCTGCCAACAACCCCTGTTCCCTACCACTCAAGGGGTATCAATGTTTGTGGTATATACTTTAACACCACCTGGCCACCCAGGGGCTTTAGACTGCTTACTCTGCGTCATTGGCATTGTATCATTCCCAGTACAGTGTCATGCTCAGAGGGCCCCCTGTTTGCAGTTGGTCAGATACACAGCAGCCTGTTTTCAGTGATACACATTGTTAATATTATTACACGCTTTTCCTACCAAAAGCAAGGTGCGTCTGCAGACGAGCTGCAGTAAAGGCTGCCAAAATCCTACCCCTCGATGGACTCGCCAGATCCAAGCAAGACCCAATCAACCGTGGGCACGGTGCTCAGTATTTATACCGCCCCCCGCCAGCCGGGGCCGTGATACACAGTAGCGAGCCACATCTTTGGCAATCAGCAAGCTTGACCAACTGCCCCTGACCACAACCTCGGCGTTTCTGTCTGTTGATCTGGCTTCAAGATATCTATGACATTCTGCAACAGGAGGGGACGTGGAACAAGGTGGGTATGCTGCGCAAGCTGCTGGAGGATACCCCTCCGCACCGCGCAGAGTGGATCCTCTTCATGCAGGTGCCACATCATCCAAACTCACATCATCCAAACTCACCCCTCACGTTAAAAGTCTAGTCGGTTTGTGACATCGTTTGTAGCTTAATGTTGAGGGAACATGGATTTAGGGGTTGGGTTTAGGGAAGGGGCCATTACAGTGATACTTTCATAATGCAAAAATATTATGGGGATCTCACGGTATGGTGACTGGTTTGAAAGCCTTATGACCCATTCAGGGGATGTATTTGGGAGTGGTTGGACTTTGACAGGGGAGCATACACAGCACGAGTTCCCTTTTCAAAAGCTCCTGTCCCCCATCACTGCGTGTTGACTTTTGACCACCTGTGAGGACATTTTATCTTTGGGCAGCATCCCTGGAAGAATTGTCTGGGCACCTGAGCCGTGCTGCTTGGTTTTGTGAGAATCCATCCGCCTTTTGTTACTTACGCTCCTAAATTTTTGTCACACTGTGCTTGCAGCCGGATGCCATCATCGATGACACCTCCTTCACGTTCCCATTTGAGTCGTACCGGGACAAGGACTTCATCCTTCTGGGCAACGCCACACAGCTGCGCAACGGAGAGTTCCGCGGTGTGTGCTGCCCTCTTGCATTATTATTTATATCTCATGTATTAAGCAGCAGTGTCGCTACCGGCATATGACATGCTATGAAGCGTACCCCGCTGATATGTTGCTGATGGTAAATTACGAGGCGGGTTCCGCATAGATGCCTGCCTGCCTTGCTACATGTCTGCTGACAGCCAAACCTGGTTGGAAGCATCAGAGAATGGGCATTTGCATGTCTGCTGACAGCCAAACGTGGTTGCAAGCATCATAGAGTGAGCAATGCATGTCCGCTGTGAGTGTGTTGGCGGGCGCCGGGGGCGCCAAAGGGCGGCCACAAGAGGCCAACCCAAAAGGGCGAGTTTTGGGGCCGAGGAAGGGAGCAGCCTTGGGGCGGGTGCGCAAGCATCTTGCATCTGACAATCAACATTGTTGGATGCACCTCCCTGAGGCCGAGCATGGTGTCTGTGCTTGGGCGTATGGCTTGAGTAGCTTCTGTGGAACGCGGTGGCCCGGCAGCGGCCGACCTGGGAGTATTTGTGCTGCGCAACAGCCGCTGGAGCCGCCGGCTGCTCGACCTACTTGCCAACGAAGCCAAGACCTACACCCCCACCAGCCGGGTGCGTACTTTTGCGCACTCTCCTCCTTTGAACACGAATCACCAACAACATGGATATGTATTTCTGCATGCGTGGTCAGACACGCCTCCGATTTTCCACCGTGGCGTTCTGGCAAGATTGCATATGCATGCGCCTGGTGACAAGGCCGTCTTCTCTCAAAGTTGCTCAAGAGATGCTTTCCTCTCTTGAAAGCTACAGCTCTTCTGTGCATGGCCGTGAAAGGACATGCCGAAGGTTAGGCACATCTGTCACATGAATGGGAGAAGCACTGCTACATGCAGCGTGCCGCTGGAGTGAGACCGCAAACCCTTGGTTCCATTGACAATCATTGAGAACATGTGAATGTTGCCGCACTGCAGTCGCTGCGCGAGGACGTGAAGCTTGACCCGGTAGCGGCTGCGTTGGCTCGGCTCATAGTGCGCATGCCGGAGCGACTGCTGCCCAAGATGCACTTCGAGGGCGACTTCTGCATCGGCTGCGACTGGCGCCGCATCAACCTCACCGAATCCTCCAAGGTGCTGTGCCTCCTGTCTGGGTGCCCTGACCTCTTTTCATGCTTTTACATGCTGCCTTCCAAGAATGCAGACCATGGGATGCTGCTGTTAAAGGTGTCAGTCAAGTCACCAAACGGGGCATGCCCCTCTTGAGGACCCTCAGGTCAGCTCAGCTGACGCTTAAAGTGCATGGCAGGTCTTTTCAGTAAGCTCTGATTGGCTTAGAAGCCTTTGCTATCTCGAAGCTCTGCTTCTTCCACTAGTACGTCAGCCATTTCAGAGAGCACTGCCCATCATGGACTGGTGGGTAAGCAGTATATCTTAGCGTTTAGGTTCATATTTTTGAGGACTAAATAAAAGCATGTGTACAAAAGAGTAAACACGTGACCTGGAAGAGCAGCGTTGGAGAGTGATGAGTAGCCTGACCTCGCCTCGCCATCACAGCTAGGCATCTGGTCGCTGGTGGAGCTGTAGAGAAATCTGATTACACACACATGCAAGAAGAATGATATACAAATAACCTGGCTCAGTCTGAGAGTGCACACCCAAATCGGAGTAAAGTCGGCAAGGAACAAGTTTGGGAGAGAAAGTCCAACCTGTGAACAAGCACATGAATTGCGGTTGGCTCCAGACCAAATGCCAAACGCCAAATGCCACAATGTGTGCACAGGTGGAGACGACGAAGGAGTGGGGAGAGGAGAACAAGCGGTGGAACCTGTTCATAACGCGTTTCTACGACTGTGAATTCTGCGACGCGGGCCGCGGCAAGGAGCCCTTGGCAAAATGCCACAAGAGCTACCTCGAACACTACGATTTTGCCTACTGCCGATTCCACAGGCGAGCCTGCAGTGCTATTTCTAAGTCACTTCTCCTGCTAGATTCATTGCACCTCAGTGTCTGCCTATATCCCTTTCCCAGGGGAGAAGAAATGAGAACATTGGACACTCGTTCCAGCCCACAGGGCTAGCTCCGTTGTAGCAACTTCTCAGGAATTTCCCTTGTAGCATTCCCTGTCTAGGCAATTTTCCCAAAATTTGATTTCGTCATTTATGCACTGCAGTCTGCAGCATCTTTAACTTTGTTGCGCAGGTTCCTGTGGTCGCTGTGCATTGTCTTGGCTGCTCTGCATTCCCATGCATGCAGAATTTTGCACCAGACCTCTCATCTTGCCAGCCAAGAACCAGGAGGAACAGATTTTCTTTTCTGAGCAATCTGCTTTGCGCACATGCGGTACAATGTGGACAGAAGAGCCGCGTTGATGTGCTGGCCAGGCTGATAAAGGCGATTCATCGGGAGGAGGAGACAGGGCACCCGCTGAAGATGATGATCAGGGACCTGGGCATCCCCAAGGCCAGCCTCAACGAGTCCTCCTTTGACTGGCCCGTCCGCCACAACACCGTCCTCAAGCACGCCACCCACTTTCACACCCCCTCTGACCACGAGGCAAGCGTCTCCCTTTACAATTTTGATTGTTACACACGTTCGAGTCCTGAGGAGTGATCATCTTAAAGACAATCTTTCTGTAGGCAATCGCCCCTTCTCCACTACCGAGTTCAATATGCTGCTACTGCTGCTATTTGTATGCTGCTTGGACGCTCACCTGAAGCATGCCTGCTCCTGTGCATGCTGCCTGCCGTGTGTTGTGCTCCACGTCTGCTGGCGTATGCTTCACGAGCCAAAGAGCCCACTGAAGTGCCCATTGGAGAGTATGGAAAAGTGTGGATTAGTGGGAGCCTGTGTGCCCTGTGCAGTGCTGGGAGGCCTGCGTCAAGGACGACAAGTGCTCAATGTGGGTCTGGTGCAACTACCGAAACGGCTGCGATGACAACGGCAACTTTGACGGCACCTTTCCGTACAAGTGCGCCCGTCTGCGCACCCGCCATCAAGCCCTTCAGTGCCTGATCTAGACTCACTCTCCACCCTCACTCCAGCGCGGCATCGGTTGCTCGGCTGCCTTTTGATTGTGTTGGATTTGCACTCAATGGTGCATCTCTCCTGGGAAGCTGGTAGTTTTTGGTGACAAGAGGTGGCTGCATACAGGGGCTGCCAGCTGATGTCCCTGGAAAAGGGAATTCCGGTGCAGCAATGGTACCGGGGGCCCCAGTTCTCCTCAGTCATGTCCGGCTTCATCACAGGCAGGGTCACTCCCTACATCCACTTCATTTGTGTGCTCAGAGCATAGATCTTGTTGTTTGAATTGTTCTTTCCATGTGACCTGTGGAGAATAGCCTAGCAGGAGGGTCAAGAACCAAGAACTAGATACCCTGAAAGTAGCGGGTAACCAGTAACGGGACAGTCACAGTTATGCAATCCTGCTATGTATCAGTGCAGCTGCAAAGCACGCAATACATAACACAACAGCAAGCAGCACATAGCAAAACCCACTGAGATGGCAGATGGATGAATGTGCCTGGCACGGTCTTACTATAAGTTTGAATCTGAATGTGCAGACAAGCACCCGGCGCGGAACTGGATGAACAAGCGGCTGGGGCTACCCGGCAGCAGCAAGGAGCGCATCATTGTGCTGACTGGGATCCACCCCATCCCATGCACCACCCCCTTTGGCGACTACTTCATGAGCCTCCAGGTCTGCCACCTGCCTTGTGGCCCCTGTGAGCTTTGACACAAGGGTAGACCATTTTGGGCACCACACATGAGCGTCCAGGTCTGCCACCAGCCTGTGAGCTTAGGCATGAAATGTAGATGACTCTGAATACCAGACTCATCCATGTCAGCACTATGAAGATGCCGCAAACACCATCTTCCTCCAGGAAGTTAGCTGCCTATAAAGGTTGACCTTTTATAAAATCCAAACTTTAGGTACACTGAGCGAGTGTGCTGATCACTAAATGGCTCTGGCTTCTGCGCAGCAAGCTCTGGTGTCCAAAAGAATGGCATGTGTATCATGCATGAGCATGTACCTCTATTGGCATGCTCCAGCCCATATACAAGGATCGGCAATCCGGCATTCACGGCATATATTCTGGATACCTCACATTGCCTGAACAAAGGGCTGCGCTGGTGTCACATCTACGAATATTTTGGATGGCTCAGGTTGGCTGAAAGGAGCTGTATTGTGTCTAGGCAATGTCTAGTAGGCATGCCAAACGCACCATATTCATTGCTCGTTTGTCTGACCACGGAAGCTGCTTTGTTGGTGTGCGCAGCTGCAGAACAAGCAGGATTGGGCGCGTCTGCGTTCGTACGAGGTGCACCAGATGGCGGAGCTGGTCGACTCCCACATGCGCCCAGGGCCCTGGCAGAAGGTCGGCATGATACGCAAGGTGCGCCGTTTCATCTCTTTAATACCCAACATTGACCATCTATACCTTGTCACCAGACTCCCTTCCAGTGCGCCATCTCCCCCGTAATCCTCTTGAACAACTGCGCCATATTAGGTACGACCTGTTTTCCACCCACGTTTCCAGGGATTACCAAAGACTACTAGTACTCCTCGGTACCCCCCGATTTAGCTGTCCTGATCAGAGGTGGCCTTGACAATCAACAAGGGGCTCAGAGCTGCCGAAGCTGGCAAATTTGATTTGGTTCTGCTGTGATTTACTTGTTACTGCAGCCCCTTGCTGCAGATGAGAGATCATGGAAGTATGGCCTCAAAAGGATCAGCCTGATCAAAGCTTTCATTGTTTGATCAACGCAGAAGAGTGAGAACGGCAGCTGCAAACTCGGCCATGGGGCTGTGCTCAGCTTGAGGCGTGTCTGGTGGATGTCTGAGTTACAATGTGACAATTTGTGTTTAAACTTGTGTGTTTGAACAGGCGCTGAACACGATAACGCGCGAGCGTGCGGAGTGGCTCTTGTGGCTGGACATGGACATGGTGCTGGAGAACATCACCTTCAGCCTCCCCCTCGACTCCTACGCCGGCAAGGACTTCATCCTCTGGGGGCAGCCCGAATGGATCATGAAGGGCCACAATGCCAAGGGTGCGCCCGCGAGTGTCACTTCTGCATTCAAGCGTGGGGCTTGGTGCAGATCCAGACATGGACGAGCACTGTGCTGCGGCTTGAAAGGATTGAGTGGCATGTGCTGCCGGTGTGTCAATTGAAATCGGATATTTTGCAAGGAATTTGCTTGTGTGAGCGCTGTGCATAATGGGGCTCATTTTCCTCACCTTGCAGTCTGGTCTGAATACATTTTGAGCGCAACATATTGCTGGTGACACTGGCAGGAATTGGCTTAAAAGATTGGCTCTGGTGTGGCGTATGGGTAAACATTATGTCTGCGCCTCTCACCCCTACTTCACAGAACATGCACACACCTCAAAGTCCCTGCAAATCCTGAAGGCGTGCGTGGCTGCCATCTGGCGCAGGCCTGAACACGGGGTCGGTGCTGATCCGTAACACGGAGTGGTCGCGCACGCTCATCGCTGACATGGCGACCTACGGCAAATACCCAGTGGACTGGAGCAAGGAGGAGATGCTGCGCGCCGCTGTTCCCTCCTATGACATCGGCATGTACGAGCAGAACATGCTCGTCTGGCGACTCATGAATGAGCCCGACATCATGGCCAAGGCGAGTCATCCTTAGTGACCCCATCTTTGTGACTCATCTTCAGGGGGCCCATGAAGATGCACCCCTGACTGTCTACTGTCTAAGTGGTCAGAACACTCAGTGATCTCGCATGAGTGATGCTTAGCTGCTGTGTGTAATTGCACAAAGCACTGCCAGAAAGGCTGCATCTTGCGCCTGTCTGCTGTTGCAAGTTCACATACCGCAGGCCTTAAGGAAAAGTCGTTTTAAATGGCTACCATGCCTGGCAAAATGTTCTGCTTTCCCTCGAGGAGTGTGCAGAAGCGAAAGCCTAATGTTCAAGGGCATCAAACGGGTCATTGAAGCAACGTTGTGCTGCGCAGATGCACTTTGAGCACGGCTTCTGCATCAACTGCTGGTACAAGGACCTGGACTCGCCTCAGGTCAAGCACCCGCCATTCGTGGTGCACTTTGCCGGCTGCCAGATGTGCACGGGGTATCACCCCGAGAAGCTGGGGGAATGCGCCACCGAATTCGTGCGCAGCTACGCGGAAGCTCTCGTGCGCCTGAATGATGAGGTCACCAAGGGGAACCTGTGAGAAGCCGTCAGCTGTCATCCTTTCATGCGCACTGGAGTTTATTTTAAAATTATATCGGCGATGCTGATGTCACAACTGCATGCAACCGTGTCAGAGGCTGCATGCTGCGCAGCTAGAGAGTGTCAGCACTGGGAATGCATTTGCGAATTCACCGGAAGAATCATGAGTGACGAGGTGGCAAGGGCAATAATGTGAAGCGTCGTAATTCTTGTACAACCCAGGCGGCATTATGCGACTGTAAACATTTCTGAGGCTGCAGGGTCTGCAGTTGGATTCTACATGGAAATTTTACAGACTGGGATTCGGTAATGCTTCAGTCAGGAATGCATGGCGCGCTTGCATGATCACAGCCTGTTGTGCGAGCTATTGTGGATACAGGCTTGCAAGACAGCCAGTGGTGCAGTGCAGGCTTTTCATGCGTTGACAGTTGATGACTTTGCAATTCCTGCTGGGAATTATGAGTGCTGTTGACATCAGAGTGCAGCATGAACAGGACGCCTTTATCCAGCATGCTGCTTTTACACATGAACATTGCTGCTTCCATGATCAACAGGCAGTCCTCGGGGACAGATCGAGTTGCCATTTCCTACTTGGGAGTAAGTAGGCATTGGACACATTATAGAGTCCTTTTATCATTAAGGCGTGCAAGAGGAGTTGCTTGCTATTGCATGTATTCTATTGTCCGAATTTGAATAGTCGCTTGCTTGAATTTATCATTTTAGACACTAACTGTCTCTATCGCATGCTAGCTAGCGTGCTAGATTGCAGCGCTGCAATCTAGCACGCCCCTGCCATTGGCACATGATTGCCAACGCTGCATGCCACTGAACTTAGATCCACTGGTACTACCACTGGGAAATTCTCACCCAAGCAACAAATTTTTCTCCCGACCTCCCCATGCTCCACTGGGGGCTGCAACACCTAATCGCAACACCTTTTTTGCCGCCAGAAGCTTCCAACAAATTATTCACCTCATACATTTGCATCTGCAGATCCATCAGCTCCACACTGTCCGGCAACACCTGTCCTGCCAGCTGGAAGCCTATCACATGCACCGCTGACAACTTCGCCACCTGTACTCTGTTCTCAGAGAGCTTCTGTAGGCTGCCTTTGTACTAAATTCTCGTAAGTCAGATTGTCAGTTGAGCATGCTTTTCCTGCTGGAAAATGGGACAAAGCAGCTGGCCACTCAGCGGAGAGTGAGGGCCTGCAGCGACAGACGCCGCTCCTCAACTTTCTCAGCAGCCGCCGGCGACTCCGCCTTGCGCTGTGCGCTGCCCGCTGCAAAACGCGTGCTGCGCCTCTTCGGCCTGTCACAACATACGATTTTCCATATTGCTTTGTGTGCTGCAGGATACTTTATGCCATGGCTGCATGGAGCAGTCTCCTAGGATGCAGGTCCTGGCAAGATCAGGATGCTTAGAAGCCAATGACTCGTATGATTCAGAAGAAGGAAGACAGAGGGAAACCTCTGAGCTGAAGTGGGAGTTCCCTTGGGCTCTGGAGCGGCCGGTGCACCACTCCTCGAGTCATTGTAGGAGTGGTAGCAGGCGCGGCACGAAGCCACATAGTTCTCAGCACCGCCCACAACCTGCAAAATCCCTAAACCTGGTCACACTCCCATCTGCATTGATGACACTGGATTGAGAGGCCACAGTGCATGCCATGGAATACTATGCCTTGAGGGTTCTCACAGCCCGTTTCCAACAGCAAAGGCTCCAGCAGATGTGAATATAGAGATACATCGAAGGGCAGATGCCGGCCGCAAAATATAGATCAAGCGCACCTCAACTTCCTGCTCATTGCCAAGCCTGTGGGTGAAGGCTGCCTCGCGATGGCAGCCGCTGCACACCGCTCGGAGCTTCAACACCTGCGCGCATGTCAGCCGCCTGTGGAGAAATTGTCCAAGCCATATGAGGATTCTGAGCACCTAATGAAATCCACATGTGATTTATTGGGACAATGCCAGCTTGTTATAGTAATGATGCTGCGCTGGAAGGTAGGACCAGGGGACAGAGGGTGCAGAACCTCTTCAGCCAGGGGAATTAGCTCGAGTATGCTATTGAAGGGCTGTCTTTGGAACGTGCCATCCAGGGCTGCGATGATGACGATCTTTCCCTCATTGGCCCACCGTTCCGCATACTCCACAACGTCTGCAAAGATGGATAAACAGTCCTTCTCATCTGTTTGATGTCCCCAGCCATGATTCAGAACCACCCATGGTGCACATTCAGCTTTCATCATGGCCTGCTCAGGAAAAGATGGGATATCATGCACACATAATAAACAGCATAAACCCTCTGTTGTACCTGGGAAGAATTGCCCTTCGTCAACGCCAATGACGTTGTAACAGTGTGCTGCATTCTCGACCTGGCTCAACTTTTCGACAGACTTTGCCTTCATTCCAGTTTGATCATGCGTGACCACACTGGCGTCAGAACCGCAGCGATTGTCGCCCTTGTATGCAACCAAGAGGCATTTTTTGTATTGCCCAAATCTCCTGGTCCGTCGTATCAGCTCTGACGTTTTACCGGCAAACATGGGACCCAGAATGAGCTGGATTTGTCCATCGTCTGCAATTAAGCCCGAGCTTGCGCCGGACAGATAGGAACGCGTGGGCCCCACAACAGCCATCAAGAAATCACTTGATGGAAGTCAGGTTCAACGTCGCCTGGGAACAGATCCAAGCACCATCTGCCCAAAAACGATGCAGCGATAATGATTCTATTCAAAATTTCCTGAACATCAGTCATGGCTTTTCCATGTTTATTGGTACCCCACATCTGCAGCTGTGCCCTTCAAAATTCGCAGCACGTTTCTCATTACCCCACAGCTTCTGGAGTATGGGAAGCTGGTTGTAGCCCCCTGCTGGGGCAGAGTCTGCTCAAGTTTGCAAATGTGTTGGATGTTGATAAATTTCTTATGAATGACCAGTTATAAGTGTTAGCGTCTTCCACGCATTTCTAGGCAAACTAATCAGCCAATGGGTATTTAAATTTTACAGAATCTTGCACAACATTGTGCATGCATGCATCTCGGATGGCAAGGTGAATGTTCCACAGTGTGCCAACAAACTCTCTTGTTCAGATCTTATCCACATGTTCAAAACATATTATTCAAGAAATTCTAGCGCTGCATGCAGCAGCTCCTTCTCTGTCACTACAAGCCTCAGAGCAGCCACCCTAGCTCTGCTGCTTTCATTGCGGCCTTTCCCACGTTGACCCAACCCCTCCTCTTTCTCCAGCTCTCTCAAATCCTCTGCCAGCGATGCATGCCTATAGCGCTGCAGCCTCTGCCGGATGCACTGTGCCAGAGCAAGGCACATGTCGCCTGTCAGCACTCCGCACTGCCTAGCTACTCTTATGTCTGTGTTGCCGATCTGCGCTGGCAACTCTCCTGTTGCACTGGCCCCCTGCTCTGGTGCTGCGCCTGTGCTAGTCTTCTTTGTGTGGCAGTCACCGTTGTGCTGTTCGCCGTCATCCAGATCACAATCTACCTTTGCTGCCGCCGTCCCATTCCTGCCAGCAGTGTCTGCATCCCTGGCACCCTCACTGCGCTGCTTTTTTGCCTCAGGCCGCTCAGACACTGGCTCGCTGACCCCTGCGGTGCCCTCCTTGGCGCCCCTTTTCCTAGAGGACCTGGGAGGGTGGCCAATCTCCGACCGGCACTCCTTGCCCGGCTGCTCTGCTGTTCTGCATCCCGGGCTTGACTCATGCTGCCTGTCTGCGGAGCCCTCTGGCTGCTGCTGTACAGTGCAGAGCTGCAGCGCATCGTCCAGGCTTTGCCACTTGCAGAACTCTGCATCGGACGCCAGCAAAACACGCAGGGCTACCAGCAGGGAGGGGCCAATGCAGCCGCCTGGAAGCACCTCAAAGGGCTCCCTCTCCTCATCCAACAGCTCACTGCATGCCATAATTACTCACTGCATGTCAGTGCTGTACTTATCAGGATGGCTCCACAGCAGGCACTATCCTTGATTCTGAGCCATGGCAGCGTAAAAAAGATGGTGCAAATGGTCGCTGTCATTAGAGAACAGGCATGTTGTGAGCCGTATGTGATCAAGTACAAGAGCTTCCACTGCTGCTGCCAGGACAGTGAAGCTGAGAACAAGGATCGACCAGCGGCCCACCTCTCTCTGGAGAGGAACCTGCAGCGCTGTCGGCAGGCTCTGTCGCCCACAATGCGCCGGGCTTCCTCTGTTAGGGCCCTTTTGTCCAGGAGCACGGCTTCAAAGGGATTCTGGCGCAGCGCAAAGCCGTACTTCACCACCAGCTCTGCGTTGCCGAGCTCGCCATAGGTGTTGTGTACCTGCTGCCCCTTGGGCACAGGAGATGCCGCAATGATCTGCACACGCACATGCTATACCTCGTCATTTCACCAAGCCCGGTATTGTTGTTTGATTGTGCAACCGGATGTAAGATGGGCAGTGGACTCGATCCACAAGCCTCCTCTTTGTAAGCGAGCTGCTCTACCAAATGAGCTCAGAAGTCTCTCTGGGCCTTGTATCTTGCCTCGAGGCCAGGCAGGTAGGGATGTTTTTGGCACACCTCAAGAACCTCTTCACCATCGCTTCTCGTTGCTCCACAGATCCCGATTTCAAGGCGGTACTGGTCACCGCTCCCTCCTGACAGATTCAGCATGCTGCCCCTCGTCACAGCACGAGGAGCTCTCACCTCTCCTTGTGTTTCTTCTGCATCCCCTTGCCCATTCTGCTCACTAATGTCCACATCAGGCTCCTCCTCTTCTTTTTCTTCTTCAGAAGCCTCTCCATCCGCAGTCATGCACAAAACTGAGGGGAAAACTTTAGGATCAAGAAGATCACTAGAACAAGTGTTTAACTTGTATTATGACAGCAACGGTCACAACACAAAAAGCACTGAGCCTGTATGAATGAGGGCTGACCTGATGCAAGGGAACTGCCGTCCTCACTGGAGTTATCTTGTTCGTAGCAGTTGGGTTCTACGACGTAGTCATCAGAGAACTGTACAATGGCCGCCTTGTGATTGAAAATATCCGCCAATGGCACCATGGACATTCCTGCACAGACACCAGTCATATTGGCATGTTTGTGGACATGTACAATGCAGCTTGTCTAACATTTAGCAGAGATGGAGAAAGGCACATTAGCATATTTTGTGGAAAAACAAGGCACAAACACAGTGAGTGTTCCAGTGGATCCACACCATGGAAGGAATCGACTCCAAAGGCTCTGGATGCAACCCAGGAGGCTGCCACTCTGAAGCTCTCAAGCGTGAAAGAATCTGCTCTCAGCCGATCCGCATGCTGCTCTACCAGAGGAGGAACATGCGTCTCAAAATCCTCCTGCGTAAGCTCTTCATCCTCTTGCGGCCTGTGCTCCGCCTCTGTCCCTTGCAAGAGCGACCTCTCCTGCTCAGCCCAGAACAGTGGGAGGTACTCTCGCTTGTGGAGTTCTTCGAGATATCCATGCCTGCGTGTGCACTGGCACTTTTGACAGAACCACCAATGCACAGTATGCTGCAAGTCATCATTTTCTCCCTGATTGGCAGCAGGGGATGATCACAGAAGGCTCCTCACCAGAAAGACTCCTTGCCAATGCTCAGCTCGTACATGATGGCTATGATGAGGCCCAAGCCGCCTCTTATCCTGTGCTGCTCCAGTATATCTGCTATGCCTGTGTTCTGGACTGACAAGACGGCCGTCTTGGGTATCTCACACAATCTTTGACCTTCGCAAAGGTCTTGCACAGCAAATACTCCCAGTCCTCCATCGATCGGCCGCAGCTCGACGAGAGAGGTATCTAAGGATATAACAGCCGATTTCAGCCATGCGCCTATTTTCTTAGTCTGCCCTGTCATTGAGGAGCCACCCTTAGATCGTTTCCAGATTGCTCCAGATCGTCCGCCTCTAAATCACGAGCAGACGATCAGCACAGTAGTGTATTTAATCAAGATGACATACGATAGTCTCAACTATGTTGCAATCTTAGCAGGCAGATTGAATGTCACACACTGAAGACAACAAGGGCGGCCTCCAGTGATGACGCCTTTGCCTGCTTCGTGTGCTGGGCCAACGTCATCATCTAGTCCATTGCTGAGTCCAAGCATTCAGAGCAACCCAGAAGGCAAGCGCAGACATTGTGAAATTGTCTATGAGCTCATGATCTGCACTTGGGAGTCCGTTCCTCTCTACTGCAAGTCGCCTATGATTCCAGATTGTACAACGGTTACTTTTTTTGGAGCACTGTAAATCTTGTTGAAGCATGCGCTTGAACACAGTGACATTCAAATAGGGATGCAAGAAGACGAGAGGAGAGAGAGCTCGAGATTTTGCAGTACCTCAGGAAGAGGAAGGCAGCTTCGAGATGTACATCCAAGAGAATTATTTGTGAAGCCGTGTAGAACAGCCGCTGGACGAGGGTCTGAGTTAAGCCACATAAATGCCAACCAGTGGAATGGGATTGCAGCCTTCCCAAAGAAACGCAGAGTGGCAGACTTCTCAGCACCAGCTGCCCTTGCCAAGAATCCAGGGCCGGCCACATGTGCAGGATATACACCACAATATTCCGATCCAAACACAGCAAATCTTCGCAGAAGGGAGGCAATGCCAGAGAGCAGCAAAAGCACATGTATTCCATCTGGGGCCCAGCTTATCACCGGAGTACATCCAAGCAGGGGCCTACTCCATGGCAGCCCACAGGTCGCCCAGGTGTCGACTTCGCCCGTCTGGTCAGCAGTGGGCGCAGCAGGCTCCCTCACATGCAGAGGGAGCATCCCAAAGAGGCAGCAGCAGCCAGGCAGAGCTCACTGCCTTGCCAGAGAAGGCAGCCCATTCAGTGCCCCAGCCTTCAGTGCCGCCACAGCGGCTCGCCCATTGAGCGCACAATCGAGCTTGGACAGTGCTGGAGCTGCAGCATCATGCTCCAGGGGATCTGTAGCAGGCGTGTCAGACAGCCAGCCATATATATGGCCTGCTGCGTCTGGTGGCCGGAGCAGCCTCAGCGACCAATCCAGAAGCCCAGCATTGGGGCCCACTCCCAGCACGAAACTCATAGCAGATCAGGAAGTGACAAGCCTGCCCGCCAAGAGTCCGCCATTGCGACTCTGCCTCTCAGAATACGGCCTTCCTTATGCAATCACCCAGGTAGACACATGAGCTATTCCTTGTCCGGTGACACATGATATGCGCTGCTTATACTCCATTTTAAGAGATACCATTTGGAGGTGTGCATAATGTCATATATCCTAATTGTGAGGCGGCATTTCTTTTCGCAGGCGTATGCAGAGAAGGGGGTCAAGGAGATGTATCCCTGGCAGGCAGCTGCCCTGGAGTGTGGCGTGGATGGCAGCAACCTGGTGTACTGCGCCCCAACATCAGGAGGGAAGTCTCTCGTGGCAGAGGTGCTCATGCTGCGGAGGCTGCTGGCCACTCGCAAGCCTGGAGCTAGGTTCACACGCAACAAGCAGGTGATCAGTCAGCACAATTGATGCATGTCTGGGAATGGTCTCGCATGTGTCTACATGCCTTCTTTCTAGGCTTTCATGATTATCTTGACAAGAACCTCCCCTGCTTCCGGCCAATGGGCAGTGTTAAGGAGCTGATATTATTGTGCAAGTGCAGGAATGGAAGTTTGCGCTGTTCGTGCTGCCATACATTAGTGTAGTTGCGGAGAAGACAGCAGATTTCACCGACATCCTGCGCTCGACAGGCTGCAAATGCAAGGGCTTCTATGGCAATTCTGAGAATGGGACACCCCTGCAGCCAGGGTACTCTTCACACACTCTGTGTTTTACCCTGGCAAGGCTTCCTTCATCTGCATTACTGTGAGTAATGTTTTGTCATGTGTGTGTATGCGATCTCAAGAATTGCCTCAAGTCAATGGCATGCTTTGCTGATGTGCAGGAGTGAGCCGATCGCGGTTTGCACAATTGAAAAGGCAAACGTGGCCATCAACAGGCTTGTTATGGAGGATCGACTGGGTGCGCATGTCTCTCTAGGCTCTGCTGTACCAGTCTCGTCCAGCTGAAATTCTTTCATGTTTCAAATTAACTGACTAAGACGAGAGCAGCATTTTCGGTGCAGATGAGTTGTGCTGCGTTGTGGTGGATGAAGTGCACATGCTGAACGACCAACATAGGGGCCCATCTCTGGAGCTGGCCATCACCAAGATCCTCCACTCCAAGCATGCTCCCGCCATCCAGATCGTGGGCATGTCTGCCACCATGGGTGGTATGCATCAGCCCGCTCAAAGGGCATTTCACAGTGCCTGCTTTGTGCATGATTTGACAAACATCGTTGGTAATATGAAAATATTTTCATGTCCAATCTCAATATAGTCACATTCTAGGCAAACAACCCGTTCCCAAAATTATTTTGACTATAATGCGGATGTGCTTATAACGAGTGTGACTATCAAGATGTTTGACTGTATTGGTTATGTGGTGCGCAGGCGTGGATGCGCTGTCCAAGTGGCTCAGCTGCCGCCTCTTCCTGACCAACTTCCGGCCGGTGTCCTTGACAGAATACGCCGTCTTCCAGGGCAACGTCTTCTCCAAGGTGTGTCTAATCTACCATGCATCACTACAATCATAGTCTATCCCCCTTTGTGTTTCTCCCAGTCCTGGGTGGCATCAGAGAACCAATTTCATTTCCTAGATTTGGAGCCAATCTCCCCATGCGTCATAACAGTCCGAGCCTATTGCCTCTTGTCTATCCATCCGTCCTGGGTGACATCAGAGAACCAACCCCTTTTCCCAGATTGGAAGTCACAATATCTGGCGCAGCGGAAATCTTTAGTCCGCCCAATCGCGAGGAGCACCTGAGAAAATGGGCCCATTTGTGTTATGGCCTGCTCAAATGAATCATGCTTGGATCAACCGAGCCAAAGACAGAGACTGGGGAGAGCTCTGAAGCTCATAAGAACCGCAAATTAACAGATAGGGGAAGAAGATTATAGAACAGCGAACCTGGAAAAAAGTACCTGTGTGCGGACAGTCTACTTATGCATGTCTCGAGATTTTACCGTGTCTCCTGCAGGGCAAGGCAGGGGAGGATGAGTTGGTGCCGGTGCGCCAGCTGGCCGACAGCGATGCGCGCGACCGGGATCTGCTGCTGCCACTGGCTGCTGAGGTGGTGGCAGAGGCCGGCTCGGTGCTGGTCTTCTGCGCGTCCAGGAAGCAGTGCCAGAGCTGCGCCGAGATGCTCGCCAACCTGCTGCCCAGCCACATCCCAGCTATTGCCGAGGTGCAGTACTCATACCTGCAACAGATCCCTTGATATGAGATACCACTGGAACCCCTGGTTCTCATTGTGTACAGTATGAATTCTGGCACCTTTGAGGTTTCCAGTGACACCCCTTGTGGTCCATCCAATCAGACGCACCAGTACTACTGACTTGAGAGTTGTCCGAAAATCCCATTTTGCTCAATAACACGGGGTAGTAGCTCCTAAGCCCAGTACCGACAGCTCCTAAGAAACACATACCATTGCTTCTGTGACATGTGTTTACGGTAACGATCATGCAGGAAGTGGTGCGCGCAAGGGATGAGCTGGCGCAGGCGATGCGCGGCGCGATGGGCGGCTACGCGGACGCAACCTTGGAGCGGCTGATGCGTGCGGGCGTTGCATGGCACCACGCGGGGCTGACGCTGGAGGAACGTGCGCATGTGGAAGCCGGCTACCGCGCCGGCACCATCCGCGTGCTATGTGCGACCTCCACGCTGGCGGCCGGCATCAACCTGCCTGCGCGCCGCGTCATCCTGCGCAGCCTATGGCAGGCAAGGAGTCCCTTCATATCTGTGCCTTCACATTGCTTTAGCTGGGAAACATCTTCTGTCTGGATGCTTTAGTCCCATCTATCAAATGAAGGGTGGTGGAACATCTCTCCGAATACCTTTAAGCACAACCACCTTAATACTTGAGACACCCTACTACTGCGATGCAAGCCACTGCAGACATGTGGTAATGAATCTGTGATTTTTGCCAGCAGCACTTATCAAAATGGAACATCATTGACCATGTCAGCCGCACGTTCGACCTGCAATGCACTGAAAAGCCCGATCCATGGAAACGCCCGATTCATGGAAAAGCCCGATCCATGAAAGCACAAGAGGAGAAGTGATGACTGTGCACTGCAGGGGCCGGGGCCGGTGTCACGGGCGCAGTACCTGCAGATGGTGGGCCGGGCCGGCCGCGCGGGATACGCGGAGGCCGGCGAGAGCTACATCATCGGCCAGGGCCTGCCGGAAGCGCCACGCGGCCTGGGAGACTGGCAACCAATCTGCGAGCTGCTGCACGAGCCGCTCCCGCAGCTGCGCAGCCGGCTGATGTCACCGGCCGCCGTCACCCGCGGCGCTGATGCGCTGGAGCACGCTGATGTGGCGGCTGAGGTGGCGTCTGACATGGCGCCGACCGCGCACTTCCAGCGGCTGCTGCTGGAAGCTATTGCCAATGGCTCGACGTCTGGGCATGCTGACATCGAGCGCCTGCTCTGCTGCACCCTCATCAGGCACCAGGTCACCTCTCGCTCTCCTACTATTGTCCAACTTTCCCATTCACTGTCTTTTGCCACCCTTGTCTATGATATACAACAGGCATGCAAACCGTTTGTTGGATCACAGCGCATACCAGCCATGTGCGGCAAAATATGTACAACATTGATCTCTACAATTCTAGTCATTTGAAGTACTTTATCAATACTCATGATTGGTCTTCATGTGTAGGCGCCAGCGACGTTTGTGGATGCAACAGTGAAATTGGCGCTGCGCTCGCTGCGGAACAGGGGCCTGCTGTCCTTCCGTGCGCTGCCCGGGGATGAGAAGCCCAAATGGCGGGCCACTGCCATGGGCAAAGCCGTGCACTCCTCCTCCCTGCCCCCCCACCTTGGCGAACGGCTGTACAAGGTAACGCCCTGCATGTGGCTTGCACTGGCAGCAACCTGCCAAAGACATGTCATTTGAGACAATCCCGCTGCCGTCCATGGCTGTCCTCCAACGCCATGAGCTTCTGCTTTGAGGCTCAGCGCAAGCGCCGAAGAAAGTCTTTCATGCCATCCATGGCAATGGTGCGCCCCTGGCACATAGTTGTTGAGGGGCTTGCGCACGAGGAGGAGACAGGTTGGAAGCAACGTGTGTATCGACATAGCTAGTGGCAACGGGACTGCGTGTACAGGAGCTGGAGGCAGCTTTCCGGAATGTGCCGGTGGACGATCTGCTGCACCCGGTGTTCCTGGTGATGCTGGAGCACCCCTTTGACATCTGCGACTGGGCCGCCTGGAGCGCTGCCTTCCACGGCCTCTCCAAACACCACCGCCGCGTGGCCGCAGCCGTCGGCGTCACCCGAGAGTGCGCTTGCCATGTTTTTCTTTTTTGCCTCTTTTCACAGGACAGCACCACTTTTGTGTGCTTTGACGTGGCGCATAAAAGCAAGGGGAGTAAGGGGTGCATCAAGTTGTCAATGCGGAATATCTTCCTCTTTATACTCCTCTCAACAAGAGCATACAAAAGCCATTTGCTCTAATTGTGGAGTGTTCAGAGTTTAGTACGTGTAGGAGAAGGGGCTACAAAACGCGCTAAAGTGTGCAGCATGAAGCTAGACAGGCAGGGCAGAGAGGCAGCTGCCATGTACATCAAGGAAATTTTTGGAAAGATAGTAGTGGATGTTGAGTAAGATGCTGAAATGTATGCAGGCACATTCTGATCCGCATGAGTGGTGGCAAGGCGGACGTGGCAAAGGACAAGAGCCACGCCCGTTTTGCAGCTGCCTGCGCCGTGAATGACCTGATGTGCGAGGTGCCAGCCTGGAAGGTGGCAGAGACCTGGGGCAAGCCAGACACTGTCTCCAAGGCCGGTATGTCTTCTGGGAGCCTCTGAGAGCCTTACGTCCTCTTCAGGTTTTGCCCGTCTGCATCGTTCCTGTCGCGCAGCTTTTTTTGATACCAACGAGTTGGCTTCTGTGCAGGCCTTTCTCGTGGACAACTTCAGAAGCTGCAGGTGTGCAACTTTATTACCATTATATCCCTTGCACCACTCTCAACCTGCGTATGTACTTGAAAAGGATCAACCAGACTTTTGCATTGAGATTATTGGATGCATGTGCATGTGTATGTGTATTGTAAACGAACGTAAGTATGCACGTGTGCACACCAGGCTGATGTGGCGGGGTGGGCGGCCATGGCAGCACTGCTGAGTGCGTCGGCAGGTTGGCTCAATCTGGAGCCGCTGCTGATGCGAGTCAGCCAGCAGGCCACTGCCGGAGCCTGCCCAGAACTCCTCGACCTCATGCAGGTGTGGATTTTATCGCGATGTATCGCAGTGCTTCATCCTATAGCGCCACCTGGCAAAGCAGCTTGGAATCATGCCCGAGGGCAGCATTTACTTGGTTTTGTCTTCTTTTTGTGTTTGCAAGGGCTTCTTACTGCTGACAAGGACTGCCTGAAAGTTTGTGGCTCAGATCCCAGCGTGATATCTTCCAAATCAAATGCTTTGCCGTTTCCCTAGTCCTGCAAATCTCCCCAATTGATCAGGAGGTACTGAAGACTTCTAGCAGGATTCAGCAGTCCCTGAATTGCTTCCACTGAGGGCAACTTGTCCAACAATGGTTCATACACTTGGGTATGCCTCACACCGATCACATGCAGCGGGGCCCTTACGCAATTTTTCTGTGTATTTATCAGATGCCGGAGGTGACAGCGGCGCAGGCGCGGGCGCTGTACCTGGCGGGCATCACAGACCTGGAGGCTCTGGCAGCGACGCCTGCAACAGAGGTGGAGCGCGCTCTGTGCGCGTGGCTGCCCCACGCCATGCGCACCAGCGGAGCGGCCAAGCCGAAGGACGCGCGCGCAGCCGCGGCGCGCATCGGCGTCACCGGCCAGCTCGGCAGCAACGCTGTCGTGCGCCGCAGCGCCAAGCTGCTGCTCACCGGTGACTCACTTTCCCACTGACTGCATGTGAAGCATGCAAATGTCTTCGTGTGATACTCAGCTGCATGTGGCTTGCATTCAGACATAGGCTGCGGGCATGTATTATGGGCCTCCCGTTGGTGCACAGCTGTGGCGATCTTGCATCGGTATCGGTCAGAGTCCTGCAAGAATTCTCTTGGGATGCTTTCTTTCGCCTGAGGGGAATCTGTCCATGCAGCTGCAAGGGAGTTTCTTCTGGCTTCGGCACAAGCGGCGTGGCAGGACGACGATGCTGAGGATGCAGCAGATCCGGCGCAGCTGAAAGGTACCCTTCATGTCTGTCCCATGCAATTTCGTCTGAAATCATTATGAGAGGTGACTTGCTCAATACTTGTTGCTGCGCACTGCGGTGAGACCTGATTTGCGCTGCAGGTGCAGTGGCAGCGGCTGTGCCAGATGAAGGAGATGAGGAAGAGGTGCTGATGACCCAGGAGGACGTTGCAGAGATCATACGCAGTGTAAACAGCGTGCGGAAAGGGGAAGTGCATGGCCGCAGCAGACCCTCCGTGGTGGACAGCCTGAGGTATATGCGAGGCTCAGCCGAGCTCACTGTTCTGAATGAAGCCTCACAGGTGATGTGAACCTTCAAATTGTGAGCTCTAGACACTGATAATGTTCAGAGTGGCCCTGGTGCTGAGCAGCACTGACAATGGTGTCTGGCGTGCATGCTGCAGACACAGGATTTTGAAAGTGTCAGGGACATGCTGAAGCAGCAGCAGCATGTGGCATTTGCCATAAGTATCCCATGCGCAGATGCTGGCGGTGGTGTTGAGGTAGGTGGTATTGGGAGTTTTCTCCATTCATTGCCTCCTGCTATGTTCTTGCATAGCCAATCAAAGTGTTGCCTGAGCTGCATGTCGAACCATGCTCACCACAGGGCATTGCTTTCTCTTGGGGGTCATCTTCAGTGGTCTACATGGACCTGGCCAGAGGCAGCTTATCTGCCAACTGCCCTCTGTGGGATTTGGCCCTGTCAGTCCTCCAGGACCCCAACATCCGCAAGACGGTCTTCCAGATGCAGGCTCTGCCACAAGCTCTCCTCGATCAGGTAACCATTCGCTGCTCTCGCAACCTGCCAATGGCATACAAGTAATTTGTTCTTTTTAACTACACTGCTTTGCTTATTCACCTCAGATGCTCTCAAGCCTTGCAATGCCCTTCTTGTGGATTGGAATGTCTGTACTTCGCATGAAGGTGCTTGAAAACAAATTTAAATTGACAAGAAAAAGAATACTTGATTGCAGGTCAAGGGGCCTGCGGATGATCCGGCAGTGGCGGCTGCGCTGCTGTGGGAGGCGGCGCCAGAGGGTGATGTGCTAAAATACGTCCAGGACAGGGCCGCGCCAAAATTTGCGCTGCGGCTGCCACCGATGCAGAATCATGCGGCGTCCCGCGCCTGCCACGCCGCGCTGCTGTCATTCGCCGTGGCCGACCCTCTGCGAGCCCTGCTGGCTGCCAGGGGCATGCTGCAGGTGAGACACAATCTTCCTAAACTCTTGTCAGACATCTCCCATCACCTTATTCATCTGCATCTGTGGCATACAGCAAGGAAATTCTCTTGGTCAGGGGAATGCAATCAGCCTGTCATTACTCCCTCTGTGATATATCTGCTCATTGCCAACAGGTTATGATGCAAGGATGAGAATGATTACTGGGCTGAAATTTCTCCCGCAATTAACTATCAATCAATTGATGCTTGACATACCTGGTCCTAAGGACTGGAACACGTGTTATAAAATATGACAACTACTTAAAAGGCTTTCTCTGACTTTAAGGTCTATGAGGAGGTGGAGATGCCTGTGCTGCGCCTGCTGGCCGACACCTCTCTCCCAGCTGCAAGCATCGACGTAGCGCTCCTATCACAGCAGCTCCATCAGTCACAGGCAGCGCTGGCGACAGCTCAGACAGCTGCCTCCAGCCTGGCCTTCCGCACAGTAGACCTCGCGAACAGGGACAGCTGCATGCTCGCACTGCAGTCAGTGCAGGCTGCAGCTCTCCAGCCCAAGCACAGGGGCAGGGGGCCCATCAGCCTGATGCAGCTCAGGGAGGTTGCCCGGATGGGGGCTGCAGCTGGGAATCTGAGAGCTGTCCAGATGGCGCAGCTGATGGTGCAGCACCAGGTGCTGCAGGAGAGAGCCTCCCAGCTGCAGGCTCTGCTGGAGAAGCTTAGCAGTGGAGGTGCCACCCCGCCCACTCCTCGGAGCGAGTCTGTGGCTACAAAGCCGGAAGGCCGCTCTATGGCAGTGCATGAAGAGCAGCGAGGCCTTCAGGAGCAGCTGCAGCATTCAGGGCAGCCGGCGCGAGAGATTATGGATGGAGGGAGAGCGAGCGAAGGAGGAGGAGATTACAGCTTCAGCATGGGATGCCAAGGGGACTTTGGGTTCATGGGGCCGCTTGATGAGCAGGCTGCAATGCTCTTTGCATGCAGCATTGAGCCCTGTGGCGCAGGCCTCTCTGTCAGCCAGTCCAGCCTCCAAGATGAGCTCCTGTCAGTAAGTCTCAATCCCCAGGTACGCCCAGCCACGCACCTACAAGCCATGGTCTATTAGGTGTGACCCCGGTGTGTCCCAGTGGCACTTTTGGTTTGCGCGTCTAGCGGCAATGGATGTGCACGATACACATGAGGAAATTTGCTTGTGCATGTGGATGACCTGTGTGTATGTGTGCGCAGGATGTGAATGGCTGTGCTGTGGTGGTACGCGTGCCCGGTCTTGCCCCAGGGCGCGGCCACCTGATATGTGGCATCGTAAGCAGCATCGCTCCTGCTTCAGAATCGGGCACTGCCCTTGCCGTGCAGCAGACAGTGCCACTTGCAGTGTCGCCTCTGTGCCACTCAGCCTTGGTCCGTCTGCCTGACCCGCCTGGCGGCCTGGGCGCCTTGCTAGATGCGGGCCTGCCCACCAGCTACCAGCAGCTTCCCTGCTCGGAGCAGCTGCTGCCATGCAGCCAGATCTGGCGCATGAGGCAGCCGCAGCTGTCAGGCTTCCCACGCACACAGCAGCATGCAGGCGGCAGCACTTCAGCAGACTCCAGCACTACAGGGCAGCCTGCCCAATGGGCCACTTTCTCATGGGCTTCAGAGCCAGTCTCAGCCCCTCACGAGAATTCAGCCAGCGCAGCTGCAGTGAGTGCAGGACGGCTCAGCGATGACAGCGATCAGAGCAGCGCAGGACCTCCAGCAAAGAGGGCGAAGAGCGCTGACTGCGCTGGGGATGAAGTCAGCGGCTCTTTTGCAGCGGCCTGGAGTGGTGAAACAGCGGAGTGGGCGGCAGCGCATGGTGGCATCTGGGCCATTTGCTCATTGAGGCAGCTGCTCAGGTAGCTTAAGAGGCTGTTTTACTCTGATCTCTTGAGCTTGTAAGGGCACCAGCTTGCCTCCCCTCAAATGTTCAAGCTTTGGACTCTCGATGTATGAGAGATCAAGAAGAGATCTTTCTCATGCTGAGGGAGTGACATCCCTGACATCCGCTGGTGTGGTGTGCAGGCCAAGGCATCCTGGGAACACCTTTGTGTCCTTCTCCATGAGCAGTCTGGAGCTTGCAGCACTGGCGCACCTCAGCAATGATGAGGCGCTGTTGCAGTGCCTGAGTGCCCAAGATCCTGTAGCCCAAGTGGCGAGCGTTCTGCTTCAGGTACATGCTTCTTGGCACAACTCCATTACGCAAGCACTTGTTTCTGAGAAAGCAGGCAGTGTGGCCCATATCAGGCATAAATGACATGTACAGGGCTGGAAAAAGGCCTTGCATGGTCTGGACTTGTAAGGAAGGCGGCACTTGATGCAGGATGGGCATGTCGTCGGGCCTGGAGAGGTCAGGACAACACAGCTGCTTCTTGATGCACTGACACATGGCAGCAGCCCAAAGGTATGCTTCCTCATCTGGACCTGACAGGAGCTTGTAGACTGCAAAATAAATCCTGCACGGTGTGCTGCTGCCAACAGACTGTACATTTGTCCCTTCCCATACAAGTGCATGACTTACACGATTTGCTGTATGCCATATTTTCAATTTTCAGGCTGAAATTTACACTGGCAGGCGCTGGGTGAGCATCTGGGAGTGTCAGCGGTGCTGGCAGAGCAGAGGCTACGCGCGCTTCTGGCGGCGTTCCCGAGGTTGGGCAGCTTCTGGGCAGCTGCCTGGGAGCAGTGCCAGAAGCAGGGCTGGGTCGCGTCAGCCGCCGGCCGGCGCTTCCACCTCCCCTCCAACGCCTCCAAAGACCCCCGGGTGGATCTCGCAATTCCTGCACACACAGCTATGTAATCCAGTGGACCCCTGCGGCGCCAGCTTGACCTGCTATACATGGAAAATACCTGGTAGGAAGGGCAGGACGCAAAAATAGGCCTGGCTCAGTCATGCGGGCACACTAGCTACACCTTCTAATGCTGCACCTCTTATTGTATTGTGCATACTGACCAGCAGAAGTCAGCTCAATCACAATACTCATCAAAGTCAGGTCAGTGTACGGCACCACAGCATCAACCTGTGCTTGGCGTTCTAGTGGTGGTGTGGCAGCTCTGTCAATGCTGCAATGCCTGGTTCCCCCCAGATCTTGCGGGTTCCCTTGACCATCTTCGTCCCACCCTCGTTGTACCTGCTCTGTCAAAGTCAGTGCATTGAAGCTTTCCAATGTGTGTGCCCCGGCCCCGGCCCCCGGCTGGCGGGGGGCGGTATAATAATAATACTTATAATAATATTAATAATAATAATAATGTCCGTGCAGGCAAGGAACAAGGGGGAGCGCTGGGCGCTAGCTGCAATGGTGATGGGATCAGTCGCAGACCTGATGAAGGCCTTAGTGGTGGAGCTGCATGCTTCTCTGCGCGCCGAGTTTGGGCCCTGCTCGGAGGTGGACGGCCCTGCAGCCCTGGAGATCCCGAGAGATGCACCGGTGTTGCTGGCAGTCTGTGGCACAGAAATCGTGCTGGAGTGTGCAGCGAGCCATCTCCCAGCTCTGCACAAGGTGTGATGTTCTTTCTCAGGAAGATGTGGATCAGAGGAAACTGCATGCCATGTGGCCTGTCAACGAAATGCAGTGAAGAACAGGAACGGTGGGAGACACAATACTAGCACAGAATTCACATGCCTGCCTTACTGCAAGGTAAACAGCCCTTTCAAAATGAAGATCCTTTGGCTGCTGTGCAGGTTGTTGTGGACTGCTTGCAGCGCGTGAGGGTGGGAGGGGATCCGCTGCAAGGGAGGCTGCGGTGTAATATGCATGCAGGGGCATCACTATCCCCGCTGCACTGCTGGCATGGCACGAAGTGAGAGAACAGAGCCAGAGAAGTCATCTTGTCTGTGAGTTATGAAGACCGTCCCATATCTGAGAGCATGCAGAGGGCTAAGACGTGGGTAGAGAGGCCCGCACACTTGTATCGGACTTGATTGCTTTAAGTATCTGATGAGGCACAATTACATGTTGCGCTGGTCGGAATATACTGCTGTGAACTTTGACCAAGTGCCGAGATTTCAAGCGCAGTGTTGAAGCTCTTCAAGTAATTGCCAATCTACTGCTCAGCTGTGACTCTTACTGTCCCACTAGGTACCCTGTTCTGTCCAGATACATGCATGCCATAGATAACCAACAATAATCCTTGAAATTCACCTCATCCCCTGTAACAATCCAGAGGGTTCATCTGTAATGCTGTCACCTAATCTTGTTGCATACTAGGTCTGGCAAGCAGTAGGCTACACTTCACAAGTGGTACACGATCATAGGAAAGAAATCACTGTAGCCAAATAAAATTGGCAATTCTCAACAATGGATGAAATGACAATTCTCAGTACTTCAGATTCCACTCTGCATGCAAACCATCGGTGAAGTTCAGAGCTGTGCTGCAATTGAATCTGACAATATATACACACAGACATGACCACTTCTGTAACAGCCTGAACATTCATCTGTCAGACGGAGAGTTGCTCCTCTGCAGTATGAGCGCAATAATGCCATCCGTGAGTTCAGTCTTCTTTCGCTGGTGTTCTTTCTCCTTCTCCAGGAGCGCCAGCTCCAGCTCGGCTGTGCGCTGGGCAGCCTCTGCCAGCTTGGCTTCCAGCTGTGCAGCATACACGATCAAAACTTAGTGTCACGCGTCGGTAATGCCCTTATTCCCAACCCTTCATGCGCACTAGAGCATTCCTGTGACGTTGGTGCACGTGAACTTAAGACAAGGATAACTATAGTAGAAGCGCTTCACGATGGCTGACCCAGCAAGAGCGTGGCATGCAGCTTCAGGAGGCCTGTGCAAATTCTGAGGACGCACCGCAGAGCAGTTCTGGCACGCGCAGTGTGACTCCTGCCGATGTGTATCCGCAATGCCCTCCTGCTCCCCACATTCCAGAGTCAGAAGACTATAAATGCCTGTGGGTCCTAGTCATGCTTAGCATGGATGATTTGCACTGTGTTTCCCACACTTTACAAGTTTCGTACCTGCACTGCTGTGTTGCAGCCCCCCTCTGAGGACGTGGCTGCTGGTGAGGAGGGGTCGCTGGACGGCCGTGCTGGTGCTTCTGCTGCTCCGCTCCCCTCTGCCATGTCATATGCTGCCATGTCATCCCCTGATGGCAGTCAGAAACACGTAAGAACAGCAGCCTTTGCTGCCTCGTCCAATACATCCTGCCAAGTATCAAACAGAAGTTGTGCGCCACAGCACAGCTCCTCTAGGTTTGACAGTCCATGACACAAGATGTTTTCCTTGTCTGGTATGCTGGCAGAGCATCATGGCCTGATTGCTGCTGAGCTGCAATTCTGATGACAATTTGCAAGGAAATCAGTTCTGCACCTAGCTTTGGAACCTTCTTGCTGCAAACAGGAAGCGGCTTTGAAAAACACCTGCAAGCATGTGTGGCGCGGGCCCAGGCACAGCAGGTCCATCACACTTCGCCTCTGCAGGAGCTGAACCTTGGGCGACCACCTCTGACATCTTCGGTCGGAAGGGTCTCGCAAGGAAATTGCAGCATGGGATGATCAGCTTGCTGATCCAAGCCTGCAACAGGAGGAACACGCCAGATTCGAACCATAAAATTGACAGAAAAGCATGCAACATATGAGAATCTGCTGCGTGCACAAGGGTCACAAGGAGCTGTGCGAGGAGTTTTAGCACACCTGGGTTGGGGGCTGCCTGTCATCCATGAGGGACCCGTACAGCTTGGTGAAAAACCAGATATAGTTCTATCTCCAAGTGCACTGATTGTGGCTTACCTCTTCAAGAGTTCAATATGGCCAGCTTCACTTCGTGCAATGCTTGTAGATCACAACGGAGCGGACGCGCATATGGAACGTGAAGGCGAAACTATGGCCTTCGCGTTCTGCAAACTTGATTTCCAATTATGTGAACTGCTCTATTGCACCGCCCATACTGTCGCACAATCTTTTATAATATGGCGGAAGTCCCCCGATCGTTACCCCTTTACCGCCTAAAGCAATTTCTTTCATTCGGCTTTCTGTTCTCACTCTCATTGCCATAGATCATGCACTAATTGAAACTTGCCCATATACGGGAGCATCTGGTAAGAAGCCTGGTGCTTCTCAGAAAGTTGCTGAGCAATGCTGACACTTCACAAACGTCTCTTCTCAGACTCCATGCATAGTGAGACTGCACTCATGGGAATAAACAATCATTAAGAAGGGAACGTTTCCTCACGTTGTCACAAACACCATTGATTTCGGGACATGGGGAAAGGGGACCGTGCACCTGGCGCAGTCCTGTTTGGAGTAGCCACTGTACTCGTCCAGGATGGATCTCCCTAACAGTATTGGTGCACAAACGCTCCCACCAAGCACGTGGCGAAGTTATGTGACCTGGCCTGTCCACCCCACCCAAACTTGACTTGTGGTGGTGACTGCAGTCTGGTTTGAGGATGGCAGCGAGGAAGCTTTGCAGAGGAATCTGCGAAACATCCGAAGCTTGAAGCGCCAGAGCGATGAAGATTATGCCTGGTTGGCCCTGAACTGGCACGAAAACCTGAATCTCAAAGGCTGGGCAACCGTGTTGGACCTCGGTACGTCTGATGAAACACTTATCATGCTTAACACACCTTGGGTGATCTTGATAAGTGTTTTGCCATTCATTGCAGTTTTCTATAACGGTCATGAGAGTAGTGTGCTGCTGTGGCAGATATGAAGAGTATTTCCTTTTTCGAAATCCTTCAAGTTCCGAAAATGCCCCAACTGGTCAGAGAAGGACTCTTCAGGGTCATCAGGTGGGCAGAATTGGAAAGCAACATGAAAGATCTGGAAAGAATTGAGAACCAGCGACAAGGCAAGTTCTTCGTGGTGTCTTTGCCCAGTACACTGGAATGGTTGGACCCTTCGTGCTCTTGTCAATTACAATCAGCTGAGCTCAATTAACCCAGTAGAGATCAATTTGGCTGCAGATCTTGGCACAAGGCAGGTCACGATTGTTTGTTCATTTTGCCCTGCAGGTGTCTTTGCAAGGTGGTTGCGTTTTGCTTCTCAGTTTCAATGGCTCAAGTCAAAACCCGCCCCCAATCTGCCGCGCTCAATGATTGCAACTGTCTTGGCGCTGCCAGCTGATCACGAGGAGTACGTGGCCATCAACTCCGCGATCACTGAGCTTGACACTCAGATGTCACTGCTTGAGCGACATGACTCGTGTTCATCAATGCAAAACCTCAGATTGGCTTAAATTCCACCTTATTGTGAATAATCCAGGGATCTAAACTGGTATTGGCTAGGCGAATTGCCTCTCAATTCCTGGTCAAGGCTTGCCAGCTCAGATTCCAGCAAATAAGATATGGAAAGTATCAGATAGGCTAAGAATGTTTTATCAATAAGAAGGCCAAGCGGCACATTTTATCGCCGGTCGGATGCTGTTGGGGTGGTGCATGTGGCAGAATGCGAATAATAAAGAGGTGTTTCTTGCGAGGTCAAGATCATCTTTGAGGCATGACAAAGTGTGGGCTTCTGGTTTCAGTGGCTGTTTTGTACCATCAAATTGCAACTTGCAAGGCAGGGCTGTGCATATATATATGTATCCACCGGTACCGGTTTCCTGCTGTCTCAATCAGTAATGTGCGCCTGCATAATTTAATAATGTTCGGGTTTGGCCACTTTTGAGCTGACCATCAGTGACGGAACTGTGTGCCTGCGCTTGACTCTTGTAAGCAATTGTGCAGTTACTTGGAGCAGCTTCTAGCAACTGCTATTTTAACTTTAGAGAACAAATTTCCGGTCTGCATGCAGAACCTTGACAATGCATTTGAGTATGTGCATTTGATCTAAGCGCCAGTTGCAATAAAGCAAGTCACATGTGCTGTTGCAAGTACTGCCCACGGTATATGTTAGAAGTCCTACTCATGGCATGTTTGCTGTGCAGATGACAAGCCAATCAGCTTCATGCTATATCAGAAAGTATCCAGGATTTCTGGCAGAATTGCTGGTCATGAGTGCTGTTGTTTCAACCTTGATGCACTTACTACGCTGTACATACAGCTGCCTCATGCACTGTACAGCACGGCAGCCAACTTGGAGGCAGCCTGGGTCCTGGCGCTCCAAGCTTGCTAGCTTTATGCGCATGCAGAGACTTCTTTGTGCATGGTGCCGGTATATGCGGGTGACACATGCTTGCCGCAAGTTGCTGGGATGTGTGGCGGGCGCTTGGTGCTGGCAGCAGCTGCTATACAGCAGGCCTCGTGCAGCCCCAACCACTCGCATACAGTGCCTCATCAGTTCACCAACATGATGCCACTTCAGCACTGTGCTAGCACCAGCCGTTGGAACTATAAAAGGGGAAAACTCAGGGGATCTCAAAAAGGGTATTTCCTATTATGCCCTCCCCAAGCCAGCCTCAGAACTTGCAAAATCCTTGCCGAATGATAGGATTCCTTACTATTGAGGGATGTACTTGCCACACGTAAGTGTAGCCGGATGTAAAATGGTAAGCATGCAGACTTGAGCCTTCCAATATACAGCGTGACTGCTATGAAAAGCTCTACTTCTATTGCGGTACACTGTACAGCTGTCTCATGTACTGCAGAGCACTGCGGCGACTGCGGCTCGGAAGCCAAAGCCGAATGCACTACATGTACACAATCGCATCTCTCTGGTGCGATAGGGCCCATAGGATTCCCCTACGTGAAAGGGCATTGAAACCTTCTATCACCCTTGATGATATATCCTATATTATTTCCCCCACTTGCTACACGCCCTTTTTTTCTGCTCGTTCGTGCCTCTTATTACAAAACTTCGTCAAATGCGTATTGCCAGTGTAACGGAGCTCCAATTTTGGTTGGGCTCCCCTATACGCCCAGGATGGGTCTCGCTGACAACATTGGTACAAGAACATGTCACACCAAGCACGCAAACAAAAGTTGTGCAATCTTGCCTGTGTACCAGAAACCTTCGAAACTGACTGAAAGTTTTGGCTTGCAGCTTGGTTTGATGATGGCAGCGAGGAAGCTTTGAAGAAAGATTTAGAAAACCTCCAGAGACTGAAGCAGCAGAGCGATGAGGACTTCACTTGGATACTTCAAAACTGGCACGCCAACGTGAATCTTAAAGGCTGGGCGACTGTTTTGGGCCTCGGTACGTCCTGTGCAATGTCCAAATATCATCATCGATATAGTCCCATCAAACTTTGAAACCCTGAGGTATGCTGACGAGGACAATGTGCTTTTGCTGCAGATATGAATGCTATCTCCTGCACAGATGTTCTTGAAGTCCCGAAGATGCCCCAAGAAGTGAGGGAAGGATTATTGAGAACTGTCAGATGGGCAGAAGTAAGGCTGCGCATCATACTTCTTGAAGAATATGAGTACCAGCAACAAGGCGCGCTCCTTGTTACTAGAGTGCCCAGTGATCAGAGAAGACATCAGCCTACCCTTGATCTATCAAGGTCCTAGCTGACTTTATAGACGTTACCAATCTTCATCGATGCAGATGAATCTCGCTATATTTCCTTGCGCAAGACAGCTGACGATGTGTAATTATATTGTGCCTGCAGATGTTTTCACAAGGTGGCTGCGGTACATTTCGCACCTTCAGTGGCCCAAATTTAAACGTGGTCCAGTTCTACCACGCTGACTTGTCGAAAATGCTATGGCGCTGCCAGCTGGGTATGAGGAGTATCTGGCCACGAGCTCCGTGCACGTGGCAACAGGACGCTGCAGTCAAATTTCACAGCTTGGGCGGCATGACTCGTGTTCATCACTGCAGAACCTCAGATTGGCTTAAATTTCACCTTATTATGAATAATCCAGGGATCTGCACTGGTATTGGCTAGGCGAATTGCCTCTCAATTCCTGGTCAAGGCTTGCCAGCTCAGATTCTTGCAAGTAAGATATGGACAGTATCAGATAGGCTTAGAATGTCTTATCAATAAGAAGGCCAAGCGGCACATTTTGTCGCTGGTCGGATGCTGCTGCGATGTTTTAACTTGCTGCTCCCGGAGCGCAGTGACTCAGCAGCATCCGTAATTTCTGCTTGTGCAGGGCCTCCTGCCTCTAGGGCTGCAGAGTCAGACTTCAAAGGATGCTTATGGCCCTATGACATGCATGTTGTGAGGCAGAGGCTTATGCCTGCGCACGAGGCTGTATGGGTGGTGCAGGTGGCAGAATGGTATTGCGAATAATAAACAGGTGTGTCTTGCCAGGTCAAGATCGCCTTTGAGGCATGACATAGTGTGTGCTTCTGGTTCCAGTGGCTGTTTTGTACCATCAAATTGCAACTTGCAAGGCAGGGCTGTACATATATGTATGCACCGGTTTCCTGCTGTCTCAATCAATAATGTGCGCCTGCATAATTAAATTATGTTTGGGTTTGGCCACTCTTGAGCTGACCATCAGTGACGGAACTGTGTGCCTGCGCTTGACTCTTGTAAGCAATTGTGCAGTTACTTGGAGCAGCTTCTAGCAACTGCTATTTTAACTTTAGAGAACAAATTTCCGGTCTGCATGCAGAACCTTGACAATGCATTTGAGTATGTGCATTTGATCTAAGCGCCAGTTGCAATAAAGCAAGTCACATGTGCTGTTGCAAGTACTGCCCACGGTATATGTTAGAAGTCCTACTCATGGCATGTTTGCTGTGCAGATGACAAGCCAATCAGCTTCATGCTATATCAGAAAGTATCCAGGATTTCTGGCAGAATTGCTGGTCATGAGTGCTGTTGTTTCAACCTTGATGCACTTACTACGCTGTACATACAGCTGCACTGTACAGCACGGCAGCCAACTTGGAGGCAGCCTGGGTCCTGGCGCTCCAAGCTTGCTAGCTTTATGCGCATGCAGAGACTTCTTTGTGCATGGTGCCGGTATATGCGGGTGACACATGCTTGCTGCAAGTTGCTGGGATGTGTGGCGGGCGCTTGGTGCTGGCAGCAGCTGCTATACAGCAGGCCTCGTGCAGCCCCAACCACTCGCATACAGTGCCTCATCAGTTCACCAACATGATGCCACTTCAGCACTGTGCTAGCACCAGCCGTTGGAACTATAAAAGGGGAAAACTCAGGGGATCTCAAAAAGGGTATTTCCTATTATGCCCTCCCCAAGCCAGCCTCAGAACTTGCAAAATCCTTGCCGAATGATAGGATTCCTTACTATTGAGGGATGTACTTGCCACACGTAAGTGTAGCCGGATGTAAAATGGTAAGCATGCAGACTTGAGCCTTCCAATATACAGCGTGACTGCTATGAAAAGCTCTACTTCTATTGCGGTACACTGTACAGCTGTCTCATGTACTGCAGAGCACTGCGGCGACTGCGGCTCGGAAGCCAAAGCCGAATGCACTACATGTACACAATCGCATCTCTCTGGTGCGATAGGGCCCATAGGATTCCCCTACGTGAAAGGGCATTGAAACCTTCTATCACCCTTGATGATATATCCTATATTATTTCCCCCACTTGCTACACGCCCTTTTTTTCTGCTCGTTCGTGCCTCTTATAACAAAACTTCCTCAAATGCGTGTTGCCACAGTGTAACGGAGCTCCATTTATGGTTTAGCTTCCCTCTACGCCCAGGATGGGTCTCGCTGACAGCATTGGTACAAAAACATTTCACAACTAGCACGCAAACAAAAGTTGTGCAATCTTGCCTGTGTACCAGAAACCCTTCGAACCTGACTGACAGTGGCATTTGCAGCTTGGTCCGATGATGGCAGCGAGGAAGCGCTCAAGAAAGACTTAGAAAATCTCCAGAGATTGAAAGAGCAGAGTGCCGAAGATCTTACTTGGGTGATTCAAAACTGGGACGCCGATTTGAATCTTAAGGGCTGGGCGACTGTTTTGGGTCTCGGTAAGTCTTGTGGACGTTGTAATGTCCAAACACCCTCATCGGTATTTTGTGATCAAACATTGAGATCGTGAAGTACGGTCAAGTGGACAGTGTGTTCCTGCTGCAGATATGACAGCTATCTCTTCTTGAAGTCCCGAAAATGCCCCAAGACATCAGGGAAGGTTTACTAAGAACTATCAGACTGGCACAAGTGGCGAGGCGCGTCAGACTCCTTGAAGAATATGAGTGGAAACAGCAAGGCACGTTCCTCGTTACTACCCTTGCCGACTTTAAAAAGGAGACCTTGAACGCACCCTTGACATGGCAAATTGGGCTGATTTCAAAGCGATCACGGTTCACTTAAGAGGCGCACTGAAATTGACGCATGTCTCTCCGCAAGGCGGCTGATGATATCTATTCTGCCTGCAGATGTCTTCACCAGGTGGCTGCGATTCCTTTCGCGCCTTCAGTGGCCCACATTGAAACGTGCTCCCCTTCCGCGAAGCTCATTGTTGGGTGATCCAGTGGTACTGCCTGAAGGATAAGAGGAGTATCTGGCCATGAATTCCGTGGCCACTGGTTGTGACAACCAATTTCCAGTGCTCCACCGCCACGACTCGTGTTCATCGATGCAGAACCTCAGTTTGGCCTAAACAAAACACCAGATCACAGGGCAGGAAGGTGCAACTGTAACTGCAAGGAGTGTTGATGGCTGAGGAACTGTCACCTTATAGTGAGGAATCCAGGGATCTGCAAGAATAGGCTAGACGGATTGCCTCCTGCGTCTAGGTCAGGCTTGCCAGCTTAGATTCCGCGGCAAATAAAAGATGGATGGCATCAGATGGGGTTGAACATCTCATGAATATGAAGGCCATGCGGCACATTTAGTCGCTGGTTGGATGCTCCTGCAAGGTTGAATTTGCTGCTCCCGGAGCGCGATGACCCAGCAGCATCCATATTTTCTGCTTGTACAGGGCTTGCTGCCCCTACTAGGGGCCCCCTAGGGTTGCAGAGTCAGGCCAAATACTCATGGCCATATGACATGTAGGTTGTGAGGCAGGGGCTCATCTTTGTAAGCATGCGCAACCAATGCTGCATGTGTCGTGAATGTGGCTGAAATTGATACTCCTATGATATTGCATCAAGTAAGAGGTTTCTTGCAAGGTCAAGATCGTCTTTGAGGCATGACATCTGTGGGCTTATGGTTCCAGTGGCTGCTTTGGACCCAACAAATTGCAGATTGCTGTACATTTATGTATGCACTGGTTTGCTGGCAAATGCTGATGATGACATGCGTGGGTTGAATGTGGGGTGTGCAGCTGGCGTGTGTGCTGGCTTTGCTCAAAGCTGGAGGGTCCATGAGTCAGCAGCAATTGCAGAAGGTGCTGCATGCAATGGCAAGCAAAATGACAGACAAGGTGTGTCCCTTGTATAGTATATGATTAGACTGCTGGCTGCAGCGAGGCAGTGCACCTTTTGGGCATGCAATTACTTGAAATTTTACTGGTGGAGAAAATGCAAGAATCTTGAAGACTGGACAGCAAGAATTTAGGTGTTGCTTGACGTACCTAGTCCTTAAGGACCGGAAAAACGTGTAATAATATTTTGTAAAGATTCTGGTGGGTTCAGCATGAGGCATGCTGGTGACAGGCCGGGCACGTGCTGGAGCTGTGGAGACATCTGCGCAGACATGCAGCAATGTGTGCTGCATGCTGCCGAATAGCGCGGAGGATGAAGTGTGATGGCTGCCAAAGGGTCTACTACTGCAGCAGACCCTGCCAGGCCGCGCAGTGGCCGCAGCACCGCTTGGAGTGCGGCTAGTTGTGGGAAGATAATTGAACAGAGGCGCTTGGATCCAGTGTTTAGGTTTCTTGGGAGGAAGATCGTATGCATAAACTTGACCAGTGCAGGGCTGCCAGATTGCCCAATGCAGCGTGCAAGTTGCACCATGATGCGGCCGTCTGGACATAACATTCAATTTGTGACCGTATCCGCGCATGTGTGTGTGGCAATCTGCTGAACACAAAGCATGATGCACGCTGTGGAACAGGCAGGAGATGTGTTGGAGCTGTGGAAATTCCTGCACAGACATGCGGCGATGTGTGCTGCATGCCGCCGCATAGCGCGGTGTCAGAAGTGTGCCGGCTGCAGAAAGGTGTACTACTGCAGCAAAACCTGCCATAGCCAGCACTGGCCGCAGCATCAAATTTGCTGCGAATTTGAATAGCAGCACCAGGGTCCAGCAGGAATAAAGTGCCTGATTGGCCAATCAGGTACCATGGTTTGTCAGGGATATTGAGAGCAGCTCCGCATAGGAGCTGAGGTCCCAGAATGTGCGCACAGTGAGATGATGAATGATAAGAGTTGAAGTCAAAGTCCGGGTGAAGTTGTGCGGTTGCTTCACCAAGCCTTGGCGTTACTTTCTAGACTTTACAGAAGGGCCATTGTCGCGCAAGAGCAACAGGGAAGCAAGCATTTAAGTTGGGTGATTTTCAGACTGTTGCATGACACCTGTACACAAGGAAAACTGTCTAGGCATGGGCAGGAAGGCTGTGTAGCGTTGCTTCAGTCTGTACATCAAATGCGCACAGTCTTGCACCACAGTGCATACGAGCATTTTCTCTCCCTAAAACCTGTTGCAAAAGGTTTGCAATGCTACACAGTCTGTTCTTGTATGTATGAAGTCAAGAGCACCAGGTACCTATATAGGTAATGGAGCGACAGTTCCTGTGGGGTGCTGGCTATCCCAAATGAAGCGAGCAGGACTAATGGCAAAGCATGTACTCACAGGGCCACTGTCACGGCCCTCTGCTGTCATCAAAGTAAAAGGTCTTACGCTGCTGTACAGATACTCTCTGATGCACCGTTGAATGTGTGATGAACCACACTTCTCACACCCGCCTGGAGTTGTAGGAGCTAGTTTTCATGGCTAGTCATGCCATTAAGTCCAGATGGATCAGGACTGCGTGTTGTGATGTCAAGGGTCGTCAAAGATAACAGTCTGGTCACAGGCTGGCAAGTCCGCTCGCCATACCACTGGGTGACCCTGCAACACCACAACCTTGAGTCCATTCTTCATGCAGATGCAGTCCCAGATCACTTCAATCGTAAGAAGCTGCAAAGGAAGATATGCAGGTATTTAAGCACACCAAGGAAGGTTGGCTTGCGCCGGGATGACATGGCGTGTGGTCCTCCCAGCAGGTCATGCACAGCTGTGGTGGGCCTCCTGCCTGGTGAATCGAAGCCTGCACGATGATGTGCACAGAACATTTCATTAGTCATGCGTTTGATACCCAGATGTGAAACACGCATTGGAGCATGGAAGCTGCAGCAGAGACTGGCAGTGTGCAGCAGAATTCAGGTCTTGCAGGTGCTGCAGGGGAGTTCTGAGGATGCAGCAGAGGCAAAGGGGCCTGAGATTCACACCTGCGGTTGTCATCTGTCCGCGGCCAGGGCTATGCAGGGGTGATGTATTGGCCATGTTGAGGGCGTTCCTGCCTACAGGCCCAGATCCACCAAATCCCCTGCAAGAATTTTCAAGAGTCTCAGAAGTCATTGCTGTGGTTTTGGCACGAAGTTCTGGCTGTATGTGCAAAGGCAAAGCATGTAAGGTTGCAGGATTGAAGTCATGTCCAGAATGCAAGTCATGAGCCCAGCCGCACCTTTGAGGAGGCGTTGCAGCTCTTATGGCGCCTGCAGACTGTCTCCTTGCTGGGTTCTCAAGAAAGCCTGCATTCAGAAAATAGATCTTAGAAATGCCTTGAATCTGAATGCTTGGCAGGCATGCTATTGCTAATACAGTTGAGTTAACCTACCGCCAAGATGCTGCTGGCTGCTGTGCATCATGTTGTGGCCCATGTCTGCCTGACCTGGGTTCAGGAACACTTGCTTGCGGTGTATGGTTGTCACCTGCGCATGCATGCATGCATGCATGCATGCAGAAATGAGTATCCTTATATTGCCAAGCATCTTGCTCTCATGACAGACCCTCATTGCAGACGCGCATGTGGCTGACATTTCTGAATCTCCTTCGCATCCTTGGCATGGAAATAGCAGATGTCATCGTCCCCATTCCTCTCAAAAATACACTGTCACTGCATATTCCTTTTGAGCTAGCGCACACTCTGACTCACTGCAAATGATGTGATTGCTGGCCTCACCAAGTTGCCACCTGGGTCCCCCATGCCGCCTCCCATTGGCGGAGGGGTGGTGCTTCTGTACTGCCTGCCAGCCAGCATGGAGCCCGCGCTCTGGCCAAGCTGCCGGCCGGAGCGCAGCATCTCGTTCTCCTTCTGCAGCTTCTGGAACATCTCCTGCAGCTTGCGAGCCTGCTGCGCCTTCTGCGCATACTTCTGCTGCAGCTCTGCCCTGTCAGCCTCCAGGTTCTGCTTCTCCTGGGCTGCCTCCATATACTTCCGCTTGGCCTGCAGCAAGCGTCCACAGAACGAAGGTCAGCGCATTCCCGCATGCTGTAATTCATAATCATTATAAACGCCTTTCCTGCCAAGAGGCAAGGTGCCTCTGCAGACAAGCTGCAGGTAAAGGCTACCAAAAATCATGCGCCTTGATGGACCATGGGCACGGTGCTCAGTTTTTGCACCGGCCACCGCAAGCCAGGGGCTGCTCTGTGATGTGGGTTGCATTGAACATGCATCACTGCAAGGTGGTATCATCAGCAGCACGGAAGCAAGGCCAGGCTCTTGGATGTCATTCCATAGCATGCTTGAGGGGCACTAAGCAAGGGCAAATTGGTGGGGCATGAGTACCAAAAGTACAGGGGGGCTGCAGACCTGGGTGTAGCCATTGTGGACCTCCTGCAGCTTCTTCTTGCAGGCCTCCTGCACCTTCTCAAGCTTGCGCTGCAGCTGGCTCTCGCGCAGCTGAGCCTGCAGCTCCACCTGCCCTATGTAGAAGTTGACAGAGGCCAGCGCGCTCGTCATGGCTGTCTCAGGGGTTTGCCCGCACAGGGTGAGCTGCAGACATCAGCACCCCTTGTCAGGAAAGAAGGCTGCCAAGAGACCGCGAAGTTCCTGGTTCGATTCCCGGTGTAGGGCACACATGTTTGGGATACTTTACAGATCAGGCCCGGCAGGTGGCAAGTCCTCCAAACCCGTGTCAGCTGACTCAGCTCACAACCAGCATGTGACTGAACACAGTTAAGTGTGTGCACTGGAATTGAGAGTCACCTGGTAAGCGTTGCCACCCTGGAGGATGTTGACAAGTTTGACATTGCTGCAGCCCAGACAACATCAGGTCAGTGCATTTTTAGATCGCAACACGCTTGGCAGGTGGCAAGGGTGCAAGACCAGCTCACCTCTTTGTTAGGATGTTCTCACAAATGACACATGCGGATTCATCCGACTCCAGGATTGATTGGGCACATTTCAGGCCTGCACAGCAAGCAAGATCCTTTCCCTTCTTTTTGAGCACAAGGAAAGGCAGGAAACAGCCAAGGTGTTTGGCAGGAACTCACAGAAGAGATGGCCACAGTGTGTGGCAACGCATTGTGACTTGGCCTCGAAATCAGCCCAGCATCCGTTGCACTTCATCTATGTGACAGCCTCAGTCAGGAGCTCCATGGAGGTGGTCCTGCCAGTCTCACGTTCTCCCCGAGCTACAAGACAATATAAAGTGGCCTTGCTAAGACCTGCACAGAAATTCATCCTTCAGGAAAAGTACAGTAATTTGTGCGGCAATCATCCAGGGACGTGTACTTCCAGGGTACTTCCCCTGGTACTTCGAAGGTGCACGAGAACCGAGGAGACAAAGAGCAAGAGAAATGGAGCCACAGACCACCCTGCAGACTGGAAATCCGGGTCAATTGAAAGCCACCTCTTCTCTTTCGTGACATCAGGCCTCTCCAACGATAGAAAGAAACGTGTAGCCAGTACCTCTGCTTAAGAAGATGATGAGGAAGTCAAGAGAACTGCGGTCTTCGGAACCAAGGTTCAAGCCGCTGCAAAAGCCGCTGCAAACACGTACACTAGATCCGCCGGAATAAACAGTAGAGATCTTCTTCCTCGCGTTTTGCAAGCTGCTGATGCAGAGAGAGAGAGAGCGAGCAATGCGTTCTTGGACTCTGTCGTGCCGTGCCGATGACTCACCCCACAGCATGATTGCCATGCAGAAGACCTCTTGTCAGACAAAGGCAATCAACTTCCGTCCTTAATAGCTGGCCAGTCGCCTAAAATCGATCGTATCGATCGTAGTATGCTTGGGAACAGATCGTTGTGGGATTAGCAAGGTGTCAAGCGCACTTGAATTCATCTTGAGCTGCCTGGCGTGACTGATTCCTGACCATCTTTCGTCGTCCCTGCTGACGATCTCGGTCACGATGAGCGACAAGGTCCATGGCGTGTGCATCGTGAGCCAGTCTGTGAGTGACCGCAAGGTGGTAGATCACTCAGCCTTTGAGAAGGCAGGAGGCTACATAGTCAAGGTGGCTCTGAAAAGCTCTGCCGATTTCATCTTTTCAAGATCTGGACATGTCGTGGCCTTTGATGTTTTCGATATCAGCGATCTGATGGGAGAGCTGTCTCCAGCCCTGGCAAGGTGAGCAGGATGCACTGCTGCTGCTGCTGCTGCTCTTGCTATTGATGTGACTTGTTTGCTGTCTGCTGTCTGCTTCATGGATGTTAAAAAGGTGTGAGACAGCAGTGTCTGTGATGACAGGATCAGCAAGCTTGGAACGACATTCAAGGATGCCTTTGCCATCATCCGCATGCATCAATCCAATCAGCATGAGAGGAACATCTTCCAAGCTGCTTCATGCAGGCAATGTCCTTTCAGATTTTGCTGCCTTCCTCTTGCCTGCATGCTGGCGCAACCACAGTAGTCAATAATTGATGGTCAATTGTTCAGGTCTTTTGGCAAGCCTGTCATGATCGCCATCCCACCTGAGATTGATCTGGGAATGCTGGTTCTGAAGCTCACACAGGGTCTTGTATCTGCACCAGCAGGCAATTTACTGAACCAGGCGAGCCTCAGAGCTGTTTCCTGATCTCTTACTTGTTGACATGCACTCTCTCTTTTCCAGTTCCTCCAGTTCAGTATCATTCTTGCATGTGTTAATCTGACATGATTTCCACTGAGAACAAGTCCCAAGAGTGCGCAGGGTGAGTCTAACTTGCAGGCTCAGGGTGCCATCAGGAAGAGCCTCATGAGCATCTCACACCTGCACCTGTCAGAGTATGAAGCCTCGGCTCTTTGCATGCTGGGATCACTGCAGCAAATTGCCAGCAGCTCTGTGGCAGACATCTTGGACACCACTGATCTGGATGTGTGCCGGCGCGTCCTTGTCCCGATGCCAAATGAGGCCAGCACAAGTGTTTGTCGACGTTGACCTGATTTTCAAACCTCAATATGTGTGGAGGCGATAATCATGAGTGGTTTGGTGCAGGGCCCAGCAGGTAGTCAGCTTTTTTCAGGATCCTCCGACAGCCTGAGACCTTTCGAGAACTAATAATGAGCTCTTCAAGAGAGCACGTTTTGTGATGCTAAATATGCTGGAATCTGTAAGATTGCCAGCTGAGACCAACCTAATTCCAGTACAGGTGGAAGTTCCTGGGTGTCACGTCACGTCGTCGATCACTGACGATTGCACCTTGGAGTGTAGTCTCAAAGATTCTCGTCCTCAAAGATTCTCAGTCCTGCATTGTCTTGCAGATATGCCGTGTGTGAGTTCAACAAAACAATTTCAGATTGACAATGAAGCTACTATGTTCTGGTCAACGTTGACTTTCGAAACACCTGTCGGAGTCTCCAGGCCGCAAGAAACCTCATTACCACATTAGTCAGGACTCCCCTTCGACAAAGCAAGCTGTGATCGAGACAGCAATAAAAAGAAATACATTGAAGGTGGCATTGTAGATTTCTCGTGTGTCGTTGATCAAGATGATCTGGCAACGTGCCGTGCTTTCCGCTTACTTGGCCGCTTGACGCTCCGAATCGGAGGTTCTACTGGCCGGCGTTTAGGGGCGCTGATCTCACCTTCGATAGCAAATCCTCGTATCGGATTGACTTGGGAACCTTGAAAGTGAGGTAGGTGGCATCCTGATGGTCCGCAGTTAGTTGACGCAATTGAGTTCGTCGAGACCATGCTCCAGTAGGTTGTGTAGGGCTGCATCCTATAAGCGTTGGGCAGTGACGGCAATATTGATAGAAACATCCATATGCAAGTTAATTGAATGAATGCTTTGACATAATGAAAATCTGAATTGTCCGATATGTGATATGTCAAGCAAAGCAAAGCTCTGGGTCATTCACTTTACTAAGACAGCCCACCACTTCTGATACCTGGATCCAGGTCCCACTAAAAGGTCTGAACTCCCTGAGTGCTTAAACTAAATACTTATGTACAGGTCGCCATCCTTGTCATCAGCGGAGCTTCAGGGGAAACGGATGGCACGAAAGGTGGGAACAATTCCTCTTTGGTTTCAAGCTATCTGCCGCACAGATATTTCCGATGCGTTTGATATGCGTTGTCCTGCCATTTTGCGTAAATTAAGCAACGAAATCCTGCGCAGGAGCCCACAAAGCTGAGCCCTGTGGCCTGGGCGGGCCTCGTGGCCATCCTGCTGGTGGTGAGCCTGGCCGTCACGTCAAGGCAGGCGAATTCGGGGTTCCAGTGGCAGAGCTGGCGGCGGCAGCTAAGGGACGACGCACAGCACCATGCACTGATGGAGAAGCAGGATGCTGAGCGCTTCACCCCAGCCCAATTAGCTCAGCTCAACAAGCTGCGCGCGCGCTTCCTGCAAGAAGGTAGGCTGTCACCACGCACCTTCACATGCTAGGCGTTCCCCCTGCTCTGATCTGGCTTTGGTAGCCGGTGGAGTAGCCGGTGGAGAGTGGTATAATGACGTACCTGTCAAATATAACTGCAGCACTTTAGACTCGCCTAGCTCAGCTTTGGAAGCACAGCACCTCCGTGCCCAGGAATTGCATGAGCCCAAGCAACACTCTTCAGAATGCACAATAAAATTTGGCCGTTCTCTTCTGCCTCTTGCTTTTCCTTGTGACGCTGTTGTTCACCAGAATACTGCCAATCATGTCAAAAACTGTCTGCATTGCTTTGGTAGAGCTCAAATAGAACGATTTTCCCCGTGCATTTGCAGAGCAGCTGACCATGTCGACACTCTCTGCACTGCTCTGGCTTGAGCTCAAGTTGAATTGGGCTCATGCATTCTGCAGAGCTGGATGCAGTGGCAGAGGCGCCTTCGCCGGACGCGGGCTTGGATGCGGACGGGGCGGTGGCTGGGGAAGGCACCCCGGACGACACAGATAGCTCTGAGGACGACGGTGTCTCCAGTGGCGATAGCGAAGATCAGACTGAGGACGACGGTGTCTCCAGTGGCGATAGCGAAGATCAGACTGAGGACGACGGTGTCTCCAGTGGCGATAGCGAAGACCAGACCGATGCAGCCTCTCCCACCCCCTCCCGCAGCCGCCGCAGTAGCGCCACCGTGAGTGCTGCCCCCCCTGCAACCTTCCTTTGCAATCTGGCCCTTTTCCTACTGTTGTTTCTTTACTGTATGCGTTCAGGAAAGATACATTCTTGCAAGGAATGACCATCGGCATCTCCACCATTGCACTCTTTGGAGATGCAGTTGTACGGCTGTGCGCTGGCTGCAGGTAGTGAGGGCTTGTCTTAGATTCTGTCATACACAAGGAGTATGTGGGGGTGGTAAGGGTGTTGGTGGTCTGCACAAGGTGTGGTTGAGGCTTGATTCGGATCTGATTTGGTCTGCAGGCGGACAGTGAGGCAGAGGATGACTCCACGGTGGGCGTGGGGTCGTCCATAGCGGCAGGCGATGAGACCGCGGCGCCCTCCAGGGCCGGGCGGGCCAGATCGCCACCCGCACCTGTGCGCTACGGATGGTGCGCGCTCTTCACAGCGTATTTCAGCATGCTTGAATGCCACTTCATTTACCTGCAATGCATAATATCTTTGCGCCATGATGTGTTGCCTCTCTGCTTGGCAGCACGCCCTGCAGGGCACGTCCGCTCCCTATGACTACTGGATGTCAGCAGCTTTGATGTAGCCTGACAAGGGAACTGCGCGCCCACACACGTGAATGCTGCAGAGGAGATTGTGGAATGAGAACTGACAGTGCCGGAAATTTCAAATGAGGTGTTCCAAGTCAGTGAGGCAAGCCTGAGGGAGGGCACGTGTGGCTTCTGTGCAGGGCCACTTCCACGCCTTCCGGCGATGAAAACAGCGATGCGATCGCAACACCGACCCCTGTGACAAAGGCGGCGACCGCTGCCAAGGCCCCTGCCAAGGCCCCTGCACCCGGCAGAGCCGTTACTGCAAAGGCACCAGCAGGTAGATTTCTGACCAGCAGGAAAAACTTGATCCATTCTGTTTTGCACCTGGCAATTTCTGCATTCCATATCACCAATTCAAAGCCTCGGATTGTGCTGCTGCGCAATGCTAAGGGCAGTGCTGCAAGTTCCGATGCTGAGTAAGTCAGGAAGCAATGTGTTTGATTCGTGCGAGTGCAGCATTCTATGATTGATCTTGACTTGTTTCGGTGCCATGCGCAGCATCCAGAGCGAGCACAGCAGGCGCCGACACCGCATCAGCAACAACGGCAAACCTGCCTCAGCCGACACTGACGCCATACGTCGTCCCCTCGAAAACTGCCACCACAACAGCGGCCACCCCGGCCGTCGCGCCGATTCCCACCGTCGTCAAACCGGCGGCGACTGCTCCGGTGGCGGCCGCAGCGGGGGCGGCAGATCCCGTGCTACCCGTAACGCCCGTAAAGCCGGCGGCGTCCGCGCCCGTAGTGGCGCCCGCAGCGGTTACGGTCCCGCAGCCCGTGAAGCCTGCGGCCGTTACGGGCCCCGCGGCGCTGCCCGCCCCCGGGCAGCCGGCGCCCGTACTGGCTGCAGCCAACACAATTGTAGTCCCCAGCAACACTGCTGGCATCTTGCGCGAGGGGCTGACCCCTGTGCCGACCAAGCCAGCAGCTGCTGCTGCAAACGCTACAGCTCTCACGCCGCCGGTAGCTACACCGCCGGCAAATGTGACTGCAAAGGCGGCCAACGCCACAGCAGACAGCAGCAACAGCACATTTGGCGCAGCTGCTGCAGTTGCAAGCAGCTCCTCTCCCAGCAGCAGCCCCTCAGGTGGGTGCAGGCCCTCCCCTCGACATTCGTTCGTTGGTCTGCGTTTGCATCGAATCACATGATGTTACCGTATGTTGACGGTGTGTGCAACTTGTGGGCTTGCTGGATGGTTTGTCGCAGGCTTGAAAGTGGGAATCTGAGGCCCCGACCCCTTTGTACTATCTCCGTGCCCCCGAGCGGTAAAGGTAACACAAGATTTCGCAGCGCAATTGCTGCTGCAATTCTTTTATTGGCGCTGATTTTCACGGGCCCGCCCCTTCCCGGCGGCCCTGCAGCGTCTGCCGAGCTGAGTCACTGCATTACTAAGGCTGTGACTTGTGTGCCAAAACAGGTTCTGGCAGCGCAGACTCCAGCCCTTCTTGGAGCCCCTCACCCAGCAGCCCTTCCTACAGCCCCTCTTACAGCCCTTCGAGCCCCTATTACAGCCCCTCTTACAGTCCCTCCAGCCCGTACTACAGCCCTTCTAGTCCCTCTTACAGCCCGTCTTGGAGCCCCTCTTGGAGTCCTTCTTGGAGCCCCTCTCCGAACAACTGGGGCGGTGGCGGCGGTGGCGGAGGGGGAGGTCCGCGGGGGCCCGGCGGTGGCGGCCCGAGGGGCCCCGGTGGCGGCGGACCGAGGGGTCCCGGCGGCCGCCCCTGGCTCTAGGCGAGTGAAGTATGCCCACCAGGGATTCCCTAGAATTCATGCTTGAATGCGTACTTCTTCACATTGTAACTATAAGACCAGCTGGTTGATGCACATGCTGACTAATGTGAACTCTTGTCTGCTGGCTGGTTACTAACCTTGCTGCGCAGCAGAGAATAATGTACATGCGATGAAGGGACCTTTATTGCCGTGCAGGGGCTTTGTGGGAGGCACACAGCAGACGGAGAAGGATGAAGTCCGTGAACTCAAAAGAATATTTGCTGCATGCATTTCAAATGCTGATGAACGGGGATTTTATTGCCTGGAATGATATTTTGAAAGGGTGCTGTACAGATCACATGTGTTTGGGAATACTTTCATACAGAGAACTGCTCTTAGCAGAACAGAAGTAATGGAATTGTTTCTCTTAGGTGAGTGGTTGAGAAGTGATGACAGCAGGCATTTTGGAGCCAGTGATTCTGAGCTCCAGCATGTCTGCAAATAACGGAGGTGGTGGATCACTTCTTTTGAGCTATGAGCCTTGGAAATACTTTTCTTGTCTCATCTATGTTGATTCAACAAATGAATGAATGACCCGATACACTCAGATAGTTGGCATTGAGAAAGGTCTGAGCTTCCTAGGGCCAAGCCTTGTGTACAGAGAATGATCAGGGTGGGACAAGCTCTGGTAAAAGGTGCACCTCTGGAAGGCCATGAGACTCTCAAGTGATGTGTGTTGCGCTCTTTGATGACAATACATATTGACATCTTGGAAATAATACACCGTTCCAGCCACTTGAATTAAACATGCAGCTCAGAAAGTGATGTATGCATGCGCATGCGTTGCCGCTGCAGCTGCTCATGAGGATCTTGAAATTGCAACGAACTCAAGCGCGAGCCTGCCAGCCCAAAAATCTACTTACAAATCTCTTTGCCTTCCTTCCTCCCTCTCAACATCACTCAGTCAGACTTTAACGCTTACTCACTCACTCACCCATACACACAAAGTCACTCTCTTGCTCGCTCGATCTCGCCCTCTCCAACGTCAATAAAGGTGTGAAAATAGGCCCTAGGCAACCATGCATTCCTTCTCTAGCGCCGACATCTGTTAGAGCACAGCGGTCCTGTCAGCATCCGCATGCATTTCCTGCGCGAGCTGGTCGCAGCTGCTCCTGTGCTGGGGCCAGTGCTTGGTCTGGCAGATGCGGCTGCAATAGAAGACTGCCTTGCAGTGCGCGCATGAGCGCCACAGCCCACACATGCGGCATCCTGCGCAGACCGCCGCTCTCCTGTGCAGGAGTGTCCACAGCTGCTGTGCCGCCTGCAGTTTCCCCAAAAATCTAGTGTCACCTGTCATCGGGGAAGGCCCTTCATAAGCTGCACGCTTGCATGATAAGCTGGCACACAGCTCGTTGTCTGCCTTGCTAATCTCTGACTGCTCTGTCCACACACTGCTGACATGCCTACTGCACGGACATGCTGCATCTTAGCATAAGAAGGTCCCCCTGGTACTGAGGAAGAGTTGTTGTGGACTTTGTCAGCTGTGGTAGTCATTTCTGCAATCTTGCCCCTTAGAGGATATCTTTTCAAACCTGCATAATAACAGGATCTGCAGGATCTCCAGGAAGTAGGTACCACCTTTGAGGACTGAGCGTTGTAGATCAAGCACAAGAGTTTGTGCAGCTGGGTTTCTGTGATGGCAGCCTTTGCGCGCAGCAGAATCAGCACACACTCCAGCTGCACACCACATGACACAGTCATGATAAATTTACTTTGCTTTCTTGCACAGGATGCGATTACTGCATGGAACCTCCACGGTCTTGAGCATGCATGCCTCAAAGTAGTGGTGCCTATCCGCCAAACTTCTAATGGTGACAAGGCTTGGCATGCATGCTGACCAAAGCAACACCCGATGAGATAGTAATGCAACAGCACAGACAGCCTTGAAACCACAGACGTTCTTGCAAATGTACCTGACCCTCCTCTGGAACGTGAGATTTCTTGCCAGGGCTGAGGCCTGGCCCCTCCTGCAGACGAGGGTAGTCGACAGCGGCTGTGATGGCATTCATGCAGCAGCGGTTGACTGGATACGGTACATGGTGCACATCCATCCCTGCACACAATGGCCACTTGATTTGTCTGACGCAGCAGTGACAATCTCTACGTTGAGGTGCTACAATCCTGGCTACAACAGTGCAAATAGAGCGGTTGTAATAGCCTGAAAGCTTCTGCAAGCAAGTGAGCAAGTGGGGCCGCGGCATGGTCACATTGCTGGCACAAACATGCGTCGGCACGCAAGCAGCGAGTGGGTTGACTTGCCTGCTTCAATGAGCACTTGCAGTGTGATGGGCTCGCAGTGAGCGGCAGCCCACATGAGTAGGTTGAATTTCTCCTCTGAGACATTGGCCTTTTCAGATGCCAAGTGGGGCGGCAGCATCAGCCTCACTCTGGTGTAGAAGCTGGCAAAACGCTTTGGGTCATACCCAGACCTCACAAGCTCTGGCAACACAAAGTACTTGCGACTCAATCCCCCAAACACAGGGGGGTTCACACAGACAGGACCAAGGTAGTCCCAGTTGAGGTGCCCATCAACATCGAGTCCTACTCGCCTGCAAAAGGAAATTCTGGATTTGTAAGGCGCTCACATGCCACGGACTTGCAATTTTTGGCACATCATGGCACACTGTTGACTCACAAGTGCAAGTTCCTACAGCACAAATCCGCACGTGGTTCTCACCTGCAAGCCTGTAGCAGGGGTTCTATTATCTCAATGTAACCCCAAGTCACGCTTGTCCCCAACGCTGTCAGGCCATCCGAATCACGACATTCCAGGGCATGTATAAGAGAGGGTCCATTCGGAACGCTGCGCAGCGTGTTGCCACCATGGCACATCTGTTTTGACATCTGCGCAGCAGCCAGAGTACTCTTCTGCCAGTCAGTGACCAGTAAAGCCTTTGTAAAGCTGGGCTAGTGGATATGATAAAAGAGACCTGGGTCTTTAAATGTCAGGCATATGCAGAACATGCACAAAGGAATGCACTGCATGATCCATTGTCTGCAGACGATTATGCAGTACCAAGGTAGCATGCATGATTATGCCGCGGGAGATCTGACAAAGCGCACCGCTCTGATAAGGACTTCTGAAGCAGAGTCTGGGGCAAGACCTCCATGCACATCCAGGTCTAGCTCCACCATTCGCGGCACCAGAGGCCAGGTGCCATGCGCATTGATCATCTGGCCCAATGTGCGCAGCGGAGGTGTGTACTTGTTGATAGAGTCAAATGCTGTGCGTTTCAGGACTTCCAAGCGACGGCTGGGTTCCAACTGCGCCAGATATTTGAAGCAGACTTCTGCCAGCGATGGGGCATCATCTTTGCAATGCCTGGCCAGCTCATGCATCGCGCTCCTGCCCATGCCATCCATCAGCCCGATGTCTGCACCAAACTCAAGGAGGCTGTTTGTTTCGTCCACTCGGTTCCTGCGCACCACACAAGCACACCCACTATCAGTACGATCACCCCGTGCCTCTGAGGCTTGCATGCCCGGCATCATGGTTTCTGCATGCTAAGGATCCAATGCCCTACAATCATACTGCCACTTCTTTTCAGCAATTGGCGAAACATACGCCCAGCAGGTTCCATACAGCGACGGCACAATACTTTCAGAGTGCCAGCAGTGCACCCACGAGCATGGAACATCGTGCGTGATGATGAAGTCTTTGGGAGAGCAGGAGGGTGATCAGGGATATAGCAGGGCAAGAGGTGCACCTGGCAATGGCTTCTATGAGAGGCAGCCGGCCGAAGGGGTCCGGAGTGTTGATCAAGCTGGAGATATCTGTGTTGGATCGGCCATTTTCATGGCGTTCACGCAGGGCCAAGAGAAGCTTTTTCAGATTCCCTGGGACCCCACCCGCAGCCAGCAGCACGATTGGGGACACTGGCTTGCCCAGTGCGCAGAAGTCAAAGCGCCCGCAGAGCTCTGGTGAAAAGCTGGTCCACAGCACAGCACAGAGACCCGTCAAGCATGGCAATTGTGGTTCCCAGCAGCCAAAGTATGCCAGGCAGGACTGCAAAAAGCATGTGGGTCTTTCTCAGGGATGTGGGGAGTCACCTTTGGGGCCACATTGATGTCTGGTTCATGAGGAGTGTACCATTGGTCCCTAGCTGCCCCAAAGACTCATTCAGCATTTTGGCTGTGAGTGGAGCTGCCTCTGAGTCGGGTTCATCTGCCTGCTGCAGAAGCGAGTCCAAGAACAGCCCAAACAGCACATCTACGTGCCTTGGAATGTCCATTGGACAGCACTCCCCAACCATGTGTACGACAATGACAAACATCTTGAACTCGCAGCGGCCCGTGACAGGGTAATTCTCCTGGCCAAGCTTGAGTGCACTGATAGGCACTCCCGCTTGGAGCAGCAGTCTCATTGCATGCAACCGCGTGGCGTTTGTGCCGATCATCAGCCTGGAAAAACAGCCGAATCCTCAGCGCAGGACAGCCTGATCCTTTATCAATAAATAATTTGGCTTTGATAACTGTGTTCAAACAATTGCGCACCTCTGCAATACTGTCGGGCACGAATGTCCCCCAAGTGGAACACTGCTTGTGGCCACATGAAGAGCAGAAGGCTACTTTTATTATCAAAAGCTGGGAAGTAGCATGTGCACCTGCAAAGTGCGTGCGTCTGCATGAAGCCATCACCAGGCATGACTCTCAATCTGTTGTCCACAGCTTCAGAACGCCGCCGCTTGATGGGTGCTGCAATTTCCTCTTGAAACTGCTTCTCGCGGCCGGCATAGCGCTTCTTCAGGTATTCCAACACCTGCTGCAATTCTCGAGGATCCCCCGTCCTGACACAGTTTGACGCTGCGCCATAGAGGAGGTGACCTGCATGTATCACACAACTATGATTTGCCGCCACCTCAGCATCGACAAACTCTAGTGGGCCAGTCAAGCTAAGCGGTGCAGCCAAAGTCGATGCTTGTCATACACAGGAAGGTTTAAACCATTGGATGTGTTGCCGCAGGAACACGCTCATAGGTACTGGGCAGCATTTACATGTGCAGGCCTGATTGCAAGCAGGTTTGTCATTCAGATGACGGACGACTTGCTGCAAAGGTGAGATGTGCGAACCTGCATAGACGGGGCAGCGGTCGGCAATTTGCACTATCTCGACTAGGTAATCCCACATGCCATACATGCCTGCCTCGGCAGCCGTGGCGAGCAGGCACGCCCCTAAACTGTCGACCACGCTTGGGTCAGCGCCCAGCTCAAGCAGCAGGTATGCTATGGGCAGCATTTTCTCGCACGAGCTCTCACAGACGTTGTCTTGCATGATTGGATTGCCGCATGCATGCAGTGGCGGTCCTGACAGGCCGCCTGGTGTGACGCAGATCCTTGTGACTGCCACCATTAGGGGTGTTGCATTTGTCACTGTCGCACGCACATCCACTGGCAGATGGCCGCCCTCCACCAGGAAGCGCACCATCTCCTTGTGGCCTGCAAGCGCCTGTTTGGGCAGGCAGCATGCATGCGTCAGTGCATCAGATGCTCTGATTCAAATCCTTGTTGCGGGGCGCAGACCCGGCAGCTGTTAGCACACACAGCTGACAGACCACCCTAAAGCCACACCTCACAGTGTCAGCCTATTTGATCTTTCTAGCAATTAGTACTGTGTCAAGGACGGTAAGCAAGCAGTCAAAGGCAGAGGCACACCGCGAGATGGAGGAGGGAGAAGCCACTGTGCTCGAAAGCATGCATGGCCACATTGGGACTGCAGATATTGATGGCGAAGTTCTGAAAGTCTGTGAAGACCCTCTCAGGAAGGAAGGACAAGTCGAATCCATCTTCCGTACCATCCAGGGAGTCCCACAAAACTTTCTTGTCGGCGCCAAGCGAGAAGATGAACTCCACTATGCAGGCATATGGTGCGTATAAGCGCAGTCAACTATTGTGTTGGCAAGGCAAGTGATGAAAGGTGGGTGAGCTGATCTTACCTGCGGGTATGTTGTTCATGACGACGGCCATTTGCAGCAGGTTGAATTGTGTGAGTGGCTCTTTTGCGGACAAAATATCGATCTTGCTGACGCGTCCAGCGAGGACCTTCAAGCGCTTGCCTTTGCTGTGATCTGCAACGGCAGTGACGAATTTCTGAATCATTATCGGTGTCATCGGCTCACGATGCGAAGCTTTATCCGTGTTCTTCCCTTTTTGTGCCCCCATGGCACTGTTGTAATATCCACTTGTACGAGGGCCCTTGTCAACGAAAACTATCTTGATCACAACTTGGACTGTTAGAGGATCTCCAACTGAGCCTTCACCGGAAATATCAAGGAAACAACGCTGAACGGGTTCAAAGATTTAATGTTCCTGATTCACTATCTCTTGAAGCAAGAGTCCTACTTCACCGAGTCCAGAAGCAAGGGTGGCGCCAAATCTGATGTGGCATCATATGTACACGTGCCTGTCTGACATAACTATGACTCGTTTCCTCACCCAGCTTCCTAATCTACAAGAACAGAGATCACATTAAGTAAATAGATGCGCAATGCAGCAAGCTTAGTTCAGACTCTTGCCAACGCCCATTGCAATAGCTGCAGCCGTATACGTATCGGGCCGGTGCCTGTAACTGGCTGCAGCTGTACTACTTATGCGTGGGCATCCGGCGCCGGCCTGAGACGAACCACCATGGTGAAAAGTTATCTATCTTCTGGTTGGTCCGCCCAATGTAGAGGAGCACCTAAGAACTTGGTACCATCACTGCTATGGCCTGCCCAACCGCACATCGAGCTGCAACACAGGAGCTGGCGAGCTCGAAACAAGCATAGCTTCATGGATAGATGAAAATGGAATGTGTAATGTGCCTACGTGCGGCAACTGATTGAAAGCATCCAAGCTGATCCTACTACCTCCTTCTGCCTATGTCAATACATGCCTGGCCCGCTTCTTTTCCTCGTCCACAATACTTCTCCACCCCCCTGGTGGCAATCTGGGTCCCCACTCTTCTGGATGTTCTGCCTTCCCCCTTCGAGCTGTTGGCGATCCACGCAAGGACAGGGCTGCACTTTCCTGAACACATTGCGAAGACTCTCACTATGTGACACCCCTCAGTCCTCTACATGCACAAATGGATGATGCAGGATTACTAATGTCTGGAAGACTACTAGTGTTACTGATTGTCATGGTCAGCATCGGCTCTGTTCTGATGAAGTAAAGATTAGTTCTGGCTGCAAGCCATGGTTTGGCCGAGAAAAAACATATGTATGGTGGAACGCCAGAAAATGTTTGTATATGCACCTTTTTGGGAGAGTAGCCAGGCGACCTGTCCCCAGTCACTGCATTTCGCTGTTTCTCTGCCACATATTTCTCTTTGCAGGTGTTGACGCCGCGGCACTGCCCTGCGCTCTTCATTATATTGGATGGAAGCGCAATCCTGGGCAAGGCCTCCAGATCTGCCACTGGATGATTGCAGGAAATGCACCTGGCAGGACACACACACAAATGCGTCATCATCAGGTAAGATCCACACACAAGATCTGCCAGGCCAGTCTTGCGACTCCACGCTGAACCAACAGCCATTCCGTGTGCAAGACATGCAAATATTGGGAAACGCATTTGCAGGGTGAATTCCTACACAGTGGGTACGAGAGGCTTTCACCTGTACCCTGGGATGGGTTTGCGCGCTATCAATGCTTGCTCAGTTGCTGCAGCCTGTGAGTGGGGTTTTGGCAACTGCATTACTTCCGACAGCTGGTGCTTCAGTGCTGCAATTTCTGTGCCCAAGTGGTCCAATCGCAGATCGGCACTTTTCAGCTCAGCACCTTGCTTTGTTTCCTGCGACAGACAGACAGACAGACAGACAGGCATTTTCAACACAGGACGGTAAAAAACGCCTTAATGCAGACCCAGGCAATCAAGCAGGACTTCATCTATTACGATAGGGGTCAAATGTGCCCACCGAGGGACTCGATGGGTTCAAAGCAATGCCAGAATCGGTGATACAAGGAATTTGTCCGGTGTCCAAGGCATTTCTCAGTTCAAGAAGCGTGCTCCTGTCTCCGTTCGACATGACACCCTGCATTGGCAGCGTCCCATCGATATTATGACACTTCATTCACGTATATACAGAGATCAGAGTCAGGTCACTTGATTGAGAAGAAAGACACTCTGCATGTATTCTGTATGCTTGCTGGCATGGTGGCACTGCGTGTTTGCTTACCTGCTGCTTGAGGACAGCATGGTCTTTCAGGGCCATCGCAGCAATGACAGCTGTGAGACTCTCCAGCGTCCTTCGGAGGTCCAGCAACTCGGCGTGAAGCTCTGCCTCTTTTAGTGAGGCAGTCTTTATCAAGTCTTCCTGCAAGTTTGTGTCATGGTTCTCCTTCGCCTTGCTGCTGTCCATATCAACCCCCTTTGCAATTGCCATGTCAGCTCTGGAAGATCCCTGTGCTGCCAGCTGTGCTGCCAGTCGAGCATTGGTATCCAGGCATCTCTGCACATCCCTGGCAATTCTACTCAGCTGCAGCCTGCCAACCTTTCCTTCAGACTGCACTCTTGCCAGATGCTGCTGCAGGCTCGCGACATTCTGCTCCAATGCATGCAGGGCTTTCAGCAGGCTCAGGTCCCTGTTTTCTGCTGCATTTGATCCGCGTGGCATCTGTGCTTGCTGTGAAACCTTCTCCTCGTCATCAGATCTGCTCAAATCTGCGCTTTTACTGGTAGTGACAGGTTCTCTTGGCAGCGAGTCACTTTCACCTGGGCTGCTGTTGTCAGTGGCTGTGCTGTTTGCGACTACTTTTTCTGTCTGCAACCCTGACGTGCTGTGTAACGCTGCATTTTCGCTGCCATGCTCGCTGAGATCTTCATCCAGACCTTCCTGAGGTACAGAGAATGAAGGGTCACTGAAAGCATTATGTAGAGAGCTGGAATCGATGGGATCCTGTGGCTGATTTGCGGTCTCTGCTGCATTCAGCAGGTCCAAAAAGAGGCTGGAGGGCACTGCATTGGCTGCAGGCAATGCTGGCATGGTCCTTTGGAGCTCTAGCTCCTCATGAAGAAGGCTGATATCTCTTTGGCAGTCCGCCTGCATCAACGCACGCATTTCTTGAGCGGTGTGTCATTTGGACCTGCTATGCCTTGATGCTTCATGTGCATGGGTACTTATCATCATTAACCCCATATTCCAGCCCTCAGGGCTAGGTGCGTTGTAGCAACCTCTCAGTAAATGCAAGGGGAATATGCGCATGGAATCTGGGAATGAGATTGAGAGAAAGGGCACCTGTAAGGCATTCAGTGTCTCCTTAAACGAGGTCAACTGCCCATGCAATTCATCGGTGTCTGTTGCATCTGCTTTGCTGCTCAGCCTCTGGTGCAGCAATGTATACTGGAGGTCTGGCGTCTGTGTCGGCGGTATTCTGAGCCCCTGAGGAACCAGCACAGATTGATTTGTCACCTTAGTAATCCCAGTAAGCAAGTCGACGTGAGCAGGCAGGCATCAAATTATAGTTTCTCTCCTTTGACTGGCCATATAGAGTTGTTACCTCTGGTTCCAGAGCTGCAGTGCTCTGACTAGAGATTACATCAGCGCTTTGGGCTTTCTCTGTGGCCTCCAGGTATATTTGAGGCGGCATGCTTGAGATTACAGCCTGGAGGTCTGCGTAGCTGGCTTTGTCTGACACGGCTTTTTGAAGTCTTTCCATCTGTCTCTTCATATCCGTAATGTCATCCTGCAAGAACGACACGGCGCTTTTTCAGATGGAAATGTCGAGACGATTACGGAGCCAAAGAAGCGTCACTCACAGAATAACCAATCCCTCTGCTCTCTATGGGCTACTGAAATGCATGAGCCAACGAGTACTAGTCAGCCATTTGTACCTGTTGGTGCATGTAAGACTCGCTGACGTGACTAACATCCTGTGCAAGCTTTTCCAAGCCTTCCGCTGCAGCCGGACTTATTTCTGAGCTGAAAGGCTGGTCTTCTCGCACTGTTCCACCGTTCTCAGTGGATCCCTGCAGACTGTACCTCGGCACTGGCTCAGGCGACTCATCTCCTGCTGCAGTGACTGCAACACTTCCTGCCATGATATCTGCACCATCTTCCGGAGTGTGCGGTCTACCGCCAGCAGAGTCAATTAGACTGTCATCTGAGGAAGGGTCACTTGTTTCTAAACAGGTTGAATTTGCTGTCCTTTCTAGCTTGTCACTGGTGATTGGCTGTTCTGCTGAGTCCGAGTCCTTTGCTAGCTGCTGCTCAATGTGGGAATCTAGCCTTTGAGGCAATGTGTCAAGGACCTGTACAACAGGCCAAAATCTCAATGCGATGCTTAGCTCATCTTTCTACTGCTGATTGATATGCAAAGAGGCAAGCATGCCATGCTGAGAGAGCTGATATCCACTGAAATTACCGCACCTCCAATTGTTCTTGCATAAGAGTGTATTTTTAGCTTTTACCTTACCTTTCCAGCTTCTGTATACGTCCTTGAGAGGCATCCTGCAACGGTCCAGGGGATGAATCCACTTCGCAGAAGGAATTATCTTGCGATTTTGGCTCCTCTTGTATCGTAAAAAGAGATGGCAAGAGCACGCTTACCTGCGCCTCTTGGAGTTTCACGACTTCAGCTCTGGATCTTTCGTTGTCTGCTACTAGATGGTCTACTTGCGCTTTCAGAGCTTGAACGTCCACGGCTTTCTGAGCTTCTGATACAGCGTTCACTTCTGCTACGAGCCATTTAATCACTTCTTCCAGCTGTTCGGATGCCACAGACTGCAGCACCTCTACCCTCGTGGTCTTGAACAGATCCCCGAAGAGAGCCGGCATCGCCAGTGCTCCCATATTGTTATAAAAACTAAATCAGACCAATAAGAAGTGACTAGTGTACATCCCTATCATGTCGACCTCCAACGGAGCCGGGTGCGAGCTTCCGGAACAACCTAGGTTTCTCCGCCTGACTATACCGAAAGGACTGCCTCAGTAATAATCCGAAAAAAAGAATAAGTTCCTGGGATTACAGGTGCGGCAAACTAATAAGGAAGTCAGTTCTGGGTTTGAAGTCGATCAGAGCTTGCAGGACCTGGTTTGGAACAACCAAGATAACGAAACTCGTGCCGAGAATGAAGGCAGAGTAAATCAGCGCAGCGTACACGAACACCAACATTGCTAAGGGCCACGAGGGGCCGCTAGAGGGAACTCACAACGATTGCCATCGATCATAAAAACACAAAGCATTTCGGCTATTTTTAGTTCTGCATGTGCCGCTCGAACACGTCAGATCCAGTCAGCACTCATGAAAGTGAGGACTGACTTGAGATCAGCATTCAGCTCGTCAGGGTGGTCAACAGAAAAATCCGGTGTCTGTAAGCCTGTTGAGACTGCATCACACTTACAACTTGTAAGTTACAAGCGTACATAGGAAAGAAACTGTCCTGGAACACGATCATGAGAGCTTCACTACATGTACATAGTGATATATCTGCAGGCCGTAAGCTCCAGAAACGTTTTTACAATTCCCTAGGAGGCAGCAGACCCGCCATTACGTGACAGCTATGGAAGAAGAGCAAATCAATCATAGCAACTGGATCAAATAAGAGTCAAGACCTTCAATAAGTGCCCACGTTTGGCCATGGGAAGTTGCAATCCAAATGCACTTCAAAACAGCAAACACAAGTTGCAAACATGTTACATTCCTAATCGTCATCATCACTCAACACCAATCCCCGCTGTCTATTCCTTGCTATCTTCCTGGGTGGCGCATCCTCCTGCACATCAGCCAAAAAGCATACATTCAGCTCATAGTTGCACCATACGGATTCGGCCATTCGGCATACGGTGAATATTTCGGTCGTATATTCGGTGTTTTGGGCCAAAATAGGCCGTTCTTGACCGTATTCCGTATACTTTAATACCGTATGACCGTATATTCGGCCGTATACACGGTCCCCAAAGAGTGTTATGACCGAATGGTGCAACTATGATTCAGCTTAACATGCATTCCCCAGTTGGAGAGGCAAGCAGCAAAACACAGAATGCCGAGCCCAGCTTTGGACACAGCGCTTCAGGCCTGCTTGCAAAGCTTCAGCCAGCCCTGAAGCTTCAGGGCTTCAGCTTTTCAGCAAGCTCCAGAAGTGCACGCTGCACGCAGTGAGCCGCAGAGATAGCAGGCAGCCAGCTCACCTCTGCATCGTCCTCGTCATCGTCGCTCTCAATGGGGCCAAAGTGCTGCCTCTTGGGGGGCGGCGCGGGCGCGGATGCCTGCGGCCTCTTTGCTTGTGACAGCCGCCTCTCCGCCTCAGCATCCTCCTGCATGAACACATGAGTGCTTGCTTGACAAAGGACCTCTCGATGAATAACAATCTGCTGCAGTCAGAGCGCAAGTGGACTGCCCTTGTAGCAGGGCTCTTGGGCTGCGCACGGCCCATCCATGAGGCTGCCCCACCCCAATTTTCAGGACTCTGCAACCTGAAGCCCCACTCTTTTTCTGCACATTTGCTTGGGAACGGCAGGGTCCTGCAGCTGAGTGGTCACAAGCAAACTTAAACCAAGCAGCAGATAAAATGCGACAGGCAGGAATGTGCCGCATATCAGCGTTGCGTTGGAGAGTGCTGCAGTCTAAAGGTCAAAAGCAATCTGAATCCAACACAGAGAGAGATGCCACTGGATGGAATGCTGCGCACATCAGCGTTGCGTCGGAGGGCGGTGCGAGCGCGCTCGGTGGCGGTGAGGCCGCCGGCGTCGTCCGAGTCGCCTCCTAGGTCGTCGTCGTCCATGGCTTCCAGGTACTGCGCCGTGATTCCCGCCTCCCCGCGCGGCCGGCTGTCGTAGCGCGAACCCGCCGTGTACCGCCGCATCTCCTTGTTCTGCACGCATGCGGAGCCCAGCGTGCCTCAGAAAGGAACCTTGCCCAAGCATGCATGTGGTTCCTTGATCTCATGCGATGAGGCAATGCTAAAGTGGGAATGCGCCTCAATTCAGGCTACAAAATGCTTGGAGTACGTGAGGACGTTAGATGTTGGCATTGTATTCATTGTGCTGGGGGCATGGATGCTGCAGGTGCGTCAGGAATGCACTGCATGAGCAGCTGTCATGGTCTCAGCACATCAAATACGATGCCGGATAATGGTGTGCCCCATGCACACTAGCATTCCTAGTTGAGAGTTCTAACCAACCTCATCAGACTCTCGAGGGTACAGGCGCAGCAAGACAGTATAAGCAGCAGCTCGCTGCAACCTCGGCAGAGGTGCGGTGACCCCTGCCAGCGGCGCAGCACAAGACAGGCTGACTCTTGCTGCCTTTGTAACATTCCACCATCAACATCAGGGGCAGTGGACAGAGCGGGAGGGAACGTGCTGCGCACCTGGCGGCGCTCGAGCTGTTCGGTGGCACGGATGCGGGCCTCCTCGCGGCGTTCCCTCTCAGCCTTCTCCCGCGCCGGATCCTCCACCGTCGCCACGCTGCACACGCAGTGATGTAATACCCAACAACCTTGTTTTGTGGGTTTTAGGGCGCAAGGGTCCGGAACTTAGGGTGGAAGTAGGGGTCGGTGCTTCAAAATATGTTTCCCAACATGACTGAATGATTGTTCGTTTTGTCTGCGGACATATTGAATGTAATCCTTCAGTGACTCGATGACCTCTAGGAAGGGCACCCCAAGACAGACTCCTTGGCAGGGATGCGTACAAGCCTGGGCTCGGGCCAAGGGGCACTACAGACATTTCAGTATTGAAGGACAGGGGCACGGGCCGGGGATGGAGGGAGTCTGATGGAACACCTGCGCACGCGGTTGACTTTTGTGTGTCGTCGCTCCACCGCCTCGCGCAGCCGCTGGTGGAAGCGCGAGTTTAGGCTGGCCGGCCGGAATGCCAGCTTCTTCTGTATTTGCCCCATGCTCTGCGCAAAGAACAAAAGTAAAAGTTGCTCAAGTGTGTGGCTTTCATTTGAAGTGAGCCTGAAAGACAATCCCTGGGCCCTTATGTGTGGGCTAAAATTGCTCTGAAGCATCTGGTGATGGTCTTGGATGGCATCAGGCTGCAGTTGGTGAGCAGCAGATAGACAGGATCCAGAACCACCATTTAGTGTTTTTAATACAGTGACGTGGATTTTTCATGTCCACCAAGCAGCGTCTGGTCGTCTGGTGCAAGCCTATCTTTGCATTGCGGCATAATCAGTTATTCTGCGCAGGCCTGGTTCCTGACCTACAGATGCTTGTGACGCAGACGTGCATCGGGGCAAATGGCTCACCTCCAAATACGCTGCTTGCATGTGCCGCAGAAAGAGGAAGTTGTTGTCCTTCTCAATGTCCAACTCCGCCACATCCAGGACTTCATCCCCAATCATCAGCTGCAACGACCCGTCCGACCACCGCACAAATCTGCAACACCAATTTGGCACTTGCAACAATGGCACTTGCAGGACCAAGCCCATGTACAGCTTGTATGCATCACCATCGCAGTGCCTGTTGAACAGAAAGCACATGAGGCCATTATTGAGTGTCAAAGAGCATGCACAATGTTCCAAAAGGTGTATGTGTCAAGGGAGGTATGCTGACCTGGCGTTGCTCTCAATGCCGCTGCTGCCATCTTCCTTGACTGTCCGCCTCCACCTGATGACATTCTGGTCGCGCACGCGCACGCGGCGTGTGCCCTGGTCATCAACATACTCCTCCTCCTCCTCGGCCTCCTTGTATGTGGCAGGGTCAAAGGGCTTCATGTCTATGTTGATGATGTTCGAAAGCTTGACCAGCGCGGTGTTGTCGCTCTCTGCGGCAGAAGCGAGCCAGTGATCAGCTGTGTGCTCTGACACAAAATGCAGGTTTCTTTTTTGGCAGAGGACACTTGGGTTCAGCCCATCATTGGCATAGCGCCATAGACGTGTGTGGCAGTGATGTGCTGAGGAGCTCACCAAGCCGCGCGATGGGAGGCGCATCCAGGGCCAGAGGAGGGCCGCTGGGTCTTTCGGGCGGTGGCTCCCTGTACACCACATCGTCCTCTGAGGGAGCAGGGCCTGATTCTTCATCCTCCTCCACAGCTTCCTCTGGTTCATCTGCTTCCTCCTCTGCAGGTTCCTCTGGAAGGTCCTCCTCGGCAGCATCTTCAGAAGCTGCAGCTGTGGCGGCCTGTAACACACAATTTTGCATTATAAAGTGTTCATTACATATTCTCCACCATCTGGAGCGATGGAACAGGGCAGGTGATGAAGAACTGGAGAGAAGGACGAAGAATTTGCCCAGGGGCCCCGCACCGGCGTTGGTTGGAAGTCGTCATCATCAGACTCAGAACCAAAAAGCTCATCAAGGTCCGCCATTTTTACAGATCCTTTGGTGTTGCGACCTGAGATTGCCCCTCCAAAGAATCAATACCGTACGCAATACAGAGATGTCTGATGAGCAGATTTCGACTAAAGCTTCTGCTTCACACCCACATTAATTGCCTCTGTGCAGTGATGAAGATTCCCAGATCTTTAAGTTCTGCATTGTGCAATAAGAAGGGAAAGAACGCCGTCGTACTCCTGGAACTGTCCGAACTGAACTTCTATTTACATCGGAAGGACACTTCTCTTCACGTCGTGTCTTGGACCGTCTTCATGTTGCGTCATACTTCATCAGATAGACGGTATGACGATTGTATGGTAACACAGGAAGGGGGACAGTAATCGATACTGTCCCTAACAATTACGATGGCTACAGAGTTGTTGAAGTGCATTCAGAGCTGTGATTTGCTAAGTGATCAAGCCGCCGACTGTCTTGCAGACTCATGCGGGTTCGCCTGCAATCAAGTGAGTCTTTTCTGGCAATATCGCGGCACGAAGGTAGCTTGACATGTCACCGGTTCAGGATCTGAGTAATTGTTTCCCTTGCTCCCCACCGTCAATAGACCTCCAATTTGAAGGGTTTGTTGAGTCTTGCAATGTATTATCTACTGATCATGGGAAGTTAATGGGACCAGACATCACTATCAAGGAATATCGGTGCCCTGCAAAGAAGTAAGTATTCACTAAAATTTGCTTGTTAATCTGTAGTTGAAGGGAAATGTGGATGCGTTTCCTATTCCAATATGGGCGGCTGTCATCATATCGCTTTTCCTTGTTCCCTTGTCTGGCCTCTTTGCCGGGCTGACGTTGGGTCTGCTCAGTCTTGACCGAGTGGGCCTAAGGGTACGGTTCTGTCTCTTAGTGGCACAAAATAATGGAGGGTGTGATGCATGTCTTTGGATGAATTTTTGGTGCATAATGCCAAGGAATGCATTGCCAAGTCGCGCACCATCAATCTATGGCCTTTTACTTGAACACTACAAGCGCCCTTCCCTGATCTGATTCTGCTGTACAGATCCTTGTGGAGGGCGGAGATGCCAAGGAAAGGAGCCATGCACAAAAAATTCTGCCTGGTAAGATGCCCCAAAAGATGCAGGATCCTCTGTCAATATGTCACTTGCGACATGAGCTTGCCGGTGAGAAGCAAACAATTTTGTTTTTTAAGCTCCACGTTGATATCTTGAATTCCTGTGGACTGCAGTGCGGGAGCAAGGCAACCAGCTGCTGTGTACCCTCCTACTGGGCAATGTCATCATAAACAGCGCTCTCTCAATTCTCCTTGCTGATCTCACAACGGTGAACCCCTGGGGAGCTGCTGCGCCAACTCTTGCTGAACGCTTGCTATCTGCAGCTTGCACAGCCGCACTGCCCATGCATCTTATCTAGCTTGCATGCCTTGCAGGGTCCTATTGGATTGCTCACCTCCACTGCTGTAATCCTCATCTTTGGTTAGCCAACTCTTCTCCAGAAATGCCTCTTTCAATATGCAGCATCAACTTGCAAAGTACATGGAATACCATATTGTGCATATTTCATCGCTGCAAGTGCAGAAAAGTGGCATGCATGTCCTGCAGGCGAGATCATCCCACAGTCAATCTGCTCAAGGCATGGCTTGGAAGTGGGCGCGCACTCTATCTGGGTTGTGCAGATCTTCACGTGAGTGAATTTCATGCCTAATTCCTTGCAGGATGCACCTGCGATTTATGGCTCAGTTCGTTGGACAATTGTAGACCTGTGACATGTACTCACATGGCATGCTTGGGATCATGCAGGATCATCTTGGCTCCTATTGCCTACCCAACAAGCCTCATCCTTGACTGGTGCCTCGGCCGTGACATTGGGACAGTCTTCTCCCAGCAGGAGCTCAAGAGCCTGATGTGAGTCAATGGCTTGTGCTTTCCTTTGTGGTTCTTCTGCATCACTATAGAGGTCATGTTTTCTGCTGAGACAAAAGAGACATGTCTGACAAAAGAGGCATGTCTGATTGATATTACCTGCCATGCAGCAACATTCATGTCCATGACCCTGACGCCCAGGCCGAGAGCGGTCTGACCAATGCTGACCGCCTACTGCTTATTGGCGCTCTGGAGTACAAGGACAAAAGGTGCCCTTTCCTTTCCAATCCCCTGTATCTGGTGCCTGCCTGCCTGCCTGCCTGCCTGCCTGCATGCATGCATACATGCCTTCTACATTTGCTTCAAGTACTATCCTGTCCTCCGGTTATGCTGCAAATCCAAACTTCCATGCCAACTTCCATCTGTTGCATATATAATACCTCTTGTGACTTGCATTCCCCAGAGAGCACCGCCCTCCTTCCAATGACAATGCCACCTGAGTCAACATAAAGGCACATGCATGCATGACACTCTCAAGGCATGCATGCCTAGTGTGCTGCAAGACGTGCATGCATGATTCTTTGGAACACATGCATGCATGCGCTGCAGGGTGAAGGATGTGATGACGGCGCTGGAGCACTGCTTCCTGCTGGAGGTGCGCTCGCGGCTGAACTTTGCAACGATGCTGGCCATCTACAAGAGCGGCTTCACGCGCATCCCCGTCTACGAAAGCTCGCGCCACAACATCAAGGGCATTCTCTATGTCAAGGACCTCATCCTCGTGGACCCAGACGACGAGACCGAGCTCGGCGCTGTCCTGGCCTTCAGGTGCGGCTTCCTGCATGCATGCGTTCTTGTAACATGCATGGGTTTCGATTGGCGCGAGTGCCTCTGTTCATTGATGGCGCTTTCATTCTTTTGAAACTTCGTGGATAAAGTCCACCAGCTGAGGCGACTACTGTGTTGCGCACAGTTTGACCTTCATGCGATGATATCATGCCAGTGTTATGCTATACGTCGTGCAAAGCACTCTTGAGTCTAGTGGCGCATTTTTTGCACAAAGGTCAAGATCATTTACAGCACAGGAGACACCAGAGCGTGGAAATGGACTGGCTTGTGTGCGAGAGCAGCTGCACATGCTTGCTATCCGCTGGCAAACTGTACAAGATGCTCAAGCTCTGCAGAGCGTATGGGTAGATTATTGGTGAGAGGAAGTTGTTGTGTTGCAGGGGCCGCGATGTTGCGTCGGTGCGGGAGGACGTGAAGCTGGACGTGGTGTTCAAGGAGTTCATGTCCTCTAGCAACCACATGTTGCTCGTACGCCGCGCCCCCGACATGCCGGGAGGACCGGACGGCGACGTCATCGGCCTCATCACCCTCGAGGATGTCATGGAGGAACTCATCCAGGTGCAGCCACATGTGATTACCGTTTTACTGCTTGTCTGCATTTGTCCAATTCTCTGCCCCATTCTTATGCGAGTCAGAGCTCCACACGGGGCTCACAAGGGTGGAGGCCTGATGTGGTACCGCACATGCCAAAAGCGAACACGTTGCCTTGAATGGTAATCTTCGTCTCCAATGTTCCCTTTTCATTGCTGTGTATGCCCCATAGTAGTCATGTCACAGAGTGGAAGGCTATACATGCCTTATAGGGGTATCGTCCTCACCCTGGACATGGTGCTTACAATGCTCAACTCCGTACTTGTCGAGCATCTGTGGCGTTCCATTCCTCTAAGCCACAGTGATCTTGAACGGGACGGCGTCAAACATTGAAAGCAAATTCTCAAGAAACAAAGATATTTCCAATTCATCAACACAGACCTGGCAGATGCATCGCAGGCGCCTACTCGTGGGGATAGTTTTGCTTATAACTGCATGTTGACTGCCAATACAGGCGGAGATCGTGGACGAGACGGACATCTACGAGGACGTGAACCGGCGCGTGCTGAGGCGCGGAGGCACGCGCGCTGATGTGGCAACCTACCTTACCATGTTTGAGCACAAGCTGCATGCGAGCACGCTGAGCCCCGCTGAGGTGGCCGCCGTGGCCGCATTCCTGCAGCTCAACGTTGACGAGTTCGCGCCCCTCATGCGCTATGACCTGCCCCTCAAGGTGCAGAATTTCTTGCACCTGTAATAAAGGGTGTGGTCCAGTAGAGCCCTTGTATGTGCCCCAGCTGTGCCTCCGGAACGAGTGCATCCTCTTGGTCAACGTGTCTGGTCTGAAGGAAGGGGTGGCGTCGGCGGTGATAATTTTGTGCACCCTTGACATATGACAGGAGCTGCAAGGAATGCCTTGGTAAAAATTTTGCGAATATATGGGCATTGGGATTGCATTACATCCAGTATCTGCTTGTCGGATAGTCCTGAAGACGACCTTGCAACATCCTGTTGTTTGGTGCTCAGAACTACAAAGATGTTGTAAATGTGTCTTCCTTGGACTGTCTGAAGAGCATGCAGAAGATGGTAGCGGGCAAAGGTGCATGTTGCAGTTAGGTAAGATAGGTGTGCATGGAATGCAGGGACTGATCAGCCATGCGGAGATTGTGGAGAGGGACGTGCAGGTGGCAACGCCCACTGACCACGGCTTCTCCTCATCCCCCTCCCGCCTGCTCAGCCAAAGCTCCCTGGAAGGTGCGCCACCTTTCAAGCGCATACTAATATTCCCAGCGAAAGGTGTCCACAGGATGCAATGTGGAATCTACTTGCGACTGAGCCGATATGTTTGGATAGAATTCCTGAGTTTCTTTGCTGGGAAGCCGCCATGATTTCCTGTGGGCGCATCCCTTTGCTTTTTCTCTGGACGGCATATTGGAGGCTCTCAGAAGCAGGAATGGAGGATAGCTTCAGACGCATAGAACCGTGTATTTTCCAGGATACGCATCAGATTTGCTGAAGTCCTGTCTAACATTGCCTGCTTATCTTGAGTTGTCTGCCCCCGGCACACAGGGACGGTGGGCGAGTGGGCAGCGGCCAGGGCGTCCTCGCGGAAATCCCTGGAGATGGCGTCCGGATCCAGCAGCGATGCCGGGGACCCGGGCACGGTGCTGTACACGCGCGGGGAGCCCTCCGACACCTTCACCCTCATCCTGCAGGGCAAGGCGCTCATACGCACAGGTGCGGGCATCCTGTAAGCTTTTGGATGTAGCTCTGCCCTCTTCTCCCTGGCGTCAACCACTGTGGGAACCGGATTCTTTAGTCCAATTGCGCCTTGAGCTTCAACCCAAGCCGCAGTGCTGGGGGTTCACGCTCAAGGCGTGAAAGGGCGGGAGATTGAGTTCTGACAGTGGCGTGCCCTTGATCAGCCATCCTTATTGCTCTAGACGTAATATTAATTTTCTCACCGCGTGTTACCCTCCTGCATCTCCTCCCCATATGCAACAACAGACATCAGGACATGCATATGACCACAGCCAATTTTTTGCTGGCCGCAGGCATGCCAAAACACAATCGAGAAACGGCTTCGCCAGCAAAGGTACCTGAAGTAGAATTCCATGCAGCACTACTGTGTGCATAATATTCAGTCTATGACTTCCCAATAGCGGCAGGTGCTATTCACATGATCACTTTTAATGCTGGCGTGCAGGCGCGGAGTGCTTTGAGCTGGACCTGGGCCCCTGGTCAGTGCTGGGCAACCGCGCGCTCAGCTGCGACGACTACGTCCCGGACTTTGACGCCGTCGCGCAGCCCCCCTGCCGTATGCTGCGCATCCGCCGCGCCGCCTACCGCGCTGCCCTCGAGGCCTGCACCCTCGACCCAGTCCTCGGCTACCAGGTGCGCGCACGCATGTCTTCTGGGGTTGGTTCAAGCCCGAGAGCAACGGGCAAATGAATCACATGGGTCAGAAAGGTAACAAAGGACAGTTTTTTAAAAAGTGCAATAGGCTTCCTGCCTGGTGATCTTGGTGACCATGCCAAGCCAGGCAATATGTTGTGACTTGTTGGATGTGGTAGGCTCTTGCTCACGAGGAAGGAAGCCGAACGCAGGGGAGAGACTCTCTGGTGTTTCATAGGTTCACTGAGAATGAGAGAGTGTAGCACATTCCCTTGATGAAAGTCCCGCAAATAGCTTCTATTTTCATGCCAATGACGTCCTGCTCTGTGTCTCTCATACAGCAGCAGTGTCTGACGCGCACACTCCTGTGTCCACTGCAGCGCGGCCGTCTGGGTCCTCCGTCCGCGCAGCGCCAGCTGCAGGCATTTGACAGCATTCAGGCGCCGCCGGTCACAGCCGATGGCAGCCAGGCCAGCTTCAGCCGCCCGTCCTCGTCGGAGGGCGTTGCCTCCGACTTCGGCCCCACCTCGGCAGAGCACCCGAGTGTAGCCGGCGCCGGCGGCTCGCCGCAGGTCCCGGCCGCGCGCGACGGGTCGGCACATGGCGCCAGGATCCCCCGATTCGGTGCCACCGCCAGCTCTGCTTACAGCGATCACCACGGTGCAGCCTATGCCTCTATTGCATTATGTGGGCTGTTGTCTCTGGGGTGTATTCTGCGCTCTGCCAACAGAAGTTTTGCCCTCAGTGGTGGTTCTCTTGGGGACTGTATTCCTTTGGCTTGTAAAAGGAGCTATGGCTTATTGCCATGTGCTCCTTTGAAGCCACGGCAATATGTCATCAGGAGTACCGCCATCAAAGGCAAAATTTAGGGCAGTGTTCTGAACACCTTCATCATTCCAGGTCATTCCAGCGCTGGCTTGTGGCGCTGTCTGTAAAGCCTCTTCCTTCAGAGGCCTTTGGGTAGGTGAACGCAGGGTTTTGAGAGGCTACTTGCGTATATGCGCAGGGCGGCCTCCATCAGGCCTGCGCAAGCACTCGCTGCCCGGGAACAGTCCTGGCTTCAAGGAGAGCTTCCAAGATCCCCACAGCAGCGCGGACGATACATTCATCGTGGGGGACTTTGACGCTGCTGAGGTGTGTGCATTGCAGGCTTTTTCTCAGTGTTGGTGTTCCTCCATTCTTGAGCATCCTCAGTTGCGCCTCCAGATAGCTCATACATATTTGCCTAACCTTTGCAGCAATGCTTGCATGTCAATTCTGTGCCACCTGATGCCTGCTGTCTATGTTATGTTATCCTCATAAATGCTCCTCTCCTGCAGGATATTGAGAGTGGGCGCCCCTCATCAGCACCTGCCAAGTCAAAGGGGAAGAGCTCTTGGCTCAAGGCCGGACGTGACCAGCTCGGCGGCTCAGCTGATGATGACAAGCCCCTGCTCTCCCACAAGGGAGACCACCAGCTCTGAGAATGACACAAGGAAGCCCTCTGGAAAGTGTTTACCGCCTGGAATTCATGAAGCTACCTGCTAGGTTCATTGATTGAACGAAAGCGAACTGGTCTATGTACGCAGAAGTGCACGATCTTCCCTTGACCAATGCATCATGCAGACAGGCTAATGCATCTTTTGCAATATTTTGGCCTTGTGGCCCTATATTTGGTACCTTGTCAGTCAGCTGCCAGCTGCAGCCCTATGAAAGGTCAGTCACAGTAGATGATGGCCCACTGAGGTCAAATCCAGTGCTGCCTTGATGCCTTGCGGGTGTGTCTGATGTCTGAGTTACACTCCTTATGGCGGAGTATGTCTGCAGGATCAAAACGTGTTTGGCTAGAGCACGGCAGTGTGATAGTGGCAGTGCATGCCGGGGTGTGCAAGCATAGATAGGCGGCGCAGCCCTTTCTTTGAACTTTTCCCATCCATGGCTTGTCATGCATATGGGTGCTGCAAGGGTGACGTCATGATTGATCACTAGCTCTGATCAGCTGAAGTAACGGAACAATCTGTATTGTGGACATGGGCTATTTGATACTGAGCAGTGGTGACGCTGCAGCTTTGATTTAGATCTGGCGATTTCAATCAGCAGAAATGTGAACCTTGCAAAGTTTGCCATATGTCTTGAGCTGCTTGTTGTCACCGGAGGTACCTTTTATGATACAAATGAGATTTGATCAATGAATGCAAAGTGATTGGAAGTGTGCCTGTGCACAAGAGTGAGGCTTGACTCTGGACCTGTTTGAATTTCCCACTGCAAGGGAATTTCCTTGTAAATTCTTAAAAAATGAAAACAATTCACTGCCACAGGCTGTTGGCAGTTGACAACTTCATGAAGTTCATGCTGCAGTATGCATAATGTTCTGTTGCAATGCTGTGGCACTTAAGGGATACACTTTGCAGTGCTATTCAGTGCAACGCTGCAGTTGACTGATGTCGTCATGCCCAAGAGTCTTGCATCTTCTTACATCTCCCTCGTTTATTTTGTTTGTGTTACTGGCATCACCAACTGGGCAACCTCTCATCTTCTGCTGTACAAATCAACACGGTACAGTGTGCATCAAGGATGCGATGCAGCTGATCCACGTCTCATCCATATACATTGAATTCACCGATTCATGGCACAAACTTGGTGGCGGCGGCGAAGCCGTTGTTGGCATAGGGGCTGGCCAGGTGGTCATTGAGGTTCTCCAGAGGACCCTGCACATTGCCAAACACTTTAAGTAATTGCATGGTCCTCAAACAAACCAAGGCCTTCACAGCGAGTGTAAGACGTTGCACAAGAATACAAAGGCCCATAGACTTTGTCCTACACGTGATTCCAAGAGTTGAGCGTTTTCTGTATATTCACAAATTTTAAAGTATATCCACATTAAATAAAATGAGAACATAATGATTAATAAACATTCGCATTCCGTGGCAGCCATGGGTCAATGTCTGCAGCTGGGCGCCGCATTCAATTGGAATGCGCTGATGGAGACATGCAAGACTCTTGAATGTATCTTCCATATCTCTACGGGGGTGTAGAAAGTGGTTACACGAGAGAACTCCCCCACCTTGCCAGTGACGATGGCCTGCACGAAGAAGCCGAACATGGAGAACATTGCGAGGCGCCCGTTCTTGATCTCCTTCACCTTCAGTTCTGCCAGGGTGTCCTGCACCAGCGCATACAACCTCTGCCATGCCTGTCTTGCTCTTGCAGAGTGGGCCCCTTGAATGTCAGCTACCCTGCTTAACCCCACCTTTCCGGATTAAGCTGCCTGCATTGTTGAAGGCATGCAAGGCCACAGGTGTGCACAGCGACTGGCTACACATGGGCAAACTTCATCTGAATTCCACTGGGTACCGTACTCCTGAGCTAAAAGTATGATATCTGCATATCTCAGGAAATTATGAGCCCCATGCGCGGTGACAGGGGACTCTACATCAATTTCAGAGTCCTCTGGCGAGGGGATAAACAGGGGGATTAGGGGAGAGGGTTTGCGAGGGAACGCACGGGGTCTGAGGCGAACTCGAGGGGGTCGAAGGGGCCGCCCGGGTACAGCTTGTCAAGGCCGTCGACGCCGGGAGCGCTGCCAGCCGCACGGTACGCCTCAGCGCTGCCCATCAGGATCACCTGCAGAGCCAATTCTAGTCATCTCAAAGGCTGAGTTGATGCAGGCGCAGCTGTAGTGCTGACAAGTCATGTCTTGCTTGGGCACCCGTCATGCCATCTTGCCAAATATCGCCCGGCGACTCCAATTATAAGGACACAAGCATTTTCTGAAGGCCCCTGCATTTTAATTGGCCAATTGATGAATAACAACCACGGAGGGGTGATAGCCCTTGCGTATGGACACTGAAGACATCAGCCTTTGCACTAGCTCTGCTATGCCTTCATGGATGTAATACCATTCGCATGTGTACTGGCAAGATCGGATCATCTGCGCTGGAGGGCACCTTGAGAGTCTACAATACAGCTTTAGAATACAGGCATGATGAAGACACATTCCAGAAAAATTATGCACGCATGCTGTACCAGCTCTGCAGAGCGTCACTGAACCTACCTATGCTTGCATGTGCAAAAACCAAAGAGGCAGGCATGTGCAGCGGCTGACCTGGACTGCGAGTGTGGCGACGATGGATTGGGCGTGGACCAGGTTGGGCTTGCCAAGGTAGTCCAGACCCTCGCTGCTCAAAATCTGCGCGCCTGCCTTCCACCAGACCGGCTCCTGGAACTGCAAACAGCAAGGCACATAATAACAGTCAGCCACCGCGCATCCCTCAAGGTACTAGCCATAATCTTGCGCAACTCAAGCACTCAGGGACCTGCATGTAAGCATTCTCGTGCACCATTCTGGAGGGCAGCATATGTGAAGTAAAAAGGGTGCCATGTTTGGCAGCAAGTTACACTGCATTACGTCATGAAGAACAGGGGGCACCAAGGCAATGTGTCTCCCAAAGAAAGGCTTTTCACACTGGCACACGAATTAAGGCCGGCCTTGAAGTCGCAATGAGCCACAAGCCGGGCCTTGCTTCTGACACTAAGAGGCATATTCAACGAGTTGCCCACTGCTGGCAATTAGCCTTCTCACTAAGCGCTCTACAGATGAAAATGTCAAGGGGTAGGAAGTGCGCACCGTGAAACCGTTCTGGGAGAGGAGCTCGGGGGTGAGGCAGCCGAGGGCGCCCAGCATGGCCCAGCGAGCGTGGATCACCTCAATCTCACGGTAACGCGCGAATGTCTCCGGGTCGGCCGAAAGACCAGCCGTGTCCCAGCCGTAGTCACCTGCAGCCATGACTCGTGCTCGTCACTCCTTCTATTGCACATCCGCAGCCATGATGCATGCTTGCCATGTAGTACATCTTCATTTGTAAGGCAATTGCTGACTGCTTCAACAGCACATCTGACTGCTCCAGCAGTATGCATCTCTGTCAGAGAGTGCAACAACTTGCCAGAAAAGCCGGCCTTCTACTCGGCGCTCGCACTGCTCACATGCTAATGCATTCTTGTTGGTGACGTTAGTACTCTCTGGCAAGCGTGCCCCTTAAGCATGACTGTTTGCAACACTTTCACTTACTGTGTTGAAGCCAGAGTGTGGAGATTGCAAAATATGTTCAAGGAACAAACGTATTGTTTGTAGCTGCATAAGTTTGGGGCATTGGAGGCTGCTTTAGGGCTGGGTGCTGCAAAGGAAGTTAAGTGGCACACCTGGGAACTCTCCATTCAGGTAGGAGGGTGTGGCGGAGGACAGGGGTCCTGCAGGGCACATGCACCAACCAGCCTCAACATTCAGATTTGAATTTGCTCGGTCTTGCTTCAATTTATATGGGAGTCTTGGCAACACAATCTCACCAGTGCTGCAGAACACACACAGTGCAGCAGGGTGAGGAATAGTAGAGCAGGAGACAAGCAGGAAGGGGCACTAAAAAAAGGTTTGCAGCAGGAAAATGGGTCTCAAACTTACCGAACACCTTGGCACGGTCTGGGCCGTACCTGCAACACACAAGTAACAGCATTTCTCAAGCACACTTCCAGACACACACTTTTTTAGAGCTTGCTCGTTCCAGGAGCTGAATCCAGGGAGCGTTATTAATTTATGCGGCATTCTTAAGCACACTCGGAGTCGCAGCAACTATTCAGAGAATCCCATCCCAGGAGCAAAGAAAAGAGAGCAGTGCTGACTTTTGGAGGCTCATGGCCTTACCAGGGGGATGAGGACTGGGCACCAGGTCCCCACCAGCCAGCGCGCTCCCTGCAGCAACAAATGGTGTCAAACAGATGCCCCACACCCTAGTGTAACACATTTGCAGCTCCTAGAAGATTGTTTGAAACCACCTGTGGCCCAGGGCCTAATACTTGTGTCACCCAATGTACCGGTTACTTGGGCCATCGGAGCAATCACAGTACGGTCAGATTGTTCTCCGAGTCCCCAGAGTATCTAATGCACTAGCTTCACCATAATGAGGTATTCCTAAGGTGGACAGAAAAGCGATCGACTCGCAGCGCTTGTTGCAGGGCAGCGATGTGTCGATGTGATCACCTCACTGTCTTGCGAGCAGTCTGTGCCGCCTTCTTGGTGGTGCTCTTGACGGACTTGGCCGCCTGCTTTGTGGTCTTGGCCGCCTGCTTGGTGGTCTTGGCGGCCGCCTGCTTGGTGGTGCGCATCACCGTGGTCTCCCCATTCTGCGCAGGAGCAATGGATATTTTTTCGCTCATCTTGACCGGTTAGTTGCCCAAATCGTGCTTTGCGAACTACAGCGATATCCCCCGCAATCTATAAAGGCATGCAGGGGATGTGCTTGTCCTTGGATGCTTGTGCAAAACACGCGCGAGTTCGAGTGGAGTGCGGGTCCGACCGTCCAGCTCACCTTGGCCTTGCTGATAGTGCTGGTCTGGCCCAGGAACTTCTTCTGCAAAAGAGCCTGCATCTTGCTGGGTTCTTGGTTTTATCCGAAGTTGGTATCTTGTGAAATGTCCGTCTGTTGCAGGTGAGAATGACATTCCAGGGCAGGATAAGATGTGATTCTACTAACCGCCAGGCTGGCCAGCTTCCTTCAGATCTGAAAATTTGAGAAGCTGTGGCCGCACAGACCGGTCTCCCGTCTCTTGCGGCCAGAATATTGTGTTGAACAGGATAGTGTGCAGTCAGATAAATTTGCATCTCAGAGCAATCTTGGTGGCTCTTTTCTGCCGCCACTCGCCTCGACGCATTCTCCGCTTAGTGGCCAATCGCAGTTCGAAGTCAAGGCGCTTAGAACGAAACCGATTTGTAGCAATGAGTCTAACCTTCTGATAGAATCTTAACTACTCGTCTGACATCTGCGGGCTCATAATCTCTCCAATGACTCATAGTGGCGTTTCGAGAACACAGCGGACGCAGTGTCCGATGGTCGAGACAGGGACTCTCGTATCAAACATCGTCCTCAATTGTCAAGATAGGACAGCCACTGCAATAAAAATTCACGCCAGAACAATTGCCCTGCGTGTCACTGCTCAATTGTATCTGACAAGAAAAAAAGAGAACCGATGGACTTGCAGGATGCCGCGCAGACGAACATCTCACCTTGGATCACGGCTTTGTGCTTGAGCCTGCTGGCATTGTACTTCATCAGCACGCGTACAAGCAAAAGGAAGCTCGCAGGTCTGGCAATCGCTGACACTCTCCTGCTGCTGGACACCCTCACAATGGTGAAGAAGTTCTTGCAATACTCAAGGTAGTGTGGGAACTTCCATGACCCCGTGGTTGCACATTAAAGCTTTTAATCAAACTGCTCAGATGGTACCAAGCCCATGTCAGCATTGCCCGGGCCGCCAGGCCTTCCCATCATTGGCAACCTGACCCAAATGATGGGCTACAAAAGGCCCCAGACCCACATCCAGTGGACAAAGTGGGCCAAGCAGTACGGCCCCCTTTACAGGTGGGGCCACTTCTCTTCACTCAGCCAACTTGCCCTATGTGGAACTCGCATATAGAAAGCTCATCTTGCATCCAAACACAACCAGCTTACTAATGCCCAACCTTGATCCACACAAAGTTACAAAGAATCTGCCTCTGTGCAAGTTTTCAGCCATTTTTCGTGGCATTCATTATAGCAGAACCAGACACATGCCACAGTCTATGCAGTGAGCATGCGGCTGTCAATTTGAGAGTGGGTCTGAGGTGGGACAGGGTGAAGATGCCAGGCAGCACATTTGTGGTTGTGGCGGATCCTGCCCTGCTGCCCACAGTTCTGGGCCGCCCAGGGCTGCCCAAATCGCGCGTCTACGAGCTGGGATTCTTTGTGCGCCCCTTCCCATATGAATCCTATAACAAACACCCTTCGATGTACCTCACAATGTTGCCAGAGACTGCACAAAACATGCCATGCGCAGCCTGCAGGAGTCTGATCCACTAGGAATGCATGCAACATTCTGTGAAGGCCTCGCATTTACCAGCATCAGAGGCCACTAGAATTCACACACATGCACGCCATCTAAAGCCTGCTCCAGTGCGCTTGACTGGGATTGCATGCCTGTTGCTGTGGTTGGTGAATCATGATGCGTGAATGTGGCAATGCAATGCGTTTGCCACGATCGCCACCAGCAAGAACAAAGGATGCCACCGAGGCTGCTGTCCCGACATAAGAAAGGTTTCACAAGCCTTACCAGGTATAAGGCCTCTTTGGCTTCTCACCAATATTCAAGTGCGTCAGAGGCCATCACAATGAGCAATCGCAACGAAGGCAGCACTGGTGCATCTTGCTTGCGCCGTTTAAGACTAAAGACTGCTGTGGCTGCACAGCTGGCGACGAGGACGTCCCATGACACAATGTTCAGCATCCGCCACACCAACGACCCCATGTGGAAGGCCACGCGCAAGACCCTGGCTCTGGCCTTCAACCCAGACGCCATCAGGTGCGCACCGAGCACACATGATAATAATGAGTTTGTAGCGGCAGACAACAAACACAGCAGGGGAACTGCAAGTTGAACAATTAGAGAATAAACAGGAACTTAGATCATTTGGCATCAGAGCAAGTAACTTGCTAGCATACATCATTGTGCACTGCTTGAGGCATAAACCATGGATTTCAGCCTCATGCGCTGCATATCTGTTGGAGAAGATGGAGAAGAGGCCCAGCCATGCATATAATTACACACATTGTAAATGTCCCAGAATTCTTGCAGCTCTTCTTGTATTTGTATCCCCCAGACCCCACCTATATGTCATCAAGTCCCTTGCATGTGAGTCACCGGGCGGCATGTGCGCGCAGGAGCAAGATGCCGATGGTGGTGCAGCAGTCGCTGGGCCTGGCCGAGCGGCTGCGCGCATTCGGCCCCGGCCGAGACATCGAGGTGCAGGACGCGATGGCGCGAGTGACGCTGGACGTCATTCTGACGACCGGCTTTGATCTGCCCTCCAATGCCGTCGACCTGGACTCGCCGTGCCCCCTGCTGGAAGACATGCACTTCCTCATGGCCGAGACCTTCCGGTGCGCGCCTCTAATTTGATGTGACCGTCATGAATGCTGGACTATGGCAACAGGAAGAATGCAGCGGATGCCAAGGCTCTGGAGATAGAGTACCTGGAAAGCGAGCTGGGAGCCCTGGCCGAGAAAGATCCAGCCACTATTGGCCGGTATTGGTTTTACGGTATGCTAGCGTTTATAAGGCAGACTGGATCTGGGCATTCTGGCAGAGCAAGATATGACATCATGCAATCGAGAGGCGATGAGAAGTCCTTGTTCGCATATCAGTGCGTCAGTCGCATGCAGCCAATCGGTGCATGTGCCTGGCCAAGCAAAGTTAGGGGCCACTATCCTGTCACAGTTTCTGTGAGCAGGAACAGTGCTTTGAACCCATTGGGAAGGAATTATCTTCAAGGTGTGCGTTGGGAAATGTGCAGGGGCTTTACCAACCCGTTCCGCAAGCTGTACCGCAAGCTAGCGCCCAATTCCCCTCTGGCAAAAGAGTTCAGTGTCCGCCTGGCCAACCTGCACTCCATTTGGCACCAGATCATGACCGATGTCTTGGCAAGCACTCTGCTCCCTAACATGTGTCACTGATTTTTCATCCGAGTCATGCCCCTCTCCAGCCTTTGATTTGCATGTTTGGCAGTTGAATTTGTTGTTGTTACAATCTTAGTTGTTTTCCATTTGGACTGGCTCTTCGATGCGGATCTGATACAACATGGCGCATGCATGCAGGCGAGGGGGGATGTGGCAGACGATGACGTGTCGCTGTGGGGCTGCCTGGCCAAAGTGCGCGATCACAAAACAGGTGCGGCAGCGCCTGTAGCCAGAAGACTTCTTCCGCTCCTGTCATGCTTGACTTGCATGCTGCTGTCCTGCATGATTGCAGCACGGCTGGGCATACCAGCGGCTTGCAAAGCTAGTCAGCATCTGCTCATCTTGTCACTCCTTGCGAGATTTTGCCTGCTGTGTCTTACCTTCTCTGCAAGACCGTGCCCAACAACTTGGATTTGAAGAGTTAAGGTCGGGCGCCGCTGTGCAGGCAAGGCGCTGTCGGGGGATCTACTGCAGGCTGAGGTGGCGGGCATCATCCTGGGCGGCCTCGACACCAGCGCACAAACCTGCGCATTCACCCTGTAAGCACCCGCACAACCCCCTTTACTCCTTCTGCCCCTCGCACCAGTATTCCTAAGGAGTTCTAAATCGAATTAGATTTAGAGTCCCTTGGTATTTCCAGGGGGCTTCATAACTTGCTGTCTCAGTAAGCTCCTGTACTCTCAAGAGCCAATGTTACATGTCTCCCGCGGGAGGGGCCGCCTGGATGTCAGCAGTGCATTGTTATTGTGCTGGGTGATTTCGGTGCTCTTCACTGGGAAGCCAAGAATGCACATCAATCTGCCACTAATATGAATTTAGGAGGGTCCATGTTGAGATACGAGTTGTCACAGGGCGCTGCTGGCGGCTCATCCGGAGCAGGAAAAGGCGCTGGCGGCTGAGCTAGATGCGGCCGGGCTGCTGCTAACGCCCGCCAACCCCTCTCCGCGCCCCATGGCCTTCTCAGACCTGCCACGTCTCACCTACCTCGACGGGGTGCGCTCTCCTTGCTGCTTTACCTGCCTAACATCAGTGTTTGCCAGACACTCTTGAAAAGTGGGGGGCGAGTTCATAGATTGGTCCAACGGATTTGCAGGCGAGCCCCAGTACTTCAGAGTCATCTAGTCTTTTCAGTAATTTGGCTCCCAGCGAAGTTCTGGAATATATTGGTACATCTCCAGACGCATCAGAAAAGACCAATCCTTTGCCTGGTGCAGAGATTCACTGAGAAGAGCACATGCCTGCTATGCATGCATGGCATATTTGTTGCTGGACATTGTTCCAGAGCTCCCATTGTCTGCCAGTGAGGCACTGAGGGATCCCTTTTTGAATGCAAATATTGGCACCAAGAAAGAGGCCAGGTTGTCATAAAGCAGTAATGGGTTGCAGAAATATATCACAACGCATGGATCGTTCATACCAGACTGAAACTGCCCGTTCTCGTCCGCTCCCGGAAACAAAGCTGTCTTGACCGTCACCAGTAGTGGGTTCCACAGGGTGACCACCTGCGAACCCGACGTGACGATCTGTTTCATTTTTGCACCTTCCACATTGTTTGCTGGATCCATTCTGGGAAAAAAAAGAAAATGGAATTGATTCTTTCATGGTTCCCCAGATCTCTGGTTCAAGCCCACCGGGCGTAAATCTGGTCTCTCTCCCTGATCCGAAAGCTTGTCCCCCCGTCTCCCTATGTACATGTTGCATGTTGCAGCAACCGCTCCCCATTGCATTGAAGAATCGAGCTTTAGTTTACAGCACCCATGTGTTTGCAGGTCATCAAGGAGAGCCTGCGCATGTTCCCGGTGGCCGCCACGGGCCTCAGCAGATGCACAGATGAGGTCACAGTCCTCGGCGGCTATCTCATCCCTGCCGGGACTGAAGTTCAAGTAACGCCCCTCACCCTATTCACTGCCCTTCATCTGATGTTTTCTATGCCAGTGTCCCATGCATGTGCTTATGCTTCAATATTAAACAACACAATCGTTTCGCCTTGGCGCGTAAGAGTAGACAGGTTCAGAGTGCGGGATAGAGCTAGATGCAAAAACTGCTGAGCTGTCACCTCAGGACCTTAGATACACCTGACAGCTACAAGGTGACATGACCGCCAGGGATGCAAATCACAAAATTGTTCCATTGGGAGTGCAGTCCAAAGGACTGGGCAAAGATTATTTTCTTCTCTTCATGGCAGGTGCCCATCTACACGCTGCACATGATGACATTCCCTGAGCCGGAGCGCTTCATGCCCGAGCGCTGGGCCACCATCAAAGCGGCAAGTGAGCCCGCAGCCACCAAGGTGCACGTGCAGGTCAGGCACAATATCTCATCTCCCATGAGGTCTGCCAAGCACACCAGCTTGAATGACACTACTTTCAAGCACACAATTTGAGCAGTTTCTGTCAGCCTGTGACCGACAGCCATAACTTGAGGCCTATTGTCACCTTGAGTGTGTCAGCAACAGGATGCAAGGCTTGTTGTGTCCTCATTCCCTGGTGCAAGCTCTCTGCACGTCTAGCTTGCATCACTCACAATTTCTCCAGGCAGGTACAGTAATTCCATTTCAAATCTCAAAGACTCAAAGACTCCCCGCTCCGGAAAGAGGGATATGTATAGACCATATCATTGACAATCTGTCAGGGCGGGTACAGAAATGTATATTATGATGTTGTTTTTACGGTGCAGGCCGGTGACATCACGGCGCGGGACACGGCGGCCCCCAAGTGGACGGCGGCCAGTGCAGCGCGCGAAGCGACCGGCGGCGAGAAGCCGGCGCCGACTTTCATCCCATTCTCTGGCGGCCCGCGCGACTGCCTCGGCCAGCGACTGGCAATGATGGAGGTGCGCTTAGCTAATGCAAAAACACCCTAAGAACTTTTCCGGCAAAGTTGAGCATGTTCCATGTCATTGTGCTACATGTGTTGGTGGTGTGATGCTATCAGGCTGTACAGCAAGACGGCTGCCTCACAGCAAGCGGAGCTCAGTATGCTGGTATACATGACTGTTAGATGAGCCCACTCTCCAGCTAGTGATGGGCATTGGCTTGATGGCAATATCATGTTTAGGCACAGTCTTGATCTCTCACAGCCGCTGCATGATTGCATGCAAGGCAAGGAGCAGCATGCAAGATATGTAGCACCTGGTAAGGGTCTTTGCATGCGCTTGCAGGTGGCAACGATCCTTGGGACCCTGATAGGCCGCTTTACAGTGGAGCTGTCACCGCGCATGGACGGCTACAAGGGCCTGCTGGAGAGGCAGACCATCGCCTTCACCCTGGCTGTGGATGACGGCTTGTGGATCAACTTCAAGCCACGACTCGGCTGGATCTGAGATGACTTTCTAACCAGTGCATGCAGAAACCATAAGAGATTAGCCAGTAAGTGCTAGAAGGCTGTGATTCAGCCTGAGAACAGATCTGATTGGTTGGAATAAATTTATGAAATACTACCTGCAGTATAACTAGCAAGCAAATGTAAGTTCTCCTCTCCCGGACAAAGTGTAGTGTTCTCTAGCGATCTTACTCTGAGCCAAATTTCCAGCATGCATGTGCTGAAGTGCCATAGCGGTGTCAAGGTGCCAGGTGTCAGCAAGCCTCCAGGAGCACAACATCCACATTGTCGTGCACCCCTTGCAGCAGCAGCTCCCCATCAAATGTGACCAGCTTCTTGCGCTTGGCAGCCCTCATTGTGCCGGCCAGTGCCTCAAACAGGTCAGAGGTCTCCCTGAAGAGGATGCCATACTTCACTTTGATCCTGCCATGATCGGCTTGGTCTGGCGCTCCCAGCTCTTTGATCTTCTCCACCAGCGTCTTCACCTCGCCATCGATGTCCAGCATCTTGCCCTTTAGAACACAAAGATCATCTTTACATCATTGGTCCCAAAGCACTTCCTTCGCAATGCCTGGCACGAATACATGTTTTATCAATTCAATCAGCAATATCCTGCACTACTTGACTTAATCACAGCACTGTACAGCCCCAAACTTGAAATGTATACTTTATGATCATTGCCAAACATTTGAGCCCACAACCAATGTACATCAAGTGATGCACTTTACCTGCTGGTCTATTCAATTGTCGTGACCCTGTATCACTTTGAACTGGCAAGCTGATTTGCGCGACACCAGACTCCGCTAAAGCTTGTCCATGCCTGATCGCAATTTCCACTTTTTTTTATCAATTGCGGAGGAGGCTTGAAAAGGATGTTCAGCTGACTCTCAAGATTAGCCTAGATATTTTTGCGAGTTCTGGCTTCACAGCTGCCTTTTTTATTCCGCCAGACAAGTCTCACAGTCAAGGTGCACCAGCATGCCTATCTTGGCACATCATGTTGTGTGGGTTTGCAGGGGTCTGGGTCCAATAAAAGAGACCTCTTCAGCTGGGAATTGGGATACAATTCAACTGGTTTCTGAGCATAGAGTGGCGACTGGTGGCCATATGGAAAACAATATCAGCTAAAGACCCACTGCCTTACTTAAAGAATGCCGGTACTCAACCACTGCGCAGTGCAGTGAGCATCAGTCTGAAGATCACCGCATATCGTGTACTAAACGTACCATGTATCAAACTTGAGCTATCCGCACCTCCTTCAGTACTCTGGGAAGACCACTTTCGCATGTTTTGACCATGCTTCAAGCCCTCCCACTAGGTCCACTGCTGTTCTCACTCCACCCTGCCTAAGCATCTGCACCACATGCTGGGAATCATTTCCCCGTCGACACACAACACACAGGGGAGCTCCCTGGCTGCCCCCTCTCGAGTCTTCTGCCTGCTGCTGCCGTGAAACATCCCCATTCTCCCTCCCACTGCCGCAGCCTTCCTTCGCCTTCTGGACAATGGCGTCAATGTGCTCATGAAAAGCCTCCTTCCTGGTCTCATCAAAGGGATAATTGCATGAGCCTGCGAAAATAAGCCATTGACTCAAGAACAAAGCCTGCCTCAAGACTGCACTCTGCTCTCTGCACATCTCAAATTTCATCTATTCTTGTGGCTGTGCCACCTACCTGGCATGTGGGCAATTTCAAACTGATCCCTGGGCCGCACATCTATGAGGAGCATATCCGGCTGCACTTCCAGCAGCTCATGCAGCTGCACCAAAACCCAACCCAGGTCAGCATGACACTTTCATCCCTCTCAAGCTATCACATAAATTGTATCACAGAAGGCTACTTGGCCTTCGGTCAGCTTGACACTTTCATCTCTCTCAAGCTATCACATATTTTGTATCACACAAGGCTACTCCACTTGGCCTCCATACTACTAGGTATCAATGCCACAGCTGCCTGTCAAAAGGGGACTTGTTGGCCATACTATTCTCGAGGGAACACGGGTGATCCTACCTCTGCTGCAGATACTCTCTCCTCATCGCGCAGCAATTGCAGGGGCTCCGGTGCCGCATCATTGGAGGGCGCTCCAGTGAAAGCGCTGTAGTCATAGTGCTGCAATGACTGTGCAGTGATGTCAGGATTCTCCCCGCAGGAGATACATCCAGGCATCTGCATGTCACACGTGCAGTTGCTGAGCAGCAGCAGGTGAATAAGCACGATGATCCAGCTGAGCTCTAGTACTATCTGAAGTGGATTATCAACCTTAGCGCGCAGCTTGATGGAAGTGAAACGGCTGGACATGGAGTCAACGAGCAGCATGGTTCTGCTCAGCGGCTTGCCCACTCCAGATGCCAGTTTGATAGCCTCCAGTGCCTGCCAAGAAGCGCACTACTGTCATTTTAAAAGGCACACATGTGTACCAGCACACAACTTGGCCTACAACAGCCACAATGACATCCAGATTCTAACCACTATCACACGCATCATGTCATTGGCACCCCTGCCAATAGCCTGTACATAAGATCTGAAAAGGATCTGCACTGCTTTGCATTTAGCCCATGGCCTGCCTAGAAGAAATGGCGACACTTCATAATAACACAGATGTCAGTGGAAGGTCCCACTGAGTCATTATGCAGGCAAGATCGTGGCAGACCTGCAGGGTGCCAATGATGCCTGGCACGACCCCAAGCACGCCAGCATCGGAGCAGCGTGAGCAACTCTCTGGCCGCGGCGCCTCAGGGAACATGCAGCGGTAGCATGGCCCTGCCGCCATAAAGAAAGCACATGAGCCTGAACTCAGCAGATTCTTTCCTTTGGAAAATAAGCCAACATCATTGACTGATGGACCACCGGCCTCACCTGCCTGCTTTCCCAGGACAAGCACAACAATCTCACCAGGCAGCAAACTCATGCCCAGCCTATTAGTGAGAAAATACAACAAGCACAATCTGTGCTACAATCACTTTCACAAGATAATGGAACTTGTTGCGGCAGGACAATTGCAATCTGGCAGCGCGCTCTTACCGTCTGAGCCATGGTTGTAGATAGTGAGCTGCCCGTCCATGCCGAGCGCAGCGCCGGACACGAGCGGCCGCCGCGCGATGACGCACGCGTCGCTGATCAGGTAGCGACTGGCCGCATTGTCAGTCGCATCCACAACCACATCGTACGCCGAGGCCAGCTCTACCGCATTTGCCGCGGTGAATCCCTCTCGGTGCACATCCACCTGGCAGACAACTGTGCGCTGAGAGAGATCGCTACACAATTACTGGACAGGGGTGCAGGTAGGGATGCCCTGCCCTGCATAAGACTGCTCTGCCTTGCAAACCCAACAAGATTGGACAAAAGACAAAGAGCAGGCCTTGGGTTCTTGTCCTCTGTAAGCACATCTTGCTGTGGTGGACTGAAATGGCACACAAGGGGTGCTCGGCAAGGGTGGTGCACAGCGGCACCATGGTTTCTCAAATATCAGAACCACGGCAGCCTGTGGCACTGCTTGCCCCTTTCAGATGGCCACCCCAGGGCACAGCCTGCCCAGGGCACAGTCTGCAAGGACAGCAAGATGGGCTGGCTGGGTCCCGCTCTGTGGAACGCTTCACGGCGCAGACGGATAAAGCCAGAAGCAACTTGAGCACAGAAAGGTAGGATTCAGGCTTGTTGTCAAGAGTCGGAATAAAAGCTGCAAACCCAAATTAGCCGCACACCTGGATGGAGGAGTTGAGGCCGCTGCAGGCCTGCGCAGCTGAGTCGGCTTTGTGCATGCCAACAGAGGCCTCCCGGTGCGCGATCTGGCGGTGCAGATTGCTGAGCTCCACCGCGTCCTGATCCACGATCCCCAGGCGGCCCACGCCTGCGGCCGCCAGATACAGCGCGGCCGGGCAGCCAAGGCCGCCAGAGCCGATGACCAGCACTGCAGCCTTGCACAACCGCGCTTGCGCTGCGTGCACACATATTTTGATCGTGATTACTGTCATGGACCTTCTGCCGTCTGCGCATGTGCGCGCAGCTAGACAGTGTAGTGAGGACTACGGCAATCTGCGCTTCCATCATTGCATCGTTTTGATTTCAAAGGTAGAAGAGGAAGCAGGGAGATGCTGTCTCACCAGCAGGGCCAAAGGACGGGAGGATGATCTGACGGCTGTAGCGTGATATCTGCTCCTTATTCAAGTCATGGGAGCCGGCTTCCCAGGTGTGCAATTTCTGCGGACAAGTGTCGTAGGCAGCAGCACGATCTGCCGATCTGAGAAAATGGTGTGGTGTTTCGGCAGTATCTGCGCTCTGGAACTCTGATAATACAGATTTGTTATCATCTATGCCTAAGAGTTTTCGCAAATGATCGTTCTCTGCATTCAACCTATCTATCTCAGACTGCATCCCAGACATTCGGTAGAGACAACTTGTCAAAAAGCCGTCCTACGGAAGTGATGGCGAAAACAATATGATTGACGTCACATTCACTGAGTCTCGATTGTGTCTGATGTTGCAGAAACAATTGCAAACTTTGAAAGCAAGTTGGGAGGAGTACGTGCGCGTTCTCCAGCGGCCGTCCCTCCACCTTCCTTCGCCTTCCTCTGATATAGCCAGATTTGGCAGTTTCTTATCTTATCCCTGCATAGGGTTTATCAAATGCAGGGTTTAGGCAACCATGAACTCTATATTGCAGGTGCCTGCATTGGGAGTGTTTTCAACTGCAACCATGAAGGCCTCTTTGCCCCAGGCAGCAGCCATGCCGGCATACCTTGGCAGGCCATGCATTTGCATGCCTTCGGCTGTCCCCCACGCACTGTCCTCTTTGAAGAGGGCTTCTTTGTTGAGCTCAACAGCGACATCACGTTTCTCTTTGTCTCACGGGCGCAGCAGGGCATCGTCCCTCCGGATCGTTAACGCGGCTGCTCTTAAGTTTGATACAAAGATCTTCACACCCGAGAAGGTGGACTTCGCGGGCAGGGAGGAGTACATCTATCGCGGCGGCCGAGACAAGTACAAGCTTCTGCCAGAAGCTTTCAAGGGCATTAAAAAGATCTCTTTCATCGGCTGGGGTTCACAGGTGATTTTGAAACTTCACACCAGGCCAGTATTCTGTATCATTCTTCTTTGAGAGAAGACAATGCAGCAACGAAGATGTCTCCACTCATATTGTCGTCACTGTCATACGATCTGGCATATACACAGAAGTAGCTCATGCGGAATTTCAAGATAATTGCCTTCCGTTGTCAGCCTTGCGCCCTGAAGTTTATTGGGTAAAGGGTGACTCATAGTAGCCCTGCATTGGCACAACAGGCACCAGCCCAGGCTCAGAATTTGAAGGAGTCCTTGGAGGAGGTGAACTCGGACATCAAGGTGGCCATTGGCTTGAGGAAGGGGTCCGTGTCTGAGGCAGAGGCCCGTGAATGTGGGTTCACAGAGGAGGCAGGCACCCTGGGCGAGGTCTTTGACATGGTGTCCACCAGCGAGCTGGTGATCCTGCTCATCTCTGACGCAGCACAGGTACGTCTATCTCATTATAGACCGCTCTTTTAGGATGATCCCCTTCTTTACACCGTGCTATCACCACACTTCCAAGTTGCTCTCTGCACTCTGTTTTGGGGTTGCATGTCTGCAACTATGTTCATGAGTGGCACACAGGAAGACACCTGATCAAAGAACTGTGATATCGTAAGAGTATTTGATCGTGCTGTGTGCGTGATGCAGGCAAAGCTCTACCCCAGGGTGCTGGCAGCCATGAAGCCGGGTGCCACGCTGGGGCTGTCTCACGGCTTCCTGCTGGGAGTCATGCAAAACGATGGCGTGGACTTCAGGGATGACATCAACGTCATCCTCAATGCACCAAAGGTAAGGGTGGATCTATCTCGCTGCTTAAAGCTTGCGGATGGCACGAGGGCAGAGGAGTCTGTCCTGCGGGGACTATCACAGCCAGGAAATTTTGCTACACATCCTTCAAGGATCATATCATGCCTTGTGAACAATGCTTGAAATGACTGATGGGTGCTGAAGGCAAGACCGTGACTGATGGCAGGGCATGGGTCCGTCCGTGAGGCGGTTGTATCAACAAGGAAAGTCCGTGAACGGCGCTGGCATCAATGCATCCATTGCAGTCCACCAGGTGAGATCAAAGTCCGTTTCCATCAAGCATGATGTCATGCTTGATGGACAATGCATAATCGCCCTTAATGAGCACATGTGTACTTGCCTGCAAGCAGAGAGGCCACTCGTGTGCCTCACTTTCCTTACTGGGTTCTGTTTGTCTGCAGGACGCCACCGGAAACGCTGCAGACATAGCCGCTGCCTGGGCGATCGGCTGTGGAGCACCATTCGCTTTCGGTGCATGCCTGCTCCTCATCACCTCAAATGTCTGGCCATACCTGTTTTCTCCTGGCTGTTTGCTGACTGTTTGGCACTGTTTCGTGCCTCTTCTTCGCCATTCTGACGACCACTGGCTCCTGCAGGGACCACGCTGGAGAGCGAATACAGGAGTGACATCTACGGAGAGCGCTGTGTATTGCTGGGGGCTGTCCATGGCATCGTGGAGAGCCTCTTCAGGAGATATGTGCGCCAGGGACAGAGGTACAGCCCTTCCACATGCATAACTTTCTCCAATCATTGGCAGATCATGTCAACTGGAGATTGAGCCCTTCTAATTGATATTTGGCCTAGGATTCTTGCAATTTGTCCTGCGATTGGCTGGAGAGCAGCAAGTGTCAAAGGGAACCCTTGACAGAGCCTCAAGGAGCGGCAGTGGAGATCTGTTGAGCATGGGCTCGTGAAAGCTTTGCATTGCACCTCCATTAGTTTGTATTTCTGACGTTGTGCTGCTTGGCTGGCAGTGAGGAGGACGCATTCAAGAACTCAGTGGAGTCCATCACTGGTCCCATCACGCGCATCATCTCGCGCTCAGGCATGCCCGCCGTTTACGAGGCCCTGGACGCCGCCGGCAAGAAGGAGTTTGAGAAGGTGCACTCTTGCACCCCCTCAGCATTTTCCCACGTTTCTGTCATGACGTGCTTGTACCTTATCCCAGGGCTGCCCCCCATTCCTTGGTCAGCAATGACTGGGCACACCATTTTTTTGTATCCGCACCAGTTGCCCTACCATCATGTGCAACCAGCAGTTTTCCCTGGAGTGCACTTCGGGACATGTGCTCAGATAGTGGATTTGCATGCTAGTCCCTGTCCACTGGCTCATATAATGAATGTAAGCAAGAAAACGGTTTTCCCTGCTCCGTTATATGATGCCAGTTGCTTTGCTAATGTTGTGTCATAAGACACTTGGCGGCGGCTGCGCAGGCATACAGCGCTTCGTACGGCCCGGCGCGGGACATCTGCGAGGAGATCTACGATGACGTGGCGAGCGGCAATGAGATCAAGAGCGTGGTGCAGGCTGGGGAGCGCTTTGACCGCTTCCCCATGGGCAAGATCGACCAGACCTACATGTGGAAGGTGCGCCGCTAGTTCGCTTGTTCTGCATGCCCATAGAGAACCACTCTCTCCACCGTAATCATGCTGTGCGTTGCATCCTGGACCCATGCATATGTGCCAGGCCTTAGTGTGACTCTTTAGAGCACACTGGCAATGCTTGCATGCATGTTGTGTCGTAGAACAGTGCTCCGTGCTTTCAGGCCTCCACCTGCATCTGTAGAGCAGATATACAACGGCCACATGCATGCAGACATTCTGCTAGCTGCTCAATGTAAATATTCAGAGTGGCGGTCCTCTGCCTTTCTTGGTAGGAGTCAGGCATAACCCTTTGATTAGCTCACCAGCTGAAATCACCATTGTATCGTTGTGATATAGTTGATACACTTGAACTCTATCGTTGAGCTGTGTTGGAAGAGATGATTCAATCAAAGTTGATGTAGATGAAAATGTGAAATTACGATAACATGATTTATCTATCTGGCGCAGGAGGTTGGAGGCAAGGTGAGGGCAGCGCGTGTGGAGGAGGAGATTCCGCTGCACCCCTTCACTGCTGGCGTGTACGTGGCCACCATGATGGCCACCGTCGATGTGCTCAAGAGCCACGGCCACCCCTACTCCGAGATCTGCAACGAATCCATCATCGAGGTGCGCTGCCTGATGTCACCAATTGACCTCTTGTCAAGAGAGCGTTCATTGCATCGGCAGCGCTGCCAGTACTCTCTTCCAGGGGACCCGGGGGCACAGTCTTTGCCCAACCTTTCATGCCAAGCATTGGTGCGCCAAGGCTGCCAGCAAGCATCGCTACCAAGAGGATCATGCAGACAGTGCTGCAATGAAAGGCTGTAAAGCTCGTAATCCGAATGTAAAACTTTGTTGATCATTGCTGACAGGCTGCTAGGAGTTTGCTGTTGGTGGCTGCAATGCCTCAAGCTTGCATTGGTCGTCCATCACGCTATAGAGAAATAGGCTGACGCAGAAGGGAAGGAGGGCAGGGTGCCAGAGTGGAGCTCCTGCAGATGCGCCGCATTCTTGGAGATGTTTCACCACTGTCCTGTATTGAGAGTCTACAGGCAGTGAGGCTCCTGTGATTCTGTCTTGCAGGCTGTGGACTCGCTGAACCCGTACATGCACGCGCGCGGCGTTGCATTCATGGTGGACAACTGCTCGTACACCGCGCGCCTGGGCAGCCGCAAGTGGGCGCCGCGATTCGACTACATCCTGGAGCAGCAGGCCTACGTGGCCATCGACAACCAGCAGCCCCTCGACCCCGAACTCTTCTCCGAGTTCCTGCGCCATGACGTCCACAAGGTGCAGCTCCTTCCCGCCCTCCCGCACACATGTGTTGTTTTGTGCTGGAGATGGTAAAGCATTGGCACCAGAAAGGAGCCAGCGCATCACTTACCTGGTGGTTGGCTGGATGCCTCCTTACAGCATGCCTGATACAGCATGCCCTGGGACATTCCAAATAGCAGCACCAAAGTGTGCTGTGTTATCGAAGGATTGTGTTCTGATGAGTGTGTACAGTGCTGGTGTAAGACAGACGTGAGGAAGGGGCTCGCCAGTCCTGCATCCTGGCAGAAGCCATGCGCTGGGATTCACCATGAAACAGCTCGTGTGATGTCGAATACTACCTTGAGTCACTATTTGCGCTAGCCTGACTGTGGCATGCTGTGACGGTGCAGGCTCTGGCTGCATGCGCTGCCATGAGGCCGCCCGTGGACATCTCTGTGGGTGGTGACAACTCGAGCGAGGGCGTGGGTGTTGGCGGTGCTCGCACAGAGTTCAGGAGCGCTGTTGCCGCTTGAAGCAACGCTGCATTGCTGCTTGAAAACGCGCACCGGCCAGTAGCAATATGCATGTGACGCGAGCTGTCATCAAGGCGGCGTCTGTGCTCCCAGCAGCTCTGCCAGTTGGTGTGCCAGCACCGGTTGCTGGGCTCTGATCTGCGCTGGCTGGTTGCGGCAATTTCACTTATGATTATCTGCAGAGCTCATGTAGCCGGCGCTCTTAAGGTCTTTGCACAAAGACTTGCGACGAAGTGCTGCGTCTCTAGGATGCATGATGTTGATTGCAGCATTGCCTGTAACGCAGGTTTTGAACAATCATATTGACTCGCATGCAAGTCTTCCCTGCGACATTGTCCGGTCAGCTCCACGTTCGTTGTTTTCGGCCTGTTTTAGGAAGAGATTTGGTCACCGTTAGGAACAAGAGAAATGACAAAGTAATAGGCAATGTTCCATGGCGTGTGAAGAAGTGTGATGCAAGGTCATATCAACAGCTCTTGCAGTGCACTCGAGTGCTTGCTAAGTGCCAAGCTGACAGTGTAAATCGGAAAGCCAAAACAGCTGCAGCTACCTGACTTCAATATGATCCTTCACTGATACCTCCATGTCAATGTTCAATTTTTTCCATAATGTTCATCATCAAAAGCATCTGCAACTCAGTTCTGCGCTTCTGTGCCACTGCATCTGCTGGGCAGCTACATCAGGATCTGAAGTACGATCTGGCCAATGACCTGACTTTCTGGTTGAAAGCAGGGGACTTGATGTGTGACCTCGGGCTAAAGAAGGGGTTCATGATCACCCTTAAGTAAACCTCATACACATCCCTGAAGAACAGTTTGATCGTGTCGTCGTTCTTGCCATCATGCAGCAAGAGGAACTTGATCTGTGCCGCAGTGACAAACGCCGAGACCTGCAGATCACATAGAGCTCAAGTTCATAACATGAGCTGCAGCATAGCATTCGGCACAGCATGGCACAGCGGAGGGCAGCCGCCAACCTGTAGATTGTTAAACTTGTCAACAACTCCCAGATTCATATTTTGGCCCTGCCATTGCTGCTCGTCCACAGCATCTAGTGCAGCATGGAGCACGAACTGGTGCAGGTACTGCGCCCTATCATCCCTCGACCCTGTGTCGCCTGCACCATCCGACCGGACTCTACAACTCCGTGCAAAGCGCACCAAAAGCTTGTCAAGAGAACTGTGACACCAAGGATACTCCGAATTCTATCTCAGGCAAATGGCAAGTACGCACCTCTCACTGCTAGATCTGCCTCAAAGATGGGATGATCATCAAGTCCTACTATGACGAAAGTCAGGACCGTAGTTGACATTCTAGAAGTGATGCCCGAAAGTATATTTCATGCGAATATCTGTTATCACACACGAACTGACCCACGATTCTATTGATACTAAGATAACAAAATTCTGTGGATCTAAGCAAATCAAATCATGCTTGATGCCATTCTGTATGCTTCTGATGCAGGCATCAGTGTGCAAATCTATAGAATTGGAATTTTCCTTTACAGATCGCCTGGCGAAATGAGAGCTGCAATCAATCGGAGCTTTGAAAAGTCTTCATACACAAACATCAAACCTCCTTCTGAGAGTAACAAGACAGGCGTTCTGTGGGTGCAGGTGCTGGCGTCAGGAAGGTTACTCACCGTCCCGTGGGAGTTCGTGTACTGATTTGGAACCCTGGCCCTCCCGATTTCCTTGAAAACGATTGCTGCCCGGTCATCTCGTGAGGCATCCTTCGTATTGGTTTGAAGGTAGTAATCCCTCCATCGGGGCAGTTGGTTCCGTCAAGAGGGTCTGGCAGCTAATGTACCTTGTTGTATGATTATCACGTCGTGCTCTTTCCAGGCGAAACGCTAAGCCCAATTGAGTGTGCTAGCAAGCTAGAAACGAAAAGCTTTTCCACTTGTGAGGAGCGGGAAGGATAGCGGGTGAATGGCGGCAGGGCCAGGAGCAGTTGTGCCTGCAGTCTTGGGCACACCGCCTGCAGCTGCTGCGAATGGCACGCAAAGGGATGAGAAGAAGTCCGCATCGAAGACGGTCACAGACACAATAATAGGTGAGGCTCTCCAGTGCTTCAGCTTGTCCCAACAGGGCCGGGTTCCTGATCCTTGGTTCAGGATTAGTTTTCTGGCTGAGGGCTGAAAAACACATTAAATACCACACTTTAATCATTATACAAAGGTTGAAATCGTTTGCATCGGCATACGCTGCTCATGCAGCAATTGTTCTCCACTCTTGCAAATAGTATGCCTGTTGCAGTTGCTCGTTTGCAGAGGTGATGTTGGCTTTTCTTTCAAACAACTGAGACCTCGCAAATATTAGGGAATGTCTTGTTTGCTGTGCATGCCTGCTAGCCGGATTAATGCCTTATCTTCTTTGTGGTTCCTTACTACTTGTCCTTGCAACAGGCGAGCATGAGCACACCATCATAGGCTACAGCCTGGTCAAAGGCATAGGCGATGGAGAACCGATAGCCAGTGAGCGCTTCACAGTCGGTGGCCATGAGTGGGTGAGTGCCAGGCACAACTATCTAAAGAATCCTCTACGGCTGGGGACTTGACCACTGAAAGTGCACTGTCATCCCCGTGCTCTCATCGTGAGGATTATCCTCTACATCTTGCTCTGAGCTCTTGACATGATGAAATATTGGCAAGTGGCATTCAGACAGCATGCATGCCATTGCAGGTGCTTCTCTTCTATCCGGATGGCAAGCGCAGCTCCTCCACAGAGGGTGGCATGGGCGTGGGAATGGCCGCCGTTCTGCCTGCACTTCCGGCGGGCGGCGGCGGCAATGGATTTGAAGGTGAGACTCTTGCCCTAGACAACAAAGTCCCTCTGCCACCAAATGGCATCTCCACATGATCAATGTTGCCGTTGTGCGTAGGATCCCATGGGTTGTAGCTGCAAGCTTCATGATTCATCAGGTTGCCTCTTGGCAAGAAGTGCGCATGCAAAAACGCAAATATTAGTGATATTAGCAAGAAATATCAGCGGTGGTACTTAGGATATGATAACGGTTTGTCAGGTCCTCCGCCAGCGCTGCTGCCGCCGCCGGCCGCAGTTCCAGGAGCGGGGGCCGCGGCAGCGGGGCCGCCGCCGCCAGCGTTCCCAGCGCCACAGAACCCCAACGCCGCCCCCGCCAACAATGCTGCCGGTCCGGGGGCCCCTGCAGACAGACGTGAAGCTCTCTTGCCAGTGGATAAACCTTGCAGTTGCCGTTCATCCCCTGATAGGCGGCAACGCGCGACCGGCAGAGCGTTGGCCTTTCGCCCCAGCCTGCCCGCCTCGCGTGCGTGGTCCTGATGGGTAGCAACAGGGCGCTGCATGCATGCATGCATGCATGCCAGGGTCCTCAAGGGACCGTGTCTGCATGCAAGTTGTCTAGAAGAGTGTTGGCTGACTTTTCTGGTGGATGGGGTGTGCGCAGCGGCAGTGGCGAGAGCAAATGCGGCGCTAGCAGCACAGCATGCAGCGCAGCAGGCAGCTGGCCAGCAGCAGGGAGCTATAGCAGCCTTCCCACAGCCCAACAATCAAGCAGTAGCCCCTCCTCAGCAACAGCAACAGCAGCAGCAACAACAGCAGCAACACCAGCAGCAGGTGGTGGGGCAGCACGGCCGCAGAGAGCTGACAAATGACTACGCCGCCCTGTTTGTGGCCCTCATAGGTGAGCACAGCTCTGCTCTCTGTTTCCTTAACATTCCACATCTCAGTGCCCTTCATGATAGAGTGTGTGGTCTGCTGCTTCTTTACCAGGCATCCAATGTCAGATGCCTTTGGAGCGGCAGGTGCTGTTCAGGTAATCGGCACTAGGTACTTAGGACTTTGATAAGCAAATTGTGAAACATGCATGCATGAATTTGGGCATGCATGCGTTGGTCCTTTTTCATTGACGACCCCTGGTGGCATGCAGGCGAGAGTGACTCACCGCAGGGGGTTGTGAACACGAGCGACGGGCGCGTGGTGCGCGCATTCCACCGCTTCACGCTGGTGGACCAGTCCGGCGGCGGCCGCGACCTCATGAAGGGCCGCTCCCGCGCGCAGGGCGCCGTCAAGATCTCCTGCGCACGCCAGGTGCGCATTTTGCACTTCAGTGGTCTTTCCCGGAAGCTCAGGCATGAGCTTGATCTCGCTGTAGTGCATAAGTGCATGGCATGTTGTCCATGCTCTGTTGCAAGATGGTGCTCATATCTGTCCTATACCAGGGTTTTACTTAGGGGGGTTTGCTCTCCTGCTCTGGTGTTGCACACCATTCATGTACTGTAATCTTTGCCACGGAACACATGCATGTGTCATTGCGACAACGCATGCATGCGCACATGGTGTGGCGTGTTCATGTGCGCTGGCGGTCATGGCACATGTGTGCGCTGCAATGTGGTTCTGTACAGACATTCTCTGCATACTCTTCCTTTGTGCTGTCTTGATACATTGCCTCCTGCTGCTTGAGGACATCTTGAGTATCCTGCACTTTGGAACCCTGACAGAGAAGGAATGCAAGTCTCCGGGTGTGATGGTGGCGTCCATGCACAAATCATCTTGGAGTTTGTTGTTGAATCTAAGTCTCATAAAGTGTGTGACAATCTGGCTCTTTGCTAGCTGGCCCTCTTTTGCTGAATTCAAAAACAGTGAGCTCATGTGTGGAAGGTGTTGTGGGTGACAATTACTCATTCGATGAACACAGGACCCCAACGCGCGCAACTGCCACGGCTACCGCAAGTTTGTGAAGCGGTCGGTGCTGGAGAACCTGAACAACGGGTACCTGGTAAACGACACCATAGTCATCCGCTACACCATAGAGCTGGTTGTCTCCACTGGCGGCGCCCTCACCCGCCAGCCGGGTCCCAATGTCCCCAAGCTACCCCTCATCCAGGTGGCGCCTCTATCTGCGCTGCTGCGCTAAGCGCTTGGTCTATCCCAGAATGGTTCCCTTGTGGTTTTTGGTGATACAGGTAATGCTGCATGTTGCTGGTTGCCTGTCATATTACAAGTCTGAGCAGTGGAGGTGATCGCTTTGCAGGTGCCTCCTTCAACTCTTGGCAGCGAGCTGGGCGCCCTGCTGGACAGCTGCGAGGGTGCAGACGTGAAATTCAAGGTGAGGACCATTTCTATTTTGCTCATTTCGTGGGCCACCATGCCTTTTTCTCTGGGCCAGTCATGTATCCACCCCATGCCGGGACCCTTGCATCTCTTGCAATGACAGAGGGCACGATCGTTGCATGATCCCACCACGATTTCTTAACGACGTGAATTGTATCTGTCGCGGAACCTCTCATTTTGGAGTTGTCAGGGATGGAAATTACAGACACGAGCTCGCTGCTTGTTTTTGCGCCTGCTGATGACATAACGGATGACATAACCTGCCAGGTGGACGACGAGGAGCTGACGGCGCACCGCATAATCCTGATGGCGCGCTCGCCGGTGTTCCACGCGCTGCTGAACAGCGAGATGCGCGAGGGAGTGGAGGGCGTTGTCACCATCGAGGACGTGCGCGGCCCAGTCTTCCGCGCCCTCCTGCACTTCGTCTACACCGACACCCTCCCCGAGGTGCACATGCCCTGCTGGAAGCTGCTGCTCGTTGCTGTCTGTCAGGAAAACTGTCAGACTTCGCTCCAGTACTAGGATTCTTGGCTTGGGCCATAGCGAGGTGTCCCTAACAATTCGCCAGCCTTCATTCTAGTACAACCGAGTGAAAATCTACCGAGAGCAGGTGCACCAAAGGGGGGTTTAGTAGATCAATAACCGTCAGGGGTAGAGAAACTGTCAGGGAGACATGCAAGCAACATTGCCAGTCCACTCGACAGGGAAGTTAGCTCCTCATTCATGCTGCTGCATGTGCTATTCTTGGTGCTGCCACCGCTACCTTTGCTGCTGCCCCTGGTATTCCAATCTGTCCTTCTGCATATGTAGAGCGCTATTTGTGTGTGTGCAGCACATGGTATTTGCATGCACGAACGAGCTGGTTCCATCTTATCTTGAAGAATGTGGGTCAAGAGTTGCGGCAGCATCTTTTGGATTCCATAAATTGTGGGGAATCCTGACAACCTCTGATGGCTGGCAGGAGTTGGAGGGTGCCAACCTGGACGTTGCGATGGCGCAGCACCTGCTGGTGGCTGCCGACCGCTTCCAGCTCAGCCGCCTGCGCCAAATCTGTGAGCGCCGCCTCTGCGAAACTGTGGAGGTGCGCTTTCCTCTCTCCCTCCCCGCGGCATTACCTGCAATCCCGGACTGTAATGATCACATAGGTCTCCTCGGCTGAGGGCACTCGACACCTGAGCCTTCTGCATACATGCTGAGTTGAATGTGTTGCCTTCCATTGACGGTGAGGTTTACCTTCTGTGCATCGGGACACATCCAGTGTTGTGCAATCTATCCCATCTTTTTGCAGACTAGTCTTCCTCAACTGCACCGACAGCAGCATTACCGGACACAAGCAAACACCGCCAGCACTACTCTTGTCTCACACTTGGCACTCCCGGGAGATTTATGCTGACCAATGCTAACTCGAGGCACATCTGAACTTTCGATTGTGTGGGTGCAGGTGGAGACGGTTGCGACGACGCTGTCTCTGGCGGAGCAGAACCACGCGGAGGAGCTGAAGCGTGTGTGCCTGGAGTTTGTGTCGCGCAACCTGCAGGCCGTCATGGTCTCCGAGGGCTACCAGCACATGGTCTCCTCCTGCCCCCAGCTCCAGGTGCGCGCCTGCCTCCCGATTACTCAAGCCTTTTGCGCAAATGCCTAATGGCCCCTGGATTTTTGCCGACCTGCAATGAATCTATATTGCACACCAAAGCCAAATGTCCTCCTGGGTGCTCTAGATTGCTCATGCAGCAAGCAAAGCAATATGTTTTGCTGCATTCTGAAGCCTTTTTACCTGGTAGCATCAAGCATATTGGGCCAGGGGTGCCATGTGGTCTCTCCATGTGCAGTAGAGCATTTGGCTTTTTAGCGCATGTTCCTGTGGGTGGCCAGAAATGAGAGTGCCTGCCTAAATGCGCAAAAGAACCTTAACAAATAAGTAGCAAAAATATGTCTATAAGCAGATTCTGCGCCCAATTGGCTGTTCAGCTCATGTCGATTGTATCCTGGCGCAGGCGGAGCTGCTGCATGTGATCGCGGTGGATCGCCAGGTGGCGGGGCACCGCTCCTCGCGCCACGGCATGCACCGCGCAGAATATGCCATCGACATGCCTGCCGAGCCAGAGTCCCACCGCCGCGTCCGGCCGCGCCGCGAATAGAGATCCCTCCCTTTCACCTTCGCCAGCGGCCTCACCAGCTGCAAGGCTCGTGCATGGAGCGGTGTGCCGGCTTTCAGTGTCGGTGGTTGTCAGAAAACGTGCGAAGTGCATGGATTGTCCACTCGCACCAAAAGGCCGGCCGCGTCGCAAATAGAACACCTACCTTCCTCTGCACGTCTTGCGGCCTCCCCAGCTGCAAGGCTCTTGCATGGAGCGTGCCGTGCTGGCTTGCAGAGTCCATCGTTGCCAAAAAAATGTACCGCCAAGGGCATGGGATTGTTCCCAGTTCCACCGGCGCGGCCGGACGCGCCGCGAATAGATTTCCTCCCTTCTACCCAGGCGCTTGCGGGGGTCTTTTGGACAGCAGCCCTCTTGGCCTCACTCAGCCACAAATCTTCCTGCTGATGTAAAGTATGGAGAGCAGCACCTTTTGAGGTCTGGCGAGTATGACGATGTTGGCGACTGCAAGGCTTGTGCATGGAGTGTGCCGTGCACCGGGCTTCATTGGGCGAGCGCTGGGCGAGCGCTGGGCGAGCGCTGTGGAGTGTATGGGGGGGTTTGAGCATGGTCGTGCCTGTGAGAAGAAATTAGTCAAATTTGATACGTAAGACGGATGCGGCCTTTTGCATGGTCTGGATGCACAAGACGATATGTGTGATAGAGCAATGTTGGGAATGTGGGTGTGTGGATGGTGGGCTGCCGTGTGCATGGAGTGCTCTGCACAGCGTTTGGAATTGCTGAGCACACTAAGAGTTCTATACTGCACACGGGTGTGGGTACAAGGATCTCATTACGAGGAAGCAGGAGGTGTTGCAACACATCTGTGTCTTGGGCTAGCAGCTCTTAACAGCTGTGAGATTGCTGCTGGATGTGAGTGCATGCACGTGAGCAGTGCTGTCAAACAAAGTGGTTCTCTTGTATTGAAGGGAGCTTCATAACCCAATCAAGTGCCCCGCAACTGGGCAGTCCTTTATTGTCAAATGTGCTTGTATGTGGGCGGCCAACGCCAGTACAATTTTGAGGTTGCATCACCCTGAGAACGTTTGCTTTTTTTTGGCAAGCTGGGCAAGAGGCTTCTCGAAGAAGCAGGGCATGCAAACAAATGCGCTATTTTGGGTCATGGTGACTACCCAGTCTCCCGTGTCTTACAATTTTACTGTTTTACCTCCTGATCCGCAAGATCTCCAGAGTTGATCTCAGCGATCCCAAAGGGCCGCTAGCTGATATATAAAATTGCTGCCTCCGAGACAGCTCCAGAGCTGTGTAGAGCTTTTCAAAAAACGTTGTGATAGCGAAATGTCTTGAAATCTATCTTACTGCAGTTTTTATAGAGCTTGTAAAGTGTATGCTACTCACTGCCAGTCTTATTTGCACCCCAAACGTGGATGCAAAAAATAATCTTGCCTGCACTTCCTGTCTCCCCCAAATGCATAGTAGCTGCATGCCACTAGCGGGACCAGGTCAATTCATTCATCAAAACACAGCAGTGACAACTCCACCCAATAAATGGAAGCTCTTTCAGCACAAGAGATGAAAGCACAGCACGAAAGTCAAACGAGGAAGAAAATGCAGACATGAAAGTCAGTGCGAGCGCCAAAGTAGAGAGGAAGGGCTGCCTTGCCGCCAAACTTGAAAACTCCATAAAATGCACTCATACATGTTCTCTTTTTAAACAATATTGGAAATTGCTTCAAAGAATATATTCACAGGCCCTGCGACCTCAAGATGGCTTCGGTTGTCACCAGTGAAGCCAGCAGCAGCACTTCTCCCAGGTTGCCTGCCAAAAACCCAGGTATGACCTTTCCGGGAACAGCCTGTGTCAGCAGACACACCCTCCGTTCAATACCATCTCTAGTTTAATGTACTGTCTGAAGCATGTGCATGCCAGTGCCAGTGACTCGGCATGAAGTGAATGACGGTGCTTCAGTAATGCATGAGTCACAGGAATAAGGGGCATGTGCCGCACCCCAAGCAGAAGAGAAGCCAGCGATCCCAGCAGCAGAGGTGACATCGATGGGTTTTTACTCACCGCTGCTCCACCCAGAATGGCCATGAACACCTGCAGATGGCCAGGAATCCCTTACAAAAAAGCTTACAAGCTCTATCCGTAATAGTTGAGCAAGAGAGCCTGTAATACATTGTCAACTTTGCATGCACACAGAGCAAGTGCTCTCCACTGCCACTCACATGTCCTCCTGATGACCCTGAACTCAAGGGGCACAGCATCTCAAAATGCTCTAGATCATGCAATTGCAAGTGTCACTTTTACAGACAAATGACAGGGACAGCTGGTCAGGCACTTGGCCGGTGAGATCTTCTGTGAGACTCATGCCAGTACCGACTGCTACCACCATTTGACTGGGGCCAAAGAAGGAGGCAGGCTAAGGAAACTCACCGAGGAAGAGATGACTGGGAGGACCTGTGAGAAGGAGGGGTCCTTGTACCCGTAGCGCAGCACGCCACGGGCCCACAGCGGCTTCAGTTCCAGCAGGAACCAGCTCTGGATGAAGCTCAGGCTCACCTCCAACGAGAGCACCGCCAACAGAGTCCCTGCAAAGAGAAACATGACGTATCTTAGTATATGTAAACTGCTGGACCTTAGGGCGCCAGCTTGACCTGCTCCAACATTAAAGCACCTGGTAGGAAGGCCAGGTGCAAAGACTTGGACTTTCCTTGCTTTGGGAACCGTAACTCAAAACGCCAAAAGGGTTGCTGCAACTGCGTTTGTGACTTCTGCAGTGCACAATGTCTGCCTCAATCAGCTGTACTTTAAAACAGCATGGAGAAAGAGATCCTGCAACTGCATCTCGTGCACCACTGCAGTGCACAATGTATGGCTCAAAGACATGTGTACCATCGTCAGAATATGAGAGCATGTCTAAGGTAGCATTCAATTGGAACATCGAGATCTCAGCTTCAAGGCGAAGTGCATGCATCAGAATATTCTTTGATCAAACTTTGAACCTGGCGCAAGTCACATACATCCAAGATTCAGGTATTGGCCCCCATGCCAATACCCCGAGAGTATCTGCAGATTCAGGTGACCCACCTTTGAACCAGAGGGTGTCAGCGAAGACAACACCGGCGCGTGCCGCCTGCTCTGCCGCAACCAATGACAGGATCACCGCGAAGGAGTGCGCCACGTAGCGGTAGCTGCTCAACGCCTCCAGAAGCGGACCCTGCATCACATTCACGGCTTGCTGTTGTCGCATTTTCTGGCAGCTTTTCAAGACTCCATCTCAAAATAGCTCCTGGTTCATTTTCCTGGGCTCGGATAGTTTCGCATCGCAACATGCAAACAAGCACTGTCTCTTGCTCAGATGAGAACCCACCTGTGCCAGCCGTGGCAGCAAACAGCAAAGTAATGAGCCAGCAGCAAGCTCATATGGAGCTCTTGAGCAGAGCCATATGTCCAGTGCAACGGCAGCCCCAAGCAAGGCAGCACTTCCATGTCGGGGGACCAAATAAATCCAAACTTTGAAATGAATCAGCTTGCGCGCACCTGCCCCAGGAAGCGGCCGGACGCCAACATGGCGTTGTCATAGACGAGCGCAGCCGCCAGAAGTGCAACGACGGCCATGCTGCCCTGAACCGCCAGTCCCTCGCTGCCGGTGCCGGCCAGAATCAGGGGCACCGCCTTGGCCACTGTGAGTGCATGCGCGCCGGAGTAGCCCAGCAATGCTGCTGTAGACGGCAGCCACGTCCCAACCTCTGCGATTTTGAATTCAAAATGCATTTTCAGCGCTTAGAGCAGCCCAGCAACGCTGTTGTGGACGGCAGCCACGTCCCAATCTCTGCAAATTTGCATTTGAAATTGCATTTTCAGCATTTCCAGCAAAGCCGCTGTGGGCGGCAGCCATGTGCTCACCCCGCGAATTTCAACTGAATTAAGCGTTCAGGGCCGACTCTGCAAGGGTACAACTTTGAGCTGTAGTATTTGAAGTTCAGGCAGGAGGTAATAAAGCCTGCAGCCTGCTCATTCCCGTGCTGTGAAGCAAATGCTGGAGCAATGTCTGCAGTTTCTGATGGTGGCTGATTGCTCCTCCTATGCGTAGGGACCAGATGACGTTGTGAACAGTGGGATAGTGAGGAGGATGGAGCTGTGTGATTGCAGGCGTGCTAGAACACATAACACTGACAGGAGGTGTGCAAGCAGAGTGAGATGACGGCCTGGATGGTGGCATGAAAACTCTAGAACACTGCAGAGCGCACCTTCATCGGAGGGCGTGGGCAGAATAATTTCATCCGGTGACACAATGATGGTGTCTTCTTTGCTGCCCTGCGGGCTGTTGGCATACCCCGTCCGCGTCTTCACAGCCGTCACTCCATTGGACAGCTCGTACACACCTGCACCACGCACCATTCCCCCATTGGCGAACTGGCACCTTTTACTTTTCCACAGAGGCAGCTGAGTGCATTGCTTCTTTGGCAAAAATGCTTCAGACTATCAGGGCTCTTCCCTCTCGCTATGTTTACCTTCCATGGAGTTGGACTTGCAATCTTGTGCTGCAGTGAAGGCAGAGACAAGATCGTAAGGACAATTGAAAAGGGTTTACCCAGCGGGGAGGGATTTGCAGGGAAGGTCTCTTGACCCAGGAACGCTTTGGCAGAGCCCACCAGCACATACTGCGAGGCTGCCAGCTGCTCGCTGTAGTCTTGCAGCAGAAACTTCAGGATCTCCGCCTGCACAGAGCATGCTACGACCATTTGTGAGCTCTTGCTGAATGCCCTGTCTCAAGGTTGTGATACTGCTGTGCCCAAACATGCAACCTGTGTCCCTAGAGTGAGACACGAAGGCTTGCTCACTTACTTGTAACAGTATACAGGACAGTCGATTGAGGACTAGGATTTGTGGCAGCCCTTACATGCAGCTTGTCTACAGACGCACTTTGCCTCTGGCAGGAACAGCATCAAATAATAATGACAATGATACAAGGCAATGAAGAGGCGCAATGAGGTCCTGGGATCACCTTGTAGAGCAGCAGGTTGATGACCCAGAACAGAGCCCCCAGCACTGGATTGTCCACCTCCACACTCACTTTGTCCTCTGCAAGTGCAGCCAGGTCAAGCTTGTCCTGGAGATCTTGGGGATGATTGTGCAGGGGACTGTAAAGATATCAGTGCTGCAGAACATAAATACACACTCCAGCAGGGTGAGTAACAGCAGAGCCGGACAGGAGAGACATGTGACAAGCAGGAAGGGGCATCCAACTTTATTTAGAGTCCCCTGGATTGTGACAGTGCAGGGGTTTGAGGGGACAAACTGGGGTGCATGATAATGCAAACGGAATGTGCAAGGGTGATAAGACGGCGTACCAAAGCCGATGTGGCTTCCTTTGACAGTGAAGAGGGTGACGTCCTTCAGGCGCCCGTTCTTCACAGCCGTGCGCGCTGCAGTGAACAGCTGTGCCACCTGTGCAAAGCAGTCACCCCTCAGTAAGATTTGCATGACCAGTAAGTCACCTTTGCATCATTGACTGGTTGGAGCGCTGATCACTGCACCCCAGAGGGCTTGCCGGCAAGGTTGGCAATTTGAGGCGTGTGCTTCAGTGGGACACAGACATGGGTTAGTTGATACTACTGGGTTGGCGTCAAATCTCTCTCCTGGACACTAGGGGACTCCTGAATACTCCACACTTGCCCTAGCCTGCTTTGGGTGTGGATCACTACCAGAGACCGAGCCAGGTGTTTTATTATGTGTCATCAGCATCGTTGCTTGCATGTCTGCCTGACAAATTTCTCTAGCACTAATTTAGATTTCCTGCTGATCCTGCTTTTCTGCACATGTTCTAGGCAGGTTATGACTTATTTGCACACCCATTATAATTCTATGTGATTCCCTGTGGAAAGGGAGGCAGCACCTCGAGCGGGCGCACGATCTGGTCCTGGTCTCCTCCGATGAGGTGCAGCTTGGCGGCGTCGGGGAACCTGTCCGTGAAGTAGGCGACAGCTTCGCGGTAGCTGCGGCCCAGCAGGTCGTCGTCCATATGGATGTCTGGGTTCACCGGGCTCTCCATCAGCTGCTTCACCTGCGCAAGAAGAAAGCCCAAGAGCAGTGTTCATCAGAACTCTGGACAGGCATAAAAGGCACACTATGTCAGCAGGTCCCTCCAGGTGGGAAGGAAGAGCAGTTTTATTAGATTCAAAGGATAGCCACATGACACAGGCTGCAACCTTCTTCACCATGGCCTGCCATTGTGTCCTGCATTCGGTCATAAAAGATGCAGATGTCTTTTGTAGGGAATCCAGCAGGCGCGTGCAGGGAGGCAACTAATGGGAGATAGTCCTCTGTAGTCATCCAATCTCATGTTGTCATGGCTTGGATGTATCCCTTGCCGCCAGTCTTGGCTTGCATTGAATGCTGCACAGAAAAAATCTGTACAATTCTGGCGTTAAGCAGGTGTGAAACATTGCGCACCGCAGGGGCCTCAGCGGCGACGCCGGCCACGTTCTTGAGCATGGCAGCAGTGGCCACAGAGATGCCGGCGCCCATGGAGTGGCCCATCAGCATCACAGGGCCCATCTTTGCTCCGTCCACGCCGTTTTTGTGCAGGTAGCCCGCCGACCGCAGCACGTCCACTATCAGCGCTGCCTGCACATAGCAAAGAAAGCATTTAGAATAGTGGTACTCCATGAGGGTAAGATTGTATGTAGTCGGCAGCGCAAGAGACCATATTGCCATCTTGTGTGTCGTTCTGAACAAGCATCCTCAGAGTTGCTGTAGCAGGAAAGTCACAGGTCTCCGCCTGGTGCAATGAGCCGGCTGTTCCATATGGCAACCTACTTCAATGCTGGGCCAGCATTGGAATAGGGAGCGTGGCTGAGACAACCTTGTTATAGGCATCCTGAACATGCGTGTTGCATTTATTCTCTCACTACAGCTTTCGGAAGGAGGGCATGGAAAATTCTGTTGTGGGGGGTATCCAGGTACCTGCATCTTGGTGGGAGGTTTGGCAGTCAGCTCTCCCAGGAGGCCACTGCCTGAGCCGGCCACTTTGCCCAACACTTGGAAGAGGCTGGTCTCTGGGGCGATGACGGCTGCGCCGACCTCGTTTGCCAGTTTCTGCAGCGTGCTCGTGTAGTTCTGCACTGGCTGCGAGAAGCCATGAGCAAATATCACCACTGGTACCTCGGCCCCTGTTGCACAGAAATTTGGTGAGTCCAGAAACGAATGGTGTATTTGCAAAGGACAGAATCGGTTTGGCAGATGTATTGATCTTCCCCCACAAGCCAAGAAGGCTGGTTGATGGTGAAGGATGGTTACAGCCCTCCTTGAGTCTTAAAAGTGATGCAGTGCGGTTAAGACAGTTTGTAAGATCTGCAGAGCTGATAACGGAGGTAAATGATCGTTTCGTACCTACGCTTTTAGGGTGGATCAGGAGCGCTGTGCTGGCCCGCTTTTCCGTGTAGACATCGCTGGCCTTCGTCTTTATCAGATCAAACCCATAATTCGAAAGAACTTCTTTGGCGAGGTCCTGCGATCAGAATATCCAGATTAGGGAATTGATTCTGGGAACCCATCAACTTGATTGCGAAACTAGGGCTCACCTCTGTCAACGGAGGAAGCTGCACTGTTGTCGTCACCAAGTCATCGTCCTCGACAGTTGTTGCAGGAAGCGCTTGCTGGTATGGCGCTGCGTTTAGAATTGCGCAGCGGTCTCTGCTGCACCGGCGGGCTGGGGACTTGTACGACGGAATCACGGAGCGCAGCCCAGTATCACGCAAGGATACCTGCCAGCCCCGCAATCCACATTGTGGATATTTTACTCCGGCTACAGGACTGCAAATCATCTTGGTTCGGTACTCCTGAGGACCAGGGCTCGTGTGTGAAGTGTCGATCTATCTGCCAGCAGAGAACTTCGAAACAAATGACATGGTCCCCCCTTTCACTTTCGGGGGGACCTGGATTTTGGCTCGATGTCAAGAGTTGAAGTTGGCCAGCAATCATGAGCATGTGCGGATATATAATATACTGAGGTTGCCTTACGATCATTGGCATCGTGAGCCTGTAATGAATCCGACATATCAATGCGGGCGGGGCCATATGGTTTCAGACGTTAACACTTCAGCTCAAGCATTCATATGTGATATTTCACCTGCCAGCGCACTCCAGCAACTAAATTACAGTTTACACAAATGTGCTCTTGGCAACTAGGCACCCATATTCGTGCCACCCATCTCTGAAGTCCGCCCCGATCAATATTGGCCTCACATAGGCCCCTCTGGAGGTCATAAATCACAGGTCTCACACTCACTGGCTTCTTTACGAAGGTAGTCACTTGGCCTTTGCAGCTGCAGCCTTGCTTCGATCCTCGGCAACCTTCTCATACTTGTCCCAAAGGCGCTCTGCATCTGCCGTGCTGGGGGGACTCTGGCGAGTCACTGGTGTCTGCTGCCGCGCACGCCTCACCTCTGCAGCCGTGTTGACACTCCCATTTTGTTTCACAGGCACCCTGCGCAGGTACAGCAACATTTCATGACTGGCTTGTCCCTTGCTGAGTGGGGTTGACGGCATGGGCTTTTCATGCGCCCCAAACCTTGAGAAGAGAGAGAAATGCAGAGCGAGCGCCAAAGATGGGAGGTGAATTTCAAGTCGTCAGAAGGTCAGAATGGAGTCATGATATCACCTTGCCGGTAGCAAGGCGCGGTTGAGCCAGATCAAGACAATTGATCCCAACACGAGCACAGGAATCGACCATTTCCACCGCATGAAGTCCCTCTCGAGCAGGTAGCGTGAGAGCAGAACGAGAGCTGCAATGCAGGACAAGACGGATTCAGGGCCATTTTGAGGATATCATGTCAGAGTAGAGTGTGTTGCATGCACACTCTTTATAGGATTGGCCATCTGCAGACGCACAATAAGTTGTGACAGGGCAAGACTTACCGAGGCCGAATGGTATCATGGTGGAGGCTGCCGCCAGTCCTGTTGGGCATGAGAAGCCTGTAGCATGCAAGACTTTCATTTTACAACACGCTTGGGATGTTCTCACAATGGTAGAGGAACTCAGTGCTGGAGCGAGCATGCATGTATCTTCGGACCTAAAATGCTCACCTACAGGGACCGTGTGCAAGGTGACCACCAGGATCTTCAGAAGGCCTGCCAAGGCGAACAATTTGCCAGGGGAACTTAAGAAGCGAGGAAGCGCAACCTACACATCACAAGGTGCATCAGCCTTGTAAGACATGAAAGGATAAAGGTGTCAAGGAAGTGACGCGTGAGGGAAGGAGCAGAACTGGCGCAGGACTTACAGTTGCGCTCCTTTTGGGAACAGGGACGTCACTTTCGAACGTCCCGCCATCTGAAGAGCTGTTGCCAGAAACCTCTGCTCTGCAGTGGTGCGCATTCCTCGGCTGTCTTCTTGCAGGAGCTGGCTGCCTGGTGAGTTGGTGATGAGTCAGCAAACCCCATCTGCTGCACTGGTGACGGCGACAGAGCACCTGCGGGAGAGGCAAAAAAACAAGTCCTGGAAGCATCCCGAATTTCAATGCTCCTCGACATGCAGAAGTACCAAAGCAAATCTGCAGCATCTAAGAAGCACCTGCACTTGCTGGGTATGGTGACACCTCTGGAGTCCGATGATGCTACAGCGTGATGAAATCATTCAATTATTGCTTGACTTGGTTAAGTAGGTCTTGCAATTCAGAGGTGGCCGTCTAGGTTGATTTGTCTTGGATGCACACCCATCGACGTGATTGCACAAAACACTCCTACTTTTTAGGTGGGCGACAATCGTTCATTTCCCCTCAATCTAAATATGAAATAGGAACGTAAAATCATCGATAGGAATAAGAAATCTGATGAAGAATGCGTTTCAAGACGCTCGAGTGGAGCAGCTGCCAGAGCGTGTCGACAGATTCCACCCAAGGCGATCTTATTTAGATCAACATTGTCTTTGCGTTAAAGGGAAGGTGAAGAGAACAGAACAGCAGTTATTCATCAGACAGAAATCGTAGTGTGTAACAGATTGGCAGGTTGTATCAATTGACTGTTGCAAAATGTTCACTTTCGAGGTCCATCACAGCATGCACATTTGTCACCATTCAGGAGTAATACACAAGTGATGAGATTCATGTGAATCTATTCTCTTCGCTAAGCGTACATATGTCTTCTTTGAAGTACTGATGTCGAACACCATGCCGGTCACGCGCAATGTCTTTCAGGTGCACACCCCCTCGTATCGGTTGCTACGCAAGTGCCAGGTCAGACTTCAAGCGGATTCTACAAATTCATATATTTGTGTGCGCAGGCATTCAGATGCAGATCTGGGAGGGACGTAAAGAAGGTAGCGCAAGGCTTTTTAGCAGATGGTGGTAACGCACCGAAATTCAGCACCAAAAGTGCTCTGGAATCTCCCCGTCAGACACGACCCAACAAGAGAGCAAGATGCGAAGTGGTCAAACCAGAAGTAACAACACCCACAAAATCCGAACAGAACCATAGCTTCAGCGCAGCAGCTTCAGAAGCGCCAGCAGAGGAAGCTGTCGTTGCCAGCATAGAACTCAAAGAGGAGGGCAGCAGCCAAGCAGCCGCTGCCGAAGAGACAGTGAGTTCCAATAGATTATCACCAATAGCTCTTGTTACACCGTCGGCAGCAGCAGCAGGAGAGACATTCGTGCTATCAGCAGCGTCTCTTCGAGCGAGGGGCAGGCAGAAAATACCCCTGGAAAATGCAAAAGGCTTGCCTGAGAGACTTGGGGACATGCCCCTGCGCCTCATTGTTGGGGGCAATAATCCCAGCGACCATGCCTGGTGAGCCATGTTTTGGTGCCGCCGTCGTGGCTGATTCAGGATTGCAGGCAATGCTGCATGAACTCTTTATAATCTCTTGGTGATTTACAGGTCAACAGGACACTACTACAGCCATCCTGCAAATTGGATGTGGCGCATTCTTAGGAAGACAGGCATCGCCCCTGCATGGGTCAAAGGCGCTCAAGTGCGCGCAGCAACGCATGCTCTTATTTCAAGGACAGCCTGGCTATAAGCATGCGGAGCAGAATTTATTTCTCATCTTCTTTGGTCTGCAGGATGACGAGCGCATGGTGACTGAGGCTGGAGTGGGTTTTCTGGACGTTGGCTGCGGTGGGGCTTCACTCAAACCTTACCAGGTTCAATTTGAGTTTTCGTCAGACATTGGGACTTCCTGCAGCATTGCGATAACACACTTTGGGAGGTTCCAGTAGACACAGGCATATCAAATTGCGGCCTGACATCCGTGTGCTGCATGCAGGCCATCCAGGCACCCTCTTGTCAGAGTTCTCCTCGCAGACCTTCCAGAGCTGGGCGCCCGCGTTCTATACCCGCCTCAAGATGCACATGGATCGTGCTTCCAAGAATTCAGGGTGAGCCACATCCCTGCACCCAAAGCGCGTGCTGCTGCATCGTGTTCTGCGGCAGAGGTCATTGCTTGCAACGTATATTCCATTCCGCAGGCTGTGGCAGTGCGTCTGCATGCTTACGCCCCATTGCATCCGCAGCTGGCATGCAAATGCAAATTGGCGCCTACATGCACCAGAAACTGTCTGCAAACTGGGTGAAACCCAGGGGTGTGTCGGGGGTGTGCATATTGTGGGGTGTTTACTTTATTATGCAGGTTGATGGATTTTGATTTGGGTGGCATGCATGGTTCACGTGGACACAGTGACAAGAGTTACGGGAACGCGCGTGTGCAGGTGTGTGTGCGGCAAGTGCGGCGCACCGGCTGTGGTAGGGTTTGCGGGGAAGCGGCAGTGGATGGAGCTGCTCAATGTAGGGCGCAAGGGGCGCGACAAATACACCAAGCTTGACCACGGCTTGCAGCACATGAGACCAGAGGTCCGCGATCGCCAGAAGCCTCAGTAGCCGATGTAAAGTCTATGGGGCTTTCGAGATATCCATGCCTGCAAGACCGGGGTGATGATGGGCTGCAAGCACCGGAGTTTGTGAAGTGACCAATATCACCTAACCTGCATGCGCAGCCCACGAACTTATAATGGTGCTGCAGATGGGGTGTGTGATCGTGCCAATAAAATTATATGGCCTCTGCCCTTCCTAGATTGATTAATTGTTGGGTGGCTGGGCAGGGGTGGCCCTTCCCGGCCAGCACAGAGGTGTGGGTGCTTCCGAGCACATCCGGCGCTGCGCCCATGGCCACTGCGGACAGGATGGGACCCTGGCAGGAGCTCAGCGACAGGGTGGAGCAGATGGAGTGGCCGCGCAAGGTGCAATGCGCGCTCAAGGAGGAGGATGGGTTCTGACAAGCTGGCAGCTTCCCCCCTCCTTCCCCAGCGAGGGGACCCCCACGGACGTGGTAACCTCTACGTAAGGACGTTCGTCGTGAAACGAAATGCTTTTGTAGCCGTCGCTACATGCGTGATGAAGCCATTGTCAAACGGCAGACTGCTCCTATTGGGAAGACTGCTGCTTGTAAAAGGTTACCACGACGACAGACTGTTTGGTACTTTGACTACGTCTGTAGATGAGAATTGTTCGCTTGTGCAGCCCCTGCTAGACGCGCCTGATGATGTGTTGTCGAACGGCGTAATGAAGAGTAACATGAAAATAAATCCGATCAGTGGCAAATTCGCAGCGGATGTCAAGAGTAACAGGCGTGTGGACCCTGCCACTGGACTCGATGACAAAGATACAGATTTGCACAGGATACCACATTTGAACATCGTTCTGCTGGTATAGACTATTCCTCGACCTTTTTGATCGATATTATTATATGCATGCAATATTCTCAGTGCATGATTCCTACCTGAAAGCAAACATCCAAGGTTTGGATGACTATAGCAAAATTATCTCCGGCATTTATCAGATACAATTGAATACGTACGATCTCCTTCCGTTTGTGCTTACAGGCTGTTGGGACCTTGGGAGACGTTCAGGTCAGTCCTCTTGGCCTTTCAGGACCCGCTGTTGACACACGTCGCAGTCTATATAACCAGCAGATCTCCACCCTTTACTGACATGTTTCCTGGTGCAGCCGTTTGTCGCTGTGGGCCTGACGCTCAAGGAGTATGGGCACAGAGTGCGGGTTGCCACCCACTCCCAGCTGAGAGGTTTTGTGGAGCAGTTTGGGCTGGAGTTCTACCCACTGGGGGGTGACCCACAAGTGCTCGCCGAATTTGCTGTACAGAGCAAAGGTGCCCCGTCTTCCTGCCACTCCTTGTACTTCTGTGCCTTCAGCGCCAAAGCACATCCAGTACTCGGGCTTGGGTGCAACCCCGTTGAATGACATGTGCGCCCTGTTGCAGGTGTCTTCCCCAGGGGATTGGGTCAGGTGAAGAAAGTGCGGCAGCAGGTAAAGGCTTATGTGGCAGGACAGCTGGCTGCATGCACTGAGGCAGACCCAGATCACCCACAAGAACACTTCAAGGTGCGCCTTTCTAGACCAGTCTCTTATGGTTTTCTGAGGAACACATTCTGCGCTTTGTACGGCGGATTTTGTGCAGAAAGTCAGTCTCTAAGCTTGTGGGCAAGGAGTGCAGGCAGATGCAATCATAGCAAATCCCATCAGCTACGCCCATGTTCATGTGGCGGATGCATTGGGGATTCCTTTGCACATCCTCTTCACCATGCCCTGGACAGCCACCAAGGTCCGCCCATTCTGCACTTCTCTAGACAACACTGTCACCTGCGGTTTCATGGCTGTTTCAAAGCAACCGGCGCATTATCTTCACATGGCGCTCGCCCTGCCTTGCATGTTGTGCGTTCACTTTGGCCTGATCGCCTGAGCAGAAAGGCTGGGGATAAGCTTCTCCTGTGCCATTTCTGGCAGGAGTTTGCGCATCCTCAGGCGCGGTTCCTGCACGAGAAGCGCTACTCGCTGCCTCCGCGGCTCAGGCGACACTTTCAGCCCTTCTTTGGGGCCGTCAACCGCGCCTCCTTCAAGGCCATCGACGGTGCCATGTTTGTGGGCACGGTGAGCGGGGCTATCAAACTTTCGATTTGATCACGATTTGATCGGGACCATGCTTCCGCAGAAGAATGTGACCAATGAAGGATTGCGTTTGTGATGGTACCAGTCGTACGCTGCCTTGCCTTTAAAAGAAGGAACAGGTTACATTTTGAGAGATGTGATACAAAATGAAGCAATCCTCGAAGCGCAAAATCAATTGCCAATTCCGCATGTAGGTCCTTTGTCTCAAAGGCAAGGCAGTGCCTGACTGGCACAATCTCAAATGTCAAACTCTTACTATCTGCAGGGACCAAAAGGCCGGTATTGTCAGCTCATGCATGCATGCATGCAGGGGGATATTCTGCACACGTTCAGGAAGAAGGTGCTGGGGCAGCCGTCGCTGTTCTCCCTGAAGCACTACCACCGGCCGCTGGTGTGCCCCTCTCATCCAAGAGCAGATTGTGGCTCGTGTTATTCTTAAAGGATATGTGTGGCAGCGTACAGGCCGGGGCATTTTTGGCAGAGATCAGTTTCCTGTTGCTTGCGGTGTGGCTATCGGCAGCATTTTCAAGCAAAATTGATCCATACAGACAGCCTTGAAAGCTGAGTGTAAGATGCCAAGAGAAGGATGTTTCTTTGAGTATCTGTAGAAGCTGGGAAGCTGGGTGTTGTGCCATGAAAGCATGAGTGATTATGGCGCATTGCAGCGCCATGCAAGCAGCATGCATGATGGCAGCCCCTTCTGGACTCGACCTTGTCCCTGCAGACAGCAGGTTAGACAAGAGAGCCGTTCAGCAGGAATATTCTGAAGAAGTTGTCCTGGACTTATCCGAGTGTGGCGCAATTGCAGCACTACTGTGAGGTGCCGGTGTCCTACTGCTGGAGCCCGACGCTGCTGCCGCAGCCGGCCGACTGGCCACAGCGCGCTGAGGTGGTGGGCTTCTGCCAGCTGGAGGCCTCCGAGCGCATGCACTACTCTCCGCCAGAGGACCTGGTTCAATTCCTGGAAGCTGGGCCGCCCCCTGTGTACATCGGCTTTGGCAGCATGACGCTCAGCCGGCCTCACGTGAGTCAATTCCAAGGGACCAGGGCCATGAAGTAGAAGAAGATCATTGTCGCAGGATTAGCCCTGAAATGGTTCTTGCCAAGATGTGCAACAGCACATTGTTCCTCAACGCCAGGCACATTGCTTGATAGGATGCTTAAAAGTGCCTTTTTGCATGATGCTGTCCTAATCGGGAAGGGGTGCAATTTGGTGATTTGCTGGATGCTCTGAACCAACCTGCAGCTGTCATGTCTAAGCATGTCATGGAAATTTAATGGCATCGGGTGGTTTGTGTCGACTGAGTTGCATGTGTCCCTGCGCAGGAGCTTGCGAGGACGGTGTTTGCTGCTGTCAAGGAGATGGGCGTGAGGGCAGTCATTGGAGCAGGTGTGCTTACGAATGTGTCAAAAGGAAGAATGCCCAAAAGAGAAGCCCCTGCCAGGGCACTTGCACGCATGTCACCGATGGTATCATAATGATGAAGGGGGATGGAGGGAACACCACTTCCTCCAGAACTGATGTACACACCAGATGCCTAGCCTACAAGTCAGCCTATGTGTCTTTTCCTAGCACAGCTCTGCTAGGTCATGTTTCACCCCTTTATACACCAATGGTAATCAACTTTGCGATGCATGCATGCAGGCTGGGGAGGGCTGGGATTGGTGGAGGCAGAGGAGATCCCCGAGGGGGTGTATGTTCTGCAGCAGCGCTACGTGCCCCACGACTGGCTGTTCCGGCAGTGCGCCGCAGTTGTTCACCACGGCGGCGCAGGTGACTTGACAATCCTACCACTGATCTTCCTTACAGAGAACAACCATGTCTGCGTTGCTCGTGTGCCGAGTGCACCATCGGGCGCAGTGAGACGACATGACCACTGACCGCACTTTGCCCTTTTCCACGCAATAAAGAGCGTCCTGGATGAGACGTCCTGATCCCACATCTTGCGGAAATGATTGCGGTTCGGTTGTGGCAGCCTCACTGCAGCTAGTGGTGGGCTATGCAGGAACATTCGAAATAATGAAATTCGAATCCTAATTAAAATTTTGGATATTGAATTCAAGTTCGAATTTCAAATTCTGTATTTGGCAGGCACGACGGGGGCTGGGCTGGCAGCAGGCTGCCCGACGATGGTGGTGCCATTCTTTGGGGACCAGGCGTTCTGGGGCGAGATGTGCCGCCGATCCGGCGTCGGCCCCGCGCCGGTAGCCGTCGAGAAGCTCAAAGTGGAGCACCTGACTGAGGGCCTCCGCTTCCTCATGCAGCCTGAGGTGCGCCCTTTATTAAAATTCAAACTCTCTCCAAACTGATTGCAGCTCAGAAGCAATTCACAATTCTGAGGCAAGGATTCCATGCCATGAATTGCGTGAGGTGGTGACAAGAATGCACATTATTTGGTCCCTGGCTTCAAATGCAGCAGGAGTCTGAAGGTCAAGGATTCATTGGTTTTAGTTTGTCTGGCCGAGTTTGCTAGACATTGTGGGTCTTCTGAGAGTGGCGGGGGGTCTGGTGGCCTTGTAGGTGAAGGCAGCTGCCCAGCTGATGGCGTCCAGGATGGCTCAGGAGCCAGATGGCACGCAGGCAGCAGTCGACTCCTTCCACAGGTGTGACATCTTTCTATACTGTTGCACGTCCTTAATTCTCCAAGAACTGCATGCGTGTGACTCCCCAAGGGAAGGAAGCCTGCTGTTGTGCTTAAATTACCATCAGCACGCTACAGAGAAATGCCTGCCGCACCTGTGCAAGATTGTGAACGACTCACATTTGGACAGCACTTCTGGTGGGCTTGTATGGACGGCTAAGGACATGAGTCGTGCACAGGCATTTGCGTGGGAGACTGCCGTGCACAGCAAGGGCCCCTGTCCTCAACGGCAGCGACTCCGCTTCATCCCTGCCCCTCCCAGATGCTGCCACAGCCGTCAGCGGCGGCCGTGGTCTGGCCGCAGCCAGCGTCTGCGAGTCTGACCAGACTGAAGCCCCTGACCACAAAATATCTCCTGACGTGGAGAGCAGCACGGAAAGAGGCGGGGACTCAGAGAATGATGCAGCAGCTGCAAACAGCGGAGTGAGTCCCAATCATGCGAGCGCAAATGGAGAAGCTGCAGAGAGGAGCGACAGGTCAGCAACGGGCGGCTCCGGTGGGGAGTGGGAAAGCCGGGTAGAAGCTGAAGGCGCGGAAAGTGGTATTGAGGGAATTGTAAGAGGGAAAGTGAGGTATTTTGAGAAGAAACGGGCACCGATTATTACGGGCTGGTGGGAGAGCGCGGCTGCATTCTCGGCAGTGATGCTGCTGCCGCTGATATCAGTCGTGCCTTGTGCCACCACTGCTGTCCGCGATGATGATGTGGTGGTCTGATTGATCAGACAACAATGTGTGTTGTACTTGGCAGTTGCATGTGCTCGCCAAGGGCTGGAGAAGATATGGCAGGCACAAAGGGGATTTGGACTGCCCATCCAATGGACGGCGTTCATATGGCAATAATAAATAATAATGCACTGTGTGTGCCACGTTGCTATGTGACGACAGTGTCGGGCGGCAGTCCAGTCCAATTTGTCATCTTTGAAGCAACTGTCTACATTGTACTGATATTATTTGTTGAGTTCTTAACGAACACAACTGTGTTGGTGCCAGCAGCATATTCGTCAGAACATCTAGGCAGAAATCTGGCTCTGATACTATCAAACCTGTCAAAGCGCTTTGTGACATGACAACATTGTCCCCAACATGAGGTCAACATGCGTACACCAGGAGCCTGCTTCCTGAAGCCATAGGATCTTAGACCTTTGTCTTATTCAAGACAATATGTTGTGCAAGTGCCAAATCAAGTTCCCTTTGCAATAAAAAGAGGGGCTCTATTTGCACAGGCTGTACAGCATTGCAATGTCGCGCTTGTCTGTGCCTACCAGTGCCTCGTCCCCTTCATGGCGATACACAACCTCCGCTTCCAACAATGACTTCTTGTAGTTGATGGCTGGCCCAGGCTCCTGCACCGGCGTCTCCATGATCAGCGGAATGCCTGCACGCAAAACAAACACTTTGCTAGTCAGTGAGCATCCTGCATGGTTCATGCATGCCTCGGGGCAGGCAGTGTGATATATGCACTCAAACACCACTTCAGGCGGCCTGCTTATTAATTGAGCGAGCTACAGCTCAGACAATGCCATGGTATATATCATTCGCATCCCAGGTGTTGCCCAACATGGCGTATTTCACAGCACTTCAAAAAATGCATGGGTGTTGCCGGCTCTGCTCATTATGCCAGCAACTCTGGGGACTGCGGCAGAGCTCATGTAAAGCCAAGACACTGCTGCTGTTCCAGATGAGATTGAGACATGGCCGCACCATCGAGGCGCGGGTCATTCATGATGCACTCGAACATTGTGATGCCGATGAAGCCGCGGCCCACGTTCTCATGGCGATCCCTCCTGCTGCCCAGCGCGCACTTGGAATCGTTGATGTGCATCCCTGTGCATGCACAAAATGAACACGTAAATGCTGTAGCTCTTTCCTTGGAAAACGTCTGCAAGTCAAATGCAGGAACTACTCTGCAAACATCCACCACACCGATACAAGGTATACAATTAACCGAGAATGGCAAGCCTCCAATCGACTGACAAGCATCTCTCTGCTTTTGACTAGCTGCATCCAAGGGCTCTCTCCACAAGAACAGAGCCATTGCAGCGTTGCAGTGTTTGGCAGATAGGGCAAGATGACAGTGCAAGGATTAATAAAGAGTGCACCTTTCAGGTATCGCATGCCGACAACGGAAGAGAACTGCTGCATGGTGGCTTCGTAGGCGGCGGGCGTGGAGAGATCATAGCCTGCCGCAAACATGTGGCAGGTGTCCAGGCAGACTCCGATGCGCGCCTTGTCCTCCACCCGATCGATCATGTAGCGCAGGTGCTCAAAGCTGTGCCCCACGCTGCTGCCCTGCATGCGTATCTTTGCATCGGGCTGTGAAAGAAACTGATCTTAATATGGACAGGCTATGCGCTGTCCTACCCATGAACGTTCAGTGTGTAGTTACATTGCCAGGTGACTACGAAAGAGCCAATCCCCTGCCTTTCAGAAAGCCACTGCTGACAGGAAGATGACTGCTCCTCGGAGCGGTCTTGAATGTTCACACCCCTCTGCTAATCCTGTTAGCGTCAGTCCTCAACAGAGTTGCTCGGAGACATGTGTGTCTTGCCGGGTGTCAAAATGCTCATTCTCGCCCTCTGGGAGCAAAGTTTTGTCCAATTGTCCTTCCAAGCACTTCGGCAGCCGGCAAGCCTCACAGCTCTTGGAGCACATCTGCCACAAGACAATCTCCGGCATGTGTGGAGTTCACTGGCCCGTACACAACTGCACAGGGCTCTGCTCAAACTGCACCGCGACCTGTACAGCCCATCCGGGCGTACTTCATTATCGGTCCCATACTGCAGTCTCCGCCTCTTCTGCGCACCTGCCCGGCCACATTCTCGAGGACGACAGTGACGCCGGAGGTCTGCGCATGCGCCCGGTTGATGCAGCCGGCGATGCGATCCATGCATTCTTCAGGCGTGGATACCTCCCCGCAGCTGTTGGTGTGCCCCGGGTGGATGTTGTATAAGCGGATGCCAAGGGTTTCACATCGCTGGAGCTCCTCCAGGAAAGCCGCGTAAGACTTGGCCAGCATCTCCTTATCCGGCGACCCCAGATTTATCAGGTAGCTGCCTGCGGGTTACGGCAGCTTCCCTCAGCTTCCTTGATGCACATGTTGTTGCTCTTTGTCATCGTTGGGTTGTCAATAGGGACGGAGGCTTCCCTCAGCTTCCTCACAGTACATATTGGTGCTTTTCAACAGTACTGCCTTCTTAAACTCACCTCTATAAAAAGAGGGAAATAAGTACACGCATGTACAACATAAGTCTCCTCTGTCTGAGCATCTATCGAGAAAAACCTTGTCAAGTTGCCATCATGATGCTCTGCACAGGCCTTGGGCTGCTGGGATTGCAAACACAGTGAGCAGGTCTGGATGTGTAAGATGCACACCAGCAAGGAGGTGAGGCGAGGTTTTAAGTTAGCATGCAAGGGGTTTGTATAGCAAGGGAATGTGCTCACCGTGGGGGATGATCTGGGCAGCGGAGAAGCCAAAGGAGTTGCATGCGGCGCGGAAGGCTGCGGCGGTCACGCGCATGAGCGGCGGGCACTCCCACCGCCGCTTCGACCGCGTGTCCATCGCAAACGCCTTCGCTCCTGCAGTGAAAGTTATCCATTATCATCCATCTACTCTCTTGAGAGAGACAACGAGATACTGCTCGCTGAACATCTCATAGATAATTGACCAGTGGGGGATTTACTGCTTTTCATCACTATCTCTGGATCTGTGATTGGTACCTTGAAGCCACAGGTATTCAAATTGTCGCTGTCTACTGTTCCGTCCAACACTGGAGGCTGACACAAGGCGCTTGCAGCACACAGGGGCTCAAGCCAGTTGTTGCATGTGTGGCAGAGTTGAGGGAATGCCTCACCGATAGATGCAGCATTGACGAGGGCGCGCTCGACGCCAGCTGCTGCTGAGACGTGGCAACCGACGAGCTTGCCGGCTGGGACGGTTGTGGGCAGATCCACCAGGACAGCGTTCAAGTCGTCCTCCTTCACGACTTTTTTTCTCGCCCTCTTTGGTTTTACTGCGGTGGCCTCCTCCTTGGCGGCTTCCTCCTCTGCAGTCTCCAGAAGCTCCTCTATCTCTATGACAGCTTCCTCCACCTTCCTGCCCCTCCTTCGCTTCACAGCCCCCTTCGCAGCTGCCACTGCTGTGGCAGTCACCTCGAGCTCTACAGCCTCTGCTGCAGCTGCCTGCTTCCCCTTGGAGCGCTGCCTTTTCCTCATAGGTTCACCCCTCCCAGCCGTATCCCTGGTAATTGCATGACTGCCTGGCTCCTCTTTCATTCTGCTCTGTGTCGCAGCCTCGACAACTATGGTGCATTCAGGAGGTGCTGTTGCGCGGGTGCGCTGCTGCCTTGAGGCCCGCCCCCTGCTCTTTGTTGGGACAGCAGGAGGGCCTTGCTGCATTGCAGTTCCAACAGCACTCGTGGATGCTGTTGCTGAGCGTGTTTGCCTGTCAATAGACGCGGCTGCCATGTCCATCTTGGATCTGCGTGGACTAGTCTGCAGCAAGGGCTCTGCTGTCTGCTTTGGCCGCACCATTCTGAGCCAGCTATTGGGAGCTGCGATTCTGCCACGGATCACCTGCCGGAAGACATGTGCCATTCACAAGGTCCAAGTCACGGTCGCCTTCATGATGATGACGTCGATTTTCACGAGTCAGATCACACGGTTGAGTGACCTCCCTATTGAAATATAATAGACTTTGGCCAGAGGAGGCGCGGATAATATAACCAATACTATTCTGTTGTTTTGTAAGAATAGTTGGACCACACCGCAGCAGATGCTTGTAGTAACGAGACCAATATGGACTGGTTGTGAGTAAGCTGAAGTGTGGAGCTGTGATGTCTGGGAGAAGCCAAAGCTCTTCGATACTCAGACGAACACCGATTGATCAGTTCGTTCTGGAAAATACACATTTTGGGACGCCTGATGGGTCGCCCTGCTGGCCCTGCTCGGCATGCTGCCATGCTGGCAGCCGGGCGCGGGCAGCCGAACCACGTGCTCGTTTCGACCGTTTGACTGCACCAGAACGCGCGATCGAGAAGAAGGAAAATGGAAGCAAGATAACTTCGAAAATATTGTACTTTGTCATATGATTAACATTGGCAAGAAGCCATCTTAGCGTTTCCTTGTCACACCGGACTTTTGCAACGACGCGTGCATGGATTTACTGCAACGACACAGGTTGCGATCAGCGATACGATCGTTCAATATTTTTAACCAATCAGCGATAATGTGAGCCTTGGATCTCTTTGATCCGATCACCTGCAAACGCTAGCACGATGGACGTTGCCAGCTAGTAAGAAATACAGCGATGTCAGGGACCCATCGCTCGTTAAGGGCACTATGGCCGACGCCCTGGGTGCAAGGCTTTCTTCTTGTGGTAGTTGTGCTGGTGGGAATCAGCCTGCAGGTCTACAGCACACAAAGGTCAGCCCCACCTCAAACCTACACTATCGATCCTGTGTCTTGGCACCGTTGCTTGGGATATTGGAGGACTACAGTTGAAGCTACAAACTGGACAGCATCTGCTGGATATAGGATAGCCGATCCCATCAATGTTCCACGATGCTTCATATGCATCTGGCGAAGCTGCCTGAGTCCAGCATGTGCAGCTCCTCTTGCACCGAAAAGCAGGGGTGCAGGAGGGGGTGGAGATGCCACGTGTGTTGATCCCTGGAGTGATGCAATGCAAAAAGAACCTTGCAGAGAAGAGGTGTCAGCGTCACACGCATGCAACCTGTAGTCATCCCGAGCAAGCCACCTCTCAATGGGTCATGCAGCAACAGCACCCTGTCCCCTGGGCTCTGAGACGCCAAATGTGGGGTGCAGCTTACCTCATAGTGCAGTCAGACAATGCAGAGCGTCGCGAAGGAGATGGCCATGCAGTTTATAGATGCGGCGCAAGAGCATGACCTGTCATGACCTGTCGGCACATGCCCGCAGGCTGCGTGCGCATGAGGTCATGCAGAGGGAGAAGCACGAGGTGGCGCTGCACAACTTGGAGCAGGCAGCCGGCCACTGCGCGCGCGCCGGCGGCGGCGGGCTTACTAATCTTGACGCCGTCGCCGACTTCATCCGCAGTGAGATTGCCGGAAACTTTCGGTTCGACGAGGAGGTCAAAGATGACCCTGCCAGCTGGGCCAGCCGCGCTGCTGCAGGCTTGCTTCTGCTGGGTGCGTGCATTTATAGCTGGTACAATAGCGCAAAGTGACTGCATGACTCCTGTTGAGGCTGCATTGCTGTGGACTGTCAGATTCGCACAGACAACTACCCTCTGCAAATGCTTGGGCTTATAGTGTCTATGCAAGAGTTCCTCCCCTGGCATAAGGTGCATGGTTGAACGGCTGCTACTACTTATGCTGCTTTGATCTGCAGCTGACTGTACTGCCCTGAGCCACCGGTGCCAGCTGCCAGTTACCGGCCAGTGCCTTCTGTCGGAGATCATAGCAGTGTCACATGTTTACCAGCTCAGTTTGCGCGACCAGTGTAACGGCCATGTCTGTATGAAGGTTTATTCCCCAGATCACGGCAGTTTTTGGGCATTTGGACAAGTCTTGGTGATCTCGACCCGATAGCTGTAAGACAGTCTCTTGTTTCAACACCTGAGTATGCGCCAGGTTTCTAAGATCAATGCCAATACCCCAAATCACAGGGGAATCTGGCGCCGCCTTTAGAATTACTTATATGTGCGATTTATCTGTGCAGTGATGCTGGCGGGGGTGTATGGGGTGTGTGCGCGGCTGGACAGTCTGCCGGCGCCGGTTCAGGCGCTGCTTCGGCAGTGGCTGGGCTCTGAGAACGAGCGCCAGGCCACCACCAGCAAGTTTATGGCCTACCACCTCGAAGTCTGGTTCTCCAACAACAGGTGCCCAGCAACGCTTGCATGTGAATTTGCACCTCCTGTACTGCTCCTGTACCGCAGAAAAGATCAGGCATCTCAGGGATGCCATCTGAGATTTGGGGATGTTGCTTGGTCAGCAATGCATCAGCCATCTTGTACAGAACCCGATTGTATAAGCCACACATGTCTTATGGCATGGCAATTAATGCATGCTATGGGTGGCGGCTGAAGTAAAAACTCCAAATTGAGTCGCTAACAGTATTCAATCGGAGGTTTTGTTCTGCTCTCAGGTTTAGCAAGGTGCTGTCGCTGCTGTACCTGACCATCGGGCTGGTGTGGCTTGGCGGCCTGGGCATCTTTGCAGTCACTGGCGAGTCACTTTACGACGCCTTCTGGCAGGTGGGCGCTCCTCTGCAGCCCAAAACACCCTCGTTCCCGTATAATTCCCTCAAAAGTTGTCACTGCACGTAAGTCTCACTCCGAGGCCTCGAATGCAAGTGGTCCTACAAATTGACAAATCTGGGATTGGACCAAGGAAAGCTTGGTCATGAGTGTTGAAAGGGATTGTGTTTTATCGCGAGCTGCTGTTTATAGGACATGTGTCCACCCATGCCTGCGCGCCAACAAGGACAATCATGCCTTGGCATCACTCACCTTCAAATCCTTACTAAATCAGGCTTCATTGAGGCGTCTACTTCATATATTATAGTATATCCTTATATCCAACGATAAGCTGGCTGGGTGCAGGCGATACATGGGGTGGGCATAGACTGGACGTTTGCTGGTGAGGCGGTGGAGTATGGAGGCTTCCTGGTGCGCGCGACAGCCGTCTTTGTCAGCCTGGGTGGCATGCTCGTCACTGCGCTCATGCTCGGCATTGTTTCAGGTGAGGGCAGCAGTGCATCACGCCGCCATACGAATGGTGGCAGTGACGTTTCCAGCTTGCGCATGCATTGCCTCAGACGATGAGCCGGGCAATGCAGAGGAAAGGCGACGTCCTCAGAGAGCCATCTTGGTCATACACCGGAGTAATGCATGGTTGAGCATTGCATAGCTAATGAACGGGAGAGCCATCAGGGGTAAATCCACATGATGGCCAAGTCCGAACCAAATTTTAGCTCTACCCCTAAGTGCAATGTACAAATAGCCCCGTCGGAGGACTAAGATGGGCTGCGCACGCAATAGTGAGCAATGAAAATTCCAAGGTAGGGATGTCTTCATGTTGCAGACGCGATTGGGGACAAGAAAGGGGACCTGAAGAAGGGCAAGAGCAGTTCATTACTGGGCTGTGCTGCGCAATGCAGATGCGATTGGGGACAAGATAGAGGATCTGAAGAAGGGGAAGAGCGACGTTTTGGAGGCAGCGCACACGCTCATCCTGGGCTGGAGCGACAAGTCCCTCAACATGATCGACCAGCTCTGCCTGGCCAACGAGAGCGCGGGGGGGAAGGCCATCGTGATCCTGGCCGAGCGAGACAAGCTCGACATGGAGCACGACATCCACCGCCACGTGCGCGACCTGCGCGGCTCCCGCGTCCTCTGCAGGTGCGCAGTGCGACTCCCTCTTCAAAAGGTTTAGTGCATTTAGTGGGAGTGAATCTGCATGGCATGGTGGGGACGGTACCCTTGGAGTTCTAGCATTGAGCAGTATCACCGGATTTGGGCTGGCTGTGAAGTCAGAGCAAAGGCCGGGATTCCACGAGTGCCACAGCTGCTGCATGACTGAAACTGTATGTCACAAACTTTCTGTTCTCGCTGACACATGTTATGGCCCAGCCCTTGGCAGTTCAGCGCTTCTCTTCCTTGCTTCAACTCCTGAAGCCCTGCTGGGAGCTTGCTGGCGCGACAGCAGGAGCTCCCGAGGTGCAAGCGGCATGTCGAATTTGAGAGCCCATATAGATAACCCTTTGAAGCATAGTTGAAATCAGACGTCACAGATTCAAGAACATAGTAATCTTATTCAATTTTTTACGATCGTTACACGCTTTCCCTGCCGGAGGCAAGATGCGTCTGCTAAGGAGCAGCTGAAATCCTACCCAAACATGAGCAATATTAGTAATGGGAATAGTACATGATCAGGGCCCCCTTGTGCGTGCAGGAGCGGCAACCCGCTGATAGGCCTGGACCTGGAGCGGGTGTCGGTGGACGTGGCGCGCGCGATCGTTGTGCTGGCGACGGCCGAGACGCCGGAGCGCTCCGACGCGCGCGTTCTGCGAATTGTCCTCTCCCTCATGGGCGTCCACGACCGCCTCAAAAAGGCCGGACGCGGCGGGCTTCAGGTGCCTGCCTGTTCAGGCCGCAAACATGTACCGCATGCAAAAGTATGACAGGTTGTATCTGAGTGCAGACTACAGGGTCCTCCCTAGTATATTCCCTACATGGCTCACATCTGTAAGGGGCTAGGCTTGCTTGATGCGTGCAGGTGACTCGGGTCCTGCTGCAACAAATCTAATAGTTTACATCATTGACCAGTGCAGCTCGATCAGGCTCCGCTCTACCGTCAATGAAGCTAATTTTTTGCAGGAGTACTTGAGCATGGTTTTGCTTTCTGAGGTGTCTTGATGGCGGCCACGGGGCCTAGTTCTCACAATGCTCTTGCAGGGCTCGACACATATGATGTTTAATTCTGAACAAAAGACTGACTTAATCTTTTCCCATCAGTTGTAAGGTTGGATGCAAGCATGCTGCATCGCGGCATACAGCCTGCTGCTGCAAAGCCCTTGCAGAAGCATGAAGTCATCTAGTCGCATGTCACATCTGCCTGAAGGCAATTCCCACAATTTCTTTGCTGGAGTACCCTTGCTCATGACCTGCATTGTGGAGAGCACACGCCTGAGAGGCAGTGTTCCTACTGCAGGGGCACATAGTGGCGGAGGTGTGTGACCTGGACAACGAGCCGCTGGTGAAGATGGTGGGGACGCAGCACGTGCAGACCGTGGTCTCACACGACATCATCGGCCGCCTCATGATCCAATGCGCGCGCCAGCACGGCCTCGCATCAGTCTGGCAGCAGATCATGGGCTTCCAGGGTGCGCCACTGTCTGGACGCTATTGCTGTTGATAAGCTGTGTCTCTGCGACTTGAGTTGCAGTCTGCTATAAAGATTGCATGCGTGAGCACCAACTGGTGGCTCATGTCACACCCCCATGCAGGAAGCACAAGGATCTTGAAAGCAGCTCTCTTGCTCTTACTGCAAACCATGAGGTCTCTTGGAAAGCGGGCTGTCTTGAGATTTGATCGCTTTTGGGGGGTTGATTAGTCACAATACTATGATGCGCAGGTGACGAGTTCTACATGAAGGAGTGGCCGCAGCTGACGGGGCGCAGCTTCATGGAGGTGCTGGTCAGCTTCCCGGAAGCTGTCCCCTTTGGCATCCGCAACGCCAGCGGACTGCTCATCAACCCCGAAGACAACTACATCATGCAGCCCGGTGCGCGCAGGAACCATTGCACTGGCCACTGCCCGAAATCACCCTTCACAATGCCTTCCGAATGGCCTGGACTTGAACTCCCAGATACCACCTTGTCTTATTACGCCTGTGCACTTACCACTCAGCAAGAGCAGAGCCAGCAGTGGGGTGACCATCAGCCGTGACCACGGCGGGCTCTGCTTGCCAGGAAGTAGACAGACCCAACAAAGGGATTCATGCCCCACACGCTATGTATAGTGTGATAGCAACAGCTGACTATGTGCTGAGTATCAGCAAGGAGATGCGAATGCCTCCACATGACGTGAGCTTATCAACAGTGCCAAGGGCACATGACTACAGAGGGCTGAATTGCTCTTGGCGTGTGTGCAGGTGACCACGTGATAGTGATAGCGCAGGACGATGACTCGTACGCGCCGCTGAAGGAGCCGGCCGCGGCGCCGCAGCCAGGGGACGCATGCCCGCCGGGCGTCAGCCGCCGTGCGCCGGAGCGCGTCCTGTTCTGCGGCTGGCGCCGCGACATGCACGACATGATCGCCGTGCTCGACGCCTTTGTGTACCCTGGCAGCGAGCTCTGGCTCTACAACGAGGTGCACGCTTGGTCTCTTAACAAGGCTTGTGTATAAAAACAGCGTGCCTTGAGCTGTTTTCTGTTGCCAGCTTCTAAATACTATCTGGCTCTGGCTCTACAACAAGGTATCCTGGAATGTCCCCTTGACGCCCACCTGAGACTAGAGGCTGGTGCGCTGCGTGTCTGTGCCAAACCCCCGGCACCCTTGTCCGGGCCTTGCTCTGGTGAGGCCTTGCGGGTCTCTCTTGGCCAGATTCTCTGCCAGATTCAGACGGATGTATGTATAGCAATGGATCAAGTAGGAAGGCAGACAAAGTAGGCCTCTTGGTGTGCTCAGGTGCCAGTCCAGGAGCGGGAGAGGATTCTTAAGAAGGAAGGGCTGGACCCAACCCGCCTGCAGAACCTCACGCTCATCTACAAAGTCCAAGAGGTGCGAACATAATGATGCGTCTGTTCCTTTGCAGGTTGTATAACTTTCACAGCTCCTATTGGGATAGCAGCGGTCATTGTGGCCCATAACTGTAATATTTATCGTTAGCGATTACCATTGCTCGTCTGCTCACATTGCAGTGGCATGGCCAGATGCATTGAGAAGCACTCTGAGTCTTGAAGGAGCTCTCTGATTCAACTGCCCCCATGAAATTTCATGCGCCCTTCTCGTTTGACTGATGCTAATTAGCATGCACTGCAGGCAACATGTCTCTCTGTCTGGGTGGCTACAGGGAAGAGGGTGAGGTAGCCTGGTCAATCTGTAAGGAGTGACTGACTTTAACGATGTGTGCACAGGTCGAGGGGGAGCTGGTGAGCCGCAAGCGATTAGAGGAGCTAGCCCCCGAGCAGTTCAGCAGCATTCTGATCCTGGCGGACGAGATGGCGACGTTCGGGGCCGGCAGCAGCAGCGATGGCGCGGCGGACAGCGACAGCCGCAACCTGGCCACTCTGCTGCTGCTGCGCGACCTGCAGACCAAACGCATGGGGCCCCAGCCTCTGCAGCGCAAGTCCCGCTCCTCCGAGATGCGCATCAGGCCCAGTGAGTTTTACCGCTTCTGTGGGGGCGAAAGCAGTGCTCAACTTGGCACCATGATTCCTCCACCCGTTGAAGTAGCAATATTACTGCAATACTGACGCTGCCTTTGGTACTCTGGCAAAATTTCCTCTTTTTGAAAGCAATCAGCAGTTGCCAGGGATGCTGCCGGCACATTTCTGCACTTCTTACTCTGTTTCTGCTGAGTCACTTTCGAGGCATGACGAGGAGAAGGGTGGTGACGCTTGACGTCTGGAAGTGAAGATGAACCACGTGTTGTGGGCTCCATGCATGCATTTTTGTCGTGGCATGGCCTGGGGAATGTTTTCAGGCACCTCTTAGCTTTTCAGCATATCATGCACTCCTTTACACGTGAATTTCTAGAAGGCTCATGGGTATCTCTTCTCCAGGATGGATCCATGCTCGCTTTGGGTAGCGTGGTGTGCTGATGTGACATTTGCTGGGGTGCTGCTGCAGTGGCGCTGCGGCGGCAGTCGACGATGTACACAGACGGGAAGCAGGCGATGTGGTACGATACCATGGCCACAGCAGTCAAACAGACCATCATCATCTCAGAAATCCTGGACACCCGCACCCGCCATCTCATCCAGGCACGCCCTCGGAGACATGCCTCATGCCTGTCTGTAGCAGTGCATGGAAGTTTTCTGCATGAGCTGTCAACCTTTGTGTGGTCAGGTTGCACGGTGTATACTGCAATTTTTCTCCTGTTGGCATCCATCTTTGCCAAGATCCGTCTTTCATGCAGCTCCGGCACAATTGGCTACGGTCTTGTAGCCGCCTTGGAGCCTGCAGGCTGGAGAAACTCGTGATCATGAGGAACCTTCCCATAATGAATTCAACCCCTGTTGGGTTGAAGCACGACTGTATCGCTCGATATGGGTCCAATAAATTGATGGAGTTTGTGAATGTAAGTGTGCGTGTGTTAATGCGCAGGAGCTGAGCGTGAGCGAGTTTGTGCTGAGTAACGAGCTGGTGAGTATGGCGCTGGCAATGGTGGCAGAGAACCCGGACGTCAATGACATCCTGTCAGAGCTCTTCACGCCCGACGGCAACGAGCTATACGTGCACACGGCCTCCCGCTACTTGAGGTGCGTCCACCCCCGGAATTGATATATACTTCCCGGGACTAACCTATTTTTCCCATGTGTTTATATGGGTGTGTCAAACATACAAATCTGACAATGAATTGATTTTGGCTGTGTGGTATATCCGAGATGAGGTAGAATATCATCAAGTGAATGAGATGTATGCATGCCTAGTGCATGCTATGCTAGTTTTGGTCTTGAGGCCAGGCCATGCAGTGAACCAGGGCAGAGTCATACCCTTGCTAGAGTGCCAATGCGCCTGCAGTACGGTACCAAGACCATTTGAGATACATCCCCCAGAAAGTCTTGACCACCGCATGCTAGGAGAGGGCGTCTGCTTTGCTCGTGGTAGCCGCACAGGGTGAATAAGATTGCCTGAGGGGCTGTGCAGACCACTGCCTGGCAGTGCAGGGCTTCTTCCTCATTACATGGAGCCAAGAAATCACTTTTGATAAGAGGAAAAAAAGGACACTGGTGTTTGTCAGCCAACAAATCAGATAATTGAAAGTTCATGGGGTGTTGTAGAGAGGGAGAGGTGAAGAGCTTCTTCGAGGTGATGGTGCGAGCGAGGGAGAAAGAGGAAATTGTGGTGGGGTTAAAAAGGAAGGGGCAAAAGGTGCCCGAGTTGAATCCCAAGGGCAAGGACGACCCCTGCCTCAGCCTCAAAAATATCACCTCATTCGTAGTCATCATCACAGGTGTGTGCCCCGCATGTGACCTCACATGAGCGCATGGTGCCCCACACACCCAGCCAGCCAGATCTAAGAATTCAGGCTCCTAATGTGCAGTCTTGTGAGTGATGCCTTATTGTCTGTGCTAGGGTTGGCAGACATTGCAAGAACTGTGGTCCACCACATTTCTGGAACAGGGCTTGCTTCCTGTGTTCTAGCACAGCTGTGCCAGAATAGGTGCTCGGATGGATGAGTTCATCATCTTGCTCAAGTCAACCAAACTGTCAGCTTTGCGATCATGCTGACATGTTAAATCTGCTCATTGGAACTTGTGTTGATATAGTCAACGCCTGAATGCTTTGCTTGCAGTTTATTTTTGGGGCTGCATCTTGAAATGCGCACATGAGGCATCTGATCAGCCCTTTTTTTTGCTGCATCTAGCTGGCCCGAGATGTAATCTCCTAGTGAATAAATACCATTCCCTCTGTACTCCGACTCATCATTTAGTCATTCTTTGTGACTCAAGCCTGCTTCTTTGCCTGCACTGCAGGCGTAGACCCAGACAGGCCCTCCCGGCATTCCTCATGGGTGGGCGAGCTCCCTTCTGCGGGCGCTAGCAGCAATGGAGATCTGTCGGGCATAGACATGGCGCTGTCGTGACAGCTATGCACTGTGCAGATGCTAGGGAGCTAGAAATAAGTATGACGAGATCAATTGGTATACGGTCAGTTACGCGTGCTCATGTGCCAGTGTCTGGCATGTGCACACGAGTCGCTGCATGCAGCGACCCTCTATCGGGTGTAAGCATGGAAACCGCACCAGGAAGTAGTTCGAGAGGCAATTTACGCAGCGTGGAGTGGTGGCGGGTTGATGTATCATGTGGTGTACACACGTTGGCCATACACTGTGATGAGACAGTGCCACGTGCATTGCTGGGTGCAGCATTTTTCAGTATTGCAAATAGGTTCTGTGTGGTTACAGTGTTGCCGTTTTTAACCGGCACAGCTGCGTGTACAGGGTATGGTTCAGTGCGATATCAAATGGCTGAAGTTTTGGAGCTGCTTGTCATGCAAGCCCAAAAATATTAGCTGCCGTAGTCCGGCATTGGCACACGTTTGAATTGCAGCAATGAGTTGTCGTCATGATCTGGCTAATTCATGGCCGCTCTTGAGAATAAAACGATTTGATTGCTGTACAACTTGAATGAATGAAAATAGAGAGATGCCAACAGCAGGCAGCGTCTCTATATTTCGCTTGTACAAACAACTCTGCAGAAACTGACATCCACCGAATGCTACTTCAATAAAATCTATAAAATACCTCGTCACTATTGGACTACAGGGTTTTAATTACAAGATGCCTGACCATTGCCCAGAGCTCTAGAGGTACAAACAAGCACAAAGAACAGAAAGAGAGACTCTTTCAGCTCTGGGCTGCATCAAGTTTTTGAAGAGCCTCTTTGAAGTGGGAGTTGTACTTCAGGGTGTTTATGCATTGCTGGTAGTGTGCGCGCGCATCATCCACCCTTCCCAACTTCTCCAGAGCCTGCCCCTTCCTCGCATGCGCTGCATGACACACATACAATGGATATCAAGAGAGCTATGAAAACTATTCATTCCTTCCTATGTACTTCTTTGGAACAAAGCATTGCAAAATGCACGGATATGCCAGAGAAAGGGTGGCCAGTGCGGATGAACACCTTTGAGATAATCTGGATCCAGCTCTATCGCCTCCTCAGCATCTGCCAGAGCCTTTGTGTGCAGGCCCATGTGTATGAAGGCAATGGCTCGATTTCGGCAATCAACATTTTTTCAGTCACAACCAGCCTTCAGCACGGAGATATTTCTACAGTAATTTTGCTGAGGGTTTAGGGAATACAAATCCAGGGTTTAGGATTTAGGGATGGGGCCTTTAAAGTGATATTTTTTCACGGGGAATGCAATGGTAAATCTAGGGATTAGGGTCGGTGCAGGGTCGAAAATCTATGGTTATCAAAGTCATTGTAAGCCTTCATAAGCGCAAGGAATTCGTGGGCATCAGTTCACAGTGCAAAGCGCACACGGTGGGGCGTATGGTTGGTGTAAACAGGAGTGCAGGAAACACCTGAAAAGCACTGCAGAGTCAGGATCATGCTGCAGAGCCTCAGAGTACCTGCGTGAACAAGTGATGTTGGCTCAGCTGTGTGCAGAGAGCGGATTCCTCATTTCAGACCCGCTGCCCAGAACAACACCAGCGGATTAGCCCCACCCATTCAGCCAACGAGCTGCAGACCTGTTGCCTACGAAATCTTCAGAAGCAAGCACCTGCAGTTTGTTTCTGTGGTGCGTTTGTGGCGTTTTCTAAAAAAAAAACAGGACACATGGAAGAGCAGACCAAGGTTCCCTATGCAACAGCAGACCAGGGTTTCTATGCAGAGGGAAAATGAAGGAATCTTACTTGTCAGCAGCCTTGGCGTATCGCCGGAGGGAGAACAGGCGGTTGCCCTCATTCTTCAGCTCCTCTGCTGGTGGAATCTGATAATCTTACTCGGATACCTGCGCAGAGTGTAAGCATCAGCAACAGCACAGAACGCACTTGGCCTTCCTGCACTCTGCCAGGAAACAGCAGTCTCGTTTGTAAGAGGGGTCCTTTTCATCATGTCAGGCTGACAAGACAGTGCCATTTGCTGGAGTGCCTGGGGGCACTTTGCACCTTTTCTGCCAAGCAGCTGGCTGTTCAAATTTGTCGAGCTGCAGGGAATCAGGCACGACATAGATATGGGGACTTCCCACTGGGGGACGAGAGGCCAATAAATCCTGCATCTGGGTAGATGAAGGTGCGCACTGGGTTGTTGCAGCCCTCTATGTCGGTGCCATTCCTTGCACAAGTCTCGGCTGCCTCCTCCCTGGTCTCCAGCTGAGGCCTGAGGATCCCCATTTCGCGCAGCCACTTCTCCAGCTTTGGCCACATGTCCCGCAGGCGCCAGGCCACAAACACTCCAAAGGGCCGTCTCCCCTGCATCAGCCATTTCAGGTGACGGACATTAGAGGGCGCAGCATAACACATCAGTGGCGCAGATGTCCTCGCTTATGAATGTACATCTGTGAATAGCTGGTGCTAGTACAGAAGTGGTGGGCTGAAATAGGTGAAATGCATGAAAGAGTGAAATGCAAGCAATATTAAGATGAAGCCCAGACAAGTAACCGAAATTGTCGAAGAAGGAATAAAATACATCCAGCTGAGTAACATGAAATGGAAATGGGGTTAGTGAGGAGAGGCAGGTGCTTCCCACCTCGCCCTCCATGGGGAAGGCCATGCCGACCTGTCATCAGTACACATCAGCGCCTCAGCCTTGAGAGTAGGACCTCAAAAGAATGTCGTGGGCAGGTGAAGCTTGGCAACAAGAGGGCAATACACCGAAAGGTTACATCACCTGCAGAGCTGTGATAACATCATCAACACTAGGCCTGCCATGGGTCTTCTTGTAGCCCACGAAAGATCCTGCAGCACCACCCCTTACATCTTGAATAACTTCAAACCCCAAGATCCAATCAGAAAATGACAAAAGATTCACCAAACGGCGTTCACCTTGGGGATTTTGGCTGATCGCGATGCAATACTCCTGCTGCTTCGTTTCAGGATCAACATAGCCAAGGTCCCTGAAATGGCAAATGGACCTTAAAAGCATCCCTGGAAATATCTTCAAGCAAAGTCAGTGCAATGGAGAGTTCTCTCACATACTCACGTGTAACTCACAGTCCAGTAGCATATTGGATGCAGTGGCTGCAAACGCGCGATATATTGTGCTTCACCTGGTAGAGGACATGCGCATATTCAGTAGAAGTCTATTTTAATGTTTGATAATAAGCAGTTTTTGCAGTCTCTGCAGAGTGTGGTAGACAAACCCTCAAACCATACCTTCGCGCTGTTGGGCAAGCGCAGCCTCTTTGTGACATTTTGCATCCACTTCTGCGTCGCTTTTGTCATATGAATTGAATGCTCTCTTTTCCAGCTCCTCATCAGAGAGAAGATCGGGCGCCTGTTCCGGATTTGGTAGTAAGTCCGCGATAATTTCCTTCTCTTGCTTGCTCATTCCCCGACGCATCTTGCCGGCACCAGATTTACTGTTTAGAAGAAATACTGATGCAACAGTCGTTAAAATTGTTGGTTTTATTAACAAATTGTTAACACAGTGCTGCTCGCCATACTGAGGCCGCAGGATCCTGCCCAATTGCCCAGCGCTTCTTGCCAAAGCGGGCAGCCTTCCTTGACCACGTGCGGATGCATGCAGATGTGCGCAAAATTTCCCAAGGAGCGAAAAACACCCGTGTTTCATATATAATGGCTTCAAGCGTGCAGATGCTTGCAAGACCCAAGTGGGTGCGCGCGCCCAAGCGCTTGAGCAAGTATTCTTCAATCGAAGGACTGCGAATCCGAAGGATTTAAATTTTCCAAGCTTGCATGCAAGAAGGACTGCAGTTGCGCAGACATGCCGCATGCATCTAGAAGCCTTATCATGAGTGAATCCTGTGCATCAGAATGATGCTTCTAGTAGTAATGCCATAGAGCCCCATAACAGAGATGCTCAAGATGGGCATCTCAAAACTTATATGTAATGTACAACTTGAAGAATTTGACTGCGCAGGGCACCACAACTTCAAAAGCCCTTGCCAGCAAATCAAAGCTTGACATCAGACAGCTTTTGGAGGGCCTCCTTGAAGTGTGTGTTGTTCTTGAGGGTATTTATGCATTGCTGGTAGTGTGCGCGGGCATCATTTGCCCTTCCCAGCTTTTCCAGGGCAAGCCCCTTCCTCGCATGCGCTGCACACACAAGTATATGATCTCTTGGTCAGATAAGATAAAGAATTCACATGTTAAGACAGCAAATCTCCTGGCGGCTTTCTTGACTCCTGGTGCCGCACACAGCAGAGGTGGAGCAGGCAAGAGGCAGCATGCAAGAGAAGGGGTTCATCAATGGTATGCCGAACGTCAGGCCGGACCTTTGATGTACTGTGGATCCAGCTTTATCGCCTCCTCCGCATCTGCTAGTGCCTTTACATGCAGGCCCATGTGCAGGCGGGCAATGGATCGATTGCTGCAGTCGACACATACAATCATATTAGATCTGATTATCTTCTGCTTTGTCCCAGCAAAGTTGTAAATAGCACATTAAGAGGTGGGGTGCCCAGATTGCAATTGCGCCTAAAAGTCTGCAACATCAGGGTGCAGAATGCAGAATTTTCACCTGTAGAGCACTGCAGATGTGGGGTCATGCTCCAAGGCCTCAGTGTACCTGCAACACCACAGCAATGCTAGCTGGATATTTGCCAAAGTATACGATCATGACCAGCAACTAGGCTCATCCAAGGAGTAAATGTAGGGATTTGGGCTCCTTCATTCTCTGCTCCAGATGCCTCGCAGGATCTTTTTGCTACCGTCCTCCAACAAAGATGACCACAGCCATAGCAGCTTGCGGCAAGGAGCAACTTTGAACGGGTAATCTGGCGGCTTCGCACTTTTCAGCAGCCTTGGCATATCGCCTGGAGGAGAAGAGGTCATTGCCCTGGTCCTTCAGCTTCTCTGCTGGGGGAAGCTCTTCCTTGTAGACTTCATCAGGCACCTGCGTACCATCCCAGCCAGACTTACAGCTTGTAATCGACCTCAGGTGCAAGGCTTCGATTTCAAGCCTAAAATTCCAGGCCTTGGATTCCAAGCCTTAGAATAAGCCCTACAATTTACCGTGACAGGCTTCTCTTTCAAGGGGCTGGGGTGTCATATTGCCATTCGTCTCGAGCAGCAGCACATGATGCTATATACTAGTTGTGTCCATGTAGCCCAACAGCAACTTTACTGCAGATTCTCAACGTGTCAAAGGCTGGCCCCACATTCCAGAACTTCCCATGCGCATTTCTGGTCGGAAGGGGGGCTTTCTGTGAGTGCGCACTGGGTTGTTGCGGCCCTCTATGTCGGTGTCATGCTCTGCGCATGCAATCACGGCCTGCTCCCTGGTTTCCAGCCTGGCAAGGATCTCCATCTCTTTCAGAAACTTCTCCAGCTTCGGCCACATGTCGCGCATGCGCCAGGCCACCAGCAATGACATAGGCCGCCTCCCCTAATCAACCAGGCACACTTGGAATGTCATGACACCCTCTTTTCAAGACCGATGGCGCAGGTGCCTTGTGCATGCCTATTGCTTTAGGAGGAAGGCGGCTTTGACTGGTATGGTTTCAGGGCCAGATGGACTCATAGACAAACAGTTTGGGGCTGTGCATGCCTACAGCACCTTGGAACAAGATATCAATGTCTGGCATGCAAGAAGATACATGGCTGGCTCAAGGCAAGTGATCGCACCTTGCCTATATGAGGGAATGCCATGCTGACCTGCAACATGAAACAGATGAAGGCCTTCAGATGGACACACACATGCAGACAGGAAAATGAAGCACCAAGATACGCTCGGGCACAGATTGCCGGACCTGGAGAACAGTGATGATGTCATCAACATTGGGCCTGCCTTGAGTGACTTTGGAGCCAAGGATCAAGCCTGCACCACTGCACAAGATCAGGGAGATGTGGCATCCAACTTTTAATCATCTTTCATGGCAGTTGATATTTATTCAAGCACCGACGTCAACAGTCACCTTCTGGATTTTGGCAGACCGATGTGCAGTATTGCTGCTGCTTCGTATCAGGATCGATGATTCCCAAATCTCTGTAAAAATATCCGAGATCAGAAGCGCTTCTCACAATTTTGTAGGACATTCTGCAATGAGCAATGGGGCGTGTGTTTTCATACGTACGTGTAGCTGACAACCCAGTGAGTAAATTCTTGTGGCTGCAAACGCGCAATGTACTGGGCCTCGCCTGCAAAGACACACCGGAACTAATCCCTTATCAAACACGACTGTTTCGCTCAGTCAACGGCAGAGTTCCACCACAGATCGTGCTAATAAGGGGGGGATGTGCACCTTCGCGCTGTTGTGCAATTGCGGTATCTTTGTGGAATATGGCATCGATCTCTGCATCACCTTGCTCACAACAGTCCATTGCTTTCTGAAGAAGCTCTTTCAAACTGAGTTTCTCGGCCTCCTCGGGGCTGATGCCAAGCTCCTGGATAAAATCCTTCTCCATCGATTTGAAATTCCGCGGCAAGCTTCCCATCAGACAGATAAAATGAGGTCAACTCCCGGCTTTGGGTGCAGTGTTTGGCACGATCAGTGCATCAGATTGCTCGAGGCCATCACAGTACTGTCCACGAGGTAAAGCAAACGAACCCTGCCCACTGGTCTTGAGCGACTTGCCCGATCTGGGCAGCCAGTCCCCATCATCCCATGAGAGAGGAGCACATGCACGCCAATTGATATTAGCGACACTAAAGACCACTGGGCCCACCATGATATACAAGAAGGCCAGTGAAATGCACCCTCAGCCCGAGCCCACCTGAATGAGAATTCTGCAATATTGTGATTTTCTGGAGCGCGCATATGCCCCGCTGCCAGCACCATAGGATTGTAAAAGGTTTACTCTCAGATCTCTAGATTTCCAAGCCTCATGATTATCATCATTTTGGATACATACTATTGTTCCTTGCGTGAACCTAGGACCTGTACAAATGACCGCACAGCATGTCCGTCTAGAGTGGTACGCACATGGACCTTGCATCAACTTTAATCAGTCCCAATCCTCTATTCTTTATTGATCTGTAAGGTTGCTCTCGCTTTGAATTTCCAAAACAGAGATTCTAAATTTCGATATGGATTTGGGCAGGCTACAACCCCCTGGACCCCCGCAGCGTCGGGCTCTGTAGTATTGGGCATTCTAAACAGCTGCTTGCAGACAAATTTGCAGATCTGCAGATCTAATAATTTGCACCTTAGTTGCACCAAGGTGTGACCTTCATATCCCGCCAAAACTATAGTGGCCGCCACTCAACTTTTTCGAAATAAGAAAGTGCGCAGTGCATTCACACACTGCACACAAGCAAGCTGAGCTGTACACTCCTCTGCTATGTCAAATTGGAGACCTTATACTGACTTCAGTGTTGAAGCTACAAGTTGTTGGTCTCCATTCTTTGGAGGGCAGTTTTAAAGCACTCGTTGCGCTTGAGAGTGAAGATACACCCCCGATAGTGTGCGCGCGCATCAGCCACCCTTCCCAACTTTTCCAGGGCCAGCCCCTTCCGGGCATAACCTGTGACATCGCAGACCAAGGAAATCAAATATGATCACGCAAAGCCCTTTGAAGCTAGCATTTTCACTTCTCTCTAAGATTTCACTGCAGACTGATGGAGAGTCTGTCAGATCATAAGGAGAGAGGCTATCAGTGGTGGGGCTAGCTGGACAAAGCACCTTTGATGTATTTTGGGTTCAGCCTTATCGCCTCCTCAGCATCCGCAAGCGCCTTTGCATGCAGACCCAGTTGCAGATAGGCAATGGCGCGATTGCTGCATTGAACACAAGAACTAGTATGAAAGACTTGAAGAGATCACAGATGCATGATCATCCCTTGTCAAGGTGCAGGATGCCTGAAATGCGCAGAGGGATTCAGCATAGATGTGACAGCTCAAATATTAGACTTGTTGTTTGGATGCACCTGTAAAGCACTGCAGATCTGGGGTCCTGCGCCAGAGCTTCACTGTACCTGTACCGGCATGGGAACGATCGAATTATCTCAGCACAAAACCCCTGCCGCACAAAACACGGCTGATTGTAAGCCCTGCAGTGCTTCGGGCTAAATCACTCAGTTGTTGACCATCTTTGTCGACCTCCTGTTACCTCAAAGTCGCAATCAGCATCTGCAATCCTTACGGAATGGTACTTTCAAACAAATGAACAAAGCTCTAGACTAGGCTCAGGCAGCAAGCAGGAAGCTTGCAGAGCGCAGAAAGTTTTGCAAACCTGTCAGCAGCTTCGACATACTGCTGTAGGGCGTAGAACTGATTGCCCTCCAATTTCAGCTGTTCAATTGGTATGGGGGGTTTTGGAAGTTTTGGTTCCTGCAAAACACCAAGTTTTCAATCTCCGAGGGTTTGTGCTTCTCTCATGAGACAATGTGCGCGACCGGAGCCAAGATCCATGGAGGCCTGGCACCTCCTCAGCTTCTGGCAGCAGTTTAAATCCTGGTGCTTCCTCGGGTGCAGTATGCAACTGCTCGGCAGCTGGTGCTCCTTCACATGCACCTGGCAGCTGCACATCAGCTGATGCTTGCTCAGATGCAGATACCTGGCAAACCACAAAGGCTTCAGCTTTTCTGAGCATTTGGTGAGTATAAATACCAGGGTGCTGATCTCACAATGCACTGTGACTTGAAAGGACTGATGATGGCGCGTACTGGGCTGCTCTGGGCCTCCATGACCAAAGCATGGTCCACAGAGGGGAGCATGGCTGCCTTCCTGGTCTCAAGCGTGGCCACAATTTCAATTTCATGCAGGAATTTTTTCAGCTGCGGCCACATGTTGCGCAGGCGCCTGGTCACAAGCACCTCATAAGGCCGCTTCCCCTGAACGCAGCAGCCAGTGGAGATGTGATTAAACTTGGCTGTTTAGGCAGGTGGCATGGAAATGCTGCGCTCTGGTTGGACACATAAAAATGTAGCTGCCCATTACTGCGCATCACAAGCAACAGGTCTGCCACAAAGCTTGACACATTTTTTATTCACATGGGGTGCTTGTGGTGCAGGTGCGAGTGCACTCCAGCATAGTGCTTGCGAGTGACAGGCGGACTCTCTGCCCTCAAGTGGCCACGTTGTGGTCACTGGCTTGTAGCTGGACTGCGCACCAAGCAGTGAGAGGCAGAGGCTGTGTAAATAGCCACACAACATGAATGTGATGGGGACTGTAAAGGGAAGCGGGCAGAACAGAGGGAGGCAGCCAAGTACCTTGCCAACCAAGGGAAATGCCATGGCGACCTGTCATGCCAGAGACTTATTTACTGATTGTGGTGGAACAGGTGATGCTCCAGCAAGCAGAGCATGGTTGAGTTTCTGCTTCAAGGTAATAGGGGAGAGCACTGTGAGACCTGAAGTGCCGTCACAACATCATCAACGGTAGGCATCCCATGCGTTGTCTTGTGGCCCATAATGTGTCCTGCGCAAACATTGAAAGCATATGGACCCCAACCCACGCTACGACACCTTTCTACATCGTCCAAGGCAGACTAAAGCAATCAGCACCCTGAGGATTCTCGCAGATCGTTATGCAGTGGTCTTGCAGCTTTGTCTCTGGATCGATGAACTCAAGCCCCCTGCGTCATAAATGTGACCGCCTTACCATATATAAAAGAAAACAAATTTCTGATCCAAGCCTTTGACAGAAGTACTCACGTGTAATTCACAGACCAGAGACACTTCAGCGGCTGCAGTGGTTGTAGACGTGCAATATCTCGCGCCTCGCCTAATCGAGAAAATTCACACAGTAAGTCAGTACAAATCCTGGATAGGATCGAAATCTTGTCCAAATATAACACTGTGCAGTGCTGAAAATTTGACCCTAACCTTCGCGTTTTTGAGCCAGAGCAGCCTCTTCGTGAGAATTTTCATCCCTCTTTGGATCAAATGTGACGTAGATTTCAAGCATTTGTTTCTGCAGATCTTCAAGGCTAAGTTGCTTCCACTCTTCGTGGGTCATGTCCATGCTGTGGAGAAATCTCTGCTCGCGCCAGCTCACTTCCCCATCCATCTTTGCGATGCCAATCCAAACAAAGATCAGGCAATATGAAGAGTGGTGCGCATTGCATATACTCTCTATGTTTCGCGCAATTGCTTGCACGATATCTCGTGTCACATCCAGGAGGGCTCCCGAGAAGAACCTGCCCGCTGCCCAAAAGCGGGGCAGCCAATGTCCACCGAGCGAAAAAAGAATGAGCAAACAAAAGAGGTGGATTGAAAAGGGACTCGATCCTGGAACCTTTGGAGCGCATTGAAGTGGTTATGACCACTCGCACATCGTTTGGTGCATCCTACCAGCAGAAACGACCTGTCAAAGTAGCTCTTTCATTGACATATATGTAGCAGCTGGCCTGTAGGTAGCTAGATGCGCTGCCATGGCAGTGGCCACTCCCTAACACTTCCTGCGCATGTCAAGCACAACTAGACAGTGGAAGCAGCGTTGAAGGGCTCCGAATGCGTCTTTCAAATAAAAAGAAATGTTGCACTAAACGGTAGCTGCCTTCTCAGTACTAAAGATGCACATACTGTTTCAAAAGAGCAGCCAATCCCATCAGGCAGCACTGGAGTGCAACATGCTCACTGAAATGATCGTCCTGGCTGGGATGTACGTACATCAACACACCCTCTCAAGCTTACAATCATTTCTACAACCGCAAATAATTGTGGAGTCGAGTCCAACAAGGGGTGAGATCATGGCAGCCTTAAATTGCAGCTTGCCTGCAGGACGCACCTTGCTTCTTGACAGGAAAAGCGCCAAAATAAAACATTAAACCACTGATGAGTGCGCACACTTTCCAAATGCGCTGTACAGGCAGTGCACGGTATATATACAATTATCAGATTTGAACAGTCTTCCCTTCCAATTGTTGTAGAGCTCCCTTGAACTGTGAATTATGCTTGAATAAATGAACATATTGCTGATAGTGTTTTCGCGCTTCCTGTTTCCTGCCCAATCTCAGCAGAGCCAGCCCTTTCCTGGCATGAGCTGCAGAAAAAATGGCACAGACACTCAATATTGCTCAGACCAAATTTCTTCTTGCCATTGACAAGTTGCCATAAGAAGAAAGAAGCCCAACACAATAGGTGCAATGAATTGTGCCAGGTCAGGAAATGACCTTTGCTGTATTCTGGGTCCAACAGAATTGCATCCTCCGCATCTGCAAGTCCCTTTGCATGCAGACCCATATGCAAATGGGCAATGGCCCGGTTGCTGCAAGCAACAGAGTTACTCAACAAAAAATTTACAAGTTTTGCTGAATAGCAGGATGCCGGGTTCTTGAGCAGAGCAACAAGGAAGCTTTGACAGCGAAGATGCATTTGAACCCGCCCATAGAGCACTGCAGATTCAGGATCTTCCCTCAAAGCTTCAGTGTATCTGCACAGGCACACACACAAGCTCAGCTCCTGCCCTGCAAATTTGTGTCACCTGAACTTCAAAAGAACATCTCAAGTCATCAGCCTGGGGCTCAATCACTGCACCTCAAGTGCTCAACAAGGCTTTTAGTTGGCCAATCAAGGCATCTGCAGTCCTAAGTTGCTGTGTTGAAAATAGACTGAAGGAAGGAAACATTGTGGGTCAAGTTTCACAGGAACATACTTGTCTGCGGCCTTGGCATATCGCCTGAGGATGAAAAGGCTATTGCCCTCATTCCTGAGCTGCTGCGAAGGGGTTAAGGGGTCTGGAATAGTAGGTTTCTGTGCAGTGTAGAAGCCTTAATCAGCCGTGTTCTGTCGTGGAAATAATGCAACGGCTGCAGCGCAGCCCATCAGCTACCGGCAGCATCTGCTCCACGCATGCAGGCGAGCACACACAAAAGCAGCAAAAAGCTTTGGCGCGATCTTTCTTGGTTGGCAAGTGACTCCATGCGTGGAAACACGGCATAACGACAAGCAGATATTAATGCCCACCGGGTTGTTGCGACCCTCAATGTGCAGGCCATGTGCGGCAGAGGTGACAGCGGCCTCCTCCCTCCTTTCTAGGCAGGGCAGAATCTCCATTTCACGCAGCCACTTCTCCAGCTTCGGCCACATGTCACGCAGGCGCCACGCCACAAGCACCTCATAAGGTCGTTTCCCCTGCACAGATCAGCCGGCTCCAAGATCAAAAGAGTGCATTGCATAAAACAGAATCACACGGATGTGGCGCTCCAGGCATTCCCTTGGGAACAGAGAGCCAAGCAGGAAATTTGAGCTTCTATGATATGGATTGAATAGGAGAAAGTTTGGCAGGCACGCAACGTACCTTGCCAACCAGAGGGAAGGCCATGGCGACCTGCCAAGCACAGGATCAATCCGCTTACAGCTGCATGAAGGCAGAATTGGTTCACTGCAGAGCATTCGAGGTCCTGAAGTACAGCTGCAAAATGGTAAGAGACCTTCAAACCTGGAGAGCCGAGATGATGTCATCAACAGTGGGCCTGCCAAAGGTGACCCGTGCGCCCATTGTATATCCATCGTCATCATCGTGATAGCCTGCATCAGCATGGAACTGAGAAAAACAACATCTAATGGCACCAATTCGAACAGATCAATTGCGTTTAAGGTGGCTGTTCAGCACCTTCAGGATTCTGGCAGATTGATATGCAGTACTCCTGCAGATTGCTCTCTTGATCCACGACATTTCGGTCCCTGAAGACATGGCCACATGTCATGGTTGCCATATGCACTGGCAAAACCTGCATGAGACTGCCCGTGTGTATCAGACTCACGTGTAGCTGACAGCCCAGTGGCACGACCAGGGTTGCAAAGGTTGTAGACGAGCGATGTATTGTGCTTGACCTGGTCAGGCAGACTCACACCACTCAATGCCTGGGAAATAATGCGTCTCTACAAAATGTTGAATTTCTTTGCACACAGATGAAGTTAATCATGCAGCCTTGTACCTGCGCGCTGCTGAGCAAGCACAGAACTTCTGTGACAGCTCACAGCCGTCTCTGCATCGGCACGTTCACGTCTTTCCAGCATTATCTGTTTGATTTCCTCATTATTGAGTTGTACATACTCTTCGGGGCTCATGTCCAGGTCCATGAGTAATTTGCTGATCATGCCCAGATCCATGGTTGATGAGCCCATGGTTGATGAGCCAGGCGAATTCTACTGTGTGACTTCCGCGAATGATGGACATATTCTACAAACAGTTATTTACTCAAGTCTACGTGGGAATGATGTTCATATGAGAAAAGAATGTCTCGGGCAAACAAGGAGGGAGTGTCGATAAGCGCGCCCTTTTGCCCACCTTCCTGCCCATGCGGGCAGGCGATCCATCACGAGGACAAATGCAGGTTTCGTGTGCAATGCAGACCCTGCATCAAGATAAGGAAAGCATCATAAAGTATAGGTCACCCCCGGTTGGGCTCCAGCACCTTGCAGTGTAAGCTTAGAAATTACAGTACTAGTGGTTCATGTCGTGACCTGTAATTCGCTAGCTCATGAGCTCAAGGTGTGCAATTGCTCGGATTCATGAAGCAGATCAATCAAGCATGCGCATGCAATTTAGTCACTGCACGGTGCACAAGCTTGCCTGAATCTGCTTGTACATACGACATGTGAGTCATAATCACACTGTGCAGCACATGTGCGACACCGCAAGAAATTTCTTTAAAGCATTGGTCAGAGGGCCGTGAGCAGCGTGACCGCCAGTGTACAGTGTACACTAATTGCACTATGATTATCGCTGGCAGTCCATAGGAATTGTGTCACAAGGGAGTGTGTCACAAGGTTGTCACACCACATTGGTGACACTAGTACTGGTCAATAATCGAGATGAAGCTTCCGTTCAGCTGGGGAAGTGCTTCTGGAATATCTGATCGCGCCAGGCCACAAGCTCCCCAAACTCAGCCTTGAGCTCCTGATGTGTCAGAGCTGCTCTAGCTTCATCTGAGAGCCTGCACCAATATTGAAAAGTCAGGACTTTGACCCCTCTATGTAGCATCAGAGCGCTTTTAACTCTCATGATCCAGTCAATAAGACAATTCTCTCGGCACAAGGCAGTAAATAGCAAACGTCACTGTGCGTAGGAAACGGGGAATGGAAGCGCACTTTGTGAAAGGAGGTCCCACAGGCTCTATGGTCTGCACTGCCACCTGCACAATTGCATGCACAATTGCTGAACAACCCACAAACATCAGAGACACCGCCAGTTCAGCAATGCAGCGTAAGATGTAATGGTGTTCAGAAAACACTGGCTGCATCCAAGGAATGACAGGGACAGAGAATCTTACGGCCATGGCGATGTCTGCATATGTGAAGCTGCCAAGCACATAGCCTCCATTTGCCTTGATGGCTTCCTGAAGATCTCTGAGCACCGCCTTGGTCTACAAGCCACAGATTTGATCTGTTTAATGGACATCTAATTTACATATGAGGGGCCTGCCAGTTGTTGTAATGAGAATATGCCCAAATAGAAAATGTCCACTTTCTCTGCACTGAACCAGCTGCTTCCCTGCTGACCCTCGCACCTTCTCAAGACTCGCAGCGCTGGAGACATCCTCATATTTAGAGGAGAACTGGTTGAGATACCAATTATTAAAGACATCTCCGAGAGGCCCCAGAGCTTTGAAAAAGGACGGCATACGAGCCGCCATACGAGCCGTCCTCAATTTCTGCGCAGACGATGGGTGTCAATTGTTACTCTGACAGCTGCTTGGGTAAGATCAATTAAAACTTAAAACTCCTGAATACAGGGTTCAAGCCAACCTCAACCAGATCATATACTGCGGCGCGCACAAGTCAGCACCTTGCTGCTCTTCAAGGTTGCAAAGACCCGCGACCGAGCATAGTGCAGGGCAGTGTCCGCGGCGTCATTCCACCTGCATGTGCAACATCTGCAGCGTGAGCCAGACAGGGGCCCACAACAGTAGAGTTCACGCTTAATGAACTCTGCGTTGAGCGTGTGCAGGCAACGTGACTGAGATATTGCACGCACCTTCTGATGTCCTCAAGCTTGGCAGCCGGGAAAAGTGACGAAGCACCGGCAGCACTGCTGTGATCATCGGCCCACTGGGCGATGTCAAGCGACTCAAACAGCACACCTGTGAGCATTATTATATCAATTCAATGGCCTGTCTTGCTGTTAAGAAGAGGGCCCTTGGACCTCTCTTGGACAAAGCAAATGTAGTGTCTCTTCAGCGCAAGAGATCCTGTGAAGGGTTCCTGAGCCGAAGGTCAAAAAGAGAGCTGAACAGCGCACAAAGGGCTGCACCGTCTTTTGGGGTGAACATGACGGGCGTTGTGATCCGCCCGCTCCATTTTCCAGACCGAAACCTGAGCCACCAAGCCCCAAAGACAGGCGTGTAGACTGTTGTCCTGTACTTGACGTTGTGATGCTTCAAGGCCCAGCGTGCCTGCAGGAATGAGTATCGGTCACCTCAATGCATGATCTGGTACTCTAAGGAAAACTCTTGCAAATATAAACTCTTGTAATTATCATGATGAAGTGCTCTGACTGGTACAAGGGAAAGAAGAGTTGTAGCCTATTCCAAGATGCTACCTTGAGCGTCCATGCTGAGCCGGGCAAGGCCACAAGTTCAGGATTGTCAGGATTGCCACCCATTTTACAAGCGCAGAGAACTTCTTCAACCCCAGGAGGGTCAAGATAACAAGCCTGAGGCCAGAGTCAGACACCCCCAATGATCACGAATGGGGTATGCGTGAAGCTTCGGGGAAAATTCTTGCTTCTTTTCGAACAACCAAGGCAAGACCTAGACTCACTCGATTTGATCAGGGTTGCGAGAACGATGGATCAATAGTTTGATGTTCCGAGGTCTGCTTGCGCAAGCCTCACGTAAAGCTTCCGAGAGCTTCCGGGTTCTCAGGTACAGCCCGTTTGGTACATCCTCACGAGGGTCTTACGCGATCATCCCTGGAAGAAAAGGCAGAATTGCCCTCAAAGTCTCACGTGTGACGCGTTGTGAAATGCCCAGGGCAGCTCGCTGGATATAAGCAAGCATTGGCTAGCGTATAATTCTCTTGTCTCACCGGTCAATCAAGATCCTGTGCACAGAAGGTAGGCGTGGCCTTACCAATAGTGACGTTGAATATGCGCTATATGTTGAATCTTGACACTCTTGTACTGAAGGACTGGTGCTCATTGGCAACAGGATACTAGCCTAGGATGACAACGACACGGCCAGTGGAGTTGATCAGTCTGCAAGTCTCCCCCTTCTCATTGAGAGTAAGACATTGGCCTCGTTGCATACATGCCTGTGCAATTAGCAGGAGTATGAGCCTACGTTTTGAGAGCATCAGATCACTTTGTCCATCTGCGCAGGCGAGGTGGGTACTGAAATACCATGGAATTCCATTCACCTGTTGGGAGTACACCCCAATAGTCGGCGAGACCTGGATGAAGGTCAAGGCAGGCAAAGCCTTCAGCAAAGAGCGAGTGACAGCTCCTGTGCTGCTTAAGCCGGACGGTGGGTCTTTGTCTGCTCTTGATATACCAGTTTCCTTTGTTGCTCAGTCTTGACCATTGCAGCAGCCTATTGCAGTCATCTGACGCACCACAGACCAATATGCAACACTCAAGGGAGAAGTCGGACGTTCCATCTGTCGACTTTGACAGAGCTTCGCCGCTGAAAGCAGACTTTGCTGCCTGCAGGAAACATATATGAGTCTTTTGAGATTGCACAGTGGGCTGATGCGCACAGCAAGCGCGCAGAGGCAGCAAGCCTGTTCCCAGCAGGCAGAGTTGAAGAGATCAAGCGGTGAGGTCCTTGGCCAGTCAGCATTGCATTTTGCCATGACTAGTAACCTTCAAAACATTGCCTGCTATTGGAAGGCATGCCATGGCTTACAACCGGATATTATACTCAGGGATGCAAGCCTGCTCTGGATCTGTGTGCTGCCCATGCAGATGGGATGAGATCAGCAATCAGATCTCAAGCTACGGCAGGAAAGTGGCTTTCGAGACTGCCTTGAGCAATGAGGTGTGTATATATTTGTGATGTAGCAAAGCCATTGTTCCTCACGGGGCCGTGGCACTCACTGCACCTGATTTTGCATGTTTCTTATTCCGGCATGAACCTTGTAGATGTGACAAGATTGCTACTTACTTAATTCACTGCGCCTGATTTTGCATACATGTGATTCTGTGCGTAGGAGGCTCGCCTGGGATTGATGCCTCCTCTGCTACTGCGGCTGCCCTTTGGGCGCAGGTTGGGCCTGGCCATGAGCGAGCGAGTGGTGAAGGGCATGCAGAAGAAGTACAGCGATCTGGATGATCCCATGAACCTGGACAAGGTCAACACTGTCCCTTCTTCCTGGACAAATCTGGCCTGGTCCTTGTACTGCTTGCTGAGCCTGCTGGCTGCGCGACTGTCCCTCTTTCAAAGGAAGGGCTCTTGTTTGGATGAGGCAAGCAATTTTGCAATGTGTATACCAGCAGGCTTCAGGCTTCTGCTGTTCAGCTCTGGGTGATTGGGCCTGGAAAAGAATGTTTGGGCTGTCATCAGAATGTTTCCGGGTACCCACATTGCAGCATTAGTACAATGACACGAGCATGGTTATATGCAGGCACTGGAGTATGTGGGCAAGCTGAGGGCGCAGCTGAAGGAGAGTGGGGGCCAGTTCCTGCTGGGCACGCTGAGCTATGCTGACATCACGATGGCGATCACAGTGGCAGGGATCTCCCCGCCCGGGCAGCCACGCAAGCTGCCCGCTGCCCGCGACACGGTGCCCTTCCAAAGTCAGGAGCTCTACGATGCATGCAAGGACCTGCAGCCCTGGGCGGACGACATCCTTGACAAGCACCTGCCCTCATCATGATTGAAGCCAAGGCTGAAGCTGCAGACCTGCTGTGTTTGTATACTGTGGGTTTTGCTGATCTACTGTACCTCAGAGCACTCTCATTGAGTGCATTCACATTGAGTGCCACGTGGCACAGCAAAGAGACTACTAGTCTCTTGTAGTACATGGCACCCCCGGGGACCATATATATCTGGATCTGTGTTTGGCTGCACCAACATGTATGCCAATCCAATTCTGCAATTGGATAGATTCTAGCGCTTTGCTAATGTGCTGCAAAACTGCTCGATTGACCACAAATGCCACATTCACAGAAAATGCCTTTGTGGTGCTGACGCTGTTTCACTTCATAAGAGCATCAACAAGTGTCATGACACCATGATACAGAGACCTTTGTGCTGCAAGATTTTGTGAGGCTATGGCCAAAAGAGGTGTCACAGCTGACCACCCCCAAACAATACTTTTTGTTCCCCATCCCAACTTGACTCCAGCACTTTGTTGGCAACCGCAGCTGCCGTATTCCAATTGCATGGAAAAAGGACAGGGTACTCTCACATTACAGATCACGTTCCTCTCTGGGCTACCAAACGAGCCAACATGCTGGCTATGTGAAGTCCCCACAACTGACCACAACGCAGCCGGGGCTACCAAACTCCAAAGTTGGGCATGCGGCACGCGAAGATCCACGTCTCAATCAGGCAATCAGGCGCGCTTGAAAGACTGACCTGAGGCAGTCGTCCTCAAGCCCGGGCGATCCAAATTCAAACTCGCGCATGTGATGAACAACAACGTGATCAGGACAGAAGGTGCGGGGCAGGCGGGCTCAGGAGATGTCGCCCTTGCCCTCCTCGGTCTTCCAGATATACTCGGTGTTCTTGACAAAGCCGGCGCGCGACACAAGCACGTCCGACGCCGGCGGGCCGCGCGAACCGGCCGGGTACGGCTGCGGCGTCACCTGCAAAGCAATCAATTATCTAGGAGCATACATACCTACTGAGATGTCTACAGTACATGTACCACCTTACTATATGCAGGAATGATGTAAGGCTAGATGATAACCTCTCTGCTGACCATTAGACCATTAGAGCCGAGACTGCTTGTTCAAATTGCTCGTCAAACACATGAAGCACTTGTGCAAGAAAGTGATCTGGGATATGCTTTTACCTCTCCGGCATCGATCGCGTGCAGCAGCGGTGTGAAAGCCGCCCAGGCCGCCCGCAGTTCATCCCTACACATTGCGCTCGTTACAAATCTGAAAGGGAGCACTTGCTCACCAATAACACTCTGCCCCGGTCACCAAATTGCACCGGTGTTGTCAGGCAAGCAGTCCAGTCCGGCACGCTGGAGCCAATTTCAGGCAAACCAACATTCCTCGTCCTCTAGCCTGGCAGCAAAAGCTGCAGCACCTGCAACTTTGTGATGCCAGGTAACAAGACGAGCAGAGATGATCAGACTTTATCTTGCCATCACACAACGATTGGGACCATATGCTCGTCCATAGACCCGGCTCTGCCAATTATGTGCGTATGATGCCATTCGGCCATGTACTTCCACAGGTCAAGGACCTCTAGGAAAACCGCTCATACAGCTATGCGTCTCAAAAGCAGATTGATCACCGCGGCGTGGCGGCCGCACCTGCGCACGAAGTGCTGCTGGTCGCCGCGGATCGCGTCGAGGATGAGGCGCTCGTACGCGTCAGGGATGTCGGCGCCCTGGAGTTACAGAGTCTGTTACTGATGGTACTACTGCAATGAGACAAGGCAGTCCACTCAAGCTCTGCACTGGCAGAGCCTGCAAGCTTCTTTTTAGAGAATAGATCTCCTGCTCAGGCAGCCATTCTAGCATGCACATGCGCATTTTAGGAACACCGTCGGGATTTCCTGTAGTGTGTTCCACCTTTCTTGCTTTCTTCTGACAGCATCTCCCGGGATGCTCAGAGTGTACTCAGCAATTATGGATGCCATAACCAGATATTGTGAGAAGTATGTGTGGCACCTGGTAGCGCTGCTTGTAGCTGAGGTCCATTTCACTGACGGTCGGGTGCATCTCCAGGCCGGGTTCCTTCACCACTATCTTCATGTAGATCGCCTCATCCGGCTGCAGCCGCATCTGCACGCACCCAAACATCTATATAGCACCAGTGACTGGATCCACCCAAGCAGAGTCTGCATCAGACAGACAGCGGCAGCGAATTTCCGCAATAGCTGGCAGAGGATGCAAATGCGGCCTGCATATGGCCAATACTACAGGGACTCGGACTTTCCGTCAGACCCTTCTGTCTGATGACTTCCAAGAGACAAGACTCCCTGGGTGTCAGAAGAAGGGTGCTGGAGTCTGCATTGTGGTATGGCACAAGTGGCAATGGTGCACGTTGTTTTGATGAAGCCTGCTGGGGGCATGAAGGTGCGCGCCACGCACCACGAGCTCGTTGCGCATCTCGTTGAGGTTGGGGTGGATGCCTGATGCGGGCGACTTATACTGCACGCGGATCTCCACCTTGCGCTCATTCAGCGCCTTGCCAGCCTTCATGATCCACGGCACCCCCGACCACCTGCACCCACTCATCTTGTTGGGCTCAGCTCACTTACAACATCATGTCGGATACCAGCTTACTTCCTCCTTGTGACCGTCTAAAACCTCCATGACAGCTTGATCAGGAACATTCGGTGTCTAATTGATCTCAAGTAGGAAACAGAGACAGCATCCACACATAATAAAGTCGCGATTTTTGCAATATTGTAGGTTGGATTCTTTGCAGAGAACATATCAAAATTCAGTATTTTTCACTGATCCTACTGCATAAAGAGTATGGATCAGCTCAGCATGCCATGCCATGCCATGCTTATACAAGGGGCGCTTTCAAGCCTTGCAGGCAATAAAAAGGTCAGGGCGCACCTCTCGTTGTTGATGTTCATGACGCAGGTGGCAAAGGTGGGTGTCTTGGAGTCCTTGGGAACAGTCTCATCTTCTAGGTAGCCCCTCTGGTCGCCGCCTGCCGTGTACTGCCCCAGCACAGTGTCATCCAGCTTCACCGGGCTCACACACCGCAGCACCTGCACGGACAAGTGTTTTGTACAATTGGCCAGAGTCTGCTTCCCTGCTGAGACGCAGTTGGAAAGGTGCAGAACGATGGAATAAAAGCGTTTGATACGTCCAGTGGAACTGCGCAGTGTGGGAGAAAGCCATTTCAGGTCCTATAGTCTGTTTTAACATCGTTTTTTAATACACGCTTTTCCTGCCAAGTGGCAAGGTGCGTCCTGCAGACAAGCTGGAATCAATGGCTGCGGCAATACTACCCTTGTTGGACTCGCCAGATGCAAGCAAGACACAATCAATCGTGGGCACGGTGCTCAGTATTTGTACCGCCCCCCGCCAGCCGGGGCCACAGTCTGCTTTGCAGCCAGTGATCTGAAGGTTCATTGGGGAAGATGCACCAGGGCCTTCTTTAAGCGTAGAGAGGGCTGGAGATCATCACCTTCACTTTTTCATCCCTGATGTCATCTGCAGAGAGAGTCACAGGCTGCTCCATGGCCAGCAGCGCCAGCACCTGCATGCATAGAAAAGCATCACCTTCTAGCCATTACTACAACAGGTTTTCCTGCTAGTGGCGAAATGTGCCTGCAGACAAGCTGCATCTGAAGGCTGCCACAATCCTACCCCTTGTCGGACCAGCCAGATCCAAGCAACACCCAATCAATCGTGGGCACAGGTGCTCAATACTTGTACAGCCCCCCGCCAACCTGGGTCAGGATAAGATATTGTAGGATAAGCAAAATGCCAACACAAAGCAGGCAAAATGCAACATGGAGCACGCAGAAGCCTCTCCCAGCTCACATACGTCAGACGGCGCCGTTGCTCACCTGAATCAGGTGGTTCTGCATGACATCGCGGATAATGCCAAACTCGTCAAAGTAGCCGCCGCGGCCGTCGGTGCCGAAGGGCTCCTTGAAGCAGATCTGCACGTTGGAAATGAAGTTGCGGTGCCACGTCGGCGACAGGAATTGGTTCGCAAATCTGCGCACATACATCAGCGAACTCAGCATGGCATGCTGTACCAAGACATCACTTCAAGGGACTGAAGCACCTGCACCTCTGGAGCCTTACCAAGGCCAACAAATAACGCACACAAGGAATCGGCAGAAGGCAATCTTGTGAAGCACGTAATCGATTGCCTCATGCTGCTACCTTATGTGCATTGCTTGTAGGTCTCTGCCCCAATAATACCGGCAACCCGAAACAGCTGGAAAACCTTGCTAAGTGGGTGTGTGCCTGCCTGACCACGAGCATGTCCTGCTACATTGGGCCAACCCTACCACCTTACTCAAGAATCTGTGAAGGATAGGTACATAAGCCTGCCTGCCCAATAGGCCCGGCATCACTTCCAAGTTTAAAAGACTCTGGTGGACGGGTAAGTAAACCTGCCTGAGCAAGAATACGTTCTTCTCGATGAGACCGATGTCACTTTACAGCACACATTCTTTTGACAGTGGGCGTGCCTGAGCACGAGCATGTTCTGCATGAGCTCTTTGCCGAGGTAGTGGTCAATGCGGTAGAGCTGATCCTCAGGGAAGAGCGCGCCCAGCTTGTCTGCCAGCTCCTCGCTGGACTCCAGGTCCATCCCAAACGGCTTCTCCACCACCAGCCGCAGCCAGGACCCCTCCGCGTCCGACCCCATCTCCGTACAATTCCGCTTTATCCCCGCACACACCTGCGCGCCATCGTCTGGAACGATTAAGCTTGTTGAAAGACTGCATCAGCCATGCCCATGATTGCATTGTAATAATTGTCTGTCCCAGCACACACGCATGCTGTCCCCACGCTGCAGCACATTGCAAGGCTTGTTCAAGCCTTGCAATGTCAGCCATTGAAAGATTCCTATTGTGATGTTGTTTTGGAAATTCAAGCTTTCAGGCCCGCTGTCGCCAGTCTGGAGTGTCTTTCAGGGCCCAGTCAGCCGGAATGCACCAATTCTATACCTTCCTAGTGCCACAATGAGGGGGTGCTTGCCTGAGGGTACACTGTTGGCGGCAGCGCCAGATAGAAGAGCCTCCCGATCGGCGAGCTCTCGTGCCCCTTTTCCCTCGTCTCCAGACTCGTTTGCAAGGACTGCGGCCACACAAGCAGAATTTTCACAGCCAGGTTCGCTGTCATCAGTCTGCATAGCTGATTGGATGATTGAAGAGCGTGGGTAGATCCATAGAGCATGGATCTACCCATTCAATTTGAGTTGTAGCTAATTGTTGCAGTCTTGGAACTCTGATATGCCTTCTGTCCAAGCGCACCTGGAACCCTTCGTCTCCATCATAGGAGCCAGGGATGTACGATATCCTGCTGAGAAACTCCTTGATCTCAGCGTCTGTGCCTTTGAGGTAACCCTTGATCTTCTCCCGAAGATCCTCATCGCTCAGCTTCGAGCGTGCATATCCTATGATGCGCAGGTTCTTGGGAAGGAAGCTGCACCAGAATGGAACCCATTTATGCTATCTTGAAGGGCTCATGGACAGGTCTACACGACAGATGTGTGCCCAGCAATTTCGATGCTCACATTCAGCTAAATTGCCAAATTGCAGGTACCATCCCAGCTTTGATCAAGAGGGTGATGATTGGACAGTGAGTATGCTTTCCTCCAATTATCAGAGTAAAAAAATCTTCTCTTCACATCCGCAATTGGTAAAAAACTCAGAGAAATAATATGCACGTCACAGTTAAAGCCCTCACCCCTTCTTGAAGAGTGTGAAGAGGGCAGGGAAGGTCTTCTTCTTGGCAAGGTCTCCACTCGCACCAAGCACGATCACCGATAGGACTAGCTTATTTGCGATAAAACATCTGACGTCGTCCCTACTAGATGCCGATGCAGAGCACGGGCGATGCTGCAGGTCACTAGACGGCATCTCACGTTGTCCTTGGGACACCAACCCTAAAGCCCCGAAAATGCTGCTGATCTTCTCCACCTTGTCACAGCGCTATGTAACAATGCTAACCAATGTACCTGGTGGGTTCAGAGACCTGGTGTGCTGCGCATTTTGGGAGAAACAAGCAGAAAGGACTGTTCATAATATCTCTTCTTACGTCAAATAAGCTGACTAAGGAATGACATGGTACACACTAATGGCGTGCATGAATCTTGGGCGATTTAATTTCACGTCTGCCTCAATGGTTGCAGGTGATACTGCAGGAGGAGATTTAGTGGGAGTATCCAAATGTGTAACGTCCAAGGAGTGGCGCCTTGGGAACCCAGAAGATGGACAGATCACTGCTCTGCACTGACAGGCAGAAGGTTTCGATCACAGATCTGTAGATCACGAAGATCCTCTGGGACATCAGAAGGCTGGCCTGAGGTATAAATTCGAATAATCTCGAAGTGGTCAGGGAAAGCTGCTAAGACCTGGTAAAGCCCACCATGCCGACATCGGCACTTGTACTAACACCACAACTATGTTGTCTTTGCAGGTGGTTGATCGGCATAGCTCGAGATCAAGCAGATATAGATGTCGCACATATGCTGTTGGCCCACAGCAGCTCAGCTCTCAAGTAGAGTTTCCCCCTTACACAGTCATCAGTAAAGCGACTAAGTATGATCTGCGCTTCTTTGATGTGTACTCGGTGGTTCGGATGCCCTATGAGCGAAGGGATGAAGGTGTGGCCCGTGAAATGGATCTCTTAGCACAAGAGCTGCACCATGCAGTAAGAGACAGGCAACAGAGGCGGGCTGCTCTGCAGGATACCTCGGACTGGGGGCCTATTTCGATGGAGCCAATGTACAGGGCCTGCGGTTGAGACAAACGCAGCCTGTGGTCATGCGGTTCAATCCCAAGGTGCGTTTCCATCTGCCAAACCTGCTCACCTTGCTCGAATTGCTGTGACGACTAATATGGCAGATCTGCTCCTGATGCACAAGGAATACAGGCGTCTTTGCTTGGAGGACTGTCCGTCCGTGAACTGGTGTGTAAGGTGACTTAATCGATGCCTCTGCATGACCAGGTTACCAAAACGATGGAGCTGTACGTCGGGTCTCGACAAGATGGGGAGTCTCTTGAAGCGGTAAGGTGTGATCCACAAGAATTCCATTGTTTGAGGCTTCCCAAGTGCATTGCTGCTTCCAATACGCTGGTCACCAAAGAACGGTAGTTCTTCAGAACAGTTTACAGATCCATGCTCACGCATTTTATTGATGAGCTGCTATGGACAATACAGCCGCCGCAGCCCAAGGACGGCAGACTGAGTCTGGAAGTAGCTGGCGGTGAGGTGGCAGCCGTGCTCAGATTTGAGGGAAGCGCCACAAGAGAAGCAACTCTCAGGGCAGTCGCTCAGCTGAAGGACATTCTTGCGTCAGGTGATAATTCTCTGGCCTCGCTCGACTTCACTACCTTTCCTTCACATTTTTTTTTGACAGACTGTATCTTCAGGCGCGAAGACAGCCTGACTGGCGCATTGACAAGCATGCATCTGCACTAATGTCTTGATGTGATCTCCTTAGCCAGGGTGCAGCATGGGGTAATTCATGTCCCGGTTGATCATGATTGATTGGCGGCCAATCATTGGCCTGCATTTTACAAGTGGGCTGAGTCACAACTGGGGTGCTGTGCAGATGGTCTGATGTTAGCGGGTGAGGAGGCGGCTGGAGCATTCAGACTTGCGCAGTATGGACCATTGAACTCGCTCAGCACCCGTGTGAATGAAGTTCTGCTCAGAGTGCAGTTGTGACAGGCAACGCAGTGGGCACTGGAATTAGCTAAGATTCACTTGCAAAAGAGCATGTAATAGTATGTATTCCATCAGAGTTGCCCTGATTTGCACTCTAGACAATTGCATTCCTATGTATTTGGACTTAATTGTGTCCGGAAAGAACAAATCTGTGTGTCCAGAAAGTTTTTCACCGCAACAGCAGGGGTGCTTCTTGCAAGATTGTCCTTCTATACTACCTCCCTCCCCGCAAGAAAGTTTGCGATGCGTGAACCCCGAGAAGTACTGGTCACCAGATTAAGAACAGAATTGCATTTCCTCAATCGGCCGCGCTCGTGAGACAATGTCAAGATGGTCTCTGGGGTTCAACCGGACCTTCTTCCTGTGCACATTGTACATGAGTCTCTCTTCTGCCCAGACTTATATTGTCTCGTGGGTCTATCACTTGCACCAGAAGCTGCAAGGGTCCTTCCCTCTGCAGTGGCATTGTACCCGGCACTCCTCCTTGCTCACCTTGGCCTCTATTTGCATCTGTATTCATAAGCACACATTCATTCAAGTGTGCAGTCTCGAGCATGGTTTTAATCTTGCCACCATCAGTCAAAGAAACTTCTGTAAGAAACATGAACAATCTCCTATGGGCATGAAATGATGGGCAACGAAGGCTCTGGAAACGCAGAAGCCCCTCCATTGGCAACATGCCATCCTGCAGTGAGTGAATTTGCAACAAGTATTGGGTGAGCTGAAGTGGACTTGATGGCTGACCTGGTTGTGCTGCACCCTGTTGCTGCGCCTGAGCCATGGGTGCATTCCAGACAACGTGCTGGTTCATTGCTGTAGGCACCTGTTGGTTGACTTGTCGGGTCATGCGAGCATGCTGCATCCTCTGCCAGAAACATCTGGCTAAGGTGTAAAGACCGAACGAAACTGCACCAATGCATGTCAATCCAGAGTCAATCTCGAGGAGGTTCTCACTCTTTTCTGAAGGAAAACTTCAAAAAAACTCCTGGACAGACGCCTTTCCCATAGTGAGAAGCATAGGTGATGAATACGAGCAAGAAAGCACTCTGTTTTGCCTACCTCCTGAGACGAAGGCGAGGTAGAAAAGAATAGTCCAGAACGGCATTTTGCTTGGTTGTTGTTGTAATCAGACCTTTTGAGACGCAGTAGCATTTAGTTGCTGCTCGTCACGCCGCTCTAAAATGTCAGACGCTTCTGCAAAAGCCTGTCATCTTATTGTCATAAATTTGATTTCCAGAAATGTATTTGCACAGTGTCCTCGGTGTCAGCATTTGCTGCCTTCGTAAACGTCTGCAGCGTCTATCGCTCTTAAGCTTCTTTATTCAAAACATTAAGGTAGACAGAACAAGCTGATGTACGAAGCTGTAACGAATTTCTTCCGGAAAGGAACCCACGAACGAGCTGGATGCCACAGGAGAAAATTACAAAAGCCATCCACGTGATTGCAGCATTGCCTCGACCCGGGTGTCTTCTTGAAAAATTTCCATCGAGACTTGCCATATTTCTTTCGATGCTCCTAGGATTCAAGGAAACCTGTCTGCGTTTCCTGGCCAAAATGGAGGCTTCATCACAGGCCATCCTTGCATTGAATACGATTGTGTCGAAGACAGCTGCTGACCAAAGTCATATATTCTCATTCGGCAATATTAACCTGCAAGCGCATATATTCATGTATCAAGAGGAAAGATCGCAATGTAGGGAAGATTCCTCAGAGGACCACCATGGCAATGTTTTACAGTGTGGCAATAGCGACTGCCACTCGAGCTTGTCTTGAGATCAGCTCTCAGCTGCAATGCGTAGCAAAATGTATGGCGATAGGACCATTCGTTCCCTTTTCAATGCTCATAGGAGTGTATAGATGACGAGTCTTGCTAAATTGTCCCAGATCACCAGCTCAATCCTTGGCAGATCTGCCGAGACAGCACTTAACAAATCCAGCAGCGCGATACCTGTGCATAATCAAATGCATGGGTCCATGGTAGATAAATCGCGCCCCATGGCCCTTTACCCTGGCTCGGCTTCAGTTTTGACCAATCATAGACAGCGAGCAGTCACATTCCTCATGCATTGCCATGTGCCGTGCAGCCGTTATTGCATAGAGGAAAGAGGCCGTCGGAGTCAGACATACTCTGACTGACTGACTGAATCACAGCAAAAGATGACAGAGGAGCAGAGACGGGAGCGCGATGCCAACCTGGCGCGCGTCATGACACTCCTGGTGCACTCCAGCGGCTGCCGGAACGTGCCCCTCCTCCAACTGCGCCAAGATGAAAGGTCTGTTCCGTCAACTGCCCACTCAAGGTCGTCGGCAACTATCAGCTTTGCGGGTGAGCCTGCCACAACCTGACGGGCTTGACTGTCACAATATCGCCCCGATGGCCAGCTTTCAGGTCACAAAAGGACCACCGGTGACCGATTTGTACCAGTCTGGTCTATATAGTTGCCACGTCTGTGACATCGACCCCCTTTTTCATATTCCTTTGCTGATGCCGTTCTCTTCAAGCGCTGAACTTGCTGATAAGATTCAATGCACCAGTCATGTCATTTGCAACGCACTTTGTAGGCTCCGACAGCTGCCAAATTACATGTTGTTGAGGCAAAAGAAGACAACATTCTCATCCGTCATTATATGTCGCGACCAGGGGGCACAAGAGTCTTGTCACTCCCAGGACACGCAAAAATTGCTGGTCACCATGAAAAAAGTACAATAGGTGAAAGATATGTGGGTTGGTGCAGGCGCGTGTGGATGCTGCTGCAGGTGCATGCGAAGCAGTGCAAGAACAGTGGCTGTCCCGTGCCGCGCTGCTGCGATCTTTAAGCCATGCGTCACAGGATCTTGGAAGAGGAAAGAAGGAAGCGGAAGGCACAGCTAGAGCTGGTGGACTGGTGCATGGGTGCAGCTGCTCGCACTGCCAGTCTCCCCTCCGTAATTTTAATTTCTGCGGAGGCCTCTTCGAGCACACCACCTCGTTCTCAGTCCGCGCCGGAGACCACTACCGGCGTCGCAGGTGGGCCGACATTCCCACTGTTTCTCCATACTCCTTCGAGGGGGATACATAATTCGCTTGGTAAGCGCTGCGAGGCACATTTCAAAGAAAATGCCATCCACTTCACCTTGTCAGCATGCAATGGCCGCCATAATGATACTGCAACCCCTGGGCAATGAGACGTGATATGCACAAATGCGCCACCAGCAAGTCTAGACTATACAACGTATTCTGTTGCGCGCAGGGGTATCCCGACTCTTGGAATGCTGCATGCGCTGCGATTGATGCCTGCATTGTCAACAACATATGGTATCGATCCTGTTGTGCTGCGAGTTGAATCAAATAAAGTGGTAGAGTTGTCCGGGGCCATGCTGCACTATGAAGAGGTCGCAGCAGCTTCTTGAGTACAACTAGACATGACTTAAGAGGAGGTCGCTGGCGGAAAATGCCTCCTTTAGCATGGATGCCCACACACAATGATGCAAACTTGTTGGCGTGCTGTGGATGCTGAGGATACCGTCCTTCCTGTGATAGAGAGCATTGTAATGCAATCAAGATCTCTTAACATTCCAGCAAGTTGAGTTCAGACAATTCATACAATTCCCATATTCCCCAATCTTCTGCATAAATCCTATGTCCTACCCTGTGGATTCTCAGGTATTTTATCAACTGAACTTGCAAGTGCTGAATTTCCTCAGCAGCTGAAAGGAGTGCTTGCAGGTCAGTCAGCCGCACATATCCTTTACACAGGATACATTCTACAGTATTCCCTTCATTGTGTTTTTGACACTTGCCATAGGTCCAGGCCTAATTACATATTCCGCCCCAGTCTTCCTATTCTACCCTTGCATTCTACTGACGCTGGGGCGGACAGCTTATGCTGCAGCCCAGACATCATCGTTTGGGTTCTGGAAGTTGCCAGAGTCGTAGTCCCTGAACGCCTGGTATATCTCCTCCTGCACCAGCACAGAAGACATCTCAGGTCCTGCTGCATCTCCCACTCTTTCCACCTCAATAATTTACTCAGGAATGATAGCCCCCTTGGCCCATAGCGGAATTTTTGCATGCTATACATAAGAAGCCTCGGTCTCAAATAGAGTCACGAATGTTGGCACGTGTCAGCCAAACAGTGATCGCCGAGGCGCCCCTTACATGCTGCATGTAGTGACACACAGGCAAATTGGTCATCAGCCTGCACTGACAAAATTGCAAGCATGTCCCTTCCATTGTCAACTGCGCAAACAAGCCTCCGATGCAGAGACAAGCCACTTGTTGGCAACATGCGCCAAGTTATCTGCGTCAGAGGCTTGTACAACCCTTGCCACAAACTCATCAACCTGCTTTTTGTGAGACTGCAACACTGCGTTTCTGCATGTGCCGGCATGTGCCGGGCGCATGTGCGCGCACCTGAGTGTTCATGACAAATGGCCCGTGCTGCACAATGGGCTCGCCGATGGGCCGTCCCGCGATGAGCAGAAAGCGCATGCCGCCCTCCCCCTCACTACTCGCGCTCACATGGTCCCCCTCTCCCAGCACAAGCGCCTGCGCGCAGAAAGCCCCCGAAAGTTGGTCCACGCTGACCACCACCACACAGACAGGAAAACTTGCATGCAAATATAACACAGCATGGCAAATATCAATCCTGTGCAGCTGTTCCAGGACTGCTTATCGTTGCAGGGTGAAAACTTCTGATGCACCAGTCTGAGCACAGAGTTTTGAATGTTCTCTGGTTGAAGGGAAGAGAAAATGTGGGATGAGCACCTGCTCGCGCTTTGCCTTGGTACCAGAGACCTTGCCGGCTCCATCGCACACATAAACAAAGCCGTTCCAACCGCTGTCAATCTGCACACATCCACCCAGCCAAATCACTTCCAGATGCATCCCACCATTGACTTTTGCACTTGGACTGTATTTTCTAGAAATGAAATCAAAGCTGCCTGCCACACTCCGAGACTCAGGGCCTGAGCTCGGGCAACATTATCCAAGAGCAGCAGAGGCTGAAGCCTGATACTTGTCCGCTGTCAGAGTCTCCCAAGCAGTCACGATGACAAGCAAAATACACGTCTACATCGGCTCCTGGAATACAAAGATCACGTGCATGCACTGACAGGCATCTCTGGTCCTGTGCAGTGGGCCGGAAGAGTGAACTGGCGGTGATTGGAGAGAAGGGCAAGGCGCAGCAGCAGCGTAACACATGAAGAACATAGTGCATGCAAAAGATCGTCTTGCGGATCTCTCACTCACCTGCTGGGTGAAGGACGCGCCTTTTGCCAGGGTGACGTCCAGCAGCATCCCTGGGTTGCGCAGGGCAATGGGCCCGGTGGCGCCCGATGACTCACCGGCCATGACTCGCACGCGCGCTCCATCCCTCTCCATCACAGGTATGTCCTTTGCCTGGTAATCCTGGTACCTGCACATATTGAAACATGCATGTGAACAGTCAGAAGATGTTCTGTTCAGGAGAGAGCATTATCTAGCGGCCAAGTCTCAGCTTTGAAACCCAGGCTCTCATGAAAGAATCTTCTAAGTGTGATATGCATCTCGCTCACAAAAGCCTGAAAGTGTTGTATGTGACCATATGCCAGGCAGCAAATCAACCGGACACAGCAGCTCGCAATCGACTCCAACAAAAGGAAAAGAAACCAGAGCCCAAATGGCCAAATTCCTGGCAAGTGGCATCCACCGCCCCCAGATTGTGTTTACATGGCCCGTAGGGATGCAAGCACAATATTGTGCGGCGACAAATGTCACATGCCACTGGGGCAAATTTGATTTACTTTGAGTGTCGCGGATACTGTCATTCATTACACAGTCATCAATGGTATTGCAGCCAATAAGAAACATTGTCGCACCTGGGCTTGACCATCTTGTCCTTGGCGGGCAGGTTGAGCCAGAGCTGGAAGCCCCAGAGGTCCCCCGCGGTCACCTTGGGCATCTCGCTATGGATTATGCCACGCCCAGCCGTCATCCACTGCACGCCCCCGTCCTCTATCACGCCCTGCAGGGGAATTTACCTCGCATCATCCTCTCAGTGACATATAGAGACCCTGCAGCAATTGTGGATGCTACACGCTGACTTTCCGTTTTTGACATCAGCAGAAGGAGTACAAGACTTCAGAGGTCATTGCAGTGAGGGGCATTCGACATTGGGGATTCCTTTCAGTCCTGATTGTCTCATAGCCTTTCAAAAAGCTGGAAGGCAGTCGAGATCAAGACCATCTCGAAGCCTTCACGCGGGCTATGAGACTTTCAACCTGGAGAAATCACCACTGGCAGTGCTATACCAAGATGTAGAATCCTCCTCACATTGTGCACAGCTAAAGCGAATCAGTTCATCTTCAAAGCTGTGAGAGGAGCCTCATGTGCCGCTCTGACATGTACATCTGCCCAACAGAGGGCAGCCACAGCCATAGAAAAAGTTGTGTGCAGGCTGCGCGCACACCTTGTTGCCGACGGAGTCCTGGTGCTCCATCTTCCCTGTGAACATAATGGAGCACGTCTCAAAGCCGCGGTGAGGGTGGGAGGGGAAGCCCGCGCTGGCCTCCGCCGCCGGCATCCGCAGCTCGTCCAGCATCAGAAACGGGTCCAGATTGCGCTGGGCCCCGGTGCCCACCGTGCGGCAGATGCGCACTCCCGCGCCTGTCATGACATATCAGCATGTCATGCAGATTTTCAGAAGGCTTCCGAGAGGGAGGAAATGGTGCAATCCATTCAACAGGGTCACGGCATACGCACCGCACCATCACACAACGATTGCATCACGCTACAACCTGTGTGACAGCAATGTACCAAGCTGCCATGTCTGCACTTCTACAGCAAAGAAAATCCTGGAATGTTGTTGTTGCGTGCGTGACTTGGACGCCAATAATCACAGCCACACGAGTTGCCATCAGCAGCTTCTGCTGCTGAGCACACTGGCAGCCAAAGTCATGCATGCAGCGACAGAACGCCCCTCTGGCTGGCTCAGGCTTGCCAAAGTAGAAATGGCAAGAAAGACCAAGAAAGCCCACTTTCATGTTCGGCAAACGCGATCATTGGGCATGGATTAGGGCACAACAGACACTGTGGCAACGGGCGTTCAATCCCTTTAACATCCCACTGCACCTTCTCAACTGTCTGGGACACTCGCGGGATGTAAGGCCCGTTGCCGGAATGATAGTACACAGCGGTTTATAGGGAGGAGCGATTTACTCACCCTCCATCATCTTTTGCCCCTGCACGACCTTCTCAACTGGCCGGAGTGTGGCCATGGCAGACGCTGAGATTGAGATGTTTCGCTTGGAAAAAGGTACGCTGGACTGTGACAAAAAGCCTCTCAGAACGCCTGACGCCAGCCTTGGGGTTGCCTGGGTCCTTGATGTAGTGCTGACCTGCCTCGTGAGCAAGGAGTACAAAACAACGGCCAGGGTGCCTGCAAAGACAGAAAACCCACTGCTGATCGGGTGCGACCTGTACCAGCAGTACAACTAGATCGTTGAGACAAGCAGACCACGCTGCGGGCCCGAACAATCGAGCTCACCTTGAAAGATCACAAGGAAAAGAAACAGTAGAAAGTTCTGCTGTGAGGGCAGACTTCGGAGCCGGATGGCCAGATTTACGCAGTGATCCTGCAGAAACAATAATGATAGAACGTGTGAGCAGTCGTGAACATCGGCACATGAGCTTTCCGGCTCTTCCCTACCAACCTCGGAAAGCAAGCATAACCCATAGAACAGATTGAAACCAGCTTTCTAAATGAGGAGCACCTCGCAGGATAAAATTTGTACAAAATATAAATTCCTGATTACAAGCCTCAACTGTATCAAGCGAGTATGCTCCAAGTACTTGACCTGTTTTCGGCAACGAGAAGGACGGTCGCAATGTTCTCACCTCAGATTAATGCAGGGGTGGACAGCAGATGAGTCACGGCTCCAAAGTTTCTTTACGATTCGCTGGTATCGCAATTTGACGAGGTAAAGAGAAGAAGAGGTATTCAGCGGAGCTCTTACGATCTGAGTGCTTCGCTGACGTGATGGTGATGCGCCTGTTTTGGCCTTCACAGCGGCAGCTACCTGGTACTTGGAAGCTGCAGAAGCCTGTGTCAGATGACTCCTTGCTGCAGCGATCCAACCTCTGGCACAGACATGGAAGGCTGAATCTTGATAACTGCTCCGGTCGACTGCGTGCGTCTTTGACTCACACCAAGGGCAATCCAGTACCACTTGCAACATTTGCTGCCCTTGGGCAGGCGTGAATCAGCGAATTCGAATTTCGAAGAGCCCCATGGCCATGTGCGAACTAGCTTGACGTAAGCCTCATTACAGTGCTGATGGGAAGCCCGCATCTGTGGGCTCAATGCCATCTCACCTGCTGAAAGGCACAACAGCTGCAGCTGCAGCCGTTCATTCTCAATTGATCCACATGCATGGGTTTACAACACTGCGCACCGTGCTCAAACAACAGCACATGCATATGGGCAAACAGCTGCAGCGCTGCGCGATTCAGTCATGTTCAAAGCAGAGTGCAGACATGTCTACTAATGAGCATTGGCCAAGCTGTTAAGTTCTGATACGTCACGTGGATGTCCACGGCAAGAATGAATGCAAGAAACCACTGAAAGAGGCTCGCCACCAATTGAAGCTAGTTCCAAGGTAGATCTCGCAGACTAACAGAAATCAACATACAGCGGCATGAGCTCATTCAACTGCACCCCTGGCACAGCGCAGCTAGCGCACAGGCAGCTATTAGGTACCTGCTTATTAGGGCTGGTCTGTTTCCTGCACATGGCAAGGACGAAGTGATTTCCAGGCTTTCAGCCGCGTTCGCAGCGGTTCATGGTGGGTTCCAAGGGTCATCCATTCTGCGCAGAGCATGCACCTCTCTTACCACTTCTGCACCAGCAATTCTGCTCGCTCCTGGTGTGCTCAAGGCCTGCAGCCAGGGTGCCCTACTGCCCTTCAATTGCATGCATTCTGCAGCCGCATGTTCTGCATCTCTGCGCCTACAGGGTTCCTCGAGTTCCAGACAACACGGCTAAAATAGAACGCGCAGTCTTAACCGGCCTCCATCAGTCGATGATGACCTCGTGTTCCTCAGACATGACAATTGGGTCCTCTTCATCTGCATCAGCTGCAGGTGATGGCCCGAGCGCTGTGTTGGGCTTCTTGGAAAAGCTGAGGGTGGTCTGCTTCAGAGCCTTGCGCTTGGCCGAGCTCACAGACCTGCACAGACGCATGCTCTCACCACTTTGTATCGGCAGAACCAATGCCAGAAGGAATAAGGCCTGCATGCAGGCGGGTGTAGCCAAATCTGCAGGGCCCAAATGGGCGCTAGTGCAGGCTCTTAGCCAGGCTCACTGCAGGTCCAGGAAGTGACCAAACCAATCTCACGCCTCCTAATGGTTCTTCTGTTTGCACTCAAGAAGCCCTTTTCTACGTTACTAAAGATTCAAGGGAATCAAAGGTGTTCCAAAAGGAAGTGCTATTTTGTGTCTAGAGCATGGTATCGGGCTGCTGTGAGGCATGGCAGAGGAGTTCACCCGTGGTGTGGTTTGGGCAGGTGTGGCTTGCGGGTGATGCCCTCCCCAGCCACAGCAGCCGGCACGTTGGCAGACCTGCCGCCCACGCTATTCTCCTTCTCCGCCCTGGCACCTGCGCGCACATGCCACCATCATGTCAGCCTTACTACACACGCTCCCTGCCATGGACAGGCCAAGTGTGCCTTTCACTACGCTGTAGCTTGAGATGAGCACAATTACCAATATTAATCACATAAGAATTAATACATGCAGTATAGGTAAGAAATGTCTGCAATCTTAGGTGCATCTTGAGGACATTAAAGATATGCACTTTGCCGGATACACGATTTACAATAGAGTAACGAAAGTCAGAGTGGTGCCCCTTGAGTACAGCTGCATTCAGGACAATGGCAGGCTCAGGAGCGCACCGGAGTGTGCCTTCTTCGGGGGTGCAAAGTCGTCGTCATCCGCTGCCGCCACCATCTGCCCTTGCGACAGCTGGCGCTCTTTTGCATCCCTGTTGACGCCTGTGAATGTCAAAAGAAAAGTTAAGCCAGTACTACTTACCATTTTAACCTGACACAACTGCTGAACAGAGCTGGCGGTTATTTTAAGTCATCCACATGTGGCATTTTCTTGGCATGGGCTGCATGGCAAGAGCTTCACCTGCAGAGGGCGGGCGCTTCTTGGCAGAGGGAGGCTTGCTGAGCCTCTCAGCATTGGCGTTGCCTGGATTTGCCTCGCCAGGTCTGACACCCAAACACACATGCCTCAGCACAAGTTTTGCACCACAGAGCACACCTTCAACGCCAAAGCTTACATCGGAAGACAAAGAACAACGCTGTGTGCCAATTCTAAATCTGCCACTTTTGACAGATCCTGTCATTGTCATGTGCTCACAGAGACATGCGTTTAATCAACATGTTTTGCAAGGGTGAGACTGCGTTTGTTCATCACCGCAATTTATCAAATGAAATAAAAATCAACCTTAATATTTCCCCCTGAATTCAGTCTGCAACCCACCTGACATCAGAGGTCCCAAAGCAGCCGAGTGCGAGTTTCTCCAGGTGAGCTCTGCGCTCCAGATGTTTCTGCTCCTTCCGCGCGCGCCTCTCTGCCTCCTTCCGGGCCGCCCGCTCCAGCTTCTTCTCTGCCTTGTGCTTCTCTCTGCGCGCGGCCGCTGCCGCCTCAGCTGCCGCCGCCGTGGCCGCCTCCGCGCGGGCCGCATCGGGGCTCACGACAACCTGCGGCGCGTTTATTGGACAGTTGATTGCTGCGGGAAGGCGCCTAATGGCTTAAATCGGCTTCACTCAACTCGATTTCCCGAATAACTCAATTCGCTGGCCGTTTTGGTAGGCACATATCTGGCATTGGCGGCTAAGTGTGCATTCAGTGGGTTTGGTTCTGTTCTAGGGATGTGTGCTTTGTTTGTTGTGGTATTTTTGGCAATCTCCAGTGTTAAGGGCTGTGGTCCGCACAAAAATCTAACCTGCACAAGCGCCTTGTAGCGCCTGGCGACTTGCTGGATGGCGTTCTGCAGCTTGGGGGCATCCACCAGCACAAACTCATCGAATGTAATGTCCAGCGGATCAGCCATATCCCCCTCCTGCACATGCACAAAAGGGGATTCTTCAGTCGCAACCATCTTCCTCACGTGGACGCATTCGACTGGGTCCTGCTGTGAGCGTAAACGTGCGATAGATGCTGCTCGCCTGAACTTGCAAATCTGAAGCATGCTTGCAGGCTTGAAAGGCCAGCTCATTGAGCTGTCATATACAAGGTACTGCTGCACGATTGGTGGCACACAGGACGTCCTCGTTGAGCAAACAGTCTCTGGGAAGGAGAGGTAGACCCAGGGACTTTGCTGCTGCAGTGGGGGCAAAAATACACCCGGGAGGAGGGCTGTTTACCTGGCAGGAAGGACAAATGGGAGTTTCTCTGCTGCGGCTGCGGGCTTAACCAGGGCAGGGGCAGGGTGCTTCTGGGGAGCTCGCTCCGAGCGCGCAGAGCCACCAACAGCCGAGCGTAGCGCATGTCAATCACGGCCTGGAACGCTACCCAGGTAGCATAGCTAACGATGTGCTCCTGAAGGGAAATTACCCCGCTCTCTGTCAATCTAATGCACTGCCCTCCTCAGGGCTTGAGGTTCTTCAAAGGGGGAAAGCCAGGCAGTGCCGCAAAACACATACTTCCGCTCCTAGACTCTGGGGGACAAGGGGGTATGCATGGCTAACCGGTGGCTAGGGGGTATAGCCAGGGTATCGGTCAATCTAATGCATCGCCCTCCTCAGCGCTCAAAAGTCTTTTCAAAATAGGGGAAGCCGAGATGTGGCGTCGAAAGGACTGCGCGCTCCTAGAGACTGGGGAACAAGTCATCAGGGAGATACACAGGGAGACATGCATGGACAACCGGGGGCTAAAGGAGTTTCCTAAACATGGTACCTCTCTGCCACAGCATCAGAACACTCCAACAAGGACAGGAATCCATCAGGGAGGTCGAAAGCAGCCTAAATGCACTTTCGGACGCTGCAGGTATCTGCACAAGAGCACCCGCAGAGAGAATAAAAAAAAAGTCGCATGCCTGGGTGTTTTTTGGGGCAGGAGCGGCAGAAGGTTGGGCAGCAGGCTCTGGCTTTGGCGCTTCTTGTTTTGGCGCCTCCGGTGCAGCCGCCGGCTGACTGGTCGCCTTGTCAGCGCTAGTGGGCGTACGCGACCAGGGTGGCCGGAACACCTTCTTCGGCGTCGTCCCGGCCT